AGCTGTTCAACATGCTTGTCAGGCCAGAAAGGGATTTTGAGTTGAGGTGGCATCGTGATGATATCCCCGCTGAGGCTAGCGAGGACGAGGAGATGGAGCGTCTTGGCAAGCATGCCTACCATGCTCAGTATAACTTCGCTCTATGGGATGATGATTCTCTCATCGTCGTGCCTGGCTCGCACAAGCGCGCTAGGACCTCAACTGAGCGAAACGCAGATCCCTTTGCCAAGTTCCTGCCAGACCAGCTCATCGTCAAGCTGCAGCCCGGCGATATTGTCTTTTATAACAATAATATTCTGCACCGCGGGGCTTACAGTAGCAGCAAGGAGCGAATGACACTACACGGCTCTGTTGGCCATGTGCAGGGCAGCACTCTTCGAGCGAGGAACGTTCTACAGCATGGAATTGGTAACTGGGTTGACAAATGTGCTTTCGAGTCACTCCCGGAGGAAGATAGGCGCAGGGCCGACGGTATGAGACAGCGTCTAATCCAGCTTGGCAGTGAGAGCGGTCAAGTTGGTTACTCACTCCAAGGCTGACCCTGAGAGGCTGAGAAAAGCGAGGCCGGCACCAACACCTTTTGATGTCGTTGTTTGAATATATCAATGCCCAAGGGCGCTAAGTAGGGCACATCCTGTAACAAATTGAATAAACCAAAAGCAGCAGGGTGACATTGAACGTGACCTGACGAACTACAATTCTCCATCTGATGCTGAAAATCTACTGACCAAGGGACGCAAGAAAGGAAAAACTCAACGTCTTGATGCTTAGAAAAGTAGTTTCGTATGAACTGAGAAGGCTCCTTAGCTAGTGTCGGCACCAGCAGGCGCGAGCTTGAACAACGTCTCTGATCAGACACAGTTCGAACCATTGCCAGTGTTATCACTATCAACAAGTCTTGACGGTTTCTCAACTCCGTTTCAGTGTTGCTAGTGTTGCCCTTCAACATTGCGATGCGACAGCAAAGGAAGCACAGTTGAGTAACTCTGCCCTGACACGACCGAGGTTATCACGATATTATCCGGAACGAAGACCAACTTCCCGATGATATCTAAGTTGCGGCGCCCAATACAGATACGGTTTTCATAGGCTGTTTCTCAACCCCGCATTTGCACCCGGATCGAAGTGGCTGCCACCTCATGCAATCGTTTGGGGACCCCGGATTTTGAAAGCTCGGTCAGATCAAGGAGCTCAAAGTGTTGGGCCGACTCGAGTTGATGAGTGGTCCTGGAATGATGTAACTATCATTGAATCCGGCGAGTCAGGTACACATGTGTTTAAATAGGCTCGGATCTATTCAATAAGTGCCAAGTTAGCATACTGCACCGTAGCCTTATCATCAAACTTTCTTTCCTGGACTCGGTAACATCCCGGCGGAATGAAAAGGGTGGGCTCGGCTCATACGCGGTGTGTGACGAAGAGTCAACCCCACGGGGAAATGAAGCCTCATGTCTATAACGCGGGGGTAAAAGCTAGCCAAAGGACAATTCGAGTACCAGTATCAATCATCTACTCTAGCGGTCTGCACCTGCAGGGGGGCAGAGCGCAGACTGGCTGAACGCTTGCATGATTGGGGGCAGACAATATTCATGGTGCACAGGGTGCCCAGGTTGTATGGCGGAGTGAGTCCGGAGTCTCCACGAGCTCAAGTTCCAATGCAAAGAGGCCCGTTTGCCCATGCTGAGCTGGTAAATGACTGACTCCAGTTGAGCTTGATGAGCAGATGAGCATGGTCATGTCTTCTGAGCCTGGGCCTGGGAGCGAGATCCAAAGTCTAGACTACCCCACACGCACCGACCATCAATCCCCGCACCTCCACAGATCCCAGCACTCGCTTGTCTGATCTCAAAACCTCCACTACCTATTAGTTACTATTAGCAAATACCAAAACCACCTACCGAACCTATACTGTGTATCCGAACTTGGCAAATGTCCCCGGGAGAATTTCTAAAGGGGATGATTTAAGCGCATCCGAGGAGAAGCGAAATCGGTTCCGCTCTTTAACTCGGCGATTCTATTGTCTCTAGGCATGCGAGACATGATCTATTCAAGCTGGTGCTGGCTGACAGACAACGCAAGGCTGGTTGACGTTGAACAACTAATGGGGATACAGCATCATATTCCTGTCTCAACAAAGTGCGAGAGAAGACACTCAACACGCCGATGTTAGCAGGGACCCTGGACCTTGACTGTAGGCTGATCACCACATTCTTGGGGGTGTTGTAGACAGCATCGTTGCAGCTATGTAAAGGCAGATCTAGGACGGAAGCGGAGCCGACGGGGGAGGAGAGTTTGGGAAGAGTTGGGAATTTCCTTCTCGCTTGCAATGCAGTTGGATTGTGTTAGTCATTGCGCAATAGGGCGGACAACTACCTTGGATTCCGGATCCCCAAGTGCGTGTCTTGTAGATCTATAAAAACCCGCACATCAAGATCAGATTTTGGCGGTAAGTTTTGTTGCTGTTGGAAATCTTGGTTCCTACCTTTTTACTGCCAGAGGCTGCAATTTTGTGTTGGTGAAACAGCGGTATTTTGTTGATAGTATTAGGAATTCGATCTTCCTGGTAAAACAGTGTGCTTAGAGAGGACTGATCTGGTGTTGCTCAAGTTCCTTTGCTCCGCATCAGCCCTGTCTCCGCTTCCCACCCTGAACTAAGAAGTGATTTTCTTTCCGTAACGTTTTCTCGTAGCGCCTTTGATCTCCAAAGTAACGGCGCGAAAGGCGGCAGTGAGGAGGAAAACAGGAGTGGCTTTGATTGGATAAGCTACGTTGAAATGTACACGGGCGAGTTGAAGAGGTTGTCAGTGTCAGTGGAAAGTAATTTTACGAGGTAAGCTGAAGATGAAGAGTCCTATCACGTGTAAGCGAATCACTTCAGATAAGGAAGGCGCCTTGAAGAAAATCACATCAAGGCAAGTGCATAGTACCTTCCGGTTGTGTATGATGAAGGCAAGAAAGGTAGGCAGCTTAGACCATGAAGCCTCCAGGGCTGTTAAACATTAGCACCTCCGTGTAGAATATTGGCCGAATCAACTCCGATATCGAGTTATTTCACTAGAAATTCCTAGGATTGTGTAAAACTAAGCTAGACTCGGGACATGTCTGTTGAGGATTTACCTCCTAAGACAGTTGACGGACCGACTATATGCGCTCAATCAGCAGTCAAACTCTCTCAGTGCCAAAAAGGACGGTCAACATTGTGTAAGTCGGCGGCGGGAAACGCGATTTTCCGCCGAATTTGTGTGTATCCGCCTGGAAACAGAAACTGGGCCCCAACTGACACGGATCTCAACCACCAAGGATAGACCTGCCGTAACCAGATAGCCTGTCTTGGAGTCTGCAAGGGCTCGTATGATTGGCTCGGAAGGGAACTAGAAAATCCTGGTTGCAGGGGTCAGGATGGACAGGTCCTTTGCCCCAAACCCCCCATGGGGCGAGTGCGTGCTCCCCCCGCATATACCGGGCGGTACTTGGAAGGTACGTTCGGGTAGGAGCCGTGGAGAGGTCTGGAGATGGAAAATATTCAGGGACTGACTTGGTTGTTGAACTTTTTCTTCAAGGCTTTGTAAACATGTCTATTGTATCGGATAGCCTCTTACTTACGGTTGCACTGGAGACGGTGCCGCCACGATAGCTGAGATGAATCGTCATCACAAGTTTGCAACCGGTCGAATCCTCCCGACTTATGTCCCGTTTTACATGTGCCTGGGCTGTCGATAAACCGCCCTTGCTCGCTTGTGGCTGACAATGATAAATCACCTTCAAGACTTCACTTCCACGCCTCACAACTCTGACACATGCCCAGGATGGCTTGGCAATACTGAGTGGGTGAGAGTTGACTTGGCTGCCCAAGCTGAGTTGGCACAGACGAGACGATAGTGAGACTGTTCAGATGGCGATGACGAGGTTCACCAAGCCTTGCGTACGCCTCAACACGCCGTAGCCTTGGCTACTGAGGTTATTTGAACAAAGACCTGACTGACTTGAGCTTGGCCCAGCCGTTTCTCTTCGAGGTTGCCAATCATCAGGTTGGTCTGGCGTCAGTCAGGAGAAGACGGCAAGACACTCCGTTTATTCCGTGTGTGCGCGCCTATGAACGCAGGGCATTCACCTGAATCATCTATCTATGCCGTCTCTGTCCGTTCGCCAGTACGGAGTACTAGACGGTACCATTATGATCGCCTTTTGAAAGTGCTTTTTGTGCCTTCGCGGCTGACTTTCCTTTCTTTTTCCTATGCTCTTTGTTTCTCTGCCGCTTTGTGGCTTGCATTTTGGGCAGATTCAGTGGCTCCTTAGAGATCCATTCCCACAGATTGATGCTGTCCACTCACACTCCCCACACTGGGTTGAGTTGGGAATAGGGAATAGTGTCGACTGTCGAGTCGGTTCAAGTTGCATTCATTTTACGTACAAGGCAACTTGGTATCTATCCCATCTTTGAGTATGGAGTAGGTACGATATATCAATTTCGGTCTAACATCGCCCGACTTTCAATCCAGACTCCTGATTCTTACAGTGAGGCTTGGCACGATCAGGAACGCTAGGTATGCTAAGCCAAGGTAGACAGCTCCGCCGCACCCAGGGATGTCTTCACAAAGTCCTAAAAGTATCTCTTAGTAGCTTATCACCTCCAATTTCCCCGCCCTGGCCCTTGCGCCCGCGCTACGCCAGCATACCCTGTCCGACCTGAAGGTCGCAGCAGCAGCCCGAGGATTTTCCTACACCTATCCTCAAGCGTTATCCGAACCGATACAGCACCTAGGACAGTTTTAGGTGCTATAGTTACGCACAATCTGTACTGCAACTCTCAGTGCGGATACGTACCTTGCCATACCATTCCTGTTGGGTTTGTCTCCTCTCTCTCCCCTCTTCACCCTGTTTTCGCCACGTCTTGTCGCTCTTTTCTGCTTCCACGCCCCCTGTTGTCTTGCTCTGGGCGCATCTACGTGGCACCGAATGCTAAAGCTGTCCTACAACAGGCACAAAACCCAGGCGCTACACCTTACTCGGTGTACTCCGCCCACCGCCGAGTTGAGTCGTTCACCAGGGACATGACTGTACAGCAAGCTCTTGGTTGACTTGGGTCGAGACCTTTGCGTATGTCCTCGAGCATTTGGGTTATTACCAACCCCCAACAAACAGGGACAATGCAGTTGATGGGAAATGTTGCTCCAACACGGTGCAGCAGGTACTGAAGGCCATGCGAATGCACTATCTCGTCATGAACCCGCATTTACGCCATCTTGGCTGATCCCGGTGCCAGTGCCAGTTCCTCGGGTGTCTCGCCGATGCGATGACTTACACCGTAAACTTGACACACGCACCAGCCATTCTGGGTTCTCCATCTTCTCCATGTCCGGGGCAAACCCCTCCTCGCTTGATGAGCGGTACTTCTCCGTGGTTTTGACGTTTTGCCTAGTTAGACACTTGTTGTTCCTGTTTTCTCCTCTTTCACGTTCACATTATCCGCCTTTCACACTTACATGGGCAGGTTCCCCGATTGAAAAATTATACATCAATTGATCTGGGCGATGAAAATGAAGAACGATTTCAACGCTTGAAGGATTTGAAAGTGATAGACATACGCAATATCCATATTCAAGTCTCGGAGCAGTCTTCCGAGAACATCGTTCAGCGTTGCTGCTCACCTTCATACCGCAACCACAATCACAAGTAGACCACCACAAGAACGACAAAACTTGATAAGATCTGGAAGGACGGTAATGCGCAACAAGCACAGAACAGCACAGCCTAGCACACCAAATCACAATACATATCTCTAGGTGTCAATACGCACTCTCAACACCAACAACCCCCAGTACCGACCTTACCTTGGTTATCGGCTCGAGTGGGGGAAACAGCCGAGATATTGTGCAGTATTGTACAGTACTGACTGAATGTAGTGCACGAGAGGGGAAGCGCTAAAGAGAAAGGGGTGTTTTCGTCTTTTTGAGGCTTGACCTTGGCCTTCCTTGACCTTGTCCACTCCATCTCATCCCATCCAGCTCCTTGGATTTCATTCACTCTCCTTGGCTTAGGCTTGGCTTGCTTAGGCGTCTCTATACCCCCAGTCAACTCCTGCTGGACTTCGTTTCTCCTCCCCCGTTCTTCCCGCCCACCCCATCCCCCCATCTTCTTCTCATCCACCCCGTCTCTCCCGCGGAAGGCAAACCAAAAAGCAAGCCTCCTTCTTACAGTAGCAGTTCACGGGCCACCGTCTATTTTCTCCTCCACATGCCATGCTCTACCCTTAACGCACCCCGCAATCTGCCTGCATCTATCTTTCCCCAGCTCCAAATCCAGGTCCAAATCCTAATCTTTCTCTCCATCTCCATCTATCTAACTATCTATCTGTTCTGTCTCTTTCCTCTACTTCTCCCATCCCCACACTTTGATACCAAGAATCAGACGTGAAACTGAATCAAGGACTTGCTCTTTGAGCATTCACCTTCACAATGCTTGCCATTCAGTCTATGGAAGGCCCTCCTCGTCCACTTCCTGGCCCTCCTCCTCCCCTCGTCGGGCCAGAGCCTACTGAAGTTCGCCAACCAAAGCCCAAGACTCTACCCTGCAAGTACTGTAGCAAGCGGTTCAGGTTCGTTATCTGTTGTTGAACAAGAGTCAGAGTAGTATACTGATAAGATCTTCTAATGTGTAGACGTGTCGAACATGTTCAACGCCATGAGCGCACCCATACCAAGGAGAAGCCATTCTCATGTGGTTGGGATCGCTGCGGAAAGACATTCGGACGAAGGTACGTTTATTCTAGTTACGCTATATACCCCGTCTCTCAGGCCGTCCCACCTGGCACTCATAAACAGTACTCACCACTCACTCATCCACACATTTTTCAAATCTTGTCATCTCCGCTCGTCCTCTTTCTGTCTTTCCTTTAATGTGTCATCCCAGTTGGGGCTCTCCTGTCACTCCAGTTTTGTCGTCAAATACACATGCTTACATGGATATTAGAGACCTCCTCGTTAGGCACGAGAAGCTCGTGCATTTAAATGAAGGTAGCAAGGACAACAACCGACCTAGGAAGTTGTCGTCCAATACATCCTCGGCTTCACATAAGAGTTCCATCTCTGAAGGTCAGATAAGCAATGAGGCTCTTGGACAGCAACATCTAAATGTATCGCGACCTCCGCCACCACAACAACCACTCCCGCAGCCACAACAGTTTCACCATGGTCCTCCACCAAATACCCAACAAGGCCCTCAGGATCCCCGGACTCAGCCCCGAACTGCAGCTTGTAATCTTGACCTCCTCTCTGATGCAGCCCTCGCGAGCTCAGCGACACCTGTCCAGAGAAATGTCAATGCAGCGCCTCTTCCACCACATTCACCAGATTCCCGAAGAAAGAGTAGCTATGGAGAGTCCATCGTCGCATACACAACGGAGCGACCCCGGGAAGATCAGCCTCTGGGATCCGGATATGTGCCTCAACAACTCCCTACTGGCTCCTACGATGATTATAACCCTTTCCTTGACGAGTTGACCTCGTCGTCACATTTCTTACCTCCAAATTTTGAAATCGAACAGCAGATGATGTATTCTCGGAGCCAAGGAGGACTTTCTCAGAGAAGATCATCGAAATCGTCCTTTCTGCCAGGCCGCTTCCCTCCGATGCAAACTGAAGCCCGAGATCCTGCAGACCCTGCCGCTCGGGGTATCGACGAAGCAGCACGACAGTCAGCCCTTCGTATCTCAGTATCCGACCACACTGTGATTAAGAACAGACTGGATGAGTTCTCGGCTGTTCTACCCAATGACTTTGTGTTCCCGTCCAGGCACACATTGACCAGATTCTTGGAAGGATATATCAGCGGACTTCACGAGCATCTGCCTTTCCTTCATCTTCCAACCTTTTCACCCGCCGAGGCCGCTCCCGAGTTGTTGCTTGCTATCCTTGCCGTGGGGGCCCAATATCGCTTTGAGAAGAATAGAGGCTATGCCCTTTGGTATGCTGCCAAGGCTGTCGCGATGGAGCAGATTCGAAGAAGGCGCATTTCGGAGGTTCACGCTTTATTACCGACTGCTTCTGCTTACAGTCCCCATTCCACGAGGCCCTCGCCAAGTGCCACATATCGCCACTCATTTGCATCTGCACAGTCAGAGCGACCTACAACACAGGACACTCACCGAGAGCCATAGTAAGTCTCATCTTGGTCTATATGAAGCTCAATTTTAACTGTGTTTAGTTCTCCAAATACTCCCCAGGCTCGGATTGAGACCATCCAAGCAGTTCTACTTCTATTCGCGGTCGGTCTTTGGGGTGTGCCAACTATCCTTCATGAAGCGTTATCACTGCAGAGCAATTTGGCAATTCTCATTCGAGAAGAAGGCCTTGTGGCGGAAGTCAACCAGAGTGCTGTTAACGACTGGGAAACCTGGATTCGACTGGAGACAGCCACAAGGACGAAGCTCGTTGCTTATTGCTTTTTTAATCTTTGCAGCATTGCCTATAACATGCCGCCATTGTTGTTGACATCCGAGTTGAACCTCTTGCTCCCTCAAAGAGGTAAGCTTTGGAGGGCTGAGACAGCTTGGCAATGGCAGGAAATGCGACAGTCGACGCCAATGATCGAGCTCACCCTGCATGACGCCTTCTCACGACTTTTTGGCAGAACAAATCAAGGACTTCCCCAACATTTGTCCTCACTGGGAAGCTATGTTCTCATCCACGCCCTCATCCAGCATATCTATCTGTTGAAGCAGACCTCTTTTGCAACTGGTCTGCCATATAATATTCACCGAACCATGAAACCCGAAGATGTCGAGGAGGTTACGCAAGCACTGCGTGTATGGCAGACGAGTTTTGAAGATCAGCACCAGCTCAGGGCAGCGGAATCGGGACACTACAACGCATCGGACTCGAATGTGGGAGGAACCTTGGATTACACGGCCACAGCGCTACTGCGACAAGCCTACATCCGACTCTATACCGATGTCACGCCCTCAACCGCGCTCGAGACCCGGGATCCGCTTTTGGTGGCGTCGGCGCTGAGCAGGACCCCCTTGCTAGTACGGAGTCTAAGACTGCACCGGGCAGTGTTCCAAGCATTCCACGCCCTGTCGATGCTGGTTAAGGCTGGCGTAAACTACGTAGCCAGAACCAAGTCGGCCGAATGGAGCATTCAGCATTCGTGTAAGTCATTCATTGCATGCTTTGGCCCCTTGAAAATGTCTTGACTTGATTGCTAACTCAATCTCATAGTGTGCAATTTTGAGTGTGCCATTTTAGTATCCAAGTGGCTACTCACGATTGCGGCGATTGGGCCGCACGAGGCTCCCGCTTCACCCGAGGAGAAAAACCTATTGGATATGGTTGGACGGATGCTCGATGAGACTGAATTTGCGGTTCCGCCAATCGACCCATCTCTTTCGGGGCAGAACGAGGTGCCATCAAGCGACAGTGCTAAGTTGCGACAACTCGCTGTTGCAGTTGTGCGACTTTGGGCAGAGACTTTCAAGGGAACACATATCTTTGAGATTGTCAAGGTTATGGGCCAGAGTCTTGATGCATACGCTGATCTAATCGAGAAGCCGAGAGACAGAAGTCCACCGGTTCGGTTGCTGGAGCCAAACATCAACTGAAAGGGTATCGACTGGAGGGGAGGCTAGCAGGATAATATGACGACCAGCAATGGTACTCAAGGAAACGACAATCTTAGGGATTTCAGGCGTCTGGTTTGAGGGAATATGGACAACAGGCAAGATGTTAACACGCAATCTATTGACAGATGCTGGTCCTGGCTGGGAAAACGAGGGATATCATGATATGGGTTATTGTATACATACGGCGTTTTATGGATGACTTGTTGTGTCAATTGATTGGAAAGGCATATTTTGAAGAAGTTGGCGTTTGATATGAAGGGCAGAAGAGGGTCTAGTGGCTTCAATGCCAGCTACAGTAGTGATTATAAGAGAGAGCTTTTTATTCTGTGAATCTTCTGGAGATCACTCATCTTCCATGTAACACGAGATGTGAAGCAAAGCTTAAGAGAAGACAAGACCACACGAGCCATGCTAGCTATTTATGACGAGACTAAAACGATCTAAAATTGTGACACCCTGAGATTCTGTTTAAATCTTGAGGTTCTCCAAGATTAGTCTGCAACGGTTGGATTGACTATTCCCCGCAAAATTCAAAGATGCAAGATCCATCTTGGATTGAGTTGAATGCAAGATCCACATCCACATGTGAAGAAAAAGGAGGGGCCGAGCCGACTCCTTCAAGCTAAGAGTGTGGGGAAATTAGTGGAGACCAACGTGCATCATACCTCGGCACCTTTTAGGGGACATACCGAGCGAGAATGGTCACGTACGCACGTCTTTGGACAAGCAGCCTCGGGCCATTTTCTTTGACTTATTTCTTATATGAGCTTGATAATATATCATAGACATTGATACCATAGACGTAGACTTTCTGCTACTCTTCTCTTCTTTCACTTCGTCTTTAGTCATTTCTTCACCACCAAGAACCATCAGCCATCAGCAATCATGCCTTTTGCGACAGAACTCACCAAGCGACTCGGCATTAGAGGTTTGTACACCCGATCCCATAGCCTCGACTCTCGTACTGACCACCTCCAGTGCCCGTCGTCCAAGGCGGTATGATGCACGTAGGCACCGCCGACCTCGCCTCAGCCGTCTCCAATGCCGGCGGCTTGGGCATCATCACTGCCCTCATCTTCCCCACGCCCGAAGACCTGCGCAAGGAGATCCAACGCTGCCGTACCCTCACCAAGAACCCCTTCGGTGTCAATATCACCCTTCTTCCCGCCATGGTGCCCCCGAACTACGCCGCCTACGCTCAGGCTATCATCGACGAGGGAATCAAGGTCGTCGAGACGGCAGGAAACTCTCCCGGGCCTGTTATTTCGCAGTTGAAGAAGGCCGGCATCATTGTTCTTCACAAGTGCACCACGATTCGCCATGCCCAGAGCGCCGTTAAGCTTGGCGTCGATTTCCTCAGTATCGACGGTTTTGAGTGCGGTGGACACGTTGGCGAGAGCGACATTACAAACTTTATCCTGCTCAGCAAGGCCCGCCAAACTCTCGGTGTTCCCTTCATCGCCAGCGGTGGCTTCGCTGATGGTTACGGACTCGCAGCCGCGCTATGCCTCGGCGCTTCTGGAGTCAACATGGGAACGCGATTCATGTGCACGGTCGAAGCTCCAGTGCACCAGAAGGTCAAGGAGGAGATTGTGCGCGCGGACGAGACCGACACGACACTTCTCATGCGCAGATGGAGAAACACTACCCGACTCTTCAAGAACAAGGTTGCCCTGGAGGCTCTCGAGGTCGAGAAGAAGAGTGAGAAGGGCGAGTTTGCCGAGATCGCGCCGTTTGTGAGCGGTAAGCGAGGAAAGGAGGTCTTTGTGAACGGCGATACTGAATACGGCGTAAGTTTATACCTTGAGCTGAGACGAGGATGCAATGACTAACACAGCTCGCAGGTTTGGACAACTGGCCAGGTTATCGGCTTGATTCATGATATTCCTACATGCGATGCCCTTGTTCACAGAATTGAGAAGGAGGCGGAGACAGCGTTGAAAGAGAGACTTGCGCTTCTGATGCCTGAGTCAAAGTTATAGAGCTAGAGGATACTAGACTTGCGAGATTTTGTTTAGAACTTGTATAAAGATATGCTGTTTATGTTTATTGAAGAAAGAATTGCAAGCGATTTTAAAAACCGTGCCCTGTCTATGAATGAGTATGCTCTGTCTAATTCTATACACCCATGTCTTCGAAATCCTATGGTCTATGAAACGCATAGTCCAAACGGTGTCTCTTTTCCTCATCTGATAATTCTATTCGTTTTCGAGGTCGAGGCTGCTGAACGACGAGCTCTGGAACACCGCGATTATCGAGGGACCATTCCTTCGTCTGGGTGAGGCTCACGCCCGTCTCAATCAGCGAGATTTTGCCCCCGGGTCTTCCCATGCTCCAATCTGTTGGAGTAGTTCGTTGGCTATGGTTATGCACCGTGTCCTCTGTGAGATGGAGATTCATCTCGAGAATGGCACCGCGAACGCCACAGTATATGGTATCTGAAAGATCGGACGACTTGGCCAGACAATAGATCCTGTCATATGTGGAACTGCCAATATGAATGGTAGCGTCGGGACGCCAGTAGTTTCGTCTTGAAGCTCCATGCCAGTAACACAACACCCCGTTTTGAGAATCGCATTTCTGCGGTTGATGCTCTGGCGCCCATCCTTGCTTCATAATGTGATCATCCTTCTGGCTGGGAAAGGGCCATTGTGGCGAGCATGGAAGAGCAGTTGTGTGATGATATGGCTTTGGGTACCTGAAGTCAAATAGACGGACATCCGGTGCTGTGTTACTGCCGGATACGAAACGCTCTGTACCATACACAAGGAGAGAACTACCTGCTTGGTAGGGTTGAAAGCGATCACGGTATACTGCGTCTTGTGGTGAGGGTGTTCGGATATCTAGAAGTCTGAATAAGGGGTTAACAGCCGACAATAGGTCTGATGAGATAAACTTGCCTATATGTGCCATCGTCCCATGCACTCAAAAGGAGATCTTCACTTCCCCCTCTAACAGGCTCGATTGCTCGAACTGTGGTCTTCTCACTGACTCCCCCACTTACCAACCTCGAAGCATCGTCTACGTACATAGAGTTACTATGAGCGTTGAAGAATTGTAAGCCGGCCGGTGTGAGCTGCCCCCAACGTAGAGGATTTCGAGTTCCGCCTAGAGCGCAAGCCATGATATCTTTGCTCATGAACTTGGTGCTGCGCAGGAGTGACGCTTCATCTGCGGGACTGGCTTTGGAGAATTCATGGTAATCCAAAGGGCTCAGTACTTGGTCATCTGACACACTGAGATTGTACAGAGTCAGAACCGAGCCTTTCCCGCTTGCCAGGAGATTCGTCTCGGGATGCCACTGTAGAGATGAGACTGCCACTTGACCTGGGGATTTCCTCATAGGATCGGAAGCGTGGTTTAGAAGTGCCTCGCCCGCTGGGCTCAAGTGTCTTGCGACTGTTGCAAACTCGTCCTTGCCACAGTGTATGCTGATGTCTCCATTGGCCCTCCCGACAATAACATTGGGTATACCGTCATTCTCTGTGACAGACGTTGCTGTGACATCTCCAGTCCCAGCCCGATATCCATGATCATGGCCCCCGATCTGATGCCAGGTATCTTGCTGTCCATCAACAGGTTTTATGCGAACCATGAGATTCTCGCCCACGCCGGCAGCAATAACCTCATTCTTCAGCGACGACATAAGCCGCGCATCGAGAACAGAATGGAACAGCACTGACTGGCTTCCAGCAACTCGACGCTGGAATCTCTCTGGCTGATTCTTCTTTTCATGCAACACATTGACCCAGAAACCGCGCTTCTCCCAGCAGCGATCCAGGTACGTTGCACGATCTGCAATAGAACTCCAGCGAGTCCCTGAGTCTGTAGCTATATGCAGGGAGGGGAACCGGGTCTTGACGAAGGTACGCCAGCCATCTTGGCGTATGAGACTCTGGAGATGCTTCGTCAAGGCGGAAACGTGAGCTACGTCACGAGCTGTGTCGAGATGCTCGACAATATCGAGAACAATATCATCTGGAAGACTTGCCAGAGATGTTCCATCCATCATAGTTTCATTTCGCCCGAGACTTTTTATGTGGTTATGAAGTGATGCAGTTTTACCCTGATCTGGCTTGTAGCAGTATTTTCGGGTTTATCGAGTTTTGAAGTTTGTCTTTAACTGATATAAACAGATTGAGTGATCTTGATTCTGTTCTAGTTCGGTTTTATAACATGAAAGATTTTGAATGAGGAAGAGGAAAAAAAGCTTATACGACTCTAACAGTGAGTCAGCCAGTGCTTACTGGTGGTGCCTGCCTAATATTAGTTTCATGTCGTTGAAAATGGAGCGTCATAGCGGGTCTAGGTAGTAGGTACGTACTTCGTACATAATAAACCTATCAGCCTCTACCTCCAACCTACTAATTCAATATGCTTCAACCTCATTCTCCTGTCACTGACCTACTTCAGGTCTATAATGCTCATTGCAGGCGAATTTGTTTGTATGATGATATCTCATTCTGCGTCTCAAACCATACAAATATTTAATAAAAGACCCAAAATCATAAACCGCCAAAACATTCGTTGTCGTCAACAAGCAAGAAGCTGCAAGCCGCAGATACAAAGACCGTAAATATATGTCATGTGCAGGAGAAAACACCCCAAACAACCCTGTCGTCATCCTTCGACACGAAGTTCTGTAAGGCATAAGCCTTGAGTTGGACATGGCAAAGCCAAAAACTGCAACATCTCGACCGCAATCAGAAAGGACTAAGTATAGATGGATAATGAAACCAGATAAGAAAAATGTAAAGGACGCAAAGTCAAAGACAGGACAAAACGGGAGGAGTCTCTGAGCTACACGGCTCCGAGCCACCTCCACGCCTAACAATAACTTGGACCATTTTGAGAGCCTCTGGCTACTGGGCCTGGTGAGGATCTTCGATAACGTATTAAACTTGGCCATGGGTTGAAATTTTGCAACTTAACCATGGTGTACTGCACGGAAGCTTCACCTATCTCTGGTGCTTCACGTGGAGTTTGAATAGATCTCTTAAGAATCTATCGTTGACCCTGGTAGCCAACTCGTGGATAGGCCTGCTCGATTTTGCCAACCCAATCACGGCCCAGGGTCATATGAACCCCATCCTCACCCCTGAAGTCATCGTATACGACAAAGTATACTCGAGTAGGAGGGAATGGGAGGTGATGAGACTCGAACTCTATCCCGGCGTACAAGATTTGTTCGATGTTGATTAATGTACCATTGGGACATTGAGTCTTTCTGCCGATTCCTGGTGGGAGACTTATGACTTGTATAGGAGATGAACGTTGGAGTATATCAACATAGCTCTGGGCTATGAAGTTGAAGTTCGACCTGCCGTCGAATTCGACCACTTGGCGGGTTGAATAGCCGCCATCATATGTTACTTTGACCAGGTTCAACTCCTGTCCAGCAGAAGAAGAAGAGGAGATATCGGGGGCAGGTGGTGGTAGTCCTTGCTGAACGTCTTGTCCCATGTTTAAAGGCCAAGCAAGGCCGGAGGGGTTACCAAAGTCTTGGGTGTGTACTAGAGGGCTCTGAATAGAGGGAGCACTAGGAGGTATATTAGTAAAACGTAAGTACTAAAGGTATTAAAGCACGAACCCAAAGTCATCCCAGGATGTGGTCTGTGTTGGCTCTGACAGGAGAAAGTGGTCATTGATATCAGTCTCCAAGCCCGATACTTGGGTGATAGAGGAGGTAAAACTGGGAGCAGTATACTGGATGTTCTCTTCCGATATTGGTAATAAATATGGCTCAGAATAGGGAGCTGACGTAGCGAGAGTATTGTATCCCAAAGGACAAAAGGTTTGTGCCTGAGATTGACCCTCAGGGTCGACGACAATTATATTGGACTCGTCAATATTGCTGTTGTTTGCAGCAATGAGCGTCTGATTTTGAACTCCTGGGCTTTCGACGTTGCTCCCTAAGAGAGCGTTCGGTGCTTCTGGTAACAGATTTGTTTCTGAAGCCACGGCTATGAGTCTTTCTGCTTCGGAAGACGTCGAAGGCTTTGCTACCGATGACGGTGATGCTGATGCTTGGGGACGTGACCTTCGCTTCTTCTCCTTCTCTAGCTTCTGTAGTTCAGTGCGTGAAGGCCTCACACGTTTCTGCAGACGTTCACGCAGGAGACCCTTACAACTTTTTCTCAACGATATCTTTTTGGGGTAATGTGATCGCACCGGCATGGCAACATTGATACTTGTCTTCGCCGTGATGAGGTTTAAGTATGCCCAGTAAGTCGGAATTTCGACAACACCTAGAAGAGGATCAAGCCAGTAGAGAAGGGAGAAGTCTCAAGTCACCGCGAGGACTCCAAGCAACCGCTGTTGGGCAAAATGAAAGAAGAGAAGCAGCGGAGTAGATTATTCAGGCTTCACATTAGGGCCTCAATCCCTGATCTTATCATGCGCTAGATCAGTTGAGCCTCATCAAGTACCGACAAGAACATGGATGGCAGTACTATGATGGGAATTTACATGGCCGATACGTGGAAGAGAAAACCACAAAGACAACGCTCACTCAGCCAGACGAGCCACTGCACAGCTGTGATATACCGTAGCCAGGAGGACCATGTTCACTCATACGGAAGCGGCATTCTCTTTCATCCCACCCTGGCTGCAGAATCAAGGAACCATGCTATTATGCAGTCATCTGGTTCAGTGAGCGATATCGAGCCGTGGTTGGCCGAGTTGGTCAAGTAAAGCATTACTTGAACAATGACAAACTGAGAATAGCAGCAGGAGGACAGACACGATGATATACAAGGGTTCTATAGGTCAGACAACTGTGAGGGTGGTCCCTATTTAGGGAATTGTAACTTTGGAAGCTGAGGCTTGATGGGGGTTATATCACCAGTGACGTCTCGCTGCCCATATGAAAGTCCAGACTCGAGGACTCGAGCACCTCACTTTGTATTTCACACTTTGTCTTCTGCATTAGCTCCTTAGTCTGATGTGATTTATGCAACGTGATATCGGTGAATGTGACAACTCACAGGTGGGTGACTACGTGGCTTTCTCAATCGGAAATCCCCAATTCCACAATCCCTCTCAGCCTGATTTGATCCAAGACAGCAATGCTGATCAAAATGCTTCACGTTATGCATCCTTCACTTATGTTACCAGGCGTTGGTATACTGGAGCTAGTACCAGTCATTTCCCATAAGTGTTCAACCTATTTTTTACAATATTAAAAGGTCAATTCAACTCCCTTTACTAACCTCGGTCCCGGCTGACTGCCGTGATGTGTCTGACATTGGAGCCTCACTCAATATTGCCTACAAGTCTTGGACCACTTCCACCCTCATATCCCCTCTGGGGCTACTCACTCGTTTCAGAACAGGGCCTCGAATATACTCTCCTACACGCTGGGTCGAAGAAATGCCGGATCTTTTCACTCAACAAGTGATCATTAACTGCTGGTCAGTTTCTGCCAACGATCCCAACCTCTCTAAGCGGAAGAACAAGTCCCAGGGCCCTCTACAAATCAGTGCCATACTCTGCGGCAGAGACTACGGCCTCATTTCCAAAAATATAGTAGAGAAGCTTTTGGGTACAAGCGAGAAGCATACTTCTGGGCTCCCTTCCGTGGTAGAAATCTCCTGGACCCTATCTGGTTCTGAGCAGGACTTGGAGACGAGCCAGGTTCGTGTCATTCCTGGGCTAGAGCAAGACCTCGTCCTTGGCGATAATACCGAGGAATTGTATCAGAGTGTCCACCTTACTCCCCCAGCACATTCCCAGGGATCTAAACCAGAAGAGTATGGGCCAAGTACTTCTTGTTCAGAAGCCCTGCCCTTCCAATTCAACACCTCGGAAGACTTTAAGAGTCAAGGCATCATCCCCAAGAATCAACAATCTCAAGAAATTCTCAAGCAGCTATTGGGTCGCTGCCGCACAAGAGCCCAAAGCCCTCTCCCCCACCACAAAACCGTAGCTTCAGAGCCAGAACAACCCGAAGGACCATCAAAAATTAGCACTGACTCCTTGTGCGGACCTTTTGATATCTCGTCCAACACATCTGATTCAGATGGGAAATGGATCATGCCGCCCAACGACAAATTGCACAGAGAGAGGACTTCCTCGCTGCAGCCTTCGGATACTGATAGTCTGGTCGACCCCAGTGAAAATATTGCCTGGGAGGTATCAACTGAAGCATCTCAAGCTCTTTCTCACAGTTTCCAATTCCATGGTTGGTCTCTGGTAGACACAGCCTCAGCAGATACCCATCCAAGTACCCCTGAATGGGTGGAAGACCAGAACACTACCCATGAGTCTCAGAACGATGATTTCGCCACGCACCCAGGCCACCGTTTCTGGGAATGGGACGTCGAGAGGCAGCTTTGGCGTCGAAAGGGTCAAAACGGATCGGACGAGAGAGATTGGTTTGAAATCATTCAATAACAATGGCTTGCTTGTAAGATACCCAGTCCAAGGAGTTCCTTGAGCATTAAAAGCTAAAAATACATAGCTTCAATAATATGCTGGCGTTCTTTTGCTTTCTGATCTTTGATTTACACCCCAGGTTATTGATAGACAGCCGAATATATAGTGTTTTGTTTTTAATTGACTTATGTCCGCTTGCCTATTCAACTATCGTTAGTACTGGCAGCCTACCAAATGATCATCCCAACGAATGGAGAGGTGAGCTTCAAAGGTGGCAACAGAAGGCCAGTATGTATTCGAATCATGACTAGCTTATCCAATCGTAAATATGCACCACAAAGTGAAAACGCCATACACCAACAATCTACACGCCAACTACCAAACACGACGCCTCCCGATGCCTGTATCATCATAATAGTAGATGCAGCGCCCGCACGCCCTTCTCTGCCGCTGCAATATGCCAAGGTCGAACATCCATCTCACGGTCTACAACACCTCGTGCTCTGGCTAGGGTTCCGAGACCCCGAAAATAGCACAGCATTTCTCTTAGAAGAGGCTCGTACGCCCTAGGCGTAGCCTCTGTGTGGACAAGATTGACCTCCATCACGACTGGGGGGTCTTCAAGCTTTATTCCTGTTCTTTTAATCAGATACCCACTGGCAAGTGCCGGTCTCACTTCCAGTAACGTAGTGGAGTTGCAGAGTCGATGTCCGACGATGGCACCCCATGTCTGATCAGTGGCATCAATCAGGAAGGAATCGGCCTCTGCTTCTGCAGCACCCTCGGCAGTCGGTGTAGCAGCTAATGTGCTAGCATCACGCATAGGCGTTGCCGGCGTCGTGGTTTGCTCCGGCGAAACAATATTAGCCTGTGGCGTGGATACTGGTGTTGAGTAGAACGCCGAGGTTGCCGCATGAGGAACCTTCACGATCGGCGGGACCAGCTGCAAAGATGGATTGGTATCGACGGACATGAGAATCATGGTGAATGAGTGTTTGTCGTCTAGCGTTGAGGCTGCTTGCCACCACTCCACCTCTTTCTGGTCCATTGCCCCAGACTTGGTGATGATCACTCGCCAATGAACTTTCCAGATTGATATCATGGTCAACGTAGTCGCCCAGATCTCGGCTATGATGGCGGCCTTGTGGTGGGAGACGGAACGATCCGGTGTTCTACTCCGAGTGATTGAATAGGACGTGGTTGCTTGTCGTTGTCCACGGTTGTCGGTCCACGCAGCTGTAATCCATCGGCCATCAAGACTTTCAGCATATCCGACATGTAAGCAGGAATTCTCATGCATAAGGGACTGAGAAGGCGACGTTGTAAGCTTGAAGTCAATCATTCGAGGTGGAGGCTGTTCGAGCATAACTGCCGGTGCAGGTGTAGGACCACCGAATTCGGTGTCCAAAAACAAGGTGCACCTATCATACGTCTCTATGCAGAGCTTGATCATTTCCGCGGGAGTCGGGACGACTAGCGATGTCGTGGAAGAGATCATATCTAATGAAACAAGCTGCAGCACTAGCTCGTTCTGTGGAGATTCTCGACGAGCTGCTAGGAGGTCGCTATACTCATCAAAGCAGCGGTAGAAAGCCGTGCAGGCCTCGATGATGGAAGCCGGGTTATCTGGTGAGTAAACAAAGTAAATGACCAGATTCTTGTCTTTGGACTTCAACTCTGATAGAGAGCTTCGGAGCACTTCCATGCTTTCCACAAGAGCAGAGCCATGACCAGTTACGGTTGCGTCAGGTGAAGTCGAGATCCTATCAACCTCATATGGCAAGACACCATCGTCCCAGTCTCCAGACAACGGCAGGTTGTTGAGAGTGCCAAGTTTCAAGGATTCATATACACTCTTTAAGCGGCTGAGGAAACTTTCAACATGGTCTGACATCCCCTTCCAGCCTGGAAAGATGCAAAGAGCGGAGATATCCTTTGTCCCCCACGAAGGTGACAGCCCGAGACCTTCCCAGAAAGACATTGATGATGGAAGTACTGAGAGTTTCGTTTCTGATCTGCGCACTTCCAGATGAGGTACAGGAATCTGGTATAGATTGTTTGCGCGCAATTGCTCAGCGTTGGGATCTCTGCCTGGAATCGGTCTGGGCTGGAGACGGCTCGGTTGTCCTACAAGGGGGAGGTCTTGAATTTCCAGCAGCCCTTTCAATCGCACAGCCGCGGGGGTACCCAAATTCGAGGGAATGGCATCGTGAAGAAGTTGTAAGGAGTTCCGGGCGATACTGAGCTCATGGCTCCTCATAGTCGCAAGGGAGACAGACGACTCAGCCTTATGCTCGATGCCGATTTCAAGTCGCCCGGTAGCAGCCTGTTCGGTGATGATTTGCGCAATCTCCACAAAGTCGTGGTTGGAAAGACCTACGTCCACGTTAAGTGGCTCTGGGTCCAAAAAGAAACGGTGTAGCAGCATTTCTGGCGATTCTGTTTTGGAGAGTTTTGGGAGCTCGATCGCAAGTTGCTCATCAGCGACATCGTCTAGCAGTTCTGTCTCTCTAGAACTTGTAGCTTGTGAAAGAGCATCATCATCCACGACGGTTCGTTTGATACTGGACTTAACGGGAGAAACTGGACCACCAGAAAGCGAACTTATATCATCTCCATCTGACTCGAGATCACTCTCTTCAGAGATCCAGTCATGCCCATTCAGTCTCTGGGGGCTTGCATGGGTAGTAGATGCATCAATACCAGTCAAACTTCTAATGAGAGAGTTTCCAAGAAGTGATTTGGATGTCTGTTTCAGCTTTCCTTGCCCTTCGAGATACTCATCTCGAGAAAGATTATGGGCACTCGGCCTCGAATCTCCATTACTCTGGTCCTTTGAAAAGTCGAATGCACCACCATGTTCATACTTTTTGTTAATTAGGGGGATTTTAGGGTCAAACTCGACCTTTTCAAAAACACTACTCTTTCTCCGGGGTGGCTGAACAGCAAAATCATCCTTGGTAGGGCTGGACAATGAGGCCCGTACTCGCTTGAACACGGTAGCAGGGTCAAATGGACTGGACCCTCGCTTGGTAGTATCTGGTCGCTCAACTTTGATTCTGTGATTAAGTTCATCATTGAGCGAGCTCCTGGCATGCTTCAGTTCTGGCTTAGCAAAGACAGAATCATTAGTCTTTGGTTTTGGTTTGACCTCAGGTTGCGGCTGTATGGCTTTGTGAGGCTCCGGATGCGATAGCACCGGCGGAGGCATTACCTGGGGCGCAGGTGCAGTAGGAGCTGGTTGCAAATCTGGCATGTCCATGTCCAGATCGTTGCCGTCAGGGCCATCAAAGAAATTAAAGTCATCCTCTGTTACATCGTGATCCCCGAACACATCCTCACCCAAGTCGTTCATTACATCGTCAGAATCGCCCATTGCGTTGCTGTCGCTTCGTTCTCTCTTTTGTTCGTGCTGGCCTCCCCAGGCGTCATTCTCAGCATCAGCCATCGGTGTCGCTGTTGGCATCGTGATATCAGCATCAACAACTGCAAGGGTTGGGGGCGGGTTATTAGGACTTGAGATCGCTCCATCTATGGAAGGGGTAATGCCGATGTGTTGCTGAATTGCATCGGGGGGTGTTGGATACATGACACCAGCGGCAGCTGTGCTAGGTCGCCTCATGGTCAAGGGAGACTGCCCATTGAGGTTTTGAGCTAGGGGGTTCGCACCATTAACTTCTCTAGTGACAGCATACATTCGCTCAGCTTTGCGTTTGGAGATTCTCTCTTCCCTTTCTGACGCACCGGCGAACCATCCACGAGCATCTCCTAAGGGATCGTGACATTCCTCGTGGCCACTGAGCATCGTGTCGCCAACACGGTGAGTCGTTGACATTTCCATTGGCTTCTTTCGAAAGCAGAGCGATCCTGGCCAGGGAACTGTTGCCCGTGATCGCTTAGATTCCCCGTCTGCATCTTGCGAAGTCGGCTTAGAAATGAGAAGGTTGACCCAGGGGCTCGCCTTGAATTGAGATGGGTTGAGTCCACAATATTCGAGTGCTTTGAGGCATGAGTGCTTCCATTGCGAATCGTTTGTGTCTGGGACACTTCTCACACTCAAAGCTTGCGTATTCGGTGTCTGTGCTAGGCTTCGATCCGAAACATCCCCGTTGGCAAAATTCTGCTTTGTTGCAAAAACTCCATAGGGGGCAGCCAGCACCGAGCTACTTGGCGAAGAGGAATCACCTGTGAGAACATCTTCCACTGTCGCCAGGTTCTTGCAGTAAGAGAAAGTAAGACTGACAACAAGAGAGCCCGTAGTAGTGAGATATGTCTTGAATGTGCCAACGACGGGATCGGCTTGCAAGGAGTCCCTTTCGCGTTCATTCGCATCGGCTAGCAAAGGTGGAATCAACATTGTCCTGTAGTTCAGAGGTATGGCCATAGACCGACTACAGAAAGCGAAAGCTATCGAGGAAATGACTGCGACTATGAACTGTTCGTAGATAATCTTTGGTACTGGCTGCGTCGTCCTCATGTCGGTAACCTGAGCTGAAGATTGAGACACTCCTTCAGGCAAAGCCCCCCCAGCGACCTGAGTCGGTGAGATCAAAGGGTTACGACTATTTGCCTCGGCGGGAGATGCGGTAGAAGCTGTGTTGTTCGGGGCATTTTGAGTAGTGTTTCCCGGAATGCGGCTCTTCTGCAAAGCTACAGGTTCAAGGTTACCCTCCTCAACCATCCCTAATGTGTAGCCGGAAGCTTCCAGGCTAGATCCCGGGGCAGAATTGACGGCCTTGCTCGTCCCGTCTTTGCTGACGATTTGAAATATCCATATTCCTACTCGGTCGGCGTCATACGAAACAAGCTTTCCTTGGTCGCGAAGAGAACTTTGAATCTCGAGAGCGGAGGATTGGAAGCCATGCGATTGGTCGGGAGGAGGCTCGTAGATGCGAAAGGTTATCGACGCGATGTTGTTCTGAAGAGTTCAAAGTTAGATAAAGAAAGGCTTCTAGAGGAAAGCTAGAATTATAAAAGTAACTCAAACATACTATCGACAAGGTATTCGTCTCATATTCACTGGTCTCCATTGCGACAACTTCCTCGCCGTTCCGAAGTCGCAACCGTAAATGCGGCCTTAGGAACGACGGCGAGGCCCAAGCCTAAAAGGGCCCGACACTTCGTGTTGCTTCTTCGTTATAGTCGTACCTTAGGATAGTAGAAATTGCCGAGATGTGGTTGTCTGGATAGTACTGGTAGGGGCAGTTGACTCCCCAGACTCCATCTCAACGAGCCGGACACTTGTGCTAAGTCGCAGCTCGGGGATGGTGCCACGGAGAGCTAAAATGGCTCGGTCGGTGAGGTAATCTTTCGAAATAGTGGTGAAAGAAGTAACAGCTAAGTCATTAGCTTTGTGTTGTGTTCTCTGGACAAAAAGAAACGATGTGACGATGATCTGGGGCAGTTCGATATTTGATGATGTCTGTCGCGACAAACTAGGCGTTGGCGGAGGTGGAAATTCAGTGGAGGCGGAAGAGCAAGGGCCTCAGCTGGGATGGGGAGTGCTTAATCGGGGACAATCAAGTGGTTTGCTGGCCGGGTTTAACAGGGGAGTAGAGAAAGACCAAATTCAAGGGACTGAATAGGAGCGTATTAGGCTAGGAGAAGAAAAGATCAGCAATAGTATGTAGAGAGTTGGTCCTTGGAATCTTGACGTTTGCAAAGTATATAACTTGATGCAAACAGGGGCATCAATTATTAAAGTGTATGATCTATCTTTCTGTGTGGTCTTTAAGTAATAACTCGGATTTTTGTAATAATATTTATACAGAAACAGTCAGAGTATATGCGTTTTTCCTCCGTTTGAGGTCTTTGGGGTCCCTTACCGCGAGTCACCGAGCACACCGAAGATAGTGGGGCGTCGTTTTTCTTCACCTTGATTTTTTTCAAGTCCAAGGCGCATCAGCTGGTGAATCGCAAAACTTGCATTATTCCTCTCTACACGGCAACCAAGTTTCGTCAGTGCGGTTCTACTGGAATACCGCCACCATGAAGCTTTCAAATCCGGGAACCGTTCCCGTATACACAATTTCGGGCGCATCTAGTGCCCGACCTCTGCCCGACTGGCTTGCGCGACGCAGAAAGCGAAGTTTGAAGGACGATGCCGAATACCAGAATCGTGTCGAGCTTCTACAAGATTTCGAGTTCGAAGAGGCTAGTAACTGCATCCGGGTCAGTGAAGATGGCGACTGGATCATGAGCACAGGCACATACAAGCCGCAGATTCATGTTCATAACCTACCTCAGCTGTCGCTGTCTTTCGCTCGTCATACCAACTCCCTCAACCACTCATTTGAGCTCCTGTCAACCGATTACTCCAAATCCCTTCACCTTCAAACCGATCGCCGCCTCGAATTCCACACTCCCATGGGCTGCCATTACGAAGTCCGTCTTCCAAGATATGGCCGAGCTCTTGTCTACGACCGGCAATCTACCGAGGCTCTTGTACCAGCGGTCGGCTTGGATAGCGATGGTAAGGGCGAGGTGTTCCGCCTCAACCTTGAGCTTGGACGCTTCATGAAGTCATATCAGGTCGATGTTGGTGGTGACGATGAACTTACTGGGGGCGGTTTACAAGGAGGTATCGGGGTTGGTAGCGTCAACACGGCTGCTATCGCAGAGAATACTCATAACTTGCTCGCTTTCGGAACTTCAATAGGAACAGTTGAGTTTTGGGACCCCCGATCCAAGTCCAGGGTCGCCTTGCTAGGAGGCCACGAAGGTGAAGTTACAGCATTGGACTTCAGCCCTTCAGGCCTTTCTATTGTTACCGGCGCTTCAAGTGGCATGATGCAGATTTTCGATCTACGACGACCCGTGCCCCTCATGAAGAAGGATCAAGGATATGGTTTCCCTGTGCACAAGCTCATGCATATGACAACGGCATCACAAGAAAAGAAAATCCTGTCGGCGGATAAGCGCATCATCAAGCTATGGGATGAGGAGACAGGAGATCCTTGGACGTCCGTGGAGCCTATAGTGGACATCAACGACGTTGCATGGTGCAAGAACACTGGTATGATCATGACGGCCAATGAAGGCAAGCAACAACATGCGTTCTTCGTTCCCCAACTAGGTCCTGCTCCTAAATGGTGCTCGTTCTTGGACAACATGGTCGAAGAAATGGCGGAAGAGGTGCACACCGAAACATACGACAATTACAAGTTCTTGACACTACCCGAACTGAAGCAGCTGAGCTTGTCCCACCTGATTGGAAAGACCAACCTGCTCCGACCTTACATGCACGGATACTTTGTGGCATCCAAGCTGTACGAGCAGGCTAGGTTGATTGCCAACCCATATGTCTGGGAAGAGGAGAGGACGAAGCGTATCAAGGATAAGGTCGAGAAGGAACGTGCAAGCAGAATCAGAGGTACTAAGAAGGTCAAGGTCAACCAGAAGATGGTGGACAAGATTCTCAAGAAGCAGGAGAACAGAGCTGAGGTTGACACCAATGTTGGTGTTCTTGGTGATTCCCGTTTCAGCAAGATGTTCGAGGATGAAGCCTTCCAGGTGGATGAGACCACTGGAGAGTTCCGTGCTCTCAACCCAAGCACTGCGGTGGGACAGCAGGCCGATTCGAAGGCCCCGGCCCGTTATCAGGGTAAGGACTCTGACGATGATGCGTCCAGTGATGAAGATATGGACAAGACAGTCCCCGCACCAAGGCGAAAGACCAAGGACGAAGACGTTGTCATGCGTGTGTCATCAACCAGCAACCAGGGACGGGCTGTCAAGGACACGGCGCTTGGCTCGAGACAGCAGAAGTCGGGGCGCACTCACCAAGCCCGAGGAGAGGTTGTTGGTGAGCGTCAAGTGTCCTTCATTCCAGAGTCAAGGAGAAAGCAAAAGAAGAGAGAGGAGGAGCTGCCCGCTGAACCTCGGGACAAGCGAACTGGAGCTGCTCGACGCAGCGCCAGTGGCAACACGTTTAGACGGATCTAAGAAGCGAGAAAGAAAAAACAGGCGCTTGAATTTCATTATCAAAATAGCAAAGGCGTTAATGCTCAGTTCGTGGAGTAAATATGAGACAGCCCATGCGTGGAAGGTTACTATTTATACATGGATGATACCCGGATCCTGTCCGTTGGAAACACCAATTTGAGACCACAACCATCAAATACGTGGCTGACAACTTCTATGACCACTCCTGCCACCGTGACTGCCAGTTGCACCCCACAGTGAGGATCTCCCTCTGCTGCTGCTTTTCACTTCCTCGACCACTTCTTCTCCTTACGCTTTGCCTTGGCTTGAGCTAGACCCTTTTCAAGATCTTCAGGTCGAATTCTTGGTGTCGGAGGGACATCATCATCAACAATCCGTGTACGGTTACGATGAGATGGAACAGGCCCATCTTTGACTGATGAAGGGAACTCTGTTCTCCGCGGTGTGAGAGCCGTAACAACCTTGCGAGCAGACTTCCTGATTGTCTCTCTCATTGTCCATTCGCGCCTCTTTGCTATGAAGAAGAGGGCGGCTGTGGAGACTATAACAATATTAGTGCATGTTGACGATTAGTAGTAGGGAGAGACATACTGCCGATCAAACTGACGACAACAACGACAACGATGATAGCAATCATGCCGCCTTGAGAGATAGAAACTGAGTTGCCTGAGCTGTCGCCAGCAGCACCCGCCTCAGTGCCAGAGTCGGCGCTTGGAGCACTATCATCGTAGCTCTCCGACGCGAGCGGAAAAGGGTTACTTGTTGAAGACATTGTCTTTGAGTTTGTGTAAGCTGGTATATGGGTATGGCTGCTCGAGAAGCTGCACAAAAAGGTTCACAGAACCTAGGAAATATGAAAAGGTAAAAATATCATGTAATTAAGATAGAAAGGCTAGGAATTTTTCAAGAATACCACCTCTTTGGAGAGGGCAGCCACTTGTATATACATCTACAAATCTCTGGTTCTTCATCCCCCACAAGCGTAGTACTCAGACCCTGGCATCCTTGATACCGACTTGGCTCTCAAATCCCGAATGTTCAAGACGAATCATCATTGGATTCCCATCACGGGGCCGAGACTCGAGCACAGCAGCAGGAACCGCGATATAGGAGCACGCACATCTGTGATTGGTGACAGTCCAGCTCGAAGCGCTGAGCGGCGAAGCCTCAAACAGGGGTCCAGCCAATAAGACTTCAGATCCGGACTTTATCAACCTCGATGCCTGTACTTCGTCACGCGCCAAAGGGTGATTAATGCAGGGCCGTTATTGTGCGCAAGGGAATATCTTCATGTTTTTCACAGTGATGAGACGCCGGATTGGTTCTACAAAGCCTTAGTTTGGGGATTAAGTCGTAGTGCATGTGGGTGTTGGAGATTCGTTTCACTCTGTGATGTTGGGCCGGTGATAACGGCGGTTGAGAATGATCAACTAGCGGTGGCCCATGCATTGTTGGCGTCCATTTCTAAAGCGAAGCGCCAGGGGTCGTTGTTGGTTCTTTATATGCTTATCGTGTAAGTTGACCTGCAGCCGTTGTCATGGTTTTGACAGCGTTTGAGATTGATCTTGGCAGGAAGACGCTGAACTCCATATAACCGCCGTTCTAGATTTTGCTTCTAAGCGAAAAACTTGGCGATGCGATGTTGCATCATCTTAGATCTGGTATAAGCGCCAGGTTTAGTAGTTGAAATAGATTCATGACCCTGCTCAGAGAGATACAACCATGCTGTGTGATACAAAAACGAGGCCTCCTTTACAGTTCCCTTCTTTCGACTTCGTATATGTTAGATGCTTGTATAATAGCCGAAGATCGTATACGACCCTAACTTCTTTGAGTCAGTCTAAAGTACCACCACATATGGTCACATTCACAAATTGCCTAGAACATCTCCCAATGCGACTTGTAGTTTAGTCGAGGTGCAAGGTGATAGAAGTTAAGAAAGAAACACGCCACTCATTCTCTCTCGAATACTCTCATACAAACGAAGCCAGATAATAAGCTTGACGTAAAAAGTTCAAGGAGATTAGTTACACTAGAGGGATGGTGTTGGGCCACGAGTGGTGGCAGACAATTACAGGAACTGCTTTATGGAGGGATATCGGTTTACCTATTCCTCACGCTTGATTTACCATTTCACCTTTCATCCTTCTTCGAGTATAAATATACGTCGTGGTTTCAATTACCAAGCCTCTCAAGTATAAAAACTTAAGTTAATGATCCGTACGGCATTTGAATTCCTATACCTTGAAGGCCAGAAGAAGGAACATGGCCAGTAACAGTTTAGAAAACGCGAGGAATTTCCTTCGCTACTGCCTACTAGGTAGTTACCTCCTCAAGTCATCTTTCCCAATGTTCCTCCTGCCCCGAAATTTTTGAGATGTACCTGATTCCGCTCAAAGTCTGCCGGCGGCAGGCACCATGGGGTAGGATGGGCAATGAATCACTGTGCCTACACGGTCCAGGCAGGTGCAGCTTCCCTAAAACCATTTGGCGGAAACTCCAACTGGAAGCCGCATCATAAACACCTTCCAACATTTATGTCGGATAAATGTTGGAGGGACGACTGAGAGGAGAAGGAGGATACGAGCAAGCCTAAGGTTTGGGGAATTTCTTAGCTTCTCTGCCAACTCAGGCTGTCATTTTCAACTTCTTCACATCACCCCTCTACTCAGAGTCAACGATACCCTTTTTACACCACAACATAACAGCGATCTTCTTTTTTTTATAAGCCGTGAGGTCTAGCTGGCCTGTCAGCTAGACGGTCGCCGATGACCGCCTCACCAGACCCGAGACCCAGAGCGCCATTCAGTAGAGGCAGCAGCCTGATCTCTTTTCGACATGTTGAAGATGAAAGAAATTTCGAAAAACTCGGATCGGCCATCCCAGACTCTCAGGCCGCTCCTGTTACACTTTGGAATCAGCTTCATCTCAGGAGGTTCTCGGTACCAAGAGAGGAGGTTTCGACATCAACAATGGCCGAAGGGTTCTGCTTTGCCGAAAAGAAACCTCCTCGCCCTGGACAGTTCTCGCGGAAACCTAAACCTGAGCAGCCTCAAGCAGCTGGTAATTCCCAATTCTTCCCTATGCCAACAAACATTCCTGCTGAACACTCTCCACCCAGTGCACTACGCGCTCCTGTCCAGATCCATAGGCCTGCGGCACCTTTAGATCTCCCTGAGCTTGGTCTAACAAGGGGCAAAGTTCCCTCTGAGAGATCCTCTCATTTTTACGATGAAAACCTCACAGGTCGGTCGGATAATTCTTCGAGTCACACCCCAATTCCATTGGAGAAACATTCTACACGAGAAAGCCCTGGTGAAGCATCAGTCATCTGTATCGATAGCTCTGAGCTCTCTCATGAAAACATGCCGGAAGCTTCTAATATAAACGCACCACCTCCAACAGAAATTGGATCTCTCTTTGATGATTCTCGCTTCGGTAAAGAGGCTACCAAAGCTCAAGTTTCTCAACAGGTGGAAAAACAAACGAAGATTTCTCCGCCTCACATCAAGGGCCATGGTAAGTTACGAATCACGAGGTTCAATGGTCATTCCCGCTAAAGCTCAAGTCTAGGGCACCGACTAGAAGATCTAAAACTTCCCCTTCCACATATTACGCGTGTTGACCGAGTCTTGCATCAAGAGCCCTCCTCCAGTGTTTGTGGTGACCTGGAGACCCCTGTTCCCCGGACTCCCATGACCACTACAAAGTCTCGAAATCGTGTATCCCGTGGTCACTGGGCGACTCAGCCCCCATCGGCATCTAAATACCATAGAGTGTCCGACAGGAACGATGATCGCCCGACTTCCAGGAGCAGCAATATCTCCAGAAAACGCTCTGCTAAACAGAGAGTCTATCCTCGACCAACGTTTGAATCTGATCGAAAGAAAATTGCAATGCAGAACGTGGCTGAATACTGGAATGAGTGTATACAGATCACCGAAGCTGAGCGTCAGGAGGCCCTTCAAGAGATTACACTTCTTGAGGGTAAGTTGCAGCACACTAAGAAGGCTTTAGACAAGTCTCTGCAACTCATATCGGAAAAAGATTCCGCGATTGGAGATTCGAAGAGTCGCCTTGATAAGTTACAAGAAGAAGGATCTCTGACGGAAAAGGAAACTCAAAGATTACAGTGTGAGATTGAGTCTCTTCGCTCCGACTTAATCAAATCTCGAGATCGCGAGGCAGCCACTCATGAAAAGTATCGCAAACACCGGGCAAAGCTTAATGAAGCTATCAAAGAACAGCAGGATCTCTTCTCACGGGCTCGTGGTCTTCACAGAGAAGCGAACGATGAGCTGCAAAAGGAGAGAGACAGGCGCGAGAAAGAGGCCAAAGCAGTTGAGCTAGCACTGGAGGACAGTCACAGGAAGCGCGAAGAACTCAAATCTTGCATTGAAAAGTATCGATCTGAGTCTGAGCAAGAAGCACAGAAACGTAATATCACCGATTATGTTGTATCGCAACCAGAGACTGACTGTATTGCTTAGAAAACCACACAATTTCCGAGCTGCAACTGAGGCTTGAAAATCAGGAGAAGGAAATAAATCGACAAAGAGAAGCAGCGACTGAACTTCAGAACCGTCTGAAAACGGAATCAAGCTTGCTGGATGAGGTGAAAACGTTCCGTTCTGATATGTCCTCACTAAAGGAAAGCAACGAGAAGTACAATGAGTGGAGTGAGAAACAGGGAAGGCTAACAGACACCCTTTTGGAGAAGTAAGTCAACATATCTCCTGAATGGATCTTGCTAACCAACGTGTAGACTCGAGCTGATGAACAATCATTTGGAGTCTCGCAGTGATGGTCAACTGACGAATGAAGAGGTCAAGATGATGGCGGATAGGTTAGAAACGAACATTGTCTCCCGGTATGTGATTCTTATCTCTCATTTCATTTCCTTCATGCACTAATCGAGCTTCCAGTTTGATGTCTGAGATACAGAAGATTATCTCGTCTCAAAGCGATGCAAAACAGTCAGCCGGATCTCTTCAAGACACCATCCAGGAGCACTTCGAGAAGCTGCATAACAACATAGCCGATCAGCAGGAGACTCAATCGAAAGGCCAGAAGTGGCATGAGAAAACACACCAAGCTCTTGTTGAGCATCTAGGCGACATTTCTGCCAAAACTCTCGCGACCCAGAAGACCTGCGACGAAACAAATAAAAACCTAGCCAGACTTGCTACTCGTCATTCAGTTTGGCAAGAAAATCTCCCAACTCATCTTGGTGATGAGATCGCAAAACAGCTTCAAGACCGTGAATCAAAGATCGGGGAACTGGAGGAAACCTTGCAGCAGATCTCTCAAGAATGGACTAAGAAGCTCGATCTCATGAAAACTTCCATGCATGAGAACGACGAACAGGCCAAGGAATACTTGCAGGCAACTATTTGTGAGATCAAAACTACACTCACGAAAAAGCTTGAACAGGAAAGGGTTGCTTCGGAGAAAGACATTTCCAAGTCTGAAACCATGCACGCCATAGTAGCGGCACATCTTCAACAAGTCAAGATGCAACTCGAAGGAATGTCATCAAGTGGTCCAGAATCTCAGTTGTTGCGCGAGACGTTGGCTGAAGAACGTAAGAAAACTCACGATCTACAAAATCAGCTTGCTACTCTGGAGGGCAACTCAGGTGTAAATGGAGAACTATTCCAGAGACAACTCCAAGATCTCAAAGCAATCGATGCTTTGAAGAACCAGCTAGAAGGGATGACCGAGCGGGTTCCTCGGGTTGAAAGTCTAAACACGACATTCAACAAAATGGTTGATCTCAATCAGGTAATGCAGTCTACCGCTTTATACCTGAGCAAAGAACGCCATTGGGTCAATGAGCAACTGGGTATCACATCGCAACCTGTCGGCGTCCATGCACCACGGCAGAGAGAGACTGGAACTCAGTCGGCTTGCTTTGATGAGCAACGCTCGGAAGAGTCTAACTCGTGTGTTCAAGAGAAGAGTGCTGACACGAAGGGATCAGCAAGTCTAAGTGGCCTCACTACTCTTGATTTACATTGCCAGGGAGAAAGATATCGTCGTAAAGTCGTCGTAGCCAGCCCGGCATTGGAAGCATCTTCACCGGCGACCGCCCCGTCGGTAACACAAGAGCAAGCGAGGCGCCGAGAAGGCTCCAATCCTCGATCTATCCTACGGCTTTCGACTGCCTCGACGCAGGAAACCGAGCCTGTCAGGCCACCTGTAAATCATAGTCAATACAACAGGCCTGTGATGGCTAAAGTCAATTCGGCTACAGGCTGTAGCAACCCCGAGATGGTTGAACAGATTCTGTCGGGTTTAATTCAGTCAAAGCCTGCACGTCTTAACTGGGACTTCCCTACTATGGAGGATTTTGCCAAAGAAATTCTGCCAGATGGCAAGGATGACGGTAGTATCGGGAAAAAGCACAGTATCTCCTTTGTGGATGAGGAAGAGGATATCGCCTATCCCGTTAAACGAGTCAAGTTGGACGAAGCGCCAGCCGACTCGCAACCCGAGAGTACAGAAGAGTACAGACAGACCTTTGTTGCTTCGAACACGCCATGTGATCCGAAAGACGTACTCGAAGCAGTCTAACTAATATGCTTACAAACGCAAAGACTGCAGGCAATCATCATGATGTAGTAATATCATAGGCCTGGGGACTGCGCAGGTTCACCAATCACTAGACCTATCAATTCTGAGGGAGCATGGGCGACCAAAACTTGAAGGCTCAACTTTGTAGAAGAATTATGGTAGGCATCTGGCGATCTGAAAAAGACAATGTGTAAATAGTGGATGGAACAACAATTTGCACCTTATCATTTGTACCCAAATACCTAGACAGAGCTCGCACACAAGGCAGGCACAGTAATATGATAGTCTGGTCGTTAAATTTAGTGGCATACGAATGCAGCCATATCATCAGGACGATATTGTGGTCTATGTTGTACATGTATAGTCGCATTTCGAAGAGGGAGGATCCTGATGCCCAAAACTCCAGTGATGCTCTTTAGTGTAGTGTTACATGGCGCGTACGTCGTGGCTTGCAGTTAAAGAGCCAAGTCTAGCTCACGCAAGAAACTCGATTGTTGGGTTCTTGTATCGAACAAGGTATGATGGAGCGAGGTTGGGCGGCTTTCACTTCCTCTTTTTGGTTTCGAGGAACAACACCTTCTTACGCACTGCCATTGACAGAATTAGCTGATGGTTCCAGGTATTTTCAGTATGTCAGGCCGTACCGATGGGATCGTATTTTAACATGCTCATCATGGGTGCGGTTCTGGGACGCTTGAAGGTATAGAAGAAGCCAGTCATGGCCATGGAGACGAGGCGCGCATGCACCAGGCGAGCCTTGGCTATAAGAGAAACGAGTCAGCAACAGCCTAATTGAGTCATCGTGAGAGTATGTGCCTACCCTTCTTTGCCATTTTAATTGACGTGGATCAGATGGCTTGATCTTGCTGTACGTCAGTCGCCGTGATAGTAGAGAATTTACGGATACTGGCGACGTTAGGCGGCTGTCGGCAAAACGTAGCGCCGTAATGCCCACTGCCATCCACATTTAACCCCCACTAACCTTCTCGGTGAGTAGGAGAGCTGCAACATTCACCGAGAACTTTGACTCGAAAATATGGTTGACCAATGAGAAGCTGTGTGTTTAAGGTGTTGTACCTTATCTGACATTATTGTATTAGCTGTCTTCCCACACAAGCTTAGGTACCGGTAGCTATCGCGACATGGCTAAATGCTGCATGGTATCACTATACAACCAAGACATTTGGGGTAAGGATCCATTGGTTCTGAGAAGATTACTGTACTTGATCCGAGACCGGTGGTTTCGACTATTTAAACCCTTGCACACAATGTCACCAACCACGATATCGGGCAAATTCTTTGAGAGACAACCTCAACAAGCGGTATAAAAAGCCAGAACGTACTCATCCCAAGCATCTCAGAGGTGAATGTTGCACAGAGATTATCTAGGTAGCGTGCGTTTGATCACCCAAGCGTGACCATCTCAATCTTGGCTCTTACAACCCCAACAAGGTCATTGCCCCTCTTTGACTTGAACACATTGTTTCGCTCTGTTCTCTCTATTTCTCGTCAACAATCACAATTGCGGCATCGGATCTGCGGTGACTCCCAGATATATCTGCGCCCTAGAGCTCCCAGTCACGGTTTACCCGCCACGGGAATAAGCGAGACCTAACAGCGGCGAGGTGATAGCGTTTTGACGGGATCTTATATGATCTCCTAGCTCAAAAGGTAGTGAGTAGCTTTATCTGGCCAGACAACAGAGTAACTTTCGCTTCACAATCAGTCTCTGGCTTCCCAACCTTCTAATCCTTGGGTGTTTTTTTTTTTCTTCTTGCACGTACTTATATTTTGAACGGCAGTTCTTTCAACTACCATCTCAGCAGCTAGCACCCTTGTTTCGTTCCGCATCAAAGCTCCACGCCTCCACAGCTTCGGCCGGGACAAGATACCACAGAATATTATTTCCTGGCGTCAACATCTAATGCTAGCCCGTCGAAATCCCGTAGCATCGGTCCGCTTCGGCCAGACGCTGCGATGTCAGCCGCCTTTAAAATCTTCGAGGTTGGCTGCTAGCCCCGAGGTCAACGAGCCCGGTCAACGATGTGCGAGCACCCTGCGGCCCGCTTCCTCAGGTACGTTTTTCTGAGAACTTCTATGGAAGATTTCTCTGGGTTTTCTTTATCGTCTCGCCCAATTGCGTGTTTTTGCTTTATATACATCTGCGCCCCAGTCTGCAGGGCCGGTCCGGTCCCAGTGAAACGGGAGCGAGGTGCTCTTGGAAGATGATCTAGGAGACAAGGCAAAGAAAGGCAGCCGAGAGATATGGCGCAAGGCACTACGTTCGATTGGATCTCTTATAACTGTCTTTCATGGCTTTTGTTGCAGCTGCACTGTCATTACCCCTGCACCTTGTTATCCATGTTCTGTTTCAACCTATTACGTTTTATCATGCCCTTTTCAGCCGCCTCTTTTTCACTTCTGATATGAGAGCGAATGCCGAAGAGCGGTATTGTACCCGAGATAGAGTCCGGCTGGTCTCGGGAGCTCGAGTGCCTATTCTGCTGCCGTGTAGCTCTTTCTTGTTATCAATATTCGGAGCCTTCCGATGGCCTCGGACAAAGTGCCCGGAGACCGGGAGAGAGGATATCATGAATTCCAGTCATGGTCATGTGCAGCAACCAAAATCGGCGCCAGTTGCGTCTGTATGAGTCTGAGTCTCAGTCTGAGAGTCTGTGCCCTCCCGGGGTCCCGGCTCCGGACCTCGAAAATCAACCCCAATGTCCAATTTGGAGCACCCTTGCTTGTCTCCAGGTCACCCACGCTCTCTCCACGCTCTCCCCCAAAGCGCCCCGGATGTCGTCCGTTGATCGGATTGGGTTGAAGCCATTCAATTTGTCTACCTCGTCATGGACAATGCGCTCAGGTCATGCAATCACAAGCAAAATGCGCTGATTTTGGGGACCCCATGATTTGATCTTACTTGAGGTGTTTGTCTACAACAGCACAATCTGCATCCACTCCGGGTCTCCATCCGTCCCCAGACGTGGATTGCGCTACGGCCCAAGGTTACGATGGCGATGGCGATGTGTGTTGTGTGAGTGGGTGAGAGTGGGTTAGTTAGTGAAGGGTTTTTGGTCTTTTCTTTTCTTTGCTCTGCTTTTCATTAGTAACATCCATCTGCTACCATGTCCGCATGCTTTTGTCTACATGGGGATTTCTATTAGACATTAGTTCTGAGCCGAGTCTTTTTCTTGTCTCGTCTCGTCTCGTCTTGTCTGCCTGGTCTATTTGTATCAGGCTCTACCCTCTCTTCCTGACTCAGTCGAGTTTCTTCTTTCTTCGATCTTTACCTAGTTCACGATACCCTCTTACACCGACAATAGTGTTGTTCTGGTGTAATACTCTCTCATTGTATGCTCCTCTCCTCCCCCTCCTCCTCCTTTCTCTTACCGGGTATCTATCTCATCCTTGTCTGATACCTACCTCACCTCACCTCACTTCTTCACCTTGCTCTCTCCCCTTGACGCAAAACTCAGGCCTACAAAAGCACTGACAATTTGCTTGATTTGGTTTATAAATATTGGATGATTCAATTGCTAACTCGTTCGACTTTTTTGGTATCTACACAGACTATAAGATTAACCCCCGTGCTTGCGCTTGGAGTAAATCTATTACTGCCACATCTACCCCGCGACCCTTACTCACCCCGCCAAAAAGTTCTGCTTCTACTACTACTACTCCCCACTACCATCGTCACCTTTATCCTTATACCTCGATTTCTTCTTCCTCTACCTCATTCTTCTCTACTTATCCTGCCAAAATGAGATTGACTTCAGAGAACATCAACCAGCGAGTCGTCGCTGCCAAGTACGCCGTTCGTGGTGAACTTGCTGTCAAGTCCGAGGAATACCGAGCCAAGATCGCAAAGGGCGATACCGGCGATCTCCCCTTCAAACAGGTTATTTCTGCAAACATTGGCAACCCTCAGCAGCTCGACCAGAAGCCCATCACCTTCTTCCGCCAGGTCGCCAGTCTTCTCGAGAACCCTCTACTACTTCAGAACGAGGAGGCCCTTACCAAGCACTTTGGCTACCAGACCGATGTGATCGAGCGCGCCAAGTTCCTCCTGAGCAAGATCGGCTCCGTTGGTGCCTACAGTGCTAGCACTGGTGTTCCTGCTATCCGCGATAGCATCGCCCAGTTTATTGAGCGTGGGTTCTGCTGTCGCATCTGTTTCTGCTGTGTTACTAACTTGTCTCAGGTCGCGATGGCTTCCCTGCAGATCCCGATCACATCTACCTGTCCGCCGGTGCCTCCTCTGGTGTCAACACCCTTCTCAACGTCATCTGCGCCTCTCCTAAAACCGGCATTCTCATTCCAATTCCTCAGTACCCTCTTTATACTGCCACTCTCTCCCTCTTGGACGCCACCGCTGTTCCTTACCTCCTTGACGAGCATAAGAACTGGGGTACCGACGTCGACACCATCCGTGCCTCATACGAAAAGGCCAAGGCTGACGGCATTGACGTTCGATGCATTGTTATTATCAATCCCGGTAACCCTACCGGTGCCTCTCTTCCCGAGGAGGACATTCGTGCTGTCCTTGAGTTCGCCAACAAGGAGAACCTAGTTGTTATGGCCGACGAGGTCTACCAGACAAATGTCTTTGTCGGCAAGTTCCACAGTTTCAAGGCTGTCCTCCGCACCCTTGAGAAGGAGAACCCCGGCAAGTTTGACGGCCTCGAGCTCGCCTCTCTTCACAGTGTCTCCAAGGGCATGGTTGGTGAGTGTGGTCACCGCGGAGGTTACTTTGAGCTTGTCAACTTCGATGCTGAGGTTGAGGCCAACATCTACAAGTTCATTTCCATCATGCTCTGCGCCCCTGTTATTGGTCAGTGCATCGTGGAGTTGATGGTCAACCCTCCCAAGCCGGGCGAGCCCTCACACGAGCTTTACAAGAAAGAGTACGATGGCATCTTCACCGGTCTTCAAGAGCGTGCTACCGCCCTTCACAAGGCTTTCTCTCAGATGGAAGGGGTTGAGTGCGCCGAACCCCAAGGTTCCATGTACCTCTTCCCCACCATCAACCTGCCCGAGAAGGCCGCCGAGGCTGCCAAGGCAGAGGGTCGAAGCCCAGATGAGTTCTACTGCATGCGTCTCCTCGAGGCCACTGGTATCTGTGTCGTTCCCGGCTCAGGCTTTGGTCAGAAAGAGGGTACCCTGCACTTCAGAACGACCTTCCTCGCGCCCGGCACCGAGTGGGTTGGCAGCATCGTGAAGTTCCACAAGGAGTTCCTCGAGAAGTACCGATAAAGCATCAGTCGCAGTTGGGCAGTATCATCACCGTGAGTCGAACCCCCGCTACGCCTGTCGCAAAGCCGGACTTGGAGCGGGGCCCAGGGGTTCGGCACAGAGCGACGATGTGGCGTGCGGAGGAGAAAGAGATAAAATCTAGGATTATTAAACAGGAAATCATTTTGCATAGTTTAGCGCCTTATTAGGTATTGGATAGACAGAAGTTCACCAATCTAGCATTTTTGTTGTATGTCAATATGGCGTGTCCCACCTCGATCAAGACTGTAAACATACCGGAACATAACAGAAATCCGGGGTAGCCATGTACTGTTGATCTTTCGATTCTGACCCTTGCTTGCATGCGCAGGTACCAGTGAAGAAGACTGGGGTAAATCGATTCTTAGCTGTATGCTTAACATCATATCATTCAAACACATGCAGCTAACTCCGCAGTTGTCACCTCGGTGTGGAAGGGGGGCAATATCAGATCAGCCCATTTTTCTGGCTCTCCTCACCGGAACCCAGCCAATCTATTACCGCAATGGCTTGTCTAATCCATAACATAACATATCATATCTGTACAGTCAAGTAAATAGGTAAAGGCATGGGCTTATTCTCTATCTCTTCGCTTTATCCCCCACTACGGCATGACAAAGCCAAGCACCAGCTTCCTCATCAATGAATCGCCTCATTTATGCCCTCTCACTACCCCTCAGTCGCACAGCCTGGCCGTACTTTTGTAGTTTTGTGATGAGCTGATCACCCTGTCGCACAACATCCTGGTACTGCTTGTTCTTGTCATCGGGGCGGTTTGTCTCGATCACACCCTTGCCTGTCACGCGATCGATGGTGCAGGGGATACGTCCAGCAGCGATGAAGCGGGCGAGATCACTAGTAGAGAATCAGTCAGGTTGTGTTCATTCGTGAGATTGCGTAACGTATGACATACCGATCGAGGAAGTCAACAGTGACTCCGAAGTCATTGGCCATGCTCTCCAGGCCAACAACTCTGTAGCTTTGAAGAAGCTGCTGATAGGCGCGAAGTCGCATCTCCCGAATAAACCAGTTCTTGTGCTCATGAAGATAGCGATCCTGGTTTAGGAACTGCTCCTCGACCTCGGCGAGAGACTTGAAGAAGGTCTTATAGTTTCCGTTGTACAAACTACTAACGAGCAGCGCTAGAGGGCTAAAGTCAATGGCCATCTCAGCTTCAGGTTGCTCCGTGCTGGTACCCAACGTGGTCAGGTTGACAGCAGCGGTGGCCGTCTTAGGAGCCTTCGCACCAGTAGTGTCATCAGCACCAGGGCCAGCACTGAGGGCACCACTGAGAGCAAGAAGCTTGTCCTCACCATCACCCAGAATAGCCTTGATTTCAGGTGCGTCTACAACCTTGGACTTGAAATCGACTCGCTTGAGGGATACTGAACCAGCAAGAACGGAGTACACGACGAGGTTGGAGTAGGTACAGAGTTCATAACTGGTGAATGTGGAGAGAGAGTCGAGCAGTAGAGGCGCAGCGAGGTTGTAGGAGCGAAGTGTGAGCAGGTGCAGACCCTCGTAGGCCTTGAGACGGTTGCGGCGGTCCCAGTCACCGCCTGATTCGACGAGGGACTTGGCGCGTTCGACGTGCTTCTTGACAAGAGGTTTGTCGCCATAGAAGAGACCCATGCGTATTATGGCGAGGACGAGGTCGATCTTGGTACCGAGGATACCCGTCTTTTCGGAGAGGCTCTCGTAGGCGGCAATGGCCTTGTCCTTGGTGAGTGTTAGCGGGCGAACTCAATTTGCTGCTAGAACCTGAATTTCTGTGTGAGAACAAACATACCTTGTCTCCTACACGCGCCCAGAACTCGGCTCGCCTCCCCTGGGCAGCCATGACTTCGGTGTCACCAGCTTGCTCAACAGCGTCATCCTCCTCTTTCTGGAACTCTTGCAGCTCCCGATCATTATCTTCCTTCAGCTGGTTGTAAAGGCCCTCGTCCCAGGGAAGACTGATAATGGTAGCGGCAGGCTTAGTAGCAATCATTCCAACAAGACTGGACTTTCTGCTGAGAGGTCGTCCAGGAGCGGAAGAGCCGCCCTCACCAAGAGTGTTGAGGACGCCGTCGAGTGGATGGGCCAGATATCGATAGAAAGGAGCCATCTTGTCCTGGGCGATAGCATCTTGAAGAGCCTTTACAGCGGCTTGTTGCGCATTTTTAGTGGCATAACCGTTTGTGAGGGTGAAAACGTGCTGCGATAGAGGCAGCAATGGCCATTTCGCGTACTGGGGGTCGGAACCCATGATGGCGACGGTCGCTGTCGTCGAGAGTGTGTGATTGTTTTAAGCGCAGAGTGCGAAATCGGTAGTTGTCCAGAACTCGAGGATGATGACGTTATTCGCTGTTGGCTGTTGTAGTTGATGTTGTTGTGGTTTGGCGGATGGATGACGAGAGAAGCTCAGAGATAGGTCAGTAGAGCTTGGTGTTGAGCAGGTACAGCAATCCAATGACAATTGGATTGGATGGCGAGGCGACAGTGGGGGTCTTCTAGGCGGCTTTGTGCTGCAAGGCTCCAGCGGGACACGCACTGATGGACTGGTACGTACCTCGAGCACTCAGCTCAACTTTTACCAAGCTCACCTCATTGAGCGAAGGAATTGGTAAGAATGAGTTGCACGGTGATAATTCTCAGGTTGTGCTTCAGCCTCACCTGATGCTTGGTAGCCAATTGCATAGCAGAAGACCGTCAAGTGTTCAATAATTCCTCAATTCTTTGCTATATCTGGCATTGCTGAGGTAGTAGTAGTCTGGCAATCAAATACGTATACAACACTGCCAACTTTGTCTAGTTCCCTAAGCGAGATACTCTCCCTTTTCCTTTTGACTTAGCCTAGCCTGACTAACATGACATTAGATTGATCTAAATGTAAAAAGGTAATAGCATTCTCTGTAGATACAGAGTACTTAATAAGTTATCATTTCATTGAGTTGCAACGGCAGAAAACCAAGAGGTGCAGGGTAGGCTGTTACAACTGGACCGCATGGTCCAAGCACCCTTACACCACTGCAACACTGAGATTAGATACAGAACTTGCATCATATCCATTTCCCTTTCAATCCAATAACTTCAACATCCAACTTCGCATCTACCATTGCAATATCAATCGACACATATATCACGAAAAGCACGATTGAAGCTGTCAGAAATGGGCAGAGACTCTGATCGCGACGACGGCGATGAGCGAAACCACCGCAAACGCCCTGCCAACGACGAACCTCAAGATGATCTACCCCAACCATACAACGCCAAGTCACTTCAGCCAGCAAAGCGGCGCGCCCTCTCGCCATCAGAACAACCTCGAAAGCTGAAGCGCCCCGGTGCGCGTGCGCGTATCTCAGAGGCTGAGCGTGAAGCCATTCGACAGCGCCAACTCGAGCGAGAACGCGAAGCTGCTGCTGAGGAAGCCGCCGAAGCTGAACAGGAGAGGATCCGAAACAATAGTGACCTTGTGCGACACCACTACAACAACGTACCAGAGCGTGGTCGCGACTGGAGAACAAGAGACAGCAAGATCAAAGGACTTCGTGTTTTCAACAATTGGATCAAGAGCTGCATCATTCAGCGTTATTCACCTGATGAAGACCACACCCCTGGTTCGCGCGAAGCTGGACGCTCCAGTGGCAAGGACCTACTTGTACTGGATATGGGATGTGGAAAGGGCGGCGATCTCAACAAATGGCAGCAGGCTCCCCAGCCAATTCAGCTTTATGTTGGACTCGATCCCGCTGACGTGAGTATTGAGCAAGCTCGCGACCGCTACCGTACACTGGGTAGCCGTGGCGGGCGAGGCGGACGAGGCGGACATCGACGACCGCCACCGCGCTTATTCGACGCTCGTTTCCACGTTAAAGATTGTTTCGGCGAGTCCATTGAGAACCTCGACATCATCCAACAAGTCGGCTTTGACCCTTCGCCCATGAATCGCCGAGGTTTCGACGTTGTCAGCATGATGTTCTCTATGCACTATGCTTTCGAGTCGGAGAAGAACGCGCGCAATATGCTCCGCAACGTCGCTGGAGCACTCAAGAAAGGAGGACGTTTCATCGGCTGCATCCCTAATTCTGATGTTCTGGGCGAGCGAGTCCGCAAATTCAACGAGGAGGCTGCTGTCAAGCGTGCAGCAAAGCAAAGCGAAGAAAAGAACGGCGATGGCTCGACAACACCGCAACAAACAGAGCCAGAGGATGGCGAGCTGGAAGAGGGCGAGGAGGAACCGACTGCTGAATGGGGTAACTCGATTTACCGCGTGCGCTTCCCGGGAAAAACACCTGACGATGGCGTCTTTCGACCTGCCTTCGGCTGGAAATACAACTTCTTTCTAGACGAAGCCGTAGAGGAGGTGCCTGAGTACGTGGTACCTTGGGAGGCCTTCCGTGCTCTTGCCGAGGACTACAACCTTGAGTTGCAGTTTCACCGCACCTTTCCTGAAATCTGGGAGGCAGAGAAGGATGACCGCGAGCTTGGTCCCCTGAGCGAGCGCATGGGCGTACGGGAGCGTGGTGGAGGCCCTCTTCTGGTATCTGATGAGGAGATGGAAGCTGCTAGTTTCTACGTCGGTTTCTGCTTCTACAAGGTCTAATAATTTCTGTACCGGTATAACACATTGAGGGTGGTATCATGGGCTTGGTGTTGAGGAGTTTGGCTCATATATAAGAGAAACGACGCCACTATCCCTAGGGCAAGTCGATCAAAATAAGGAAAGACGATGTTTGTTGATTATATATCTATGTGATAAATGTTTTTCGGTGGAGCTGGGTATCATGTTTCTTTCTGAATGGTGAGTTTCAACTCCTTCCTATGCAATGCCTGTCCACTTCCCAAGTAACGAACTCCTCCTTCAAAGTCGCCGAGGCCCGGTGAACATCTACTCAACTGTGACACTCATTAAAGAGCATTCGTTGCCCGCCGCCATATCGTCAGAGCAGCAACGCCTGCGCAGGCCGTGGCGCCCAACGCAATGTACAAACTGGTCCGATCAGGCCCCTCCTCATTGCTCCTGGGGAAAGCCGTACTAGGATTTGTAGCGGCATCTGCAAAAGCTACAAAAAGCTCACTGATGCTACCCCAGGTGACACTCACATGTAACGGCAGGCTCATGTTGAGTGAGGCAGTATATTGATCTGGCTGAAGTTCGCAGCGTTGGTTGGTCTTGTCTTTATCGGCCTTGAGAGCAGTATAAATTGAGGGGAGCTCATCAAGGTGCGTGTATTTGTTCCGCAGATCAACGATATGCGAGAACGAGTCGGGGTCAGACGAGTCATAGGCGTAGCAAATAAGATCGCAAGCATCTAATTTGGCCGGGTTGTCAAGGATTGCAGGCTCCAGCTCCCCAAGCTCTTCCAGAATGAGATACACTTGCTTTCCGCCAGGCAGCTCGACACTGTTGACAGCGCGGCGTGGCTTGATGGTCGGATGGTAAAGACCATCAAACGGGCGGTTGAGGAATGAGTCGAGGAGAGCGGATTTGCCTGCTCCTGATGCACCAAGAATGTAGCAGAGGACCACGTTACGCTCAACCCGACCAGGACGTCTTCTTCTCTTACGAGGCTTGGTTATCTTGAGTGCCGCGGTGATGGGTTCCTTGGGATTCGGAGGCTCAAACCCAAGATATGCAAGATATTCAATAGTTGTCTTGGGTTCGATAAATGTTGTCATACTCCATTGAGCCAGCCAGCCCTGTAAAGTGACATGCCCAGCTTCATTCCTTACAGTCGAGGAGGGGAACGACGAGTCGGTCCAGGAACTGGGAAGCCCTGGAGCTGGGGCAAACAGAGCCTCGAGCTCTTGATCATTGAGACCACCATCATTGTCCTTGTCAAATAGCAAGAACAGATCCACAAAGAATCTATAACCAGCAGGACTCAACTCGGCCGACGAGTACTCTGGAACATCGAACTTGGGTCGAATAAACTTGTCCTCGAGACTGAGACTATCAGTGTAGTGATATTTTCGAAGGATAATCCAGATAGTCTCATGGCGACCCTTCTCAGCATAAAGCTTATTTAATTGCAGGAATCCTGGCAGGTCAATGCCTTTTTCTAAATCGGACGTGGGCAACGATTTCGAGATACTGAGTTTGATATTGTCTAGATCGTCCGCTGTTAGAGGTTTATCGAAGCAGCGTGCTTGGAAGTCTCTCATTTCTTGTTCATTGAGATATCCGTCCTGATCTTTGTCGCAAAGATAGAATATGCGCCTCAGCGCATCAACGCACAGAGGCTTGAGATGCCCCTCCTTGTAGTCAAATAGAGGGGCAATCGGATGAGTTACAGCCTTTTGACAAAGGAAAAAGACTTCGTTTACGTTTCGATGGTCTCGGGCGCTGGTGCGGATGCAAGAATCGATTTCGCGGAATTCGGCCATCACAGGTAACAATTCCTCCTCGACTACCTGAGGTGTGGTACCCTGACCAGCCAGATCGGATTTGTTGGCACATAATACGACGGGGACGTTGACACCGAGGGATCGGAAATATGGCATCCAGAACAGTGCTACTCTTTCGTAGCTGTAATGATCGGCATAGACGAGGAGGATGACATTGCACTTTCGGATCTCTTTGCGCAATGTAGTTCGGTCTTGCGGGCGAGCTGAGGTATCGACGATCGTTGTTGAGACATTCTCGGGAGTACCAATACTAGGAGGAATAGTGATTTGAGGAAGGACGGGCTGGATTTTGTTGTTGACAAATTGATCTTTGACGAGAGAAGCGATGAGGCTCGATTTGCCGGTGCTTTCATCACCGCAGACGCAGATGCGCACTGCGCAAGGAAGGTTAGTCATTTGAGCAAGGTAGTGATGGCTATAGACAGTTGTTGGATTGAAGAGCTCGCAGTGGAGTTGGAGCTAAGTTAGTTGGAGGTTGTTCGTACCGGCGGCCATGATGGAGGTATTATCGGAGTCTTTGGTGAAAGTATGTCGTCATTAAGGTTCCATGCCCAAGAGGGAACGGAACGGTGGTCTGCTGATATCGTGGGTTCGGTCGGTCGATCGTGGGGAATGAATCAATGGTAGCGGCGGCAACAGCGGAGGTGACAGCAGTTGAATTGGTCAAATTGGAGGATATGGCGATTATTTAGAGATGCTCAAGGGACAATCAAAGTTGGATAGTGCCACGAAAGAAAGAGTCTTGCAGAGAAGATCATCACCTCAGGCCATGTCTCAGTTTTATATGAGAAACAAGACGAGACAAGACAAGACAAGACAAGACAAGACAGAAAGAGCGGTGCAGAGCAAAGCACAGCAGATCAATGCAGAGAAGGGAATAAAATAGGTACAGCAGTCAATATGCAGCTAATTCAAACCAAGTGCCAGACCTAAAATTGGAGTTTGATGGCAGACAAAGAAGTGACGCGACGAGCAAGGATTGGGTGGTTTGAGGGACGATCAATTAAAGATGCGTCCCGCTTTCAGTGAGTGTGTTGTCATGAACCGCCGCCACCGTACGAGCCTGAGCTTTCAGGGAATGAATGACCCCACAGGCCAGGTCCTGGGAGATGATGGTAGGCTGATACCGCCTGGAAGTTGGCGCCTATTCTCGGTTCCTGTACAACTCATCCATCACTTGACGCCCGACCTGCAAGGTAGGTGCTCGGTTCGAGTAGAGTAATATTGGTCGAACATCTAGCTAAGATGAACCATTTGAGTAAGAAATGAGCAAAACACTTCTTTTAATGTGATAGAGTGAGTCTAACACTGGTGGTAAACTAGACAAAGATGCAATCGACTGGATGTCTCTCACTGACCCGTCTGTGATATGTCTCGTTCAGAACATCCAAATCGATGTTCAGCCGATCGAAGGATTCGCTGGATAATAGAGTGGCGCGATTAATGCTTCTCGTGCCATGACAATTCCCAACAGATCTGAATACGTTTATACTGGTGCTAGTAAAGGCTTGGAAACATCAGCAGAGTTTGTATGGGGCCTCTGAAGGCCAACCGACAGTATCAAAGATGTTACTGTACTTTGACGCTGAACGGGAACCGTTGCGCCATGCAGAACCCCTGGCACCAATCCGGAAACTCGGGACATTCAAGTTGATTCATCGAAAAGCGCGCATAGTGAAATACTAGTGACAGAAGAAGTGTGTATTCCGCCAGCCTGTATAAGGTAATGGCTAAATGTCCAAATATTTAAGTCACATCCAATGGTAGGTACCTATCTTACATTTAGCCCTCCACTATCTGGAACCCTGGCCGTTGCAATGGATAGCGTTTTCCCCAGTTTACCCCACACTATCGTCTGCAGTTGCGCCTACGGCTTTCGAGTCCGTTGATCCAAACCCAATCCTCTCATCTCAACCAGTCCTCGGCTATATTCTCCCAGCCTCACAAGTCAACCTCTTCAACTTACTGCGCTACCGACGAGTCCATCTATCGCTAGTTATAGAACTCACCGAGTCTTGCTATTTCAGGGCCATCACTCGCTCTCCAGTGACGTACAGCACCTTCCAATTCCGAACGTCGACTGCTGTGCCTCTCGCCATTCAGCCCTCCTCCGCCTTCGCCTCCACCTCCACCTCCACCTCCATCTAATAGCGACTAAATATCGCGATACCTTCATTCGATCTGTCAATTGTAGAGCTCATTGGAAATATACAAGAATTATTTAAACCGCCATCATGTTGTACGTCCAGTCTCTCCCCCTATTGCGCACAATTTCCTCATGCGCCGGCGTTTGCGCATCGGCTACTCTACGCCCGACACACACTGACACCATGGAATTCCAGTGTGCTACCTCCCCCGCCACGATATCCCACCATGGGGCCTTATGGCGCCGGTGGTATACACCCTGTTCCCATGATAGAGACAAACAATACATTATCGAATCCGACGGGTCCCGAATGGCAATTCCTGGTTGGAGAAGGTAGACAATCACGCTCTAATGCTCTCGTGGTATCTTGACTTATGTAGTGAAACCAATTAGGAACGTATACACTTAAAGAAGACTTACATCTTGCGACACCTCCGCCCCATCCTTCCGAAGCCACCGTCCCGAACCCGAACCCGCTATCGACTCTCCCGCAGCCTGCCAGCGCCGGTACCTCAGTCTCTCTCATCGCGCTTGAGAGTCGTCCGGCTCCAAACTTTCTGTATAGAGGACTCTCTTCGACGACCCTCGCCCTGAGTGGCGCGCCATCTAGTATTCAGGAGCATCCCAACGAGGGCCGCTACTCTGCCGAAGGTGGCAAGACGAGTGAGGAGGGCCGTACCGGTTCGACAAGTGATGCTCAGGCTACCTCCATTACCATTGGTTCTGCACCTGCTTTTGGCGAAGGCAATGCTTTGCTTACCCAGGTGCCGACCAAGGATGTGAACAAGAAGAGAAAGCCCAAGAACAACATGACAAAGAGCAACTCTTCATTCATCTCTCGCGTTATTGTTAACGAAAGCCTGTCTAAGAAACTTACGGAGCGATCTAATGATGGCCTCTTTGCTTTTGCAAATATCAACCGCGCCTTTCAGTGGCTTGACATGTCATCATCATCAAAGGTTCGTGCCGCTGCGAAACGAGGCCATCCTCGGACATCTTGACTAACATCATGAGTAGCAAGACTATTTGACCAAGATTCTTTTCACGAAAGCGCATTGTCTATGTCACGATGTTAATGTTCATACCAAGAGTGTCTCGCATCTGGATGTTATAATGGGCTTCTCAACTGGAGAGGTCATCTGGTGGGAGCCGATCTCGCAACGATATACACGACTGAACAAAAATGTAGGATAGTGCTCAGGATCTAGTATTCGACAAGCAATCCGCTGACAGCATATCTTAGGGCGCAATTAACGGAACACCAGTTGCGGCAATTCGATGGATTCCAGGATCAGAAAACCTATTTCTAGCTGCCCATATGGATGGGTCGCTGGTCGTATATGACAAGGAAAAAGAGGACGCTCAGTTCAACCCCGAAGAGGAAGCAGTTAATGGAAATGCGAATGGGACGAGTGGTGAGTCGTTAGATGCCAGCAATGGCGGAGCTCATCACAATTCTATTCGAATCAACAAGTCAGTGCATTCCAAAAATCAAAAGGTCAACCCAGTTGCCGCCTGGAAGTTATCCAACCATCGAATCAACGCCTTCTCATTCTCGCCTGATAACCGACACTTGGCTGTTGTGTCCGAGGACGGCACGCTAAGAATTATTGACTATTTGAAGGAAGAGTGAGTTCCTGGCACCATATCTCGTTGAGAAGCTTATCTGACTGGGCTGCAAGGCTACTCGACGTGTTCTATTCCTATTATGGAGGACTAACATGCGTTTGTTGGTCCCCAGATGGCCAATACGTATTGACTGGTGGACAAGACGACTTGATATCAGTATGGTCACTGTCGGACTCGGCTCTGGTAGCTAGATGCCAGGGACACCAGTCTTGGGTATCAGCCGTTGCCTTTGACCCTTGGAGATGTGATGAGCGAAACTATCGTTTCGGTAGCGTGGGAGAAGACGGGCGCCTTTGTCTGTGGGACTTCAGTGTCGGCATGCTTCACCGACCCAAAGCGGTATGTGCTAACACTAACATCGACAATGGCGGGAGATGTGATGCTACACGACATTGCACTGTGACATCTTTATTCTACGCCACGTCATTTACACGATTCGATAGCTAACAGTATCTGACTACTATAGCAATCTGTACGACACCGTGGATCTGTCTCATCGCGCTATACGGCTTTGCAGCGGGCTGAGACGGCCACCACGTCCAACTCAAGGTTGCGATCAAACTCGAACCTAGATACCGAAGACGAGGAAATGGCTATCGCACACCCTGTGGAGCCGCGGGCCAGAATTCCTATGCTCCCTCCCGTACTTGTAAGTTTCAATGCGAGGGCTGATGTGTGATAGCTTCAGGTTGCAAGGTGTCGTAAAACTAACGGTGAGACAAACAGAACAAATCAATTGATACCCACCCAGTGTGTTGGCTGGATTTCACAGAGGACGCTATCATGACGAGCTGCAAGTCAGGTAAGCAACACCAAGCCAAGCTCGAGTCGATCTTCCGGTCCGATTGGACTATTGAGATCAACGATCGCTTGTTCCTGGCATACACAAGTGACAAGCTGACATGTGAATCTCCGAAAATAGGACACATGAGAACGTGGCTGCGACCTGGATCGGAGCTTACGGCACAGACCAAGGGAGCAGAAGCCCCGGGAGCAACATCATGATGAACGGATCCATGCTGAGCGATAAAAGCCTTGATGGGCTTCGTAACAAGGGCGCTGGCGAATAGAGTTTCATGATGGGTTTGTTGTCCTCCTTGTTTTGTGATACGCCTGTATAGCGAGATCCAATAACTGCTATACGCAAGGGGGAGTGGTTGTTGTCATTTGAGTCATTGGTTGATTCCAGGGTTTGATAGTTTGAATCTGATGTAGGTATACGGATACTGAGACCGGAAATCCACCTCGGATCTTGTTTTTTGACTGCAGGTTTTTAGCACAGGATCCAAGGTCAACAAATTATTATGTGCCCTTGGCAGCTAAGGAACTTGCTTGGGCACCGGCCGGGATAGGTAGTCAAAGAGTCATATAGCTGTTGGGAAACCGTTTTGGGCTGTCTTGCAGGAGTAATGAGTCGGTCCTATCAATCAGACGTCTCCGTCAAGCCCACATGGTGATGGAGGCTCTTCGGTGATACAACGAGTTGCCGTGTTTGAGGTCCACAATGGCTGCAGGACCCTGATTTTAGATATTCGATTTTTTTTTATCCCTCCGAGAGATACCAGTGGATCTCCAGAGACTAGACTAGCGCACGTAACGATTACATACATCCAATTGCTGCACGTTTCTAGATAAGCAGGAGGCTGAGATATCTCTCTCTCGTGTTGTGAGAGTTGTCAGATTTGCGAGAATGACGAGAGATTGCATTGTGCTGAAGCAACCGAGTGTCTGCTCTATACGAGACGACGTTGAGAGACGCGCATGAAGTTGCGCAACCATGACAATGCGAAATACTGCCATCTCATGTTATCAGATCTTGATTTCTTGATCTCAGTCGACGATCTTCAACAATTTCCAACCTGAGCCACAAATCGATTATTTGTACACATTGTGCACGCACACTAATGCGAGCTTATTGCACGCCCGTTGCTCATCTACCGAGTCGACGGCGTTTGTGCATCAAAGCAAGGACCAGGTCTTGTGAAAGCGTAACTTGAACCTCAAACGCAGAGGGTTGAATCGCTCACTAGCAATAGCTGGTTATCGCGTCTCGACGTGGCTGGCTGGACTAGGGACAGGCATGGAAAATCATCCTTGCAAATCAGGACAAGGGAGGGGAGCTACTCAGCCCACTAACACGGCCGTTGCCGAACCAAACCTGATGGACAAGGGCCAGCCAGGACAGACCATCATGCGGTGGCTGGCTCGCCTGATGGCGTGTGGTAAACATTGGACACCAGCAACAGAGCAGAGAGGTGTAGATATCAGCCGATGATATCTGTATATCGTAAGGATCAGGAAGTCACAGTACTCCAAGAGGCTTCAGTTATTGCCGGAACATGTATCATGAACTTCTTGCGCTGTCATGAGCTTCTCATGAGAAGTCATGATGAGATTTGCTGAATGTTACTTTGGCTACCTTATTGATTTTTTGAACTTGCAGTGACTCATTGAACAGTGAGAAATCATTACTTGGGTACTTAGGTTAGTAGGTTGATTGGCTCGGGAAACAATTGTACATCTGTGCCGTGTCTGATGTGTGTTTGGCGTCTATCGGTCTTGAATTTCCGGACCCTGTCTGCAACAAATCAACCAACCAAGAGCTGAGCTGGAAAACTTTTACGCCTGGCGCGGTGATCACAGAGCTTGCCTACTTTACAAGGCTGATTGCTATCCATACAACGGGTCCGGTACGGTACTTGGAGCTCCCGAATCGAAGGCCCAATTTTCGAGAATAAAAACCTCAACAAAAGGCCCCATCGAATGTTTCCGGTAGGCTTTAGCGAAAATGCGTTGTCGGAGCCTTGGAACTCTATGTGATATACCAGGACACAAGAGGTAACCCGAGCTGCCGAGGTGTAATTACTTGAGGCGGCTTTCTCGATGGCATGCCGACGCAGAGCCGTTGTATCCCCGGAACGTGCATATCGACGCCGAAATCTGGAAGCGATTCCCTTCATGAGATAAAGTTTGAGTACCTGAGGCTGAACTGATGTGGCACCGCCACAGACAAACTGATTAACCCAAAGAGACACAACCGAACTCTTGAGTGGTTCTAATGAGCTAGATCTTCTTGTCGGTGACCCGTCGTCTCGGTGCTTTATCAACGGGTATAGGGGCCGTCGACGGGCGCTTGTTCAATGGAGACGAGCCAAGCTGAAGGCTAGCTCATTAGGCGCGACATGGATGCTGTCAAGGTGTAGTGCACGATGCAGCCAGCCAGCCAGGTTAAGCTGCTTGACTGAAAGACACAGTTAACGGTATCTGTAACCACACGTGTAAAAAGCGAGTTCGTATTTGTTCCCGGTCACTAGTAACCGATAATCAACAAGGACTGTCATGAGGATGGATCCTCGCCATATGCATACATAGTTCAGACTGTTCTCATTTGTCCGGCTAAAGGTGAGCCTGGATTCTGCCTTCCCTGGCGTGATTATTGTGATCTAGATCGAATCACCGCATATATTCGACATGTTTACCCCAATAGTGCTGGGTAGGAATTAACCTCAAAGAGATTCCGGGACAGGGGCCGTTCCGTTCAAAGTCTGGGGCCTCCCAATCCAGACCTGACTATTTCGAGCTTTCAGATGCTCAGTCCATCTTGGTCGGGTATCATGAATTACTGGAGGCATAAGGGTGTCGTAGGAGTGGTCTCGTGCCGTGCCCCCAATTCTAAAACTGCATGTTCCGTATTTGTCCAGTGCATGTGCCAATCATTGTGCTATGGCTGAGAATCATATGATAAGTAGCAATTACTGCCGTGCGCGCAAAAGATCATCAGAATACTAAGTAAGTTTCATCAAACAACTTGTATGGCGACAAAGGCGTCAGTTCCCACAATGGGATAATGTGACAAATATGGTTGGCTGAGAGCCTCGTTTCGTGATAAGCAACGAACCGATAGCGAATATTCAACCACGACAGAAAACATTCCGTGCTATGACCGAGCGCCACAGTAACATGCCTGGCAGGTTTGTACTTACCCTGACCTGAGAAAAGGCCTAGAGATTAGCGGAGCCGCAAGAATAGACAAGAGAGTTTCGAGATCCCAAGTCACTGCCAAACTCGATGCATTCCTGACATGACTCCCACGTCTTTGACCCCGCCGTTTGCAGAATTTATTCTTGTCCTTGAATCAAGGTCGAACAGCTCGAAGGATGAACCAAGGAGTAGTTAGTCCTGCAAATCCGGGTTTGGTATTGAATAGTATTGGGGGTTTCGGCGTGGGGGTCGTAAAGGCTGTCGGTCTCACCTCGATGTTCTTCGATGAGGTACGTACAGTACATTTGAGCCCCTTCCACGATAATAGACCGGCTTTAATGTCTGACTCGAGGCATCGTGACATCCATTGACTGGTGATGTCGGAAAGAGATAGTATAGACTTACTTGGGATAACGACACCTGTTATGTACGGATAGTAGTTGAGGTGAAGCAACTGTTACGGTTTTGTCGTAAGCTGAATTGGCTGTGCCTTCCGGTTCGTATCCTGAATTGGAGAAGCCCAAGGCATGCATAGAAGGTGCTCAACGATGACACCATTTGGCAGTCGCACATGCTTACCCTGACCACCACAAAGTTTTCTTAGGGACATACCAATTGATGTTCTTCTGAAATGAAGCAATTCCAATCATCGTCACCTTTTATTGGAGATGCTCAGGTACTTGCGGATATTTATCTATCTACCACCGTCATCAATTCTCGGCGTTACGACGCCACGCAGCACAGACGCTCGGCACAGCGTTGAAACTGCAGGGCAAAAAGCTTCCATCAGGCTTCGATAGCACGAATCGTCCCGACTCATGCAACAAACCAGCCTCAAGCTGTTAGGCGGCGTCTCCGCCCCACTATCCCTTGTCCGTTACAGGGCCTCAAACGTCTTGGCCTTGTTCAGCATCGTCGTTGAGTGTCTTGCGTGCTCTGGCCTAACCACGGTGGTGCTCGCTAGTAAGACAAACGAGGCCAAGACAATTTACAACAAGCAGCCTGGTCTTTCGGGACCTTCTTATCGGCGGTAAAAGACCGCGATACATTACCTATCTCAAATTTGATGTCCAAGGCATTTGGCGGCTTGTTAACGTTTTGTCATTTCCCGTTTCCTCCGGCCCGCCAACATCCGACGCCCGTTTACCTTCGCAACCTTCCGGCACGTACGATGTACGAAGAGATGATACATGACACTTGCAGCCAGATCAGCAGGGCAGACCTGTCTTGTACCGTAATTACCGTTACAGCACAGCACCTTTCCTGCGTCAACCGCGCCATGTCGGCTTTGCGTACGGTAACTGTGCTGAAGCTGTCGGCAGGGCAGAATAGGCCTTGTTATCAGTTATCACTACCTCAAAGAGGCTTGGACCATGCCCTAAACGACGGCATGGCAGGGGTGGTATCACTGAACGGATTGATTGCTTGATCTGCCTGGGTCCAGTCTGTTTCTGTCTCTGGGAGAGGATATCCGGCTGGTCATGATCAAAGCCAGATGCATGCATCGAATGTCATGCTAATCTTTTCTATTCTCTCCAACTCCTTTTCATTTTCCCATGATCTTTTTCAGGATTTACACGCAATTGAAGCTCCACACCCCTATGACTGTAAAAGAAGGATCATTGTCGCCCCCGATTACTGCTGTCCCATCTAACTTGTTCCGTCTCCTTGTTGCCCGCCGCCTCTTCATCATATCCATATCTTTTTTCATACCAGGTTCATCTGAATGAGAAATCTTTACTGAGACCGACACGGTGGGCGTCTTATCAGAACAGGACCCTCTTTTTCAACTTTTACATATCACATCAAATCGCAATCCTGACTCCACCAAACACCGCGCCGCTTGATCTGCTCTGCTTCGCGCTATCGTCTTGTCGCCTCCCATTGCATGGAACTTCCATACCCAACCCTTGTTTAACCCGACCCTCGTGGGTTTGGACCTTTTCTGATCTCACAGCCCCACTCAACTTTTCTAGAGGCTGTACCGTATCCACACATCCCGCCGACTCGTGCGTGGCTTGCGCTGTTGTAGCTCGTCACCTTGCGCATTCGCTCGACTTAACTTAGCCGTGATCCTAAATAAAAGCGTTCCGTCTCCTCCAATTTATTCTTCTTTTCCTTCTAGTTCCCCTTCTTGGCATATCACCAGCCAATTCCCATTTTGACCCCCTCCCATGCTGCTTTGCAGCAAATCACAACCACTTATACGACACAATACGTTATCATGCCGTCCTTTAAGCCCTTCGCTTCAGTGACGGGGCGTAACTCATATAGCCTTTTCGATATTCGGTATGATGATCCTCCTCAGCCATAACTTGACTGAGACTACTTACTAACTGCGCCTATTGTTCAGCCTAGACAGCGATTTTATTGTCTTTCGTGGAAGTGACCACGAATCATCTGGTCAAGTTCTCAAAGGCACATTAGTATTGTGTCTACAAACATCCCTGAAAATCGAAGATGTTAGACTGCGACTTGTAGGAACTCTGCGCCATACGTAAGTTCTATGACTCGACTTGAAGACCAGTTTCTCTAGAGGATAGCAACTGACTCTATACAGCTGGGCTGATCCCAGAGGAAGCGCTCCCGGTGTTTCGGGCCAAAAGGTCGACAAGACGCAAACGATACTCGAGCACCGATGGGCGCCTTTTGTCGGCACGCACGGCAAGAGTATGACGCTCCCCGCCGGGAACTACGAATGGCCGTTCGAATACATGCTTCCCGGCAACATGGCTGAGAGTGTTGAGGGCATTCCCGAAGCATCCATCACATACAGACTCAGGGCAACCGTCGGACGCGGAAAACTTGCATACGATCTGCACGCCAACAAGCACCTTCGAATCATCCGAACATTAGAGCCAGGCGCCTTGGAATTCCTCCATGCCATGAGTGTTGAGAACATCTGGCCCAACAAGGTTGACTACTCAATCATCATCCCCCAAAAGGCCGTAGTGTTTGGCGGCTTGGTCACAATGGAGATGCGATTCACACCCCTACTCAAAGGACTCGAGCTGGGCGATATCACGGCACGGTTGATGGAAGTTCGCGAGTGCTATGTCCAAGGATCTGGCTCAGGTTACGGCACTAAGGAGCACCGAACAGAGCGTGAGGTCTCGATGTGGAAGTTTGAGGTTTCGAGAGAAGAGCACTGGCAAGATATGATTGAGGATACTGGTCAAGAAGGCTGGGCGGTCACCAAAAAGCTGAACTTGCCCAAGAGACTTCGCCAGTGCGTTCAAGATCTGAACCACCACGGCATCAAGGTCCGTCACAAAATTAAGCTGACCGTTGCTCTTTGCAATCCCGACGGTCATATTTCTGAGGTAAGATGATGTTCAAAAGCACAATGAGTTCTGGTTCACTAACATCTCTCGCAGCTTCGAGCAACACTTCCTGTGTCAATTTTTATCTCACCCAACATGCCTCTAGATGAGGAGGGTAACCTCGTCGATCAGTCACCAACCACACCTAACAACGAGCGAGAACTTTCGACGATTGCTCCCCCCGGATATGGAGAGCATGTTCTTGACCAGTTGTATGAGGACGTTGACGTTAGTGGCTTCCAGACGCCCGGCTTTCAGTCAGGCGTTAGCAGTCCCTTCTACGCACAGTCACGAGCAGGCTCGAATGAAAATCTTGCAGCGCTTGCCCATAGCCGACCTGTCGCACCTGCGGCACTTTCATCTCGATTGGCCGATGTGTCGCTGGACCCTTCTCGAAGAACGACCTCTTCCACGTCTCTGGGCTCGCTAGGCACGCCTGGCTTCATGTCCCCCACGTCGGCACCCCAAGGCCCAGCTCCGCGATCGGAACCTGCAACCGCAGCACTTACCAGAAGCAACAGTTCCGAAGACTCATCACGCAACTCTGCTGAACACGTTGATCTCGATGTCTCTGATTTGACTGAACTCAACAAGGTCCCTAGCTACCAGACAGCTGTCAAAACCCCAGCTCGCTCACGTGCTGGTACTGGGGACCTGCTTCTGCCAGATTATCAGACGGCGCTTAGCGCTCCCAGGACACCGCCTGCTACGGATTACCCAGCAGATCCTCTGGGCACAATCTCAGAGGATCAGGACGGTGAGGATCATACTCAGCATATATCGCGCCCTTCCAGCTGGATTGGTAATGGCCGCGCTTACACGGATGATGCTCCAACCTACCGAAGGATGCATCCCTCGCAGAACCGAAATCAAGTTGTCTAGATAGGCAGCTTGACTTACCTTTTGTTTCTTTGTATTCACATGACCATCACTTGATTGGATATGTTTCATAAGCCTCACAGGGCTTGCCGGCGTTTATGCGTTATCAATTACGGGAGGCCTCGAATCATGGGAATTATAGACAAGGCGTACTTTTGGTGACGAGCTCTTTGGCTCGGATGATATCTACACAATATTGGGCCCAGAACAATGCATAAAGAAAACGATGGATGAAGGATGACGCTTGTATAATTAATACCCTTAAAGGATAAGATAGCAAAGAAGAATGATGAACAATATGCTCAAGGCATATTAAGACTGGCTAACCACCAGTAAAATTCCTTGTCTTGAAAGTTGACATGGAATTCCAGAAACTGATATCTTGAGATGGTGAATGGTTACTATTTGTCGACAATGACATAGGGGGCGTTTGCGACTTGGTGGCGAGTGAACGAAATTCTTCGGCACTCGGTGACATCCGAGCAAAAGCTTGTTGGACTGTTTAGTGCGTATTAACTCGATCTACCGGCGATGGTGGTGGTGTGTTGGCGCAACTGCATCGAGAGGGATGGAAGAACTCATTTGAGTTTGGTGAAGAAGAGGGGGTTTTGGTGATGGAAACTTGCTGTGGACAATTTGTGTCTATTGGAGATTCTATTTCACACTTTATAGTGTTATTTCCAGAAAAGATATATAGTAACTGTATCATGATCAAGGTATTGATATTTCGAGAGAGGGAGCCAAGGCCAAGCTTTGAGATGGACACAATTCGTTGCATCTATACCGAGCTTGTCCTAGTCATGGTGTCGGTGCGACACAAGTTCAAGGGACCACGTCCAGAGTTTGCGGTACTTGAAGGGCGATTGACGTCATGACCTGGGATATCAACGAGGGTCTGGTGATGGTTTATCTTGGTGTTCATGGTAGTCTCGACGTACTATGACCGTGAGGGTTAAGGGATAGATTGACTTGCTGCTAGTGACCTGTCGGAGATTTGATGTAAAGTGATCAGCTTGAAGAAGAGGAGAATGAGCATCTGCTGGTGCTGATCCTTGGATAGCTGAAACTGGAACTTTTGAGTATACCTGCTGTACTTGAAGGACTCAGCTACATCAAGAGGATATACCTTTGAGATTCCAAATTGACGTCTAATGTTCGAGCTCTTTAAAACAGGATATCGAAATGACCAACTTGTACTAAAATATATTTCGATCGTACCTATTCTCACCGACTTAGCACCCACCTACCTAGTATATTCATTCTACCTCCCTTCTGTAGGTTGGCCTCTTTTTATTAGCGCTGGACCTTCAGCTCTTCATGGCTGTCTCAACAACCCCTCCCAACTAAACTGGCCTGAACCTCGACGTCATAAGAGCTCTCCTGGCGATCATATTTACGTTGTACAGCACATTATTTATCCACGACGTTAACATTAGCCTGGTGATCTAACTTTTAGTTGATTGTCTCCCGCCAAGAAAACCAGGAACTGATTAGTATTCAACCTCTTTATACTCCGTATATAACCCTGTGATCTCCCGCTCCAACCCCTGCAAAGAGGATCAGAAAAGAAGCTCATAACCCTTGACTGTGAGACCCCTCCTCGCACCTCCCTCCCTGTCTGCCAAGCTTGGACAGTGAAATCTAATCTCAACTCTCCATATCCATATCCATATACATACAATCCTACACGTCGTCCTTCGCCCCCTTGGACACCACCAACACCAAAACTCTTAATATCTCATCACCCAACATGGCTTCACCTACAACAACCGACCAGCCCTCGAGGGCTACTACTGGCTTTAGCACCGCCAGCGAAGATGCCATTCCCGAAGTTGACCCTTCAAGCGTATGTCACCTGAGGTCTCCCTTGTGTAACATGCGCTGCAGAACGAGCGCGCAGCTTTTAAAAGAGATTTGGGCTAACATTTTAATGAATAGACTGCCGGCTTGCTTGCTGAGCGACTCCAGGCATGGAAACATGCTGTTGGCTACATAGAGGAGTACATGAAGGCCATGGAGAGGATCCACGGCCACCACGCCAAAGAATATGAGCGGGCGCTCAAGGTGAGCTTGACCCAATTCCAATTCTAACTTCCCTCACTTCAGTAGACCTTGATCACTAACTTGATACACAATAGGCCATCAACAACCCCCTCAAGGAGGGCCACCACTTCGACCAGAGTCTGGGCGGCGTTGCCGGATTCTTCGAGAACATGCGCTCCAACACGCAGTCCCTCATCAACACCAACATCGAAACCGAAAAGAGCATCAAGGGCTCTGTCCTCCCCGTTCTCGAACGCTTGCATAAGGAGATCAAGCACAAGGCCAAGGAGCTCGCCCATGGCGCCGAGAAGGGCGCAAAGGAAGTTGACAAGGCTCGCAACACGACCCAGAAGCAGATAGAGCTGCTTGGACAACATGCGGCTTCTTTCGACTCTGCGGGGGGTCATCTCAACAGCCACGACGACCCTTATGTCGTCTACCGCGGTGTCCTGCACCGTCTGAACAGCCAGGTCATTGCCGAGAACAACCACCGAAATGACCTGATTGCTGTTCAGAACAACTTCCAGAGCTTCGAGGCTCACGTCATTGAGGTTGTCCAGCAGGCCATGGAGGCCTTCACACAACTTGCTGGTGGCCAGGCTGACAAGACCCGCGCCCTGTATAATGACCAGCTCTCGGTCATTCAACGTGTCGCGCCTGACTTTGAGTGGAATGCCTTCAAGGCCCGCAGCGCTGACCGCCTAGTTGACCCCAACGAGCCCGCCCGCTCTGTTGACGCGATCCAGTTCCCCAACATGAATCACGTTGCGACCAAGGCTCTGATCGAGGGTTCCCTGGAGCGCAAGTCGCGCAACAAGCTATCTTGGGGCTACTCGACAGGTTACTACGTGGTGACGCCCTCCAAGTTCCTCCATGAGTTCAAGGATTCGGATAACAACCGCCAGGACCCTAAGCCGGAGCTTTCCATCTACCTCCCCGACGCTGTCATTGGCACTGTCCAGGGCGAGAAGTTCAGCGTCAAGGGCAAGGACAAGTCCAAGACCATGAGCAGCAAGCTTACCGGCTCAACCGAGCTCAACTTCAAGGCGCACACAGCTGCTGATGCTCAGAAATGGTTCCAGGTTCTCGCAGAATGTGGAAAGAGTACAGCTCCTTTGAGCACCGGCTCCAGCCCTGCTGGATCTACGCCCACGTCGCCCAACCCTCAGGTCGCAGCTGACCCCGTTGACGCCAAGGTCCAGTCTCCCATTACTCCCGTGACCCCTGCTACTGAGCACGGCGCTCAAGAGGCTGGTGTTGTCGGCGGCGAGGCTCCTGCTGCCGCTGCTGCACCAGCTCCCGTAGCCGCTCCAGCGGCAGCTGAAAAGAAGGAGACGGCAATCTAGAGGCCTGATTGAGGCGGACGAAGGGTGACAGCCATTGCGTCGGAGGCCCTGCACAGTTGATTTTAATGGACGGAGTTCTCTATACCCAGTCCTGCATGCACAGGCAACAATTGTTTTTTCGTCTCTTGATTTGACTGTGGTTCAAAGTGAGGCTGGCAGCGACAAGGACATTATATCGTTTGGTGACGATGCTGTTGACGTGGCTTTTGGTGGTTTGAGAGGAAGATGGTTGAAAAGAGCAAGTCCAGACTCATGACTTTGATATTTAGAATCTGTCCTTGTCGCCTTCATTATCATCGGCGGCTCGGATTGCGGAAGGAAGAAATTAATGCGGATGTGCGTTGGGTGAGTTGTTATCAAATTGGCTTATACCACTATACCTACTTAACCTGTGTTCGAATCATATTATACAGTTTCATTTCTGCACTCTGTCTTTACAGTGATCTATGTGATAATCTACCTAAGGTACCCTCCCTTTGGACATGGTAGGACGTGGCCACTTGTGTTTCCCTTTTCCTCGTCACCTGAGCGATATTCTACTGCGCTCCTAATAAACAGTTGATTGAAAAGACCATCCTTGACTGTGATGCCGTGTATCAGATGCGGCAGATATCACCGTGCATCACCAAATCACAAGGCACCGCATATGGAACCGGGGAACACGGCATGTATATATGCCATCTCGTAGAAGCCCAGCTGAATGGGTACGCATGCTCCTCTGTGCGAGAGTAAGCATGGCTTATACAGTGCATTCTTGGCAGTATCATCGCAGGATGCGACGATATGATTATCGTGGAGATGCGAACCAGTGGCTGTGAGGAACAAGTGCAACTGGCGCGAGGATATAAGAGACCGATGACAGAATGAGGCGAACAATGCACAACATCATATGTACGCAGTCTAGTCCTTCCGCTGGGTTACACCTTTCATGTCTTGGTTGCCAATCGTTTTGGCTATCTGAGGCTGGGTATAAGCCATTTGGCTGGTTGTACAGATTAAATAGGGCGAGTTCTGGAAGCCACGCGCTTGGATGCCTTGAAGATGAAGGGTGGGCAGCCGAGGCGATCGATCCGATGCAGGGATTGGAGCTATAGCTATAAGGCTCTGGAAAGTGAATATAAGACGCAGTTTGATGACTACTTACATATGAGTTGTCACTCAAGGATTTGATTCCTGTAAGCATTGGATATTACAAGACATGCATAAGTTATCCTATACTTTTTTTTAAAACAGTTGAGTCATTAAAAAGTCGATGGTCCATCACAACTGTGTGCATGTGTAGGCGGGCGGAATAACACAACACAACCCAGATGAGGCTGAAGGACGAACTATCTGCCTAATTCCTCACACCCTCTTCTAGATCCCTTCCTCTCTCATCGGGCAAATCCAAGGACGCAGCCGTTTCAGAAGAAATGTAGCACAAGCGTCAAGTACATTATCTCCGGTCTCGTCATCCAAATGCGAAGCCCATCATGAGCTTATACAAGGCACAGTTGAAAAAGGCTTGCACAAGTCCGCCCTGCTTTATACACCAACAGGAATTGCGAGTTCAGACACATTCACATCATTTTATTCATCGCTCAGCGTCTGCCTCGCGCGGACGCCTTAAAAAGCCTCTTAATTGTACAGGCTCTGAAAGACTCGCTGTGAAAAGAGTACTGCAGCGCAAGTACCGAATAAGGCTCTGACAAGCAACTAAAAAGATGATGGGAGACCAGTAGATTGGCTTGGCCCCCCTATTCAACAGCAGCCTTTCTTGTCCTCCTCGATTAGTTTCGTTTCCATTGCGTTTCCATATCCTGGGAAGGTTATACAGAACTTCCCATCACCCTCGGCTTCAACCATCCTCAGAGCCTCTGACATACAGGAAGATCACAAAGACTCAATTCATTTACCAATAGGGGAAAACTCGTGTACCACTGATTTGCATACCCCGATGCTCGTCAACCCTGTTCCTGTTGCCAAAGCCTTGATTGTCCCGGGCTAGGAGCAAGAGACATTGGACACAAGCAACACTTAGCAACCCAAAGGCCACACTCACCACTTCAACACCTATCAAAAAGCATCAAAACAATCTAATTCACAGCCAAAATGATGGCCAAGCCATGGAACGAACACCAAGGGACTATCACCAAGTTGTACATCAAGGAGGGTAGAACACTCAAGGATGTCCGCAACATTATGAAGTTGAAGTACAACTTTGACGCTTCGTGAGTTTCTTTACTCCTTTCCCTTTCCCTTCCATTCCATCCCGATACATATGAAGACACAATTCATATTGGCCTTTACCATAGGAAACGCTGGGGAAGACTGTCTTGCTGACTACCGTCACAGAATCCGCTCATATCGACAGCACTTTGATATTTGGGGAGTTGGCAAGTATACTTGCAAGAAACGAGAAGAGCGCCGTCGCCGATCCCTCAATAAGAGCCTGTCTCTCTCCCCATCACAGTCTCTTGCAGACGTGATCATAAAGCAAGAAGAGGCAAGCTCGCCAGCTTCTTCGTCGGGCTCCAGCTCTGTAAGCCGACGCTCATCAGAGCAGAAACCTCTGCCTGTGCTGAAGCAGCCCATTCTCTACCCAAACTTTTTCCAGGACCAGATGCGGTCTCAAGACGATGCGCAGACAAAGATTGATGCTTCTCGAGCGCCGTTGTGGGAGGGCCTGGACATAGACATGCTTCGCAGTTCCCAGACTGCTCAAGCCATGTTGCCATCGTGCGTATATCCCTCTGTTTAGTGCCCCGAACAAAATCACTAACATGGCTTGTGCAGAATCATGCCCATCCAGTCTTATAATGAGGCTACGAGCTGGCCAGTGCCTCGAGGCGCGCCATCGTATCTCAACAGTCCTCCCCAGCCCTTTGACCGATCACAGTTTCAGACTATGGTCCCGCGGTATGTACCTGACCCGCCGTTGTACTCTCGTGACGCTGGACTCCGGTCGGGCTTGCGAGCTCCAGACTTGTCTGTGGGCAGACCAAACCCAGGGGATCTGCTTCACCACATGGTTGGCTATCACGGCGTGGCACAGGGGTAGAACATATGTAGACGACAGACAGCAAGGGTGCATTCCACTAACACTATCTTTCTGGGGATGGGACACGTTCAAGGATGGAAGGGAACATCGTTGGGTCACACTCCTTTCATAAACGTTGGTCAAGTGGCTGGGACAAACGGTTGATCTCGGAACGTCTCATATTAAATATATACGTTATCCTATCATGGATTTTATTCTAGCTTGTTTCCACTTACCGGTGTTCTCAATCGATTTCATTGTTTTCATTATTGCTTCGCAACAGAGTACCAAGAGTTCAAAGCAGCCTCCATCCGCAGGAGCGGGTTCGAGACGCGGCATGCTACGGTTTGTCACTTGACAAGTTGGTCATCCAAGGTAAGACGTGGCGACTATCCACACCATCTACGATAGAACTCTTTGACAATGTTTTGATTGTAAACCTTGAAAGTCATGTTAGCGACTTGATGTAAATGCGTTGATAAACAGCGAAAGAGTAATGTGATAAGAATTTCAGGGTAAGGTGCCTTGTCACAGGCGTTATCGTCAAAGCAATATGGCTACGTTGACCGTCGTGATATAGTAACATCATTTAGGAGCGATTGGGGAAACAGAAGGTAAGAAAAGACTAACCCGAGACTATGGTCAAGCCCATGGCTGAGTAAGTGAAGAGACGATTTGAGTATGCTTTCGAAATATCAGTCGCTATCGCTGAAAAGTCTGCATTGACGTGTCGTGAAGCATCTCGATCAGGGGATAAATGAATTGTCGTCGTAGCGTGAGCTCGGACATATGCTTGTCGTTTTCATTTTGGATCATCATAGAGATGATGTGAAGTGCGAATGCAGGGGCCAGTCGGCTACTCACGTCTTGATTATCTGAGAATTGGTTAGCACAAGTCGCCTAGTGCTTGCGAGCAAATTTGCAAAAGAATCGCGTGTCAGGAAATGCATGAATGGTAAAATAAGATTGTGTCTGCATCGAAAACTCGTATAAGACTCGTCATCTAAAGGGTTCATCAGGAAGCGAGGATGCTGCTGAGATATGTGAAAATTTACTTACGGTTGGATAAAACCAGTGAAGTTTGAATGATAGGATTGAGTGGCAGAGTACTAGCACTCGAGGTAGGTTAGCCTCAATGGCTCGAAAACATCCAAAGTGAAAGTAGATGGTGACGAGTCAGTGGGCGAGGTTTTCTAGGCCTGCCGCAAAGTGGCTTTTCTTGCTCATGTGGTATGATTCGGAGCCCAGTGCCGCTTCATCATGAAAGGTCGAGAGCGGGTCGAGATGAGATATCGCGTACCTTGCTAGTATCTAGTCTTTTTCAGGTCAGCACAAGCTACTACATGCATGACAACAAGTGTGAGGAATGAGTCTCAATCAGAAATAGCCATTTTATATCGTCAAAGAAGAACTCAGCCGGTAATTTCCAGCGTATATTGTAAAAGAAATGATCATCACGAGAGGGGGGAAAAGATGCGACGTGGGCGCTATATTTGAACGTACCATTTCAGCCCTTGTCGGGCGTAGGGGAAAGCTTGAGCATTCTCGCAATGATCCACCGCTTGGTGATGAAAGAGCTATTCAAAGGTCAGCGCGTGTTCAAAGATTGCAAAGTGCAAAAGCGAAAGCGTGATCGAAGTCTTTCAGACTGACGTGTAAAAAAAGAGGTTTCATTCCATTTAGGTCAAAGACTCTAGTTTGCGGTGTAGGGTGTCATCAGGAAGAAAGGAGTAGCCGCGCAAGATATTGCGCCGTCTAGAACATACCTCAGCTTGATTGTTTGTTTGTTTTTGTGTTGTTGAAAAAAACTGAAGAAGTTTGGACGAGCGAAAGTTTTTGTAGAGGAAAAGCTCGGACAAAAGTTGCAATGTGGGGAGCACGGGCCCTTATTCTTCCGTCGCCGCCTCTCCCCAGCAAAGCAGAAGTATAATGTTCGGCGACGAACGACGACTAAGAAACGGTCCACATTGAGAAAACTCAGTGAAATATGGATCTTTCCAACTGGATTTAAGATTGCAGCTCTCGAACTACAAGGAGTTTTGGTGGAGTAACTAGAATTGTGCTTTGAAGTTTGGGGAGGTTGGTGAACAAACCGAGGTGACCCGGTCCTCTCTTCATCCTCGATTGCCATCACGTGATATCGCGTTCGAAGCAACCATCCTCACGCGCCTTTCGTGAAATTGAGTCTGTGACGCCATTACTTCCTCCATACCGCCCGTGGACACAATAAACCAACCTTTTATCGTATAAAAAGATGCCTGAGATCGCAGAAGGTCTGTTTGAGACTTGGATTCCAAGATGAAGATCCAAATGCTGAGCCTGAAACAGTTGCCCGTATAGTCCATTTCCTACGCCTTCATGTGGTGGGGAAACGCATCGTATCCGCTTCTGCAATAGATGACAAGAATGTGTTTGGCAAAGTCGGTACAAGTGGTGAAGAAGTAGAAACTGCTTTGGAGGGGAAGAAGGTTAGGAATTGCCTGCTACAAGTCGCGCTCAACAAGCTCATCATTCTAGATCGTTTCTGCAGGAAGCCAGGGGAAATACTTCTGGTGAGCCAACTCACGGCGTTATTCCAGGATCAACCCAACTTAACAACGATAGGATAACCCTTGACAAACCTCCGCATCTAGTAATGCATTTTGGAATGACAGGCAAGTAATTCTTGCAAGAAACGAAACCAAAGAAATACTAAATAAGAGGGACAGGTTGGATGCACATCAAGGATGAACAGACAGCATATACCAACTACTATAAGAAGATGAAGGAGGGCGAGCACGAACAATGGCCGCCCAAGTTCTGGAAGTTCCAGTTCAAGACCGAGGGTTCTCTCGGTGTAGAAGTAGCCTTCACAGATGCGCGTAGGTTTGGTCGCGTGCGACTTGTCGACTGTCCCGGAGACCAGATAAGGAAGCATTCGCCTCTGGTAGAGAACGGACCGGATCCAGTTGTCGACCATGATCGTTTCACCGAAGATTACTTGCGTTCCAAGATGCGAGCCCGCCATGTTCCTATTAAGGCACTCTTGCTAGACCAAGCGATGATAAGTGGAATTGGTAACTGGGTGGCCGACGAAACACTGTACCAAGCTAAGCTTCACCCTGAGCAATACTGCGACCAGTTCAACGATGCCCAAATCGCCACCCTGTATGAAATGATCCGCTATGTCTGTCAAACAGCAGTCGATAAATTGGGAGACTCGGACGAGTTCCCCGAACACTGGCTCTTCAACTATAGATGGGGCAAGGGTGCAAAGGGCGCTGCGATTAAGCTGCCGAACGGCGAAAAGCTGGCTTTCATTACAGTTGGCGGACGGACAAGTTGTTATGCGCCCGGTGTACAGAAGAAGACGGGGAATACCGCTCCTGGTATCAAAGAGGAACCTCTCGAAGAAAAGGCCGAAAGTAAAGCCCCCAAGAAGTCAAGGAAGAAGTCACCAGAGGCAGCCGAAGAGAACGTTCAGCCTCCAAAGAAGAGGCGCACAAAGGCTACCAAGAAGGAGACGAATGGAGACGCCATAAAGACAGAAGATGCTGCCGAGGAAGCCCAGCCAGATCTCGGACGAAGAAGATCCACCCGCCTAAGGAAGTAGATGCCTGGTCTTGGCTCTAAGAACGCAAAGGGATGAGTCGCCAAATGGTCGAGCTGGTCTGTCCTAGTTTTGTGTAGGAGTTTGGGTCATTCAAAACTCTGAGGTGTTCTTGTAGTACGTACCTTGGATGTTGCCCATCATGAGTTCTTTGCCCCGTGAGAAAATTGTAGCCAGTCCTGGACCAATCCCCAAATATTCTAAGAAAGCGGAGTTCTTACTACATAATAACCTTTTGGTGTAGAATGTCTGTTTGCGTTGGGTTCTCCTTTCCCACACTTCGTTAGTTGTGTAGTCTGATACAACCAAGTATCATTTCATTCCAAGCAATTATCCATTGCAAGGTCAATCACGGTAAGTCTCATCACGCCTATTTCATCACACCGCATGAAGTCTTACAAAGATGTGGCCTGGCGGAGGGTAGATATAGGAAAGTTGACCGAGTCACCCAAACTTTAAGAAGCATGAGATTCACATTGACACGACCTGGAACTGCATGAACTAATGACAAAAATCAGATATAATCTGGACCTCAAGCTGCCACAAATTACCTAGTAGTTAACAACGCCAGCTTACAAGCCAGGGACAAGCATGGATGAGAGGAGGGATATCTTTTTCGTTGTCTTTTCAACCGCCACTTTTCGGGACGCCATGAAACCCAGTCTATGCCAAATACCCCTAGGAATCCAGAAACAGATGCAAGAATACAGGAACCAACTGAAGGTAGTATCGTCAACCATCAACCGCCCTGTGGATATGTGTAAACATGAATCAAGTAGAACAACCAGCCACTCGCCCGCCATATTCCCAACAATTTCTCCTAATAACCATTTCCTATGCTAATGTCGGTTCAGTTGCCATTGGACTCAGCGCCATTGGCCTCGAGCTTTCCCTCAGTCTTCTCGATGTAGGTGACCAAATCAGCAATGGTGCAGACCTTCAACCCCCACTTTCGGGCGAAAGCGATACAATCCTCGCCTCTCAGCATGCCATGGTTATGACGAAGAGCCTGGCCAGGGGTTTCCTCGCCGACGTCGACAATTTCGCAAATAACCGCGGCATGGGCCTTGCCAGCCAGTCGGCAGAAGTCAACAGCAGCCTCAGTATGACCCGGTCGCTGTCTAACACCACCAGGGCGGGATCGCAGAGGAAGGACATGACCTGGACGGCGGAAGCTATCAGGACGTGCGTTGGGGTCAGCGAGGGTGCGGCAAGCTAGAGCGCGGTCGCGAGCACTGATTCCGGTTGAGACAGAGGGGTCGGCTGAGTCAACTGAGATGGTGTAGGCGGTGCCTCGAAGGTCCTGGTTGTTGGGAACCATCTGAGGGAGGTCGAGAGAGGTGGTGATAGCGGGAGAGAGAGGAGCGCAGACGTAGCCGGAGGAGTGGTGGATGAGGAAACCCATCTTCTCGGTTGTAACATCTTCAGCAGCGATGATCAAGTCGGCTTCGTTTTCTCGTGAAGGGTCATCGAGCACGACGAGGAATTCTCCATTTCCTGTCACAATCAATGTTAGCGCAGTGACACATGAGGCAGGTATAGGAACCACGTACGGAAAGCCTCGATCGAGTCTGGGATTGAGTCAAACTTGTTCTGAGGGATTGTTGCGGGCATCTTGGAGGTGTGATAGGGAATAATGGAAGAGAAATTGGACAGTGCAAGGTGTTGAGTGTTGAGCAGCAATTGGATTCCCAAAGAGAAAGCTTGGCTTCTCGACCTCGGCTTGTGACTGTGAATGCGACGGTTGCGACGGGACGCACGAGGAGAGCGGGTTCGGAGGCGGAGACGGAAGCGGCAGCGGCACGCGGGGGTTGATGAAGGGTCAAGGAGGGGAACGGAACTGCTTTTTTTTTACTGGGGACTTTGATATGGAAGCCGATTAGGTGATTGTTAAGCACCAAGTAGAAGTTGAGTAAGCAAAGAATTGATTGAGTGAGTAATGATTCAGGCAATGGAGAGCGAACTGTAACTATCAAATATGCTCGGATACGGCATTTGATTCTCGCATCGCATGATTCAGACAGAACCTTTTTCTCCAAAGGAAGCCAAGCCCCGCTCCGCAGTCCGGTCTTAATCACAGCCGCGCGGTGAATTTCCCGCTCGCTTCCTTTCGATCGAGCCCGGCTTATCCGGTCTAAGTAAGCCCAGATCCCATGAAGACCTACTCGAATGCCGAGTTACTTTACCCTCGGAGTCATTGGTCGTGAACCCGCGTTGCATCGTCAACGCTGGGCTCACATGTCAATGCATTGGTGATTGAAAAGGGTCTTTACTTGATCGGGCAGTTCGGGTCGTACTCTTTTGATTGTGATTGGTCAGTACTGGCTCGCTCATTATGTCAGCTTTGTTAAGACGTTGTTGGACTAAGGAATTGCGAAGCATCAGTCAGCGAGAGACGATAGAAATTCTTGGACTTTGGCAGAGCAGTAGTGGAACCGATGGCGGAACCGTCCGAGTCTACCCTGTGATCGAATTGAATCTTGTCATCGTTGACTTTTTGTTCAGGGTCCATAGAGACTATCTTATCTTGCTTGGCTTGCAGCTTTGTCATCCGCTCATCGATCCTCGCATCATCCACACCTTACCTATTCCATTACCACCTACCAACCAAACCGTGACCTCTCTCACTTCACCCCCGAGCCTCCAAATATGCCGGCTCCGTCCCGGCTGGTGGGTGCCCTCTTCCGCAACCTCGCCCGATCAAGTCGGCGGCCTTTCGCCCTCCCATTGCCGGCGAGCCATACCATCGCAGCCTCTATTACGACATCGCCAACACCTCGATGGCACTCCACGTCCTCGTCCAACTCGTCACAGAATTTCTCATCTGTCAACCCCGATGAGGTCTCACACTTCAATGCGCTCGCCGCCGACTGGTGGGATCCTCATGGCTCCTCCCGGCTACTTCATCTCATGAATCCTTTACGTCATGACTTCATCCGCGCTTGTCACCGCACCGATCCCGATTCTCCCACTCGAGACCTGACGTTCCTTGATATTGGCTGCGGCGGTGGTATCTTTGCCGAAAGTGCAGCTCGTTTACCGACTACCAGGCATGTCACTGCTATCGATCCCACCCCCGAAGTGCTCGCTGTAGCACGTTCACACGCTCGCAAAGATCCTGGTCTTCGCTCCAAGCTCCAATATCGGCAAACATCAATCGAAAATCTTCCTATCCCTGCGACACCACAAGAGGCCTATGATGTGGTCTCATTGTTCGAGGTTATCGAGCATATCGATGCTCCAGGCGCATTTCTGGAAAAGGTGCGCCCCTTCGTCAAACCTGGGGGATGGCTTGTTATGAGCACCATCGCGCGAACGTGGATGAGTTGGTTTACCACCAATTTCATGGCCGAGGACGTTCTGGGTATTGTTCCCAAGGGAACACACGACTGGAACAAGTATCTCAACGAGGAAGAGTTGCGAACTTTCCTCGCCGGTCGAGGCTGGAGCCACCCAATGGTGCAGGGCGTAATATATATCCCTGGGCTTGGGTGGAAGCAGGTCGATGGCAGTGAAAAGGTAGGCAACTACTTCTTCGCTGTACGTAAATCCGAAGCCTGATGGGCTCGGTTCAGATGTGTATGATTCATATTGCTATACGGTTACAGAAAAGTTTGGGGTTGCAAATGATCAAATGAAAGTCAATTGTAATATAGTGGAAAATGATTGCTTGGCTCACCAGCTGAAAAGCTCTTACTATTTAAAGTTTTATCGGATTGGGGATTTCTTAACTATTAAATTGGCATGATTCTCGTCATGGGAACTTGATCCTAGTCCACCATATTTCGATTGGTGAGACTATTTCCTTCTGCCGTGGTCGCTCAGCTTACCCATTGTAGAAAAGAGCGTACTTACTGTAAGGCTGGGAGGTTCTCGTTTGCAAAGTCAGTCAGAACTAGCAGTTCCTAATGTCGGAATGTGCACCACCGAACCAGTAACATCGCAAAGCATGTTGCGGCTGTGCGAGCTGATACAGCTCCATGCTCCTAGATCATCCTACCACTAATAAGGATTTACAGCTTACTGGGTATATGATCCTTGGCGTAGCAGGTTTTCATGTTGCACAACAACTCGTACAGAACAAACAGTGCCTCACGTTTAACATTATCTATCTGGTGTATTTGCTCCGAGCAACAGCGAATCGAATCTAGAAGACATCCATTGCCTGGGAAGGTATTCACATGTTTTGATATTCGTGACCGGACAATTGCAATATACTTTACAGCCAGCCAGCCAGCCAGCCACCCGAGACATCCCCGCCCACTAAGATCCAATGCCTTAGCCGACAGCGCCAGGGCAGATTCCGCTAATTAAGAGGGCTGACAGAGTCCAAAACGCCCTATGATCGACCTTCGATACAGTGCAAGACCGGGTTCATGGCAGCAGAAACGAGGAGTCAGTGGCTGCCCCGTAACTACAGCTGCAACGGTTCCTCCACTCCCGTCAGAACCCACTTGACCTGGGCTCCTCCTGGATTGATCGGCCTTTTCCTCTTTCTCCTAGCTACATCAAATTCAAGGTACCATTTCTAATGATGACTGTCGTTCGTTGACAACTATTTCAGTGTTTCTATTTCATTGTCTATCTGTCGTTTATGTCCCAGATCAGCCTGTCTTTTTGTTTTGTCTCTGCAAGTCTTGTCTCAATCGCTCGCTGGTGTCTTGTCTCGCCCTTTATTGTCTTGCTATGGGTTTGATTATTTGTTGGATGACGACGACTCCTACCGTACCCTCTCACCACTCTTGAAATACCTGACCATTGCATTGCTACGAAACCTCACCTCTTCCTCCGCCATTATGGCGGTTCATCACTTCTTTTATTCACCTCTTTATATACGATTTTTTGTTGTTTCTACCTTGATCTCTCTATCCTTCTCACAATTCATCCCTAGCTCTGATGCTAAGGCGCGTAACCTCACAGTCGTCCGCTCACCAGCAAATCGGGATGTGACTGTCTCTTATAAAACTCCCGAAGGCGTCTGTTCTACAGCATTCGACTCTCAAAAGCAGTACACGGGTTGGGTGTCGGTTCCTGGGGATTATCCAACCAATCTCTTCTTTTGGTTTGTTGAGGCTCGTGAGCGAACTGACAGTCTCACTATCTGGCTCAATGGAGGACCAGGATCCAGCTCACTCTATGGTTTCTTCACCGGCAACGGGCCTTGTGAAGTTGTCGAAAAAGGATTGAATGAATATGAAACGCTTGTACGAGAATGGGGCTGGGATCGAGCCTCTAACATGCTCTTCATCGATCAGGTAGGTAAACCTCGAGTATTATCGCCGACTCACAAGAGCTCACGTGCACTTTTCTAGCCCAACCAAGTCGGCTTTTCATACGATACGCCTACCGACGGCACAATAAACTTTCTCAGTGAAAATGTTACTGAGCCTCCAGTGTCCTACCCGGAGCTTCCAGAATGGCTCGTTCGCAATGGCACTTTCAGTTCCAACAATGGAAATTTTACTGCCAATACTACTGAAACCGCTGCTATGGCCGTTTGGCATATGGTCCAGGGCTTCTTGACCACGTTCCCACAATACCAGCCTGCCTCGCGTTCTCGCAACAGCTCACTCGGCATTAACCTCTTTTCCGAAAGTTATGGTGGTCGCTACGGTCCTATCTTCGCGGAAACCTTTGTACAGCAAAACGCTCGCCGAGAGAGTGGGGAGCTACCACGCAATTCAACCATTGATGTCCATCTCAGTTCTCTCGGCATCGTCAATGGTTGCGTTGATATGGAAACTCAAGTACCTTACTATCCAATATTTGCCAGTGACAACACATATGGCTATAAAGCTTTGTCTACTAGCGACGCCAAGTTCAACCTCGATAAGTTCTCTGCTGAAGGCGGCTGTCGCGACCTTCTTCAGAAATGCGCCACCGATGCATCAGTCAGCGATCCTGAGGGCGAAGGGGACGAGGAATCTATCAATGAGATCTGCTTCGAGGCTGAAAGTAGCTGCAATGTCATTCAAAACGCCTACTCTAGTTCGGGTCGTGGCTACTACGATCTTGCTGCCCCCCTAGCCGACCCTTTTCCACCCATGACATTCTTGGAATACCTCAACCAAGACAGTGTGCAACAAGCTATCGGTTCTCCTATCAACTTTACAATGACCAATAGAAATGTCAATCTCGAGTTCCAATCCACGGGCGATCAGGCGCGTGGCGGCAATATCGCCCGTCTAGCTTCTCTCCTCAATTCAGGAGTACGGATTGCCCTGATATACGGAGATCGTGACTATATATGCAATTGGCTTGGTGGAGAAGCTGTTTCGCAAAGCCTGGCCAGCGAAGCAGGCGGTGAATACAGCATTCGCTTTCCTGACGCTGGATACGCACCCATCATCGTCAATGATTCGTACATTGGTGGTGTTGTTCGTCAGTTTGGCAACCTCTCCTTTAGTCGTGTTTACCAAGCAGGCCACGCCGTGCCTGCTTATCAGCCTGAGACTGCCTTCCAGGTTTTTGCTCGTATCATCCTGGGTACTTCGATTTCTACTGGCATGGACATTGATGCCGCCACGTATAATACCACAGGTGATGCCAATGCGACGCATACTGAAGATCTTCCCAAACAATTGAATCCTACGTGCTACGTTCGGAACTTCCAAGGTAGTTGCGATTCGGGCGCCGAGGAACTAGTCAAAGATGACAAGGGGATTGTAGTCAATGGCATACTGTATACTTCGAAGGAAGATTGGCCGTTGCAAGCAGAGACGACGGAGACGCCAACAACATCAACTTCAGATCCCAGCTCAACGTCGGATATGACCGGGGTATATACAGCAACTGAAACACCTGATGCTGCAGCATGGAACCCACCCAATGCAGGGCTAGTGGTTGCCATTGCTGGCATATTGGTTTTGCAGGTTGTTGCATGAGCTCCCCAAGTCTGAGGGAACACTGTATTGTTTGCTGTACTTGCGCAGCACGAGCAGAGAACATTGTTATAGACAAATCATGGCGTTATCCCCCAAGGTTTTATGGGTAATGGTAATTGGCACCGGTTGGAAAAGCATCGCATTGTATATTTCTGATTCGGATGGGGCTCGTTGAGCCAAATAGCGTAGGGGGTAATGAACCGGTTAAGATACCCCACGTTGCCGTAAATATTCATAGAGGAAAATATAGCATATTCAAGTCCTGTGATTCTCTCGGGCCATTCTGTTCTTCAATTTTTATTCAATTATATACTTATGTGCAGCATCCTGAAGACTGTCATCAATTGCTAGATTGGTTTCTATCGGGCCTAACACTGGTGGGGTATCATTTTATCGTCTCTTCGTAGTGAACAAACTCGCACGTTTGATCTAAAACCGCCGTCATTCTCCTCTCTTCTCCCTCTTGAGCGGTCTTCCGGGGACGGCCTGTGAGCCTCTAACTCGAAGTTCGTCATCGCCGTCGCCGTCATCATCTTCATCCATCATTTCCTGCTGTTGCTGTGCCAGACGAACACGCTTGATACGGCGCGCCATGGCTTGGTCCTGGAAGAACTCGTGGTCAAATCGCGCACGCGTGAATTTCTGTGCACCACGTTAGTCAATAGTACTTGGATGATGGAGAGTGAGCGGACCTGTGAGCATCCTGCTTGTGGACATTGAGACTCTCCTCGCATGGGTAGATACTCGAGCAGAGCGGCCTTCTCGAATGTATGTTTGCAGTTTCGGTTGGTGTAAGGATCCTTCATGGGTTGTAATGTCAAAGGGCAGTTAATGCTCTTGACCTCGCGCTCAACGGCAATATCATCATCGTCGTCTCCGTCCCCGGCACCCGCTCCTGAGACGTCACCGGTCATTATAGGCTCGCCATCGGGAGTAAACCAGCGTGAGGCATCCGGCAGTGGAGGCCCCTCATCGCCAGCCATAGCATCGTGCCACAGCTTTTTGAAGCCAGCGTAGTCGTTATTAAGAGCATAACGCTGGTGGACAGACATTTTAGTATATTCAGTGTCTTTCTTCTGGCGCAGTTCTTTGTAGACTTCGAGTAGGCTTGTTGCAGCCAGCGGCTCCTGCTCGTCGTCCTGTTCGCCTCGTTGGGCCTCCACTTGTCTTTGCTGAACGGCTTCTGTACTGGCCGTGTCATACAACTCGCTGAATATGACATCTTCGTCTTCCAATTCGGCTCTGCGGTCGATCATATCACGAATGGCCTGTTCTGATGCCGCTGTCAGTGTGTTAATGCGCTCCTCCAATTCAGGGAGATGAGCTTCAAGGCGTTGCTCGTCCTCAGATTTCTCTGTCCCCTTCTCCTCTCTTCGGGCTTTCAGACGGGCCAACTCTTCACGCTGTACGCGCAATCGCTCGTGTATATCACTGACGCTAAATCCAAGTAATCGGACAGATTCGTTGATTTGCTGTTGATATGCGGCTGTTGAGCGTGTGTTTGACAAGTCGTGCAGCCTGCGGCGAGCGGCGTCGGTGAGTGGGCACGCTGGTGGTTCATATTCAGGTAACTCTGTATATGAATTACCAGTGCGGTTGATACCTCTCCGAGACATGTCGAGATCTTGATATGGCAGCTGTATAGTCAATCAAGGATTGTATTGATGTTTGAGCAGTCGGTGGAGTGTAGTCTCTGCTAGCGACCATGAAACGCGTTAATTGAAAGAGAGACGCGACATAGGTGAGTGGGCCTGTCTAAAGTGTATCGCCTACCCTAGACCTCCGCTCTACTTTAGCCCCGTTTTGATATATCCGTTTTGAACGCCTGTGGTTCTCATTGGCAGGCGCCCAAACGGTGCTACTTCACTAACACGGATTGGAAAAGCATCTCGATGAGTTGGGTGTCACAAAGTCAAAGACGAGAATATGACATATTTCGCAAACGAACCGAAAAGAGCAAGGGGCTCAAACCAAGCGCCTGTCGATCTGAAGAATGGCTGGAATCGACGTCAATCAGGGTCCCTCCCTCTGAAACCCGAATTTGCAGCGTCATTGATATTACCTTGACAAAATGAGGAGGATATTGAGAATCAACTATCGGGCATTTATGGCGAGTAAACCGTCAAAAGACGCACAGCAGTCAACAAGTATGAAATCACAACAATAGAAACCAATTGACAATGCCATGGCAATGCATAGACGCCAACTGCAGCTTCAGAGGAGAGGACGGTCTATTCCAGCAGCTCAGCTCAGCTCAGCCCAGCCCGGCTCGGCTCACTACCCACTCAGCGTCACTGGTGACGATGGTTAAGGTCTAGACTCTATGAGGAAGGGTCAGGCACGGTGTCATAGTCATGGACATGGACATGGACCTTCTCCAACATCTCGATGCACTTTCCGATGCCTGCGGTCGTTAGCGAAAACCGACCAGTGAAATCCTTGTCTCAGGCGTTTGTCTTGAATCGGAGACAAAAGAAAATAGGGCGGGCGGGGAGACGGAAGCCTCCAATATGCTTGTGTTTGATCACGGCAACCAAGACTTGGTTCCACGCATCGAAGCCTTAGCAAGCCATCGCGCCTCAACACCAAACAAACTCTTTCTCATCCTGGACCTGTGCATCGTGCATCGGCTACAGCATCGATCATGCAAGAGACGGTCGCTCGTGCAATGGGCCAAGGCTCGTCAACAACGCATATGCATACGCATATGTGTTGCTTATTAGCGAGGAGGGTCCAGATCAGTCGAGTCTAGGCCGACAAATGTTGTTGTTGGCGCATCGTCGATGTTATAGGAAGTCATCGTGATGGCGGGTAGACAAAAGCAACAACAAAAAAACAAAAACAACCCGGGAGCGATCAATATCTCTTGCATCTGATAATTGATTTGAAACGCCAAGAAGAAACAAACAAAAAATGACAATCTATAATAGATCCGAAAGATATTGTGAGGCACTGTATTGGCTTGATTTACAAAGAAAACTGCCGACAACAAGATACACTCATTGCACCGATCCAGAGGCCTAGTTCAAAGTACTCAGCGATCTCAGCAGTACGTACCTTTACGTTTCACCAATCTGACAGGCCGATTCTAGACTAAGTGGAGATCCTGGTCGATGAGTACCGATCTTGTGTCTGGAGACTGTTGCTGGCGATCTCTTCAACTGCTCGGGGACCATGAGAATCGAGCACTTTCAACCAATCGACTGAGACCCTACGAATTGGGTTTCTTTACCCCTACTCGTACCTATTACGCATACACCTTGTTATGGTATCCAGACCCCTGCTTCAATGCCGTTCAACGACTGTTGGTTGTCTGTCGAAGCAAATATGAGGCTGTATTGCAAGCCCCCAGGACGCAAGAAAAGGTGCAAATCATGCTCAAATACAACCATCCATCCAAGAAAACGCTCTCCTCATTCTCAGTGAAATACGCACGCTCTACTTGACTCCCAATAACAGCCGCAGCAGTTCAACACCATACACAACACAACACTACCATATCAAGACTATACCCACACCAGATCGTCGTCACCCACACCCCCAAAGCATCCGCCGTCTCTGTCAATTCGCCTTTCAGGGTCCATCACGATTTGCATTCGCATCTGGAAACCTTTGAAAGCTCCGCCCGCACAGTTATTCCCTGACAAGTCTGACTGTCTTCTGGGGCCTCATCTGGGATAACTATCCAGCCGCATCCTGGACGCTCCACGAGTTCCTCCTCGCTTACCTGCCAGTTCATTCATCCCTCAAACTTGCAACCTATGCGCTTCCAGCTTTTCTAGCCGACTGATACCTGACGACTCCAACATCTTGCAACGCTGCTGACTGACTCCGTCATACCTGACCGCGTATATTCTGGTGCTACCTCAGCTGAGGAAACAGGGGCCCGGGCCTATATATCACCTTGCTCATAACTCCTGTTATCCTCGACATGACAGCTTCCATGCGTGCCATCTCTTCAACACTACCTCTAGGCTTTCCATCCTCACGCTCGCCCTCTCCTCACTGCTCAGCCATGGCGTCCAAGACAGCTCCAGCTATGAATCCCTGGGAGGTTAATGCTCTCAATGTAGGTTTTGAATGTGATCTTCTTTCAAAGTGGCACCCATTGACTTTCATAGTATGAGTTTCCTCAAGAGGGCTCCTTCAACGTTGATGGCACAGTAAACTCTGCAGGTACTTGGCGTCGAGTTCAAGACCCCGTCATCTACCCCGGGCTCTACGCTCCCAGTGGGATCGACATCATGTCCATCTTGGTGAGTCGACTTACACCGCACCACTCTGCCCACAGGCCACTAACAATAAAACAGTTCCGCGTCATGGGCCGACAAAACCCTCAAGTTGTTCTTGGTCCAGTGGACTGTTCTGTCGCTCTTGTCGTGTGCGATATGGGTCAGGCCGATGCCCCCGTTATCTATGTTTCTGACTCATTCTCCGAACTCACTGGATACACGGCTCGTGAGGTTCTTGGCCGAAATTGCCGCTTCCTCCAAGCACCACCAGGACATGAACGGTCTCTCGACAGGAAGGGTACGGACAAGGTCGCTTCACACCGCATGCGTCAGGCCGTCTGTGCTGGAAGGGAGATTCAGATCCCCGTCACCAACTACAAGAAATATGGCCAGCCCTTCAACAACCTCCTCACCATAATTCCCGTCCCCGTCGATGAAACTGGCCGTCGTTACTGCATCGGCTTTCTGAGCGAGATGGATTGAGTAGTCAAGCCTACCGCGATCTCGAAGTGTTTGATAACACTCCCGACGACGACTTGACAACACAGATTGATAGTCTCAACTATTGGACCACCAGCGACGTCGTCCATACAACGCCGCACAACGAAGCAGGGACTCTCTCTGTCATGAAATTCCATAACGACACCAACCTCTTACAGCTATCGGCATACCAACCTGGTCTACCAGCCTTCTTCGAGATTCTTGTCCGACCTGCACTCACTCCACTTTGTGGACTTTGGAGGTGCTCACCCAGTTCCGGTATCTTTTTGCTTTAAGGCATTTATGAATATTTACGATACCCTCTGCATTGGCATATTACTTTTCTCAGTCAACACATTTATGGCTCCTCATTTCAGAAGCACTTCAAGGTGTTCAGGTCTTTTTTTTTTACTAGAACAAATGGCTAAGCGTTGTTATTCTGTTCCCGCTGTCTTGGTCTTTTCCTATCATAGTCTGATGATTTACGCTCCCATGGTAAGACTTTTGGATTTTTAGATTTTATTAGCTGGAAATCGAGCTCGGGCTTGCATAGTACAGCAACGTGGGTCGGGAAAAGACAGTTTCATTTGTTATACATGTCGCTGTCAGGCACGAGCATACGCTGTTGGGCGCAGGAGGAGTACATACATACATTTGATTTGATTTGGTTTGATTTGTTCGACATTGCGTCTTGTTAATGTGATGGGCCAAACAAGATGGTCACGAGGGCCTGAGTCAGAGTTGCGTGGAATCACGACGAAATACGCTACAAAACAGTATCTGGGGATGCTGTGGATGATCTGACCGGCTGTCAGATCATGGAAATACATACAATAAACATTCTGAACCAAGAGGATTTCTTGTTCAGCCGGCATTTGTCTGTGATTGTCCCGCATCAACCGACAACCCTTGTCTCGATCTCCAGACCTCCCTGTCATGCCACGAGATCGAGCCAAGGGTTTGAAAGGTCAAATCAATACTGGACTCTCACTGTACACACACTGATGCCCAAAAACTCAAAAAACAAGTCAAGGGACAGCAAAATGGGTCTCCGACGTTTCCTGTCACTGCCAAACTTGGTAAAGGCTCAATTAAAGTTTTGTGTCAGAACTTGGCGATTGCTTCAACAAGTTATTAGGAGGGTCAGAGGCATCAGCTCAGAAGCGAACTTCATGATTTTACTAATAAATATATTCAACGCAAACTCCAGTCAGTGGATACTGCTACTGTACGTGGTGTCGATGGTCTAAGCCTACCAAGGAAACTCTTTCAGAGACCGACAGAGAGCCGTCGTGTAAGTGCGTTGACCATACACTTGCTGGACACTCATACAAATAACATATTTCCGATGCCGAAATCCATCGCATTTGTTTATTACTACTTGTAAATAAAGCACATCTTCTGATAAGTTTCCACTGCAGGCTTCGTGGCAAGATTTAACGAAGACGTACCTGAAACACACGCCCTATGCATTCCATATGAAGCCGCCTGGGTCGGAGCTTGGATAAGGGGGACGCTCCAATGAGTCAGACTCTAGAGGTCTGTCTACCGGCTACCAAAGGGTGGGACGGTGCTTAGCTGAGAGTCACACCTTCGGGGTCTTCTGATCTTTCAGAGAATCAAGTTAACTCAGTGTCTTTCTATCATTCCTTGTTTGCCGCCACTTCCGGCGCGAATAAGGAAGACTGACTAGCTAAGAGTGATAGAATATATGAGACCTTGAACTGATAGTGCATTGATACTCATAGGGACATGCCAGGCTTCTGAAAGCAAGGGATGACAGAAAGACGCCGAGTTGACTTGTGTTTCATTCCCTGGCGAGTGTTGGCCATATGCCTTGAAGGTCATCAGTACGAATCAAAGGTAGAGTATCAGTTATATATCACTCGAGACTTATGGCGGCCCCAGATCTTGAATTGGAGACTGATTGTGCGTTTCAGACTTGGTAGGAATAGCACTTTTTGACTGCTCAGATAGTGAATATCCTTAGCCTAGAAAGCTTCTCATACTGCAAATTAGATGCTAGCTACCAAAACGTGAACAGTATCGTATTTGCCGATGACCCAAAGGCTTCTGCCATACTCATCATGATTGGATGGGGATATGTGGTGTTTCATCTGAACTGTGCTTAATATTCTGTGTAATACTTGTCCAACATGACGAAAGACCAACAAATCAAGAGCTTGACTTTTGCTCACAATGATTCTATGCAAAGTCCAAACCCAGGTATCCCTAACAAGCACAACTTTTACGTATTTGCCCAAACTCCAGCCGTATACAGAAATCAGAAACTCGGTCAAAAACCTCATCCCTTGAGTTAAACTCCTCTGATTAAGAGGTTTCACAAATGCCAAAGTCCACCCTTTTATCCAGTCATTTCCAGACACCCTACGCTATGCTAACCTCCATACCATGTGAAAGTTCTCTCATGTTTCTCATGTCAAATATCTAGGCATTTATGCCATAAAATCATCTTCAATGCTACCTCGTCCACTGGGTCGGTTGAGATCAATCCTGCCAGCTCCGTCCACAATGTCATTAGTCTCCTGTTCGCCTGGTGCGGACGTACTCGAGCGGACCTGCACCTTGACTTCGCCTTGGATGCCATCAACTCTTATCGTTGACACGGTGGTACCGCCAGGGGCAGGCCGAAGGTTAGGTGGTGGCGAGAGGTTGACAAGTTCACGGAAGAAGTTGTTAGCAGCCTCGCAGCCGTCCAGCAACCACTTGAGACAAATCGTCACTCGCTCCTTGGCATATGGGTTGTGGTCGTCGTAGGCGCAGCAGTTGAGAAGAGGCACGATTCCGTTGTACTTGACCATCTGCATCTGCACATCAGGGTTTCCAGGGCTGCTCTGACCTTGAGGTGGCTGTAAGAGAGTGGCGATGATGGTAAAGATTTGTCCTTTGATCCCGGACCAGGGGAACTTATGCGCTGGCTCCTGTAGAGGAGGAGGTGGTGGTGATGGGGGAAGTCCATCATCCGCAGCAGCGTATGGTCGCTCAACCATAGGGTTGCCGTCACTGTCATTCCGGGGTGATCGCTTTGGAAGCTCAATAAGAGGCTTCTTGGGCACTCCAGCCTCCAGTCCAGTCAAGATCGTGATAAGATCGTAGATGGCCTCCCACTCGATCAGCTTGGCTCGAGTGTCCAACATCTCAGCAACGGTCGTGAGAAAGTCGAGGTACTGAGCCAAACCATCCTTGGCACGTTCCATATCCCAACTATCCACAGGAAACTCGGAAGGGTCGCAGTTCTCTTCCCGAATTTGAGCTTGAAGATGCATGAGAGCGGCACATTCGGGGACGATACGGCTTCGAAAGAAACTCAAGAAGAAGTGAACAAGCTTGATGTCACGGGAATTGTCCTTTGTCTCCTGAGAAGCTGAGTTGTTTATCCGAGCTCTGAACATGTGATTGACAAGTCGTAGAAGGACTGTCTGAGCGGGCGAGATGATATCCTTGGGGATACGCAGCGAGTTCCAAGCATATGGAATCAAGGCGCTGTGATGAAGGGCCTCCACAATCTGAGTAGTGACCTGGAAGATGAGAGACTGCTCATCCTTCTCCCAGACAGCAATGAAGACTAGCATCTCTCTAAGAAGACTCTTTCCGCAATCAAGAGCCAGGAACATGCGACACCGGGTCTTCTGGAGGTTCTCGCCTGCTCGAGTCAACCCTGAACCGGCGTTGTCCAAAATGCATGACTTGACAATCATGTGCAGAGCCTCGATCTGTTTGGGATCCAAAATGTTGGGCACTTCAGTTAGCAGACCGGTCAGTGGCCCCTCTCCATAAGATTCGTCATCATCAGCGTCTTCTTCGTCCATGATATCCTCCACGTAGTCGTGAGCATACTCATGATCATGATCATGATGGTGATGGTGGTGATCATGGTCATGGTCATGGCCATGGTCGTGATCACATTGGCATACGCACTCCTGGTCATCCTCGTGGTCGTGGTCGTGGTCGTGGTCGTGGTCGTCATGGTCATGGCCATGGTCATGGTTACACTCGTGGTGATGATCGTGGTGATGATCGTGATGGTGCTCATGATCATGCTCATGATCATCGTGTTCACAGTGATGGCAATGCTCGTGTTCCGAGAGCTCTTCCTCCTCAACAACACCTGGCGGCGGAGAGTGGTCTGTTCCACAAGAGTGAGCGTATCGATGCACGAGGTTATTGCGGCAATGTTCCAGGCGGCTCTGAGCAAACTCCACAGATGGCATCAGGACTAGCCATTCTTCGTAATTGGGGTCACGGGCGTTCAGCCACCAGGTATCAACTTCTCTCGAGACGCGCCCATATGCACGATCTTGTTCGAATTTGTCCGTCTCATCAGGCTTCCACACCGGGTTGATCTTCTCCTCAGTGTTGGCAACATCTCCAGGAACATCCACAGAGCCATCCGGGAGCCAGTTCCAAGCCAGAGGTCGAATCGGGGCGAGGTTGCCGGGTGGTTTTGAGGCTTGGTTCTGGGCGTAATCTTTGAGCAGCTTCCTGGCAGTGTCACATAGCTTGGAGTTCCTATCGAGCCAATGCTGGACCTGTCGCTTTGCCACGTCTGGCCGGAAGCCTGAGCCATCGCCTAGACTCTCCTCGGGACCCGAAAGCGCGCCGTCATCATCAAATAGGACGTCAAACCAAAAAGACATTTTGTTCCTGTCGTGTTTCGCAGTCCAGTTGTGAGCTTGCTGTAACGACGTTACCAGCAGCTTTTTGTCTAGAATTTTTTTGTTAGTTTGGCAGTATATGTCTCGACACCACGGATACCTACATAGCTCTGTGACATCACCGAGCTTTAATCTCTGGTTCTCATCAAGAATCTCTCCGTCGTAGCCCTTACTCGTTACGTTGACACAGAGAATGATCGTCTGATATACCATTTGATCAAAGTGAACCGCCGCGCAGATGTCTTGCGGCACCTCGGGCTCAGCATTCACGAGGAGATTCCTGGCAATATGCATAAGCTTGATGAGAGTCGCTATATCCTCCTTAATTGTCGCATGGTTCATAACAATCAAGGCAGTGCTCTCCTGAGGAGTGACGCCCTTCTCTGGATCGTTGAGGCTTGACAACGGCCCTACAGATCGTGTGGTGAGGCTGGGTATGGCAGCTGCAAAAATTCTTGTGAGCCAGATCCAAATCGCCACATTTCTTGAGATGGCCTCGCTGCACGCTCGTTAGTGATGAGGTTGGCGTAGATTAGGAGGCCGAGGCTTACCGAGCCTTGCGTATTGTATGTGTTTTCTCTAATGTTTTTGTGATCATAGAGCTCACTTTAGCTGCTGTCTGAGGGCCCATGGGAGGAGACTGAGTGTAATGGCCTTCAAGACAGACGAGGGCAGCAGCGAAGCATCGCTCCTCGATGGTTTCATCAGGTCCATTCTCGTGAGCCTCGTTCAGCAAATTGACGTTGTCGGGAAGTCGGGTCATTTTATCATTTCTCGTCATGGCATCCATATACAGTCGTTGACAAGTAAGGTATGTAGCGTTGTGGCTGCTATTTGATGGGTGAGGTTGTGGTGGGCTAAATTTTGGCGGAGCTAGGTCGGAAAATTTTGGCCGGCTTGGTCAGCATAAGAGGATGAGGAAGAAGACAAATAAATGTGAGACTGTGAATTTCGAGGCTGCATATAAGGCTACAATATTAACAGAAGATAAAAAAAAAAAAAAAAAAAAAAAAGCAGATTCAGCTCTATCATTAAATTATAAATACCTTCGTTGGGTCAATGTTAATAAAGTAAAATATTCACTAAGCGTAAAAGAACTCAGCCCCGCCAAACCAGTAAATGGTAATACAAGGCGTCTGAAATGAACAAAACACCGACATAGGAACAAAGACGTAAAATACTCTATTGAAGTACCCTTGAGATATCTTGAGAGTTCTTTCCAGAATGGCCTTTGATAGCTAATCCCAAGCCGATGCAGAGAATGACAAAATATTTGCAGATTACATAGCACAGAGCACAGAGCACTATGAGATGATAACACATCATTTCGAGATGGTGTGTCACGGCGCGCCTTGGTAGGTCCTTATGATAACAGTAATAGCTTATCGTAAGTCTATAAACACAGCACGCTGAGCATTCTATATCATACCCATAATCTTCATAATAGAACAACAGCAATCTCATGCCAAAGATTTAGTATCTTCAAATGTGCCAACCAATGGTAGAGCTCCCAAGGGTCCACGACCCCTCCATCCCACCTCTGCCCAAGCACGTAAGCTTGGTCATGGCGGCGGGGTAGGCAGTTCCAAGTTGCGCTGAGGACTAAGGTAGACACGGCAGATATTTCCTCGCGACGACGATAACCTCTCATTCTCATCAGCGTTCCAAGTCCTTGCTCAAACTAATCTCGGTTTCAAATCGTCAATATGGGTGACCTCCCCACTACGTTCGACAGTGTGTAGACTACCTTATCCGTCCGTATCCATCAATATAGGCGCAATACTGATTCTCACATCACCCTCATAGAGCCTGTCCATATCGCCGTGATTGGCGGTACTGGCCTCGGTCAGCTCGAAGGCTTCGAGCCCGTCGCTGCTCTCAACCCTATTACACCTTGGGGACCCCCGGCCTCACCGATCCAGATCCTCTCCCACAAAGGTGGCTACGTCGCTTTCCTTGCTCGCCATGGTGTTCACCATCAGTTTGCTCCTCACGAGGTCCCGAACCGCGCAAACATCGCTGCTCTACGACATATTGGTGTTAGATCCGTCATTGCCTTCTCTGCCGTCGGTTCCTTGCAAGAGGAGATCAAGCCTATGGACTTTGTCGTCCCGGACCAGGTCATTGATCGCACAAAGGGTATCCGTCCCTTTACCTTCTTCGAGGGTGGTGTAGTTGGACACGTTGGCTTTGCCGACCCTTTCGATGCAGGCCTTGCTAAGGTGGTCAAGGCTTGTGCAGCTCATATGGAGGGTGACGGCGTCGTCTTGCACGAGAAGGGCACGGTCATTGTAATGGGTAAGAGACCTGTTGAAGCAGTGCCAATTACCTAATCATCCTCTGACAAACAATCTAGAAGGACCGCAGTTCTCAACTCGCGCCGAGTCGAACATGTATCGATCGTGGGGAGGATCTGTTATCAACATGTCGACCCTTCCTGAAGCCAAGCTTGCCCGCGAGGCCGAGCTGGCCTACCAGGTGATTGCCATGGCCACCGACTATGATTGCTGGCATTCGTTTGAGGATGTTAATGTCGAGCTGGTCATCAAGTACATGAAGGCTAACAACGAGAATGCCAAGCGACTCGTAGCGGGTGTCTTGGATCGACTTGGTGAGCTCGAGAACAGCGACCTGGTCCAAGCGAAGCACTGGGCTGGTGCCTCTCAAGGAGCCGTCAAGTTCATGACCAAGCCAGCTGGCCGTGATCCCGAGGCCATGAAGAAGGTCGAATACCTTTTCCCTGGCTTCTGGGAGGAATAAACCCAAGGTAGTCAAAAGCAGAAAGAGACGGATATTCGAGGGTAAACCAAAGTACGTAGACAAAGACAGATAGGCTTTTGCTGTGATAGAGGCGTTATTGTAAAGCGGCGGAACAATCATTGGTCATCGATATGAGTTCGAAATCTATGCACCTGCTTGCTCGTTGATGAGATATTTAGAATCATGCACTCGTCAATGGGCACAAAGACCCAATTGAGGTCAGAATAACGTGAGCTATTGAGAGCACAGGTCCAATTGCTGTTGATCAGAACTTCTTGATAGGACAGTAAAGTATGCTCACGACGTCACCAGGCCACGACACGATAGTCAATGGGTGTTGAATGACCCCTGGTCCCTGACAAGGGTTCGTTGCTGTATCGTCCACACCCGAGGCTCATGGCTGAAGATGGCTTTTTTTTGTGGCAGTCGATTTCTGGTGTCACGCTTTGATGTCCTGTTTTCTCGTTTGTTTCCTCAGGCCCTGCATATGCCCGTTGATGTGGCAAAAGCGGCTCTTAGGTCGTTTGTCCGGCCCACTACGTCGCATGCATTGATGCTTCTCATGTCTGGCGTTTTTGCCGTGAAGCATTGAGGCCCGAGCATTGGCATACCGTACTGTAAGAACAACTCAGGATATGAGCTGTAAAGTTCTCGGGACCACAATTACTAGCTTTTCAAGCGTCGTTCCTGTGCCTTGTATCCATGTTCGTGAATCATAAATCGGCAACGGCCCGCCCTGAAAGGCAGATATCTGCCAGGGCCCTGGTCAAATGCTACCTGGCATTTCTTGCAGCTCACATTAGTCTTGCAGCACGGGTGGTCGCTGTACAACGAACGTCCATGAAGATGTCTTGTTATAACAGAAGATCTTCACACTCTCAACCCCTGAGCACCTCTTGAGTGTTGACGACAACCCTTGTACTTAGTGATGCAATAATTGGGTGTGTCACTTGTTTGAATAATAATTCAATCGTCTTACCTGCGTGCTGTCGTGTACAGATATGGCCGAATCCATGAACTTTGCACAGCGACAGGGGCGTAGCTGTCACCACACCCTCCTTGATGCGCGTCCTTTAAACGTAGACGCCGCTCAGCTGCATTTTGAAAGAGGTTCGTTCGATCAACAAGATTCCCTCGGCCGGGATCCTAGCACAATTCTGTGGCAGCGCATGCAATGCTGATTCCGACTCCGCGATCCCTGTGTTCCTGTTGTCTCAGTTGTTTTCTCTTTTGTACTGACCATTTTACGCTCTACCTTTGTTCGCTGAGGAATTGAGTGCCCAAGGTATCTTGAAGCTCTGGACATCAGAGCACCTCGACAAGGTTTTGAAATCAAGCCTGAACGCGTATTCCAGGCGCTGTCCTCAGACCAAATTGAACTACTCTATAATAGGCGGTCTCAGTGAGACATCTTCACTTACAATGTTGCGATATGTGAGTTTAGTTGATTGAGGCAATATGAATCAGCACAAAGTGAGTATACATTGGATGATTGTCCAGCATACTCGGCTATTCGTCAGAGTCACCTCCCTCGTTGTTTAACGAACGTTCTCTTGTCCGTCATCACAGACTTGGTGCCCAGCCTTCACCTCCTGACACCCATTCATGGTAGGCGGAGCTACTGGCAGCCTCGAAAGGCTGGCTGAGAGCAGTGTGGGACAAACCATCCCTAAAGGCGACGTTAATGAAGAAGGTAAACTGGACTTGCAGGCCGACCCGAAATACGCCGGTCCCCGTGTTGACAGGTCCGGGGTGTGACAGCTGTAAAGGACTTAGCACACTAGCCATGGACTGGGTATTGACTGATGGGTGGCTCATGGTATCAAGTCATTCCGAGGCACTACCAGAGAGAGTCAGAATCCACAGCATAGAGACTATCCGTAATATGCAGAAGGATGGCTGAAATGAACCAACACCCCATGTTATCCACAGAAATCACCACGGCATGTCATATTTGCTTTTGTGTCGTGTGCTTTTTTCTTCTTCTTTTTTTCTCAGCTGCTGTGTCGAGTATTATCGCTCAACCAACCCCTTCGCTCGATCCCGAGTTCTAAGGCACGAACGGCGTTGTCCAGCTGAAAGCTCTAGAACATCTCGGTTTTACTGCTGATGTGAATCCATACAGGACGATGACTTAATAGGAGAGAACTGGTTCTGTGAAAAGCAGAATGGCGGCGGAGCCAACGACTATACCTTGACTCGCGTGCACACGCAACACTGCACTGTTATGCGTCCAATTCTTGGCTCCAGCTTGGCCATCACTGACTCAATAATGCGTCGTTCCTCACCTACGCCTTAGAGCTACGTTACCAAGCGCTGTCAAAGCATGGGCCCGCAGAGATTATGCTCTTGTGTGGATTTCCATCTACCGGTCTCGCAGGACAACATGAGGTTGACGTGGATTGCAGTAGCTGCGACACCAGCGAGTGAAAGTCTTCTTTCTGCAAACGGCTAGCTCTCTATGAAGATCCGATATTCGCGCTCTCTTCTCCTCAGGCCAAATGCGGTGTGTTTTGTGAAGCATTCGAGGCCTCGACAGCTCTGAGCTCTGTCGTACAACATACAACGCACGGATATAGCACTGAGTTAAAGATCGACGGGCGTCAACATGCGTCTCTTCCTGAGCGGGTATCAGTACTATGTTAATCCCACGTGGCATGTGACAGACTGGAAGAAGCAAGGAGAAGGAATATCAATGCTCATCAAGACAGAAAACACGCAAGACGTTGTCGGCTGTAAGACAAGCCAGGGTGCGGCGGTGCATTTGGAAACAATAACAACGTCTTTGGAGGACCAACGTGCAGGGAATTTGCGAGGCTAATAAGCGATAGTGCCGTGGCTTGCTTGTCAAGTATCGTCGAGTACTGGAAAAACCATTGCACTGTGACGATGCTGGCTTCTCATTTGTCCATCATAACTGACAGAACTGCATCGCTAAAGCCCCAGAGGCTTAACAAAGACCGGCGGGTTGTTTCCCGGTCGAATGGCAGCGTAAGCGAGCCGGCAATAGTGTTATACCTGGTAGTTGTAAGTTTGCGCAAGGATGGAAGGTTAATAATGTATGGATGTTGATGTAAATGTCTTGGATCTCGGATCACGCTTAAGTGAACCGCGGCCTCGTAATTGGCCTCGGCTAGCGATCCAGCAGGCACGATCAACTGCTCCTGCTGTTTCCGTGTTAGGTCCTTTTGGGGCCATCACTGTGAATTGAGGTCTTGGCGTCCAACATATCACATACACAGGGTATCATGACATGACATGACATTACATTACATTGCATTGGATATGACTCCGTATATTGGACATTAACCGTGCCGTGCCTTGTCTTGTCGTGTCTCGTTTATTGAGCAGTTAAAGAGCTCAAGGACAAGGATCGCCTGATATGATCAGCATCATCACCACTAACAAACTGATTTTCAGCGGTAACAGGGAAAAGGAAAGGTTAATTGCTCGGTACTCCACATGCCGTGGCATGAATTGTGGTTCTCTGCATGCTTGTTTTGCTTTTTTGAGGCTCTCTCGACTTGACAGCTTCAATTCAACTTGGACGACGTGAGCTCTCTGTGGTGGAAAGAAATGAACAGACAATAGTGCGTTGAGTTGTATGCCCCAAAATGCATGGAATTGGTCGGTATATTGAGGATTGTAACATACCCATCTCGATTAGGCTATCGGCAATTTCATAGCTTGTTGTTCATGTTGTGTGTTGTCCTGAGCGTGCGTTGTGTGCTATTCCCCCTGTCCATGCCCTGGTTTCTCGCTTGACCATTGTGGTACCGCCCAACAAAGACCCCGTCCACATCCAAAAGGCAACTATTGACGTGACAGCACGGAATAACGTCCTGAAGGACATCACATGAGACGGTAGTGTTGGTGATAAAGCAGTGAAAGAAGAAACTAACTATAGGTAGCCCTAACCAGTATCTTGGGAGTGGTAAATCAATCAAGGCATGGGGACACCCACAGCCTTTCGGCCCTGAAGTCCGGTGGAGTCTAGAGAGAAGAGAGGATCCTGTTGTGTTACCACACCTCACCTACCCCAAGACGGGGTGACAACCCCCAATCGCGATCTATCGGGTTGCTTGCTGGCAAGACACAGCCCAGGATGTGATGTGGGTGAGCATCTAACATACCCTGTCTTCTATCCAGAACATATCTGCCTTTCAATTTATAGAAGGCATCAGTTTTGTCGCTTTTGAAGACCAACAGGCAATACCAAGCGGATTTTATATTCCTAGACTTTTAGCCTAACTCTCGGTGCCTAAGTAGGAGCACTTTGTTTCTTATGATCTGACGGCATCTGGCCCATGCTATAAGGCTGTAGAGCGGTGTTATGATTGTGAGCGACCCTTCATCGCTATAGAAGGGTGTGTGCACCCACGGGGAAACCTGTCGATCGAAATCTATCAATCCACCCCGCTTACTGTACATTGGTAGGGAGGTGCTCTCTTAGTATTACCGACAGCGTTCATCATCATGGCCATGCAAGGCTCTGTCCTGTCATCGGACGTGATCGGGCTCTCGTCAGAGGCAGTGCATAATGACCAATTTACGCTATCTTGCCGTGTTAGGCGGCAACTATACCCAGCTGATAACAAGACAGTTGAGCCTTTCCACAATGACCTGGGTCTTAAGGCGAAGGTGTCTGAATTGAGTTTGCCAGTCAGCGGCTAAGATCATAGAGGGGTGGCATGCTTATAACGTCACTAATCAGAACCCATGATAATGGTTGGACATTCTATTGTGTAACCTTGCGCTGTTAATACTTGAGTTGAAGCCGAATCGATATGGATCATTGGAACAGTCAGTGACGGGAATAGAAACAAGATGGCGATAACCAGAGCAGGAGGATACAAGTCTGTTGTCAAGTGGGCAGCTGATGGCCGACGAATATCGCCGGCCGCACACGCTGCGTTGACAGACATTTGCTACCTGCCTTTCATAGAGCCTATTCATGCATTAATATCTTCTTGCTATAGGAAATGCCTTGCCGGTGAGAATCAATAATTCCAGAGGCCCCAATTAAGTCTGGGCGGACCGCGGGAAGAAAAGGAAACCATTTTAGCACCACGGGAGTTCCCTTCCTTGCCCTTAGTTGAAGTCTACCTTGGCCAAGACTTACGTACAGACAAACGAGCCCCATCAAGAACGTTGAAACTTGAGTTCGATGCTTGAGGCGGCCACAGGGTCCAGAGTTCACCGTGCTCAAGATTGAGCTTCCGAGTTCACACATCATCTTATAGAAGCCGGGGGCATATTGCCAGGTACTGGAAGCCTTCCAGCTCATGAGTTTAGTTTAGTTTAGTTCAGTTCAGTTCAGTTTAGTGTCAGTTTAGTGCAATCGAACCCTTGCAATAGCGGCGGGCTATTTTTCTGCATCTCACTCTTGCAGCACACCTCCGCTTCAAGACGAACCACATTGGATCAGAGGAGTGGGCACCTTTTTGACAAATCTTGACTGGATACTCCGAAACAAACATCTTCATGTACAGGGATCTCTTGCGGAATCCATCTGAACTCCAACTCTGTCAGACTTTTCAACCGTACTGCTTCGTTACACGTACGCAGTATGTCCAGTAGCAACTGCAGCAGCTGGACAGGTACGCAATCTTCCCCACTGCCTCCATATCACAGGCCATCGAGAGATGCAACAATGATCTGTGCCGCGGTAGAATGGGGCATAATTGGGGCCGAGCCTGGTCAAGCAGCCGGAGAGCATGCTCTTTCCAATGATGAATCAACAGGCGGTCAAGGTGTTGAGATTCTACCGTGGGACAACGACAATGGCATGCTCCATCCTCGGAAAGACTCGCCTTTGTTGCTCAAGATTCGCAGCAGGACCCCAGACGATTTGCGCCAAGGGTTCTAAACAGAACAGCTGAGGGTGTCAGGAACCGCCGTTGAGATAGCACTGGGGATCAATAACGCCATTGTACTACCCACAGAATGAAACCATCACGCTTTCAGTCCAAGAAGGGAAATGACTCAAAGCTTTGGAACCAATGGAGTCCGACCTGAACCACGCTATCTTCCCATCTGTCACGCTCATGCTGCTTGCTCTCTAGCTCGAGCGGGATCCGTCTCAAACCATGACGTGCATCTGCTTGCCTCCCACCGTCCAGGGCTGGTCAGATTGGGGGTGAACAAAGTGCCCTGCCAGACCCTACCCTTTAGTGCAGCCACCTGGCCTGAGAATAACTTCAAGGCTCTCTCTTCTCTGTGCCAAGGTGACCAGTCATCTGCTCAAAACCGGCTACCAACTTCACCTGACTTTCCACAGACCACAGCAAACGAGGCATGGAAGGTGAAAATAGCGCCCGGCACGGCTAGAACGGGCGAAGGCGGGTCCGTGGGGATAAAGATGGGTCATTCAGATACCTGAGAGCAATTCATCATTGGACTGAGTTCATATCACCACGTTGAAGCAGTCGAGATGTGCTGGTGCCTTGAAGCCTGCCGCGGGTTGGCTTGTGCTGTGTTTTACGAGTTTTGCAACACAACCTCGAGCAATTGTGGAGGGGACCTGGACACAGGCCACAGGCCCCAAATGCCTAAATGGGCTCCTGTTTCTCACCACATCCTGGAGCCTCATTAGCGCTCTCTGCAGGGGCGTGGTCCGCCTAGGTACCGTAGCAGGTGGTTAAAGCCGAAGCTGAAGTATCTATATGAGTGCAAAAGATGAGCTGAGTTTCATGTCAGTCGACGCATGGCACTTGTAAGACTAATACGAGAGCGAGACACACGAAACAAGGTAAACAACACTATAAATTGATTTTCAGTACCGACAGGAAGAAGAAAAAAGAAAGCAGGCAGCTCCAAAGAGCGAAAACAAGGGTCTTGATAACTTCCCCAGCACATACCGGAACCCCATGTCTTATGGTGGGGATGTCAATGTCGAAGCATGAGAATGCCACCCTCCACGAGCTCGCCCTAATGTAGGATGAACCACTTCTGGTCAGGTCTGGGACATGGCCAAGATCCATCCCATTTTATTCTACCACCTTACGCACCCAAACACACTCCAAGTGCTGGGGTATAGCTATGGGTATGGGCGTGTTATCCAGCAGCAGACCAAGCTGCATTGCCTAGCATGCACTGCACTGGTACTGACGTTGAGCTGTCAAAACGGCACCACAGGAAAAAAAAAAAGAATCAGACATTGCACTGCTTTGTTTCAACAGACAGGATCCACGCTGCCACAGCGGCAATTCTCTCTCCTTTTCTTTTGAATCGTCTCGAATCAGATCGACTCAAATCATATCACGGCCCTTGCCTGCCTGCCTGTCTCGTTTGCCCTCACACATTCCTATGTCTGCGGCCCTTCTTCGACTCATCCCTGGGCGGTCGTCTCCATTGAGCAGTGACAGCCGGTAGCAGTGGCCGGTGTCTACCAGTAACTTGACAGCGGTAGTAATCACAGTAACCGCCTTCTCGCATCTGCTTGCCGGGTATAAAATCGGGAAGAGCGTGTCCTGAATCGCAATCTCTTCCTCCTTCACTCGCTAGCATCGAGATTTGTTGTAGACGATCTCAACCGCCAATACCTTTCCACAAACCCGTTTTTGAATACAACACTGGCATATCGTATCGTGCCGTGCTGTAACCTATCGTTCCGCAGCGCTCTTTTTTTTTTTTTTCCCCTTGAATCTTCCTAAGTGGTATTGTTGACCCTGAGTCGTGGAATTGTTTTGTGCGTGCTGGACCCTGTTAACCTTGGAAGTATAGTCACACACTCCTCCGATTTTGCATAACGACATTGGAAAAACGAATACTTGGATTGATTGATGTCCTTCGATTGCCGTGATGGATCCCAAGAATGATGCTCCCGCGCATGGAGCCGTAGTCGATATCGGCGGCAGCAACATGTATGACGGCATCGGCAAGCGATTGCAAGAGGCCCTCACGGCTCCATACTCTCCAACCTCCAAACCCACGCTGCCCGACGAATTACTGTACGACGATGTCGGGTTGCCGATCTGGAATCAGATCATCTTCACCCCTGAATTTTATCAGACTCATGACGAGATTGCCTTGTTTGATAAGCATGGCGCCGATGTTGCTGCGCGATGCCCAGCTGGTGTCACAATTATCGATCTAGGAGCTGGGTTAGTTCATCCTCTATTGCCCCGCACTCTGCCCACCCTCAATGAGTGGTGGCTGTAAGCTTACCCTGTCCATACTAACACGACCCCCATCCAGTGACACTCGCAAGGTTGGTCACCTTCTCGCAGCCTTTGAAAGGGACAAAGTTCCCGCCAAGTACCTCGCATTGGACATCTCCAGATCGTCGCTGAATCACAATGTCAAATACCTCGTGGAGCAGCACCCGAGCCCTGAGTCTTCAGTGACCTGTGCTGGTATCTGGGGTACCTTTGGCGATGGTATGAGCTATATCCAAAAGATCTCGACACCTCGTCTCTTCCTCTCGCTAGGTTCGGTTCTCTGCAACGATCCTTGGCCTGAAGCACTCGCTCACCTGAAGTTCTGGGCCGATGCCTTGCGACCTGACGACCTGCTTCTAATTGGAATGGACGGCCACACTCTTCCCAACAACAAGGAGAAGATCTGGAACGCCTACCACTCTTGCGATGACCTCTACCACAAGTTCTTCTTGAATGGCTTCAAGCATGCCAATCGTCTGGCAGGGGAGGAATGGTTTCGTGAGGAGGATTGGGAACTCCTCGCGCAATTGGAGGATGAGCCCACTACTCGTCATCGCTTCTTCTTCCGGGCCAAGAAAGATGTGAAGCTTAAGAAGATGAGCCGCATCATCCAGAAAGGCGAAGAGTTCGACTGGTTTGATTCTCACAAGTACGGCGAAGATAACGTGCGCCTCATGTGCTATAAGGCAGGACTGAGCGTAATCGATGTCTGGCAGGCCCCAGGATCGGAGTTCCGTAAGTTCCCTCCTATTAATCCCCTCTGGTGATTTCTTCTTTCTTTCTTTCTTTCTTTCTTGTTTCTTCTCTCTCTTCTTTTACGATTTTCATACTGACTTGTTTTCAGGACAATATCTCGTTCGTCGTAAGGACAGCAAGGACCAGCGAGACGACGCCGACAGTGCCGTCTCAGGAGTCAGTTACTAATCTGTCTCCGCGGCTGGCCGCTACTATCACATCTAATTCCTAAAAGAATTTTCACCAAAAAGGCGGGCAACTATTGCTGAGAATATCTGCGGACAGTACCTTTTTACGAGTAAGGGAAGGCATTGTAATCCCAAAATGGATGGGCAGACCAAAGTTTTGTTCGTTGCGTTTCGTCAGGTTAGGCACAGGGTTTCCTCTTCTGCTTCGAGGACCTTTGCAACAAGGTGTTCCCACCAAGGGTACCTCTTACCGATAGATTTGGGGAGAGCAGTTGGATCTCGTGGGATTTGTACTTCTTTGTCAATCCACCCCCAGATGCGCAAAAGCGCGTCGTATAAGGGGGGGACGCTCTGAGGTGACAGGTAATTAGCCCCTAATTCTGCAACTAGAGTAGGTAATGTTGGGTGCAGTAGACCTGGGCAAGGGCAGAACCAGCCTGCGTCTTGCCATAGATTACTAAAAATGGGAGGTTTGCGTTTCTTTCTTTGCACTTACACTGCGGACTGGCGTTTGAACCACTTGTTCGAACCAATCCATTGAAACATCCTTGTGTACAGGTTCAGTAGCGAGTAAGCCCAGGAAAAACACTGGTAATAGGGGTGCTTGAGCTGTAAAGTGAGACCCCGATGTAGGCATAATTCGTATGCAACGGGCAAGATCATCAAGATTGGCAAGAACTTCCGGGTGATTTCGAGGCAGCCTAATGGAAGGTTCAGTCAGCGAGCGCTCTTGCCACTGTCGTTAACGCAAGTTAGGATAGGGTGGCAGGGAAAGCAGGTAGTGTCCGTGTTGAGCCGGCAGAGGGGGAAGGAGTGAGTTGAGCTGTTGCAAAATCAACGCCCATTATCCCAATGGATCTCCAACTTCCTTCTTCTTGTCCACTTCTCTCCCTCCTAGGACCTTTTCTTCCCCTTCATCGCATATTCATACCTCAGAAGACGACATTGATAATAAATAATTGCGGCGATCCTCCATGCCTCAGCTGTAACCTCGGTCATGATTTGGTTCGAATCAATTATCACTTCGTCTGCTTTGTCGCGCACCCAGTCTATCGTTGGAGGGTACTTTCGAGCCAGCTCCCAGTCTTTGCCCTCACGGCTCCATTGGCGCATTTCTGATAGTTCGCGCAAAAGAAATTTTGCCGTGATTGGAACGATGGTGGATTCGGGCTCTTGCTGCAATCGACCTGCACAATACGTTACTTGGCTCATAAGATGCAACAGTTTCTTCGAAAAGCCACATCCTCCATGGATTTCAAACATATCCTTCTCTGTTCCATAGAGGAGCCAGCTGAACCTGCCTGCTTCAGCCTCAGGGTTGAAAGTCTCTGGTGATGGAAGGGCCATCATAGGTTGAGCCAGAATCACTGCCCGGCCAACGATGATTGACTGAGAGATGCGAAGTTCGTTGTACTGGACGTTGTTGTTTTTCCAGTAGCGAGCACCAGGGTCTGTTGCTTGCAGAAAGTATTCGCCTTGCCTGAATCCTTCCAGCCATCGTGGGTTGTACGGCTTCTTGAGTCGTCGTTCCGTGAGGACAATCTAAATACTAGTCAGGTCACTTCACAACAACGAAGGCGCACGACCACCAATCCTGCAGCGACATCATACATACATCCTGCATTGAAAGAAGCACGGCCATGGTGATGACCTCCTGCCCTTTACCATTTTCCCTGCTTTCAGGTGCATTGAGGAGTGTGCTGAAATATTGATCTGCCGTGACATATCGCTGATTGATCCGCTGTCGGATGCGCTCATCCGGTATATAATCATAGATGTACACCCCGGCAAGACTCTGAATAGCGTGGAGAATACCTTCGTTCTTATGCATCGGCGCCAGATCCTTTAACCACAGATTTGTGTTGCTAAGCACACTCCTTCCTGGACACCAGTTCTTGATATCTACCGAGTGGTGAGCAAACGCTTGTTCAAAGCCCAAAGCACTGATAAGCACGTTTCAAAGACTTACAGAACTCAAACAATCGTCTGTCGATATGATCCATTTTTGCTTGGAATCCGAACTGAGGAGGCAGCATTTTCGGGTCGCCAGCTACCAGGATTTGTGAAGTGTCTTGAACGGAAACTGGAGAACCTGCCATCAATATCGGCGATGAAGTACTTCCCCATCCTCCCTCTAGGTCCATGGGCGAAATAGTCCCATTTGGCGCGGAAGACACGGCAGGCCCAGGGTTAACCAGAGTTATTATGGTTGGAGTGCGACCAGCAGTGTGCGATCGCGTTACGTTGGACGTTATGTCCTCAACGTCATCCTCTGGTGGGAGTGGTACAGGGCCAGACGGTCGTCTCGACGGAGCTCGCGAAGGCCAGTTAAATTTAACATACCCATTCACCTGTCCATTCTCAGGGCGAGCATAGCGAGGATAGGCAGACACAATCAGTCGGTCCTCATTCGCGGTGAACGGACTTACAACGAGCCCTTCTACTGGTGCCAGGCCTCTCTTCTTCGAGTCTTGCGGTTCAACAGCCCGCTCTGGAAGAGCATCGTGCACCGCAGGCAAGAGGCGAGGCAGTCGCTGGGCCTGAGAGCGAGGTGGCTCAGGTTGAGGTTGAGGTTGAGGTTGAGGTGCTGTGGCTACCTGAAGATTCAACGCAGGCTGGGGTGCTGAATGGAACGTCAGCTCACGGACTTGATAGTCTACCATGGCATGATCGGGTCGACGGGTAGTTTTGATCTTCTCGGCAGGAATTGGAACAAAGTCGGGAACATGATGGATGGAAGATGGATTCTCAGTCGGATTGTGCAACGGGGTGAGGGTGGGAGTAAGAGCGGGGTGGGTGGGTGCAACATGTTCTCTCTCATCTCCTTTCTGCCCATGGTTACACCTCTCATCGGAGACCCATCTGACTTCAAGATCCTCCACAGGGATTTGACAGGGACAACGGGTCAGAGTTAGGATCTGAAGAGTTTCCGAGAAGGTAGAGCCATAAGGAAAGGTGGGTGAGGTGAGGTGGATAGTGAGTGACAACAGGTTCACTTCCTTACCTGTAAAAGCTGGGGCCCACGAATTGCCAAGGTCCTCGGGAAGGTTGAATAGGACCTCTGAGGGAGACGATACTCCCGTTGTCATGGGCCATGTATTTTCGAATAAAGGGACATCAGTAACCAGGGATCCGTCAGCGCTGTCGGAGGCCCTGATGCTAGATGTGGCTATATTCAGTGGGATCGCATCGTCTTGTCGCGCGTATTTGACGCGCTTCACCGGACGGACTGATTCTGGTGAACTCTCCATTTGGACGGCTCGTTGCAGGGAACGCCGGGGACAAGTCCGATGGGCCGTGCTATAGTTAATGGGAGAGATGAGAGAACAAGACCTTACAGTACGATGGTTTCGGAGTCAGCCGGATCAGAACACCACGGAAGGCCAGCGGCAGCGGGCGGCGGTAACAAGTAGCGATGCCAGACGTTTGATGATCAGAGCCGCCGGGCCCCAGGGGCGACGCACAACCGTTGCGGCGCGTCGAACTGAGAGCCTATTGATGAGATACCAGTAGAGTGGTTCGCTTCAAGGCAAAGAACCACGCCTACCGAGAGTGGGTTTTTGGAGTGTGAACCGCCGGGATAGCGGGGGCGAAAGGAGACAACAAGAAGCGAAGAGGAAACAGTTCAACCGAGGGACCAGCGGAGGGGTGTTGAAGCAAAGTCAAGAAGACCGGAAGGTCATGGCGTGAGATAAGTCTGGGGAGAGTACCTGCATTAAAAGGGACGTTGACCACCTGTGCTACTCTCTGGCTCTCCAGAAGCAGTTTGGACTTTTAACTAAAGAGATGTCTAGGAGCTGTTAGAAACATTAAGGTCAATGGTTGGATTGCAGGCCTCCCCACTTGGAACCTAACGAGCTTAAAGCCCTTAACACAAGGGAAAGAGAGTGCTTCTCCAATAGCTAGCAGGACGCCGCCTCACGATATTAGAAGCAGTACCGCCTAGTCACGATCGGTAGGGCGGGCAACCTGAAGGCGAATCTCACCCACCGTTGCCTCACGCGCCTTACGCGCCTGCTGCCGCCGTCAAGATAGAGCCAGAGAGGGGATGAAAGGACTGAGCAGGTGTGGCGGCCCATCGATGTGATGGGACCTGGCCTTCCAGGGTCAAGGACCAGGGGGGTTTACTTACGAGGTCCAAGATGGGTTTTTAGCGGCAGGGAAAAAACGCCATGGCGCACCTCCCAACTTAATCACCCGCCCTTGCTTCTTCGGGGTTAAGAGGGCCAGCTGGTCTAGCAAGGGCACAGTCAAGATGATCCTTGACAGGAGACACAAACAACGGGGCCAGAGTCCAGTGCCAACAACACTACAAACGGTGCTCGGTACATCCTGTGATACGGACTGCGGCAGCCCCCATACGCATTAGCGTTACCTTGACTCAGTTGTCTCTTTCCCCCCAAACTTGTTGTCTCTTGTCTCGTTACTTATTGCTCACGCGAAAAAGCTGTGCTTGTGCCCGGCACCGCGTGTCTTGCCTCTCTACCGGCCTCATAAGGAGCAAGTTCCAAGAGACTGACCGAAGAGACCACAACATTCATTTTGTCGACCCGACGTTGGGTGTTGCCGTCGTTGTCCTCTTTTGCGGACCAAAAACGTAGGACACTCACCAAGCAGATTGTCTGTGACTTTTGTCTTTCGCCTCTCAGCACCGGCTTCTAGGCCTGAATACCACACAAACCCGCGCATGGTATTCTCCGACGGTTACGCTACATGCTGCCCTCCTTTGACCGACGCATGCGCATCTTTTTCTTTTCTTCTGTCTTAGAAACGCAACCGCGAACCCTAGGCGGACGGATAGACAGTTCCTGACAGCCATTTCCCCCTCCCCCTCGGTCGCCCCAAAATTTTGCCTTCCCGCCGCCGCCGCGCCGCGCCGGTCCGGAGCCCTTCGTTAGCTTCCGTGCCACAACAATTTGCAACACGCTACTGCTAGGTCCCGCGTGGTTGGTCGAAGCTCTAAGCATAGTCCAGAGTACATACCTACGTACAGTACTATAGGTGCATACTCACATATCAACGCCTATTGCCAGCGATCTCAATAGTACAGAAAGAGGTACAGATACTACTGTACCATCATGTCAATTCCATCATCTGCACTCGTCTTTGAGTCAGGGATCAATACAATCCCCAGCAATACTATGGAGCCCAATTCTCTGGATGCCCTTGTCCGGGTCCAGTTGGAGACTGTTTCCAGGGAGTTGGCAGCAAAGGCAAAGTTTACTACAAATGTTTCATCGCCCGAACAACGTCAAAATATCATCAACGATGTGGGAGAATATCTTACTCAGACCGCCCAGATGTGGCTTTCTTTGACAGATAAATTGGTGACGGGACCTCATGTAGCAACAGCTGCAGAGGAGGCGCACGAGCTGTCCTACAATAAGACGCACATGGCGGACTTGCAGCCCATGGCTACAATGGACATGAACATCAGCAAGCTTGGGTAAGTCTCTAAACCAATCGTGTTATATCATGGCTTATCCATTCTGGCAGCAAGATCCGTGATCTGGCAGAAAAGTTCTCTGAAGACGTACAAGACGTCTGGCGACGGACACCTGAACCTGGAGGAGTCTTGTCTGCACCAACTTACCACACAGTCTCTTCCTTCCCTGTTATTAAATCTGAAGCTTCAGGCTGGAGCCGGTCATTCTCCGGAGGCAATAACATGGATGGTGGAACTCGCGAAAGCCAGAGAGCTATGCTAGCATCTCGAAGCACTGATGACGCTCCATCACCTGGTGGGAACCTATCCATTTCAGAAGACTCAGGGGATGATGAAGATGAACAATTCAGCAAAATCGACATGGACGCTCTTAAACAGAGAGGCAAAGGCTTGTACTATTGTCCCTTGGGACATCGCTGCGACAAGGGCGGTGTTGATAAGGAGGGGAAACTTGTGGTCTTTGATCGAAATTCTTCTTTTGCGTATGCTTATGCTTATCACCCCGAGTTGCTGGTTTAAACTGACCCCTGTCATAGACAACACTGTAACAAGCATCGGAAACCTTGGCGGTGCGATGTTCCTGGGTGCCCGAATCCACCCAAGAAACGCAAGTTTGCCCGCCGAGACGGACTTGAAAGACATAAATTGACGGTCAAGCACCGCGTTATTACATCTTGAGGCCCTAGTCACGAGCTTCATCTTGTGCTTTGATGGGCTGCGTGACCTTGACCGGTCAATTCCCTTACATTCGGAGACTTGTCTTTGATTGGGGGAGATATGGCCGGTGAAAATAAACCATGCGGCTCATGCAAACCCGAGAAGCACGAACCAATAATGATGCGCCAAGGGTTTCTCTGCCACTCATAGGTCCATCCGCCAGCAGTTGAACGTTGCACGAAATCATGGAAATTGATTCGGACCTACATGGCCTCAGTTGCGTGCAAGTTACAATACGAGCATAGCATGACTGACCTCTCAGCGGAGCATGCCTAATGACGCATCATTCGCATGAACACAGGAAAGATAGTCGAAATTCTTTTTATCACGGCATAATTGCTGGTCAATAAGCGACCGCCCAACCTTTTGTGGAGTTGAACTAGTTTTGTATCTGAAAGGAATGATGCAACCACCTGTAAGCTGGCACATCACCGGTCAGAGTCGCCAAACAAACAATCATTACATATGCAGTTAGCCTTCGGGCAAGATGCATGAAACCTTTTCGCAATAATTTTTAGGACATCCTTCTCAAGAGAGAAACAGCCGGCTCACAGGTACCACAGTTAGCAGTTGAGGTGGACATGGTAGGCCTCAACGACTAAGAAAGGATGGAATAATCCACCGACGCGGCATCTCAGTCACAGATCTACCCGTGCCTACAGGGCCAAGACGGACGGCAGCATGGGAAATTTCAGAAATGCATTGTCATTTTGATTACACGGGTCTGCTGGCTGTCTATAAGTCGTACGACAGGACCACGCATTCAGAACGTTCGAGAAAAGGAGGTACAGCCACGTATGAGAATGAAACAGGCCGAGGTCTCACAAGAGCACTGGTACAAGCTGTCGGTTCCCGCGCAAGAGGCACTTGATCAGGCAAAGAGGTTTGCTAGAGTACGTACAAATACAGTACTAGGCTGGGCTGCCGATTGCAAGAAGCGGGTGGCTTTCCCAAACTCGTGGGAAGCTGGCCACAGATGGCTTGCAGACATACGATCTCATACTGCAGCAATGTGACACTTCATTTTCTGGATGCTCTCAGAGCTTCTAGGGACTGGTGAAATTCTATCATTCTTCTCTGGGGCGGCCCTAGACGATGATCCCGGCACTAGGGCCATTTGTTGGGCATGCACCCTGGCGATCAACATGCGGACCAGCCAGTTGGAAACAGCAATTGTGAGAAAATCGTATATCGGTATGTACGGTGACGAGAGTCTTGACCAACTCTCATGTAGCAGCGGCACTGTCATTCGAGATCGTGGGCAGGCAGATAGTAGCATCTCAAACACTACCTACACAATGGCATGATGAATTTTGGACTCGGCAAAACGATCCGATCTCACTGACCAATCTACCTTTTCCCCACAAACATTTCCCATTGACTTCTCGGCTCCAGGTAAAGGAAAACAGACTTGGTGCAACCCTTAGTGGCGCACGTGGCTTCTTAACGGTGCGGGACTAGAGCGCTAGCACCTGGGAACTTGCATGGGTTGTGTAAGGGGAGTTTCCATCCCAGACCAGGATTTACGGACCAGGAGACGAACGAGATGGGACGAGGGACGGAACGAGAATAGGAGGAGAGGGGAGAAAAGGAAAGAGAAGAGACGAGAGGAAACAAAAGAAAGTCAGATGAGCGGTGTGTTCCGGAGACGACGGAAAGGTGCTCCTGTCATAGCGTCAACCTCAGCTCTTCAACTTTGTCCATCCTTGGTCAACCATGCACCACACAACAAGGACTGTGCAGCGTCGTGCCCTTTCTTACGCTGGTCTGGTCAGGCCTGGTCAAATTGAGCTGAGTCGTAGAGCGCGCCGTACTGAAGTGTCAGATCTGGGATTAGGCGTTACCCAATGCTTGGGTGGAATGGATATGTATGGTACATCACATCGTGCCAGTAGAGCAGATCTCGCGGGGATCCTTACAAGGCAACTGGCCTAATGCATGGCGTTTATGGGTTCCAGAGCACTGTGCTGTACAGCATCGATGGCCTGCGGACGAGTTGCATAACTGCATCTAACCTAAGGCTAAGCGGAGCAAACGACAACTAACTCAAGTCTCAGTCGGTCGTGTCTTGAGTTTATTATCCATCTACACAGCACTTGTCATCAATTGGTGTCATCATCATCACACAGCGACGCTTGTGGTACCTTGGTGTGGAACAGCCAAGAAATACCCCGCAACCAACCAAAACCATTCTCAACCATGACCGAGGTGAGCCAGGCGAAGCTTGCTGTTTAGTTCCAGCACCTTAGCTGGGTTGTTTTACTTTTTGGCTCTCGCTTTTTTTTGGGGGGGGAGTGGAGAATGCGATGAGAGAAAAGAGTATCTTTTCTTCTTCTCTCACCTCCCAATTCTTTAAGGAACATGGGCTGGACCAGGCTAGTTACTCTACGGGAAAAGTATGTACTGTACGACATTGTCGCTCTGTTCATATCGCTCGCCTGGGTCTTCTGGCTCTCTCCTTGAGACGCTTTTGGCACACCCCCATTCAACCAATGGTGAGCCGTCCAGGGATTCTCGACTAACTAAGTTACCTAGTTCCTCAGTCTGTGAATCTCTTTTTTGAGAATCTTTTCGTTGTTCCCCTTCCCGTCGTTTCTTTTTCTCGGTCAACGCCCCCCTTGCCGGAGCCGTCAAAATGAGACAGTCCCCTTGGCATGAGCCCACGTCAATCCATCAATGTATATACAGTATTCCCCAAGGAGTGTGGAACTAAATTGTTGGCACTGGGGCCATGGATACCTTACATACTGTAGCTGATCTATAGACTACGCTATCCGTACGGAGTGCACTACCTATATTACACTGCACAACAGGGCTGTACGCCATGTATCCATTGGCTGTTTGGACGCCTTGTCCTAGCCTTACTCGCGCGCATGCCTACATGACGGTCAATATTCTATGTACACTACACTACACCACATAGCACAAGACTACATTGACCGGCAATCGTCTTTTCTCAACGGTTACTAGTCTCGGCTTTCTGGCGTCTCTCAGTCGACCGCTATTTGGTATTGGCCTGCAATTCCCGGCCCGGCTACAGGCTCAGGAGTTGGAGTTTGCAATATAAAGTTGCTGTTCGCACCCACGGGAGATGATATGGCGCCAACAAGTCTCACTTTCCTATACAACAAGAACAAGTATAAGAGCCTATCATTTACACTTACCTTGATGCAAATTTGTTTCTCAGACTTCAATTGACCACAGCGAGACTCAATCATGATCATCCCTTCTGTCCTCATCATAGGGGCCGGCAACTTTGGTGCTGCGACTGCGCTCTCACTCCGTAGAAAGGGCAAGGTTCAAGTTACCATTGTCGACACGGCCTATTTCCCCAATCCTAGGGCCGCTTCTCACGACATCAACAAGATCGTCCGCGATGACTATCCGGACAGACTCTACATGCGCCTGCTGAAGAAGGCTATGCCCCTGTGGAGGCAAGACGAGTTATACAAGACTTGGTATCACGAGGTCGGCATGCTTCGTGCTGACTCTACCTCGTTTGGTGAAGAGAGTATCAATTCTTACCGCGACATGGGGATCCCCAACAGGTCGGAGCTTCTGCCTGTCGATGAAGTGCGCCGTCGTTGGAACGGTGCCTTTGAGACGGCTGATTTCAAGGGCGTGGACAGGGTTCTCTGGAACCCTGACGTAGGGTTCGCGGAGGCGGACAAGGCTCTCGGCGCGGTGGTCCAGGCTGCGGTCGACCTCGGAGCCGAGTATGTCGTTGGAGAAGTGACGAAACTCGACTTTGGGTCAGAGGGCCAATGTATTGGTGTTACACTCAAGGACGGCACGACGCTGCGAGCTGACAAGATTCTTCTTGCTGCTGGAGCTCGAACAGCATCTCTACTCGCGCAGAGCGCGCCTGAAAAGCCACTACTCCATGCTGGTGAGAGACTGCTGGCTACAGGAGCCGTGAGTTTCTATGCGAAGCTGTATGGCGCGCAAAAAGACAAGTTCTCAACAATTCCGGTGCTCAAGAATTGCTTACCTCAGGTCAAGGGTACGTACTGTATTGCTTGCATGCTTGTTTGATGTTGCAACCGGGGCGGATATTATCGGTACTTGACTGGGCTGAGCTAACAAGTCATCCGCAGGTGAGGGCATGTCAATCCTCAGCGACGGAACTATCAAGTTCAACTGCGACCTATGCTTTACCAACTATCAAGTATTCCCTCCAACCGGTGAGGCCATGTCAGTTGCGCCTAGCCAGTCCATGTATAACACGTGGACGGGACCTCGATTTCTCAAGTTCTTTGAGGACCGGGCGCGAAGGACGTTCAATGGCCTATATGGCAAGGAAGTCGAAAACATCAAGATTGAGGCCTACCGAATGTGTTGGTAAGCAAGGCCACCCACTCTCATGAGCCTGTGTATGTGTATAGTTATCCGAGCTGACTGGTCTCTGCCACAGGGACGCATCAACACCGACACATGACTTCCTCATATCACCGCACCCGCAGAGCGACAGACTCTACATCGCAACAGGAGGTTCCTTCCACGGATGGAAGTTTCTACCTGTCATTGGCGACTACGTCGTGGACATGATGCAGGGAACCCTTGACAGCGACTTGGCCGATCGATGGGCCTGGGACAAGAAGGGCGGCGATGGCCATTCGGCAAACCCAACATACCAAATCGTCGGGGACTTGCAAGACTGGACCCGTGGTTGGGCAAACTAGGAGACGATAACATTAGTCTCTCCTCCTCTTCGTCCCTGTCCTGACAGAAGCTGAGAAACGACAGCCAAGGCTATGGCGTGGAACTCCTCCGAATAAGTGTGGCAAGATCGAGACCAAGATCAAGCCAACCCAACCAACGGGGTCAGTGACAGCGCCATTGACTGGGATTCAGGCAGGGGCAGGGGTGGTAGCCAAGGGTTTTAGGGGTCGGTCATTGTCACGACATGGGTGAGACGAGCGATGGATTACCCCATGTCTAGCATTGGATCGGCGCCTAACTTTGAAACCCCAGGCCAGACTTCATTGTTTATCCTACCAACGACAGACAGCGCAACGGTATCACTATCGCTATCACTCTGCTCCGCTACGCTACGCTACGGCGCACGATGGATGGATGCTCCAAGCTGAACCACCAACCTGGGAATGACGGTTAATGATGATGGGCACTAAAAGTTTGAGAGCTTGTTCTCTCCTCTCAGCGATGGGCATGGACCCCTGTTATGTGGGCTTCCTGGTTCTCACTAGGTATTTTGGCGTTGCTTTTTCCGGCTTCAGCATGAGCATGAGCATGAAGGACGAAAATCTCTTGGGAGAGATGGAGTATGTGGTTCTTCGCGATATCAATGGGGTTCTTGTCTGTTTCCTTTTTCTGGTCTTTTTTCCCTGCTTAATATTACATCACCTCATTTTGAATCTTCTTTTCTTTTTCTTTTTTATCATGCTGGAACCGACTAGAGAGGTATCATAACATATCATATTTTGCATTTCTTTTTCCATTTCTTTTCAGGTTCCTTTTTCCAACTTCTGTTGTAACACTCAAGTTCGAGTGTCAGATTTCTCATTCGTTCATTTTGCACTTTATTTATTGCTTTCCTAGTCATGTTATGTCGTGGGTATCATGGTCATTCACGGTCAGCATTCTCAAACGCATGGGTATTTAAAACGGTGCCAAGAACTGAGCAAGAGATTTATCTGATGAGCATTATTAGCATTAAGAGGTTGTAAGGTTTTCAATAACACATGCATGATACAAGCACTTGGTTCCAAGCATTTCGCTCGTCTCTCCCTCTCGCCGTCTCCCCGTCTCGGCTCGCCTTCCGGATCCCGTTTCCAGAGTTTGTAGGTATGTATGGACAGTACCTACAGTATGTTATCTCTAACCGGAGAATATTAATGTGAATTAGTGATATGTGACAGAGTCGCAAAAGGGTGAGACTAGACTAAAAGTCAGAGGAGACGGGCGGTAATTACGGTCCACTACGGCACATAATCTTGGCATATCCGTGCTGGGATCAGTTGAGAGAACAGCACCACCTCGCCGGTCGTGGAATTACAATTACAATTACAGTGGTAGGTACTTTGACTACTCTCCTTCTTGGTCGTCGTCTCATACTCACATACATACGTGGGACTAGATCACGAGGAAGTGCAAAAGTTCAGGGTTGACATACGAGGAACGACCCCTGCCACTATGACAGTGGTCAAACCCCTTGTATCGGTAGTTGATGATCCCTGCAAGACTGGTTCCGTTCGGTTAACGGGAGGTATGATACCGATCCAAAGCTCTGGCTAGACTAAATCATGGGCTGGAATCAGAGCCCGTTTCTTCTTCTTCTTCTTCTTCTTCTCTCTCCCTCCCTCCCTCTCCCTCTCCTCTCTCACCATGATCCTTCATGCATGGAGCTGCATTGCATATACTACTACTGTAACTGCAACTGCAAGCCCCTCAGAGATAGGGCGGTCTGCTGGGATCCTTCATCTGAATCGTATGATCGTATCTAGATAACGAGATTCGAGCAGATGGCATTGTGGGTGGTTAGGTTCGTGACCAGGAGCAGATGAAGCAGGGGGGTTGCTGCCGATCTCTCTGGCTTTGACCTCTTGTTGGGGACCTGGTCAAGCTGATGCGATTACGACAGTCTACATGCAGAAGTTACAGTATTCATTAGATCCCTGAACCCAAGGAACGAGGGCCCCAGGGAAATGAGGCTGACGGAGTATGAGTTCCTAGCGACGAGGAGAGTAAAGAGATAACATTTCAGGGGGCAAGGAGATACTAATAAGAGTTGCAGCTATGAAATTAGGCTATTGTGCGATTGACGCTGTGCAAAACTCAGATTTATCGTGTCTTTTTTGATACGTCAGCTCGAGTTGAAGCCCTTGCATGTTTCTTTTTGACTTGTCTCTGGAATTCCGGTTTCAGGAGATTGGTTGGGGGGGGGGGGGGATCTTTATTCCCGATAGGTCTGGCATGTTTTGGTCCAAGGTGTATTCCTGCATACATACATGCATCGTGAGATCTCCGTACCGGTCTGTAGAGTCCAAATAGGCTACTGACTTGGGTAGGCTATATTAGAGGTCATGTGCATGAGGCATCTCGATAGCTTGAGACCGGTGATGAAAGAAAGGACGAGACATGCATGGAAGCACCCAGCATGAATCATTTCTTCTTTTTCGTATCGGTGCACATGACTTGTTATTGTCTCCCTGCAGGTTGGTTCAAGTCTGGACTCTCATCAGTCATCAGTGACATTGGGGCGTGTTGTCGCTGTGATTGTACTCCTTGCTAGCGGACAATATGGCGACAGTGACCTTCACTTCTGAGTCGATTGCCCTTTACCTCAGTGTCCTCAGTCGTATTGGGTCAACCATAGCCACACAACTACATTCTTTGCCATCTCGGCCTGATTATGACGAGACAAGTGCGCGGCATGCGTAACAAACAAAAGCAATAACTCACAGGAAGAGTTGTAACACGACACACCCTGGACTCAACGGCCAAGTGATCGCCACGGCCTCATAAAACGGCATTCTCGAACCGTCCTGTCGATCTCTTTGACAGCCTCGTATGAGTTATCGCTTTCAATTCAGGAGAGAAACCATCCATGTCGTCGATCTCTCACTGACAGAATGTTGTACGTCAGGTATCGACAAGTCAGTTCTGCCAGTGAAGTACATGTACAGTGCGTGCGCATGCATTCATGGCTCTGTAAGATCTTGCTTTGCCTTGCCATGACATTTTGTGGCTTCTATTTTCAGCTTGTCGCACGCAGTAGCCTCACCTGACGATCACTCCCTGAACAGACACTTCAAAGGGGGGGGGGGGGGGGCAGTGCCTAAGTGCTTTGCTTTTTATTAACATTGCTTTTTATGCCATCGACCCCTCAAACTTGAAAGTGACTCTTATGAAGCCAAGAATGTTTGCTTTTTCCAGTTCGTCACCGCATTCTAACGGCGAGTTCATGCACGTTCAAGGAGGTGCCGGAATCGGCGGAGAATGACAAGCAGATCGAATCGGATCGGATCAGGTTCAAATTCTTTGGATCTTGGAATTCCAAGATTTCATCTGGGTCGTGTAAGACTGTGACCATTCTCGTGGAGTTTGGTACCGGTTGGAAAGAGGGTCTAGTGGGTTTCTATTACTTGCATTTATAGGAATAGGGTAAGCTAATGAGATAAAATAGTTTACTAAGGGACAGTAAATCAAACTTCGTTTTACCATTAGATTGAATATAGAGACAGAGAATTCTTTTGTAATGGTTAATTGTTTTGCTAAAAGGATTAGGAGGAGCCTGGCTGCCTGGTTAGATCAATCCCTTGTTCCTCTTCAGCTAATGCGTATAGAGCATCCAGATCCCGAAGATTTTAACGATAAGCAAGCCCCGTTGGCTCAGTGGTAAAGCGTATCACTAGTAAATCAACACGAAATGATAAGATCACTGGTTCGATTCCAGTACGGGGCAATCAACTTTTCTTTTTGGCCTCGATGCTCATTTTTGAGCAATTCAAGCAGACTGAGGAATTTGTACGTGCCACGAAACTAGACCATATCAAGGGGTGTGGTAACCAAATCTTGAGGTGGGACTTGAGCCTTGCGGTCTTCTGAGGGAGCTCGGCTGCACGACATGGAGTTGAGACATCGGTGACCCTCAAGCGATAGGCTATTCTACGACACCAAGAGATCCAGTTGATAAATCACATACTTAATCTGATGCTGATGCACGAGTGTTTACCACGTGCATTATCTCGTCTGCTGGATGATCCATTACATCTCCAGCTGTTGGCAGAAACCACGCACGACATTGAAACTCTGAGAAATGTATAACCGCCATTTCCGAACACTGTAGAAACCATATCGGCAATTCGAAGCATGCCAGATGGCTATCATCGGTTCGCTTAGACCTTCACCGGTCGCTCAAAACTCAAAACCCTCACAGGATCATCCGTCAGCCTCCAGATCGCGGAATACTCTTTTCAGCGACACATCCATGCAAGCAATCTCGATATCATCTCCGCGGCGCATCCCCTCCCTTCGAGTGAGTAAATATTGGGCATTGAGCATTCACCGGTTGGGCTGAGCACCAATAGCTGGGGTTGATGCCCAAAAGGATCTGCAGGGCTTTTCGGTTCCAGAGATAAAAAGAAAAGAAGCTCTTCGGATTTCCATATTCGTTCTCACCGCGGCGGGTATCCTGTCTCGTTTGGTCGCTAGTAGGTTTCACCACCGGTGATATTTGCTTTTCACTCGTGGTCTAGAACACTTATGCCACACGAGATAATCTCGAGGTTGGGCAACAACTTGGGATTATTGTTAAGGCGGGTAACAATTTCAGAAATCTCTTAGATTTGCCGGTAGTCGCGCGCATAAGCCACCAATGGATAGGTTGTTTCCTGTGAGGGCACAAGATGAGGATGACAGACAGTCCTAGACGTGCCCCTTGGGCTGCGAGATGGGGTCGAGGAACCGAGAGCGAGGCCCTGCTGAGGGACGCACCTGGAAGACATTCATCAACACCGACGAAGGCTTGCCAATGTTGGTATGAAAGTAACCCAGAAGCCTCGGATCTGTGGGTTGACAATGTCCTGTATCTGGCTTGATAACAAGCGTCACAATGCAGGAGACGTAATGTAAAGATAGAATCATATAGTTAAATTCAAACGCTTCAATGCTTTCTATACTATCCCAAGCACCATTTTGAGCACAAGTCATGAAAGACGCATATCGGCTAGTAAACTTCAAGGACGTATCGTCCCTCCTCCTTGAGCTTCTCAATCTCCTTGCGAGGATCAATCTTCTTGCCAGCAGCCTTGGCCTCGTGAGCGATAGCCTCCTCGAGCACCTTGGTCACATCAGGTACAGGCCACGTAGGACCGCAGAGGTAGAAGCTACCCTCGTCCTGGATGTAGGCCTTTGCAATCTCCTTGAGGGTCTGACGCATGCGGTCCTGAATGTAAATCTTCTGAGGCTGGTCACGAGAGAAAGCAGAACCGATAAGAGTGACAACACCAGCTGCCAGATAGGCCTCCCATTCCTCACCATAGAGGTACTCCTCACGCTGGTGGCGAGATCCAAGGTACAAGAGGATGGAGCCGATCTCCTTACCCTGAGCCTTCTGCATAGCGCGGTACTGAACAAAGGCACGGAAAGGAGCAAGACCCGTTCCGAGACCAGCCATGATGAGAGGCGCAGTGTCCTTGGTAGGAAGCTTCATGACGGAAGGCTTGACTGAAGCAGTGACCTTGGCACCAACTGGGAGACGGCTGAGGTAGCGGGTAGCATGTCCGTAACGGGTACGGCCACGAGGATCAACCCAGTCAACGACGACAATCATGAGAGAAACTGAGTTGGGAGTAACAGCCTGAGCAGAGGCGATAGAGTACTCTCGGCGCTTGGCAGGGCTGACAATCTTGACGAGGTCGTGGAAGCTTGGGCGAGCTGACTTGAACTCCTCGAGAATGTCAACATAGGTAGCGGTATCGACCTCAGTGCGGCGCTTCAGATCCTCAGCACCAGCGGGGCTGGCGAGAGCCTCAAGCTTCTGCTTCTCAGTCTCATCGGTAGCAAACTCAGCAAGGGCCTCATAGAAGCGCTTGGGAGGCTTGCCAAGAATATCGACATTCTGGACAAGGGCCTGGAAGACAGTACGGGTCTCGAGGAGAGCAGGATCCTCACGGGCAGGAACCTGGACGAGCTCGGCAGGGTTGAGGCCGTAAAACTCGATGAACTGGTTGACCTCTTCCTCGTCGTTCTCGGCGTGAATGCCCAGAGCCTCACCGATCTTGTAGGTCAGACCGGAGTCACCAAGATCAAATTCGATGTGGAAGATGTTGCGGTCGTAGTCTTGAGGAGTAAGTCGGCGATTCTCCTTGACAGTGATGGTGGAGGTCTTGACAGACAACTCGGGTCGCAGAACGTTCTTGGTGCCGTAAGCCTCCTTGAAAGCAAGGGACTTGGCAGCAGCCTGCCAGTCACGGAGCTCGAAAGTCTCCTCAGCTTCCTCCTTGTCGTGGACGACGAAGCTGTTGCTCTGGATGGTAGCAGGAAGATTGGGGTCAACAAAGTCGGCATCAACCTCAGCCCAGGTGGAGGGAACCTCGAAATGACGGAGGCAAAGGCCGACAGCATCCATGGACTCCTCCAGAGTAGGAGGGTGACCCTCAGCGAGGATGTGCTTGGCGATATCCTCGGGGGTATAGTCAGGAAGAGCAACCTTCAGGAAGGACAGCTCGAGTAGCAGTTTGGAGAAGAGAGGGTCCTTCTCGAAAGCAGGCGAATAGGAAGAGTCGAGGATGAAGAGCTCAGCCGCCTTCTCCCGGAGTCCCTTTCGGAACGTGAGAGGGAGACGCTTCTCGACCTCGTCATCCTTGAAGTTGGAGAGCTTCACAATGACCTTGCCACCCTCGACGAGACCCCTGAGGACATCAACCTCCTGAAGAATCTTCTCGTCACCGACGACAATAGTATTGGCACCGTCAATGTCGTAAGGAGCCTCGAGGGCCTTCTTGGAGGCTCGGAGGTCACTTCGAACGAGACCGCCTTGGGTGAGGTTGTCGAAAATCTCGTTAACATAAACGTTAGAGGTGGATTCTTTGGAGAGCAGGTTGCCAATAACACTGGGAGAGTTGAGAGCAGAAGAGTTATCGAGGTCCCAGAAGGTGAACTGCTGAGCCTGGACGAGAGAAGGCAATTTCTTGGCCTGGCCCTCGTTGCCAAAGATCTTGTGGAGAGTGTTGACCAGACCCTGAGGAGTGAAAGTCTGAGCAGGGGTGTACTTAATGTCGAGAACCGCAGGCTCTTTGTCAAATTTACCAGAGAAAGTGACAGCAGTCAGGACATCACTGTAGAGAGCAGACTGGGTAGCCTCATCCTCAACAGCGAGTTCGTCTTTGACCTGACCAAGGACGGCGATTGTACGAGCAGAAGCAGGGATGGCCTTGATGAAAGCCTCCTCAATGAAGGGGCGGTAGATTCGCACGTTGATGACACCAACCTTGGCGCCATCAGCAGAGAGCTTGGCCAGAACCTCCTTGGCCACCTGTGACTCGACGCTGCCGAAAGCAACGAGGACAACGTCAGGGGACTCATGGCCGTGGTACTCAAAAGGCTCATAGACGGTACCGAGCTCATCGTTGAAAAGCTTGAGAAGCTCAACAACCTTACCGGCGGTGTCAAGACGAGTGTTGAGCTTGCCAGCCTCGACAGAGAGCTTGCTGTAAAGATCGGCAACACCGTTCTCGCTCAAAGCATCAACGACACGGAGAGTCTCGCGAGCGACGCGGACACCATCGTAGATGTGAAGAGTAGGAAGAAGGGTAGCCAAGAGAGTGGCGAAGATAGACATGTGCTGAGCTTCATAGGTGGAGGTGCTAGCAACAAGTCCAAGACCAAGGTCCTCGGCAAGGCGCAGAGCAGAGTCGTAGTTGGAGATCAGACCCTTGCTATCAGAATAGTCAAGAGCGGCGACGTGGGCGACGAAGGGGCTGGAAACGCCGTAGAGGAGAGAAAGCTGGTCGAGGGTTCCGCGCAGTTGCTGGAGGCTGCCTGAGGGCGCAACCAGGGACTGGGGAATGTGACGCTTGGAGACATCGAAGTCGGGAGAGAAGATGTAGCCAAGAGCGAGAGCACCAGCGCCAATTCGAGTCTGGAGAGGCAGAACCTCGGTGGAGTATCCGTGGATGTTCTTCTCGCTCTTGGAAGCCCACTCCTTAAGTGCGATATCGAGGTCGAAGGTCTCGGGAGAGTAAGAGAAGATCTTATCGGACAGCTTATAGGCGATCTGCTGAACGAGGAGTTGGGCGGTCACATAAGTCGGGCCAGAGATTGATGATAGAGGAACCTGCTGGCCGAAAGGGAGGCTGGACGACAATTTGTTGAAGTCTGCCGAGTTTGTCTTGGCCACAGGGACCGACTCTTGGTGAGGCATCTTAAGGGTCTTTGGAGTCAATGAAGAGAAAGAACAAAACCCCGCGGTTGACTGTTGACTTTCAAGTCAAAGGAGATGGTCTACCAACTGAAACTCAAGTCGCTGGTTCTGAAGCGAGATGAGATACTTTCAGGGTGATGAGGACTGAAGAAGAGTAAGGAGGAGAAAGGGCGGAGTCAAAAGAGAAGCAAAAGAACCCTCCAAGAGGCGACTCAACGGAGTAACCGTAAGGAAAGCCATGGCGCCGATTTACTCTATTTTCCCCTGTCTCTGCCCTTGAATTGGACGGATCTTGCTCGGTCTTGAGAATTGTTGATGCTTCGACAGAATCACGCAATTGAACTAGGCCGACTTCGGAAAGGACTTTAATGTCGCAAGATGGGAAAGTGGGATGACAAAAACAGCTGCGCCAGCTTATATGAGAATCTCGGCTTCTGAGTGGTCTTTAATTTATTTACTACCCCACATGAAAGACTGGTTCCCAATGGAGACCCCGAAATTCCGATCCCTCCTGCCGGGGACAACTTTTTTTTCTAGCGCCCCCGATGGTCCGACCGGCACTCGGCGATCTCGCAATCGGTTGCCGTTCTTTGCTTGACCATCAACCTTAGCTAAGCTTCGGAGGCAACACCGAGACTTTACTGAGTGTCAAGATCCAATCAATTAACAGTGTTTAGTATTGCTTATACTACGCCATATTTTAGGCAATGAGAGAGTGTGGCAGAGAGTGATATTAGTCAACTTGATGAGTCAGCTTGACAACATGTTTCTAGAGGGCCGTTTCTAAACTCCTCCAACAGACATATCTCATCCATCACTCGAAATCTTCATTATTTTCAATAAGCTAATAGCATATGATGAATGTGGGGCTTCATATCAGTTTGATATAGTTCGGTGGTGATAAAATGATTTGCCATAAACGTGTGTTTCACATCGATGATAGCGGTCCAAGTGCTGGTCCTTACATGATTAATATAGATATTAGATCAGCGATCTTTATTCAGATACTAACATAAACAAAAGACTGAATTGTGCGTCATTTCCGAGACTTCGGCCTTTCTGGGAGATATAGCCATTCAAATGCTGTCCAGTTATAAATTCAAAGATAACCAGAGTGTCTTGTCATCGTGACAGTGACATGCCTTTTCAAACAGCGAGAAAGGGCAAAAGTAAGACGGTAAATTAAAGCTATAGATTATTTCTCCTATCAAGCACATGTTTCATAGCATATGGATAGTGTGGGATCCACGAATCTACCAATATTCTTCTATAAATATCAAACACCATTATTAACAATATACGACTCAGCGATTGTCGTACATTCCACTCGTCACTGGCTGAGCGGAACATTCTTAGCCGCGATATAGGACAGAGTTATCGCGTCTATCATTGTGTCTTTTGAAATATGCCTGTAATTCAGCTAAGAGGAATTTGCCAAGTCATATATGTCTACGAGTTGTGCCACATCGTGAACTGACGCCCGAACGTTAGCAAAGGCCAATGACTAACTATGAAGTATTCATGTTGCAACATGCTTGGCAAAATTCCGAGTCGTGATCTAGATCAGAGGGCATTTGCCACTGAATTCCATTGTATGACTTGGCACACTTTCTACAGCTGCTGTTGTTTATTATGATGGCCGGTTTCATATTTTGTCACTTACAAACCGTGTACTCTTGGTACCTTGGTGGGACATACGCATACTCTCATGTACCTGTGGTGAGCGTGTGATGCCATCCGGCATGATTGGGGCCTTTGAATTACCGGGCAATTATCTTGAAATGACAACCGTTCATGACATCTGTCAGGGAAGAGAAAAAAATGTCTGGGTTCGTTCAAGACCGTTGAGATCTTGAACCTCTACAAGAGTAGGAACCGAGTCCGCGATATAACAAATACTAAAGACTGGTGCTAAGGGCCTGATCATTGATGCCTCCTACGATGAAGGTACATGTCTGCCATAAACCTAATCTTGGCGTCCAATAGCTATTTGCATTACGCAAGAGGCGGACTATGATGTTACTAGAGAGCTACACACGCTAGCTTTAGTACTTACTCAAATACGTCGCTTGGCAGATGGAATTTGCCGATAGCTGGAATACCAGTTTAGGTGCTAAAACACTCCTATTTAAACCTACGATGATTATCGGTAGCGTCGAACCGTGTCAGACAAGACAATCCGGCTTCGAATTGTGGAGTACCCGGAGAATTTTAATCCAATGCTCAGGGTCCTGTATGCGTCGTGGTCTGTGTAGAGGAATGCGGCTTATATGTCTGGACCAGACTACTGGGAAGTTAGGCCATTTCCGGGTTATATCCTCAGACATCATTGGCCTCTACCACAATGGCTTCACATAGGTCAAGGCACGACTCATAAGATGGATCGTCATCGCATCTCCAGATCCGTCTATCGAGGCATGAGTCAGCTAGTCCTATCTGAGCTTAACTAGGTGGCCACTGCGAAGCCATCGCGTGGTTTTCCATCGCTTTCTTGCCTATACGGGCAACCATCCGCCCGTTAATGTCTGGCTAGAGCTATGGCCACGCGACGCCTCCATTCTCTAGCTTCTGGATTCATTGTTCCTGCGTCAAATTGGGTCTGGGTGGCGGTATATCCGGTATTTGGCTACGATGAGGCGCTTGCTTAATCGTGTAGCTGGTCATGGCAATGGTGCCTCTTCAGGGTCTCGTCCGTTTCGCCCCAGAAACCTGGAATGATGGCATAGATTCATGGTTTACGCGAGAAGCGGCTTCTAGTGCAATCTCTGATTCGTACTTAAGCCTGAAACAAGAACTTCCGGAGTGAACTTGACCTTCTTTCATAACCAACACTCTCATTCATTATCAAAATACGCTCTCTTCCCACCTCTTGTCTCTCCTTCCATTAATCTTCACACCGTCCTTTGAACCATGGTTCAACTTAAGAGTTTCGCAGCTATTGCTACCACCCTCCTTGGCTGTTGTCTAACAGCACCTACAACTCCTTCTGGCGTCGACAGCACAATCCCTGGCAGCTACATCATTACCCTCAAGTCTGAGATCAAGGCCACTGCAGTTAAGGCTCATATAAAATGGGTTGACGGCGTTCACAAGCGAAGTCTCGAGAAGCGTGATGGCGACAATGGCGTCGAGAAGACATTTGAGACCGAGGCTGGTTTTCACGGATACTCTGGTACATTCGACGACGAGACGGTAAAGCAGATTAAGAAGAGCCCCGAGGTAAGATATCTAAACCTCAGCAACGTGCTTGATGTCTAACAATTGAAATAGGTCGTCCGTGTTGAGCCTGACCGTAGAGTCAAGTTAACATGGAACGCTTTCAAGCGTCAAGAACAACCCGTGGAACCAGCACCACCAGCAGAAACGACAAGTCAAGAAGGCGAGGACACTGAAGATGAGGATGATCAGCTTGAGAAGAGAAGCGAAATCAACCAAAAGACAAGCACATGGGGCCTCGGAACCATCTCACACCGCAACAAGGGCTTCCAGAACTATCTCTACCACAAGCAAAGCGGTTCTGACTCGTTTGCCTACCTTGTTGATAGCGGTGTCCGTACCACCCATAAGGAGTTCCAAGGCCGGGCCAAAAATGGCTGGACAGCCTTCCGAAAAGATTATGTTGACCGACTGGGTCATGGTACTCATGTTGCTGGAACCATTGCTGGAAAGACCTTCGGAGTCGCTAAGAAGGCCAAGGTCATTTCTGTCAAAGTCTTTCAGGGCGACTCTGCAGATCTTTCCGTCATTCTCAACGGTATTGAGTGGGCCGTCAACGATATCATCAAGAAGAACAGACAAGAGTTCTCAGTGATCAACCTCTCTCTTGGTATCGATGGTGTATCTGGGGCGCTCAACGACATTATCAAGAATGCCGCCAAGTCCGGAGTCATCTTTGTAGTCGCCGCCGGAAACCAAGGAACAGATGCCAAGACTAAATCTCCAGCTTCTGCTCCTCAGGCCATTACTGTTGGAGCCATTGACAAGAACTGGAGAATCCCCAGCTGGTCCAACTACGGCAGCTCTGTAGATATGATGGCCCCGGGTGTCAATGTAGTTTCTGCCTCGTGGCTCAGCGACAACGGCACCTACATTGAGAGCGGTACCTCAATGGCCACTCCTCATGTTTCTGGTCTTGTGCTGTACGCGCAGTCCGTGTATGGCATTACCGGCGTTGCTTCCACAACCAAATACATCAAGAAGTACGCCACCAACAATAAGATCGTCGGTAGCCGCCGAGGCTCACCAAACCGGATCGCCAACAACAACAACTTTGCTCAAAGCAGATGATTCTCGATTTGCTTAGCCCGAGTTCGACTAAAATAAGAGACTGCGGGCAGGAGGGATGATCAAGCAAGGCGTTTGGGATTGAGAATAAGCATACACGGGATAGCGATTGTTTTGTTTTTATATAGACTTCGATTCGATCTTTACCAATATACCTCAATACCATCTCTTTTGACCTGGGAGTCTTGATGACCATTTTTCCTTGTGATATTTCACTGCGCGAGGCATGTCATTAAAGATTTGAGGTTTTAATCTGTTGATGACCAGAATCCGAGGCGATACAGTCTTGGACCTTCTTATTCTCGGGTTGAGTCAGTTGCTCTTCGTTCGCAATCTCCCACAAGTTTTCATTCTGCGCTCAGAGATGTCTCTTATAATCTCCAAACAAAGCGAGGCTCAAAATAGTAGTGGTGTTAGGGCTTGCCCTTTGTCTATGGTCCGCCTAGTATCCCCGTTGAGCATGGATGGACACAGATGGTGATGGACTCCGTGTTGATCAAGAGTGCCCTTTCCTGTCAGTTATATACCTATGTATATGCAATTTTTGGGGTTTGTGTATCCCCTGGAAGTATAGTAACGGCCTGTATCTGTCGTTGGAGTTACACTTGTCAGGCAACCGACTGACGCATGTTTCATCGCACTCCTAACTACCAGTTATGGTATATAGGTAGGAATAATTACTGCATTCGACCAGCCACACTAAGAACGTCTATGATCACCAGGCCTGAGAGAAGCACGAAGAAAGTTGGCTTTAAAAGAGTGAATAGTGGGCCGATTCTCTTTCAGTATCTTGGATAATGAGAGACTGCCACGACAAGCATTTCTGGTTCTCGCAAGGGATCAGAGATATAGGTTAATCTTGAAGAGGGAAATTACAGTGTCGAAATCGCTGTAGAGACGTGACTGCAACTGAAGAATTTTAGAAATTGTCCAGCAGCTTACACCGAAAAGTGGGCAGAACGGGCACTATAACTAGTTCGCGTTAGAGCAACGCCAGACCTGCACGGTCAATCGAACCCCTGCCTGGATCTTGAATACCTCCGAGAGATGTTCTCTTGGAGGAAAGCCGCAATAAAAAACCCAGCTCTAGTAGCACCAATATGTGCTAAGACGAGATTGCACCTTTATTTTCTCGGCAATCTGTGAATCTGTGAATTGATTTTTGATATATGCTATAGTAGAAAGGTTGATGAGGTTGGCGAAACACGGATTTAACACTAGATCCTAAATCCGTGGCCCGCCATGGAGTTATATCATGAGTTCCGACACCAAGTATTACAAAACCCTTCAACTCGCCATTTGAGTAAACTTATTTCATAGACCTGCTAGGACTTGCCAAAGGAACAGCCGTAGTATGATTTCTTAGTGTCTTCAACTTTCCACTTACAGCCTGAAATAATCAACCACTCTCGCATATCATGCATCTCATCCTTACTGGAGCCACTGGCCTCGTTGGCTCTGGCGTGCTTGACGCTATGCTCAAATTGAAAGACATCACCAAGATTTCAATACTGAGCCGCAGGCCAGTGCCAATGGCAGCAGGTGATCCCAGAGTCAATGTCATCACTCACAGTGACTTTACAAAATACAATTCAGAAGTTCTCGATCAACTGCAAGGCGCAAATGGTGTAGTTTGGGCATTGGGTATCAGCCAGCTCAAAGTAACAAAAGAGTAAGTCTGCATTTTATCGCCAATGGCACCAAGTTTGGATAAGCTGACAAGGTGCGTCAAAGTGAATATGTCACCATCACCAAAGATTTCCCTGTTGCTGCCGCCAAAGCCTTTTCCAAAATATCACCTTCCAACGAGCCTTTCCGCTTCATATACGTTTCTGGCCATGGAGCTACCCTTCAGCCGACTTCGTTGACACCCATCTTCGGTCGTGTGAAAGGCGAGACTGAGAGGGCACTTTCTGAGCTACATGCGCCGACGAAATTCCACGTCGATTCTGTACGTCCTGCTGGCGTAGATGCCACAAATCATGAGGCCATCAAACCATACATTCCCAACCCTGGTATGCTCTACAACGCTATGTATTTGTTCATGGGTCCCCTCATGAGAAACTTACTTCAGTCGTTGCATAGCCCAACGGAGAAACTTGGCCCTTTTCTCATGAATATGGCGATGGGCAAGTATGACAAGCAGTTGGATGCTGGAGGAAACGACATCTCCAGTATCAATGGTTCGAGGATACTGGAAAATGTAGCGTTCCAAAGGTTATATGAGCAATGACAGATCTTTGCAAAGATGGAGAGCTGTTCGGCAGTGGAATTTTCAAGAATGGGTCTGTAACGGCGCTATGATGGAAACGATCCGTAGATGAAGCTTTGTATCGGTTATCGCTGAGTAGTGTTGTATAGTGCAGTTGTTCTTGATCTTACCTTATTTTGTGAAGCTACGCTAAGGTATGTTCCAAGCAATACTACCTAGTAGTTATATCTTGATTTCGGCTGTTGACAAAAGCTCCTGTGGTCCCAAATAAAAACACAAAGGGTATACTTTGAGAGGAGAAGTCCATACCAGCATTTCAAAATCCACTTCAGTTGTTTGTTTCTCAGCAATATTAAGAATCCCCTTTCGAACTGATTTCGCGAAACGCCTTGTCATATTTCCATACTATATACAGCATTAAGGGCTGACATACTCGCCCTTTACTTATCTTTAGATTACCGCGGCTCGCGTTCGTCGGGAGTCTTGTGGGTCTAGAAGCAACGGGAGCGGGAAACGGGGAGGCCAGCTTTATTACCTACCTACCTACCTACCTAGATAAGACTAGGCTCATCAAGCCTCTGCCTCGACTGTATATCTCTCGTGTACCTATTTATTGAGTGTATTTAGCCAGGGCTTGGTTTTGTAATTTCGTTCTTTCTGCCTCTGTTCCTTCCATTTCTGTTTCATGCCCTTGACCCTCTCCCACGGTGCATCGCTACCAAGGTATTACCTGAGGGCGTACACGTGTGCCTCTAGTTGTTGTCATTTCTCCACGAGACTCTATACTGAGTTCCAAAGTTCTGAAGCACGTACGTTTCTTTATATGCAGTTTCTATGCCAAGCATCTTCCTTCCCCACGACAGTATTTTAATGGTACGTGCCATGACAACCAGATATGCTCAATGAAACTCAAGGACCTGGTCGTTGTATCAAGCATCTTTACTTGTGATGGTGGTTGTTGCTGCATAGCCTCTCTGCCACCCGAAAGTGATCCAAGAAATCGGCGATAATGATAAAACTTCTTGTGCTAATCTCAGGGCGATAGCGGGTGCATTAGGGGTTTCTGGATGAGATTCCACGATACCTAGTCTGGATTCAAGGCAAGCTATGCTTTGACGCCCTCAGTTTGTACTGTTGTCACTCTAAGTACAAGGAACACAGTTACCTAGGCAAGGCCAAAGGAGTTACCTGTGCCCTGGAAGCCAAGAACAAAAGGTCTCTGTTGACCTGCTTACAAAGGCTAAGCTTTTTGCTCATCGGCACTTTCCCTGTCAAGACGTTCTTGGCCTGAGTCATCACATTTATTACTCACACATCGGCGTCCAACGAGTCACTGAATTCAAAGGCCTTGATCAATTCTTTATCTCAACTACCTTACGTTGCTCAACGAACGAGCTTCAAAAATTTCAACGCTACAACGCCGGCTATAAAAACTTCAACCATGGCTCATTCCTAAACCTTATTGGAAGCATCCTTCTCGCTTTGATCAGCCTCTCGGGCGTTTTGCTCGACAACCTCAGGCGGATCCTCGATCTTGGTCATCTTGTAGATGATCATAGATGCGAACAAATCACCGGAAACGTTGACAGCGGTACGGAAGCGGTCGAGGAACCAATCAATAGCCACGATGACAGCATACATGTTGGTGAGGTCGACATTGACGGAGCGAGCAATCATGATTGAAAGAACAAGCGAGGCCGAGGGAATGGGAGATACACCGATAGAGGCCAACGTTGACAGCAGTGCAACAATGACATAGTCGGTAGGGCCCAGGGTCGTGCCTTGCGTCGCAGCCATGAAGACAACGGCGGCAGGAAGATAGATGGCGGTGCTGTTACTAGATTAGTCTTGCGCTATCAGAATTATAAGGCAGCAACTTACCCGTCCATGTTAATCAGACAGCCCAGAGGACAAGTGAATTTATAGACGGTGGAAGGAATACCCCGGTCCTTGGCGCATCGAAGAGTGACCGACAAAGTGGCAGCAGACGAAGCAGTTCCCCATGCAGTGATCCAGGCAGGAGAGATTTTGATCCAGTACGAGTAGGCATTCATCCTGGTGAAGGCGAAGAATATGATGGGCACGATGATCAGGATGTGGATGAGCATGGTGGACAGAGTGGCACCGATGAGAAGACCCAGATTCTTGCCGATCTCGCCAATGTCAAGCTTCATTAGGTTGGGCAAAATCAGGAAGAAGACACCGATAGGGGCCACCGCGATAAGGAATTTGATGATCTTGGTGATCATACGTTCAATCTCCTCGGTGACGCGAATGATGGGCGAGCGAGGGGATTCAATGAGGTATCCGACGATGATGGCAGTGATGATGACTGCAAGCAATTGGTCTTCGGCCAACGCCTTGACCACATTCGAGGGGATCAAAGAGAAGAACATATCCTGTACGACCACGGGGATGCTGCGATCATTTTCTTCTAGTTTATCCTGTTCTTTTTTATCAAGCGGGCTAGTGCTGACCACTGAGTACTGTTTGGTCCAGACGAGGCCCATCATGATACAAGACAGTGTGATGGATACGAGAGTGGTGATGACGTAGTATCCGACAGTCCATTTAGCGAGAAGAGAACCTCCTTGGCTCATCTCTCGGAGTCTGGTTACAGCGAGCAACATAGAGCAGACGATCAAGGGGAGGACTGCAACTGGTCAGCGGCCAACTCTTGGTCGAAGAAGCTGTTTCTGGCTTCATGTCAACAGGGAACTTACCGACTGCTTTAAGGGCTCTTAGCCACATGTTGCCAATAACACCGACAAGGATTGGAGCAGCTTCCGGAATATCGTCGACCTGAGTAGCGACGGCCACACCGATGGCGATAGCGAGCAGGGCGGCTACGATGATTTGAAGAGCTGAGCCGGGTTCTTTGAAACCATGCCACCACGGCTTCTTCACAACCTCCTCCTCGGCATGGTCGTGAGGAATGTCGCTGCTGGAGTTGGTAGGCACCTGTACTGGGTGTGCCTCGGGGACATCCTTGAACTCATCCTTGGTGGCCATTGTAGGAACAGCAAGCTTGGCTTGAGTTTCAAGGACTAAAGACAAGAGAGGACCGTGAAGTAGCTTTGGCAAGAGACGGAATGGAGACGAGGACTGGCACTGCAACTCCTAGTCAAACGTCAAGAGCACACCTCAGCTTTTATACCTCATGGCACTCCCTATCGCCAAGCCAAGCTGGCTACATGGGAGCAGGTGTTATGGAGCATCAAGAAATTCTGTCAAGAGAGTGACACCAGGGCATGGATGAAGTGCCCAGAGAATCGCGTGCCGAAACCAGCAAAGATGCGACACATCGAAAGAAACACTCAAGCTTGGCCTGGCTAAGAAGAGAAGGTGAGCATTACGAAATTCTTTCTCCATCGCCAAGACAACAAGTATCAACTCCTTGGTCTTGATAACCTGGTGGCTCGGGTAAGCCGACTCAGAGTCACTTGTTGGCAGACATTGTGGAGAAGACCAAGGAGTACTGGTTGATTGAGAGTTGGGATTTGCCCGAGGAGGCGACGATGCCAAGAGAAAGTGCAAGCGGACGAGTCGTTCGAAAGAAGAGCCAAGAGAGCCAAGAAGTCGAGGCACTATTCCAACCCATAACATGTTGTACATTCTCCCCAAGCCAAGCCGCCACACACGACAGAGTAACATGCATTACTGGGATGAGCCCCATGCCACAGAGATGGGGATTGCACAGACGGGGCATGAGTGTTGGTGTTATCTAGCCAAGCACGCAGTACATTCTAAGATGTTGCATGTTTTACGAAATACCAAGAATGATATCGCAGTGCCGAGACTTGCTCAAGTCCCCGCGTATCTCAACGAGAGATAAGGTGTCAGGGATCCGGCTCGAGTGGTTGTTGCTGGAGATAGCAATCATTCAGCCATGATAGCTTTCTTCGTGAAGCAGCATCACGTTAATCAACAAACCTCCAGAAGCGGATGAGCGATGTGGCGTGCTTAGGCTACTCGACTAGCGATACTATAAGCGCAGGATGACTAACGGCATTACCTGGCCGGTAGGTTCAATGATTTGAGCAACGGCTTCATCAATACAGGTCTACGGTACTCTCGCTCCCGAGGCACCAGCTCACCAATTCTGAATCAGCGGTCTCCAACAAGCCCGAGAATGGGTATTTACGTCTCCACCTCAGTAGTTGAAGCAAGGGTCTCGGTGTGCCTGTTCTTATTTCCCCCGGGGTGGAACTCTGAGCTGAACCCTGGCATCGTTTCCTTGCATGCTCTCCGTGTCTTTTGCTCCAACCGCGCTCTTATTATGGAGTCAATTGGGAGATTGCTCAGGAGTGTCTGATTCACCTGGCGGCTAATTTTTGGCCAGACATCCTCACCAGCTATCGAATATCTCTCAGCATCACAGTGCAATAGTGCATGGCTTTCCTGTGGATATATCTTTTGCCCCGTTCTCTTGGCTGACCGTGTCTTGGATCATCAAGCCGACAATTGCTACGTTCCATCGAGGATCCATGCCACCCATTGCCTCGGAACGATCTCATGCAAAAGCAAGACTCCCAACTCCTCTATCTAGTCCCAAGACGTACGCTATAAGGTAATATCGCGATTGTATGGGGACTTTTTGGAAGGCAGCGTCAGGAGATAACCGGGCATGACATCCTTACAATTGCCGCATGAGGCGATTAAGCATAACCGGACTCAGGTTCCGAACGAATCAATCATCGTAGAGGCGGCGGGAGGCAGAAACAGGCAACCTGTATCCTACACGCTAAGTAGCCTGTTTGGAGTACCTAACTAGCTTCCGTGCAAACGCCTGCTACCCCAAAAAGAAAAGGTTCTGGAAACTTACTCAGAAGAGTCGACCACGCCTCATGTCGACATTTTGGGTGTCGCCTGTATTTCGGACAGTATACGACAATGGGCAATCCCCCCTCGAGCGGTGCGCGCCAACCGCAAGATTCCGATACCTCGTTTCGTCTTGCTCCAACTCAGTCCTATTCCTCACAACGAGGGATATTTGCGAATGGCCATGGGTGTTTGAGCCTATCCCTCTATAGCTCGATGTCCGGCCGATGCTACGGCCAACGTTCGACATGGGCCTTTTCACCTTGGAGAATAGCGTATCCCAGGCGATTGAAGCGAATATGCCTTCACCCCGCAGAGCATCGACTTATTACGTTTGAATATCCACTTGAGCCCACTGAATAAAATAGGTGAACAGGATGGCTTGACTTGTTGTTAAACTCATTCAACCTAAAGCTATGAAATGGCGTATCGGTGCATCCTGTTTCCCTTTGCGAAATACATCTACGCTGGGTACTGACAGACGATAGAGAAAGGCCACATGAAAGCATCTGATGCGATAGCAAACAGAACAACCTTGAATGTCAGGATCTCGTCTGCGGGCGTCAGTGTGCTTGGCGAGTAGTGAGATTGGGAACTGATCATTCCACAAAGGGCATGTGGGAAAGTCTTGGGAGAGTCTTGGAAAAGTCTTGGGAGATAGATGGAAAGGCTTGGAGGAGAATGGTTGGGGAGTTGGAAAGCTTGGTATTGGGGTCATAATCGCAGGCATTCAATTGCAACGCCAGTCCGCTTATAGCCGTCTCTGGCCTTTGTCTTTTGCCCCTCCCCCAGACGAAGGCCAAGAAGATAATATGCTGCTGATTGGATCCCCCCGCAACGTAGGGAGGTTTCTTGTTCCTTGTGAGATGGCAAGTTGGAACTGTACGTAATGGAATACTAACAATCAGCAACTTCTCCGCAATTTCCTGGAGTTGAGACAAGCTCGGACATGTGGAGGAGAAAGCTTATGAAAAACGTCTTGTCGTGTAAGACGAACGTTGGTTGTCGTTTATAAGGTTCAGGTTTACGACAAGCCCACGTTTGTTGGTGCATGACTAACGGCAGACCATGCCCCCCCGAGGATCAACCATGGTGGCTCGAAGGAGGGAGGACATGGGCAGTGCGGCAGTCCTGGTACTGCTTCCCCGTGATGATTTGCCCAATGAATAGGACTTTTTGATGCCCTGGCTAGGTTGCTCCCGACTTCTAACCAGAACTCAATAACTACTGATTCCTGTCGAATTCGCTTCGGTGAATCCATACCTAGATCACGCGAGCTGACATGAGCTTTGGCCAGGTACATAGGAGAAGAAGCCAACTGTCTCCTGGACTTGACTGAGGCCCATGTGTGCGCTCTTTTCAACCTGGCAGTACTAGTCGGACCATCCTTCGTCAATATTATTTGACTAAGAGATTTGCGAAAATGTCTTGGCTAAATTCAGGTAGTTTTGCTTCTGCTGTTTTGTTCGTTTTCCTGATGGGCCGCAGCAAGTCTCTATCGAGGGTTTGTCAGTCATGTTCAAGTGACATGATTAAGGAAGGCATGGTCCCGTTTCTCAAGGTGTGGAATACACCTTTGGATCACGTTCTTTGGGGGAAGAAGATGAAAGAAGCTTCGGGTTACGGGCATATTCTTGGCATAGACTCTATCTCGGCGATGCACAGCTGCGAATATGATGAAAGGTATGCATATGGTGTGTTATTGACGGTGAAGGGTTACCCAGACAATTACATAGTAGGATCAGTTATCTGTCGTACTTTGACTACTACTATTATTATTATAGGTAATCAATTTGAGCTGGAATTGTTCCCATTGTTTTCAAGGTTTTGAGGGGCAACGGACAATACTAAAGCACGGCTTGATGGCACAAACGGCGCATTGTGCGCTTGACTGTTTTAGGATTAGCTCCCGTTGCTCTGCCGTATCTTGAACAAGCCGCTGTTCACCTTGCGCTGACCGAGGAGAAGGTGCAGGCAGTCGGTCAATATTGGGCAGGTTCTGAATAAAGGAACGAAACACAAATTCACACAGACAAGGGCTTTTCTTCTCTAGCATCATTCATTTGCTCTCACAGCAGTCAACATGGCGTTTATATGACCAAACACGAGGTACAACAAGAAAGTTGTCGCTAATATTAAATTGCACTAGTGACAAAGCATCATGACGATAGAGTCATCATTTGCGACATTTGTGCGGTTTTTGGCCACGACGCAATGCTATTTAATACTGGCCGTGGAAGCGACTCGAGACAGCTAGAAATTATCAACTCTACATTAACAAAACTTAAGATCATTGTTTATTCTTTTTTCTTTTTTTTATTAAAAAAAAAAAAACAAAATCAGCTGGCAAACGCTCGTGCCCTGCTCAATCACTCAAGGTGAATACAAAAACATCTTCACCAAGCACTTGTCATCCTATATTTCATCACAACACACAACGCTCGACTGTGATACACTCCAAAAATGGCGTCCACAGAAACTGTTGTCACGACCTCCTATCTCCTCGGGAACCTGCACTGCCCGACCTGTGTCACTTTGATTCGCTCCCTCTTACACGATGCCTTTGGCGACAATGTACTCTGGGTTTCCCCAAATCTCGTTACGTCCGTTGTTACAGTCGAGCACAAAGAGAACTCCTCGGCTTCGGTTGCCAGCATGCATAGGGTACTTCAAGACGCTGGTTTCGAAGTTTGCGGCCTCAACACAACCGCCAGAAATGCGAATGATCTCTATCGCACTTCACAGGTTGACGGGGAGAGTAGCCGTGTCGCCGAGCGTTCCGATGGCTGGTTGGATTCTTTCTTTCACTTTTGGCGCCCACAAGTATCACCTTTGGCGATAGAGGCCGCTCGTGCTGCCCACCTCGAAAATTGCGAAGCATGTAAATCCGAGAAAATTCCCGGAAAGTCACCATCTGATGATAAGAGTGGACTGGTTCGGGTTTCTTCTATCGTATCCGATACCCCTACCAGACGTTCTTCTCTGCCGTATCCCCTCCAAAAAGTGGTTACAGAAGCATCCCCCACTCCATCATGGCGAGTTACACTCTCTGTTGGCGGCATGACATGTGCTATTTGTGTCAATACCATCACGCAGGAGATGGAGAAGTATCCCTGGGTCACAAAAGTCGCTGTGAACCTCGTTTCTAACAGCGCAACAATCGAATACACAGATGGTGATCGAGCACAAGATATTGTTGATGCCATTGAGGATCTCGGATACGATGCTACAATCGACGAGGTTGTCAATCTACAAGAGAAAAGGGTTTCGGCTGAGGAGCGTGAGGTTGAAGTGAGTGTTGATGGCATATTTTGCCAGCGATGTCCAGAGCGAATCGTCACAACTCTCAAGGGTCTTGCTCCAGGCCGACTCCAGATCTTCCAGCAGCCTACTGTTCAGAACCCTATCCTAAGACTCCGTTATACACCTGATGCTCCAAGATTTACCATCAGGCAGATCTTGCAAGCCATCGAAGCAGCCGACGAGTCTCTCAAAACCTCAATCTACCATCCTCCCACACTCGAGGAGCGATCTCGAATCATCAGAGCCAAGCATCAACAAGCTCTGTTGTATCGTGTAATTCTTACAATTGTTTTCGCTGTCCCTACCTTTGTCCTAGGCATAGTTTACATGAGCCTACTACCAGATTCCAATCACGGAAAGATGTACCTCATGAAACCTTGGGTCTCCGGACTCAGCCGCCTCGATATTTGTCTTTTCGCCCTTGCTACGCCAGTCTACTTCTTGGCCGCTGATGTGTTTCACGTACGAGCAGTCAAAGAAGTCCGAACAATGTGGCGAAGGGGAAGTCGCATGCCCCTAATGCAACGCTTTTACAGATTCGGTAGCATGAATATGCTTGTTTCACTGGGAACAAGCATAGCCTATTTCTCCTCAGTCGCACAGATGATTGCCGCAGGGGCATCCCGGAGAGAGCATCATGAGTCTGGAGCAGAAATGTATTTTGACTCTGTCGTTTTCTTGACGCTGTTCCTTCTCTTGGGAAGGCTCATCGAGGCGTACAGTAAATCCAAGACTGGCGATGCAGTCGAAATGCTAGGCAAGCTTCGTCCAACTACAGCCCTCCTCCTTGAAAAGGACAAGGCTGGGGGCCAGATCACTAGCACTGTGCCTGTTGATCAACTTGACTCTGGAGACATCATTCGTGTGCCTCATGGTGCATCCCCTGCCGCCGATGGCATTCTCGTCAGTGGAGAGACTAACTTTGACGAATCGAGTCTCACTGGAGAATCTCGACTCATCAAGAAGACGGAAGGAGATCAAATCTTTGCTGGGACAATCAACAAGGCAGCAGCCGTTACCATGCGTGTCACGGGCGCCTCTGGGCAGTCAATGCTAGACCAGATCGTTCAAGTTGTGCGGGAAGGTCAGACAAAACGAGCGCCAATTGAACAGATCGCCGACCTTCTGACCACCTATTTCGTTCCTGTTATCACTCTCATAGCAGTCCTCACCTGGATTATCTGGATGGTGCTTGGCTTTTCTGGCGCTGTCCCAGATCACGAGGAGTCCTCTTCTGGCGGCTGGGTAGTGTTTGCCCTCCAATTTGCCATTGCCGTTTTTGTTGTTGCTTGCCCGTGTGGCCTCGCACTTGCAGCACCCACAGCCATCTTTGTAGGCGGAGGTATTGCGGCTAAGCACGGTATTCTTGCCAAAGGCGGAGGTGAAGCGTTTGAGAAGGCGAGCAAGATTGATTGCGTCGTCTTTGACAAGACGGGTACTCTCACCGAGGGAGGACAGCCGAAAATCACCGATTCTGTACTCTTCCCAGACACTTCGTCAACTGAAGAGGAACGTAGTACTTTTCTATCAGCACTCAAGGCTACCGAAGAGAGCAGCAGTCATCCTATAGCCAAAGCGATTGTCTCCTTCTGTGGTGATGCTCCGGCTAGCAATGTTCAGAATCTCGAGGAGTTGGCTGGAAGGGGCATGAAAGCCTCATTCAAGGGCGTTGACAATCAAGAGATGGACATGATTATCGGCAACGAATTGCTCATGCGAGAATTTTCAGTAAATTTGTCGCCGCACATCTCTTCGCTTCTCGATACCTGGAAATCCGAAGCCAAGTCAGTTGCTATAATCGCCACGAAGGCATCATCTGCCGATACCTGGACACTTGCCGCAGCGCTGTCCATCTCGGATCCGATCCGTCGTGAGACCATTCCTGTCATCCGAGCGTTGACTTCTCGTGGTATTCAGGTATGGATGTTGTCTGGTGACAACGTCACCACCGCCCGCGCGGTGGCGCAGCGCGTTGGCATACCCTCGTCTAATGTCCTGGCTGAGGTTCTCCCATCGGACAAGGCAGCTAAGATCTCATCTCTCCAAGCCTCTGTCCACGCACGCGGCTCAATGACCAAACGCGCTACTATCGCCATGGTCGGAGACGGGATCAACGACTCCCCCGCGCTCACGACGGCCGATGTGGGCATCGCCATAGGAACGGGAAGCGACGTAGCCATTAGCAGTGCGGCATTCGTGCTCGCAACGTCACAGCTTACGGCTGTAGTCACGCTCTTGGATCTCAGCCGCGCCGTCTTTCGACGGATTCGTGTCAACTTTGCGTGGGCACTTGTGTACAACATGCTTGCCGTGCCCGTTGCGGCTGGGTGCTTGTATCCGATTGAGACTTCAAGTGGAGAACGCGTAAGGCTGGATCCCGTGTGGGCGGCTCTCGCGATGGCTCTATCAAGCATCAGTGTAGTGTTGAGCAGCCTGAGCCTTCGGACTCGGGTTCCTGGAGTCGGATTTCGCTCTCGCAAGGTTGACATGGAGGAGTAGTATTAGGAATGGCGGTAGGGGTATTGGCAGTGGTAATGTTGGCAGTAATGGTGTAGCTGCATATTATGTCATCGTTTAGATAGTACGAGCTCACCCTCCAGATTCTCAAATTCAGGGTTCTCTTAGATATGCACAGCTTACTCTTCCGCTCTCACGCACCTCGTGCCACGCATATGCCATGTCGTCGATCTCATGTGGTGAACCAATAGACGAATTCTCGCAATCACCCTGTCTCGAAACATGTACCCAATGTGATTCTCCTTCGGTCCCGGCGGAGGTTACAAAGAATATGTCATTCACACCATTTTCATTTTCGTTGGTGTGAGTCGCTGCTCGCCCGAGGGATCCGTGATGACTTCACAGCCACGATCGATCAAATCTGTCCTCACTCAATTGAGCGTGCGCTGTTGCATCATGGAGCATTGCCGACTTAACGAGTACACAATATATTATGTACAAACGATTAAAACATGGTTTAATTGAGCAACCTAAAAATATAACACGTTGATGGTTGAGTAGACGTGGAGAGGAGAGGAGAGTTCAAAACACGTTTCATTGCGAATGAAACATGACAAGGTTCATGCACTCATCAACCTCGTATCAAGTAAAGCAAACTCCATAAAACAAGCTCTACTCGTATTTGTCCGCCACCCGCATACGCAACCGTCTCCATATGTAGACACCCTGGCTCTGAGTGCGCAATCAAGTATTTTCTCTTGAGTCATTCAAGAAAAATGCAATGTAATTTCAATCTCTAGCTACTGTAGCAATTGCATCCGGCAGTGCACGCAAATGGAATCTATTTGTCTGCTTACATCTTGATCCTCTGTCGGACTCGTCAAAATCCGGATTCGAAGGATTTGACTGTTTGTGGTAGAAACGATTACGTGATTGGTCAAAGTACCAAGTAAGCCTACCAAATTTGGTAACTGGCCCCAAACTGTAGGGGAGGACCCTGCAGAGGCGCATCGTCAGGCATAAGGAAGGCTTATTTTAAGGCACTACCGACACTGGCTTACACATTCACTGTAAGAAAATGGCTTGCAGTGAACCTCGCAAGGATGGATGGCACAGAAAAGGAATTATTGATAATTCAACACTGAATTGGAGAGATCGCGGCATGTCGCCCGATTTGTAGTGGAAAGTTGAATAATACTAAGTTGTAATTTGGTATCTGTATTGTTCTTAGATGTTGTTGTTGTTGTTGGGCCCCCAAAGATGTATACCCCATTAAATAACTCCATGATCCAAATCCTTTCAAAATGTGGCAGTGTATGATGCCTACTCCTTATCCTGATCCTAATCCTATTCCCCCATCATATCCCCGATACCAATCGGGGGGGGCGTAATACTTTGTAGAGGCCGTCAAACAACATTGATACTGCGTAATCCCGAAACCATCCAACCTAGTCCCATGACAGTGATCCAATAGTAATAATGCACACGCCCCCTTATCCCCGGGGAGGCTTCTGTCTTTCATGCAAGCCCCAATAAACGCCGGTCTTCCAGTGGAAAGACTGTAGAGTAGAAAAAACAAAAGTAGTTGTAATAGAACAAAGGGAATAATGCTGAGTGGCTTGTCGACCAACTCATGATGTATCTGGTTCTCTAAGAAAGCAGATGGAGAAGTAAAAATCAACAACCAACGCCATGCCAAGCTTTCTTTTTCGATGCGAAAAGTAACGGATGCAAAGATCGATATAGTAATGCCAAACAGCGGTCCGTGTAACGCCAAGACTATGCATTAGGTATCAAGCGCGTGCCCGGTCGTGGGTAGCTATTTATCGCACAGCGACGCTACCACCGAGAAGACGACCCCACATGCCGCGCCTTGAGCGCTGCTGCTGTTGCTGCTGCTTCTTGGATGAGGTCTCATGGAGTTGCTGGTACTGTTGGTACTCATCGGCAGTGATCTCATAAGGAAGCATGCGGCCAGCAGGCATATGAGCCTTGGGGTAGTCAACATCGGGAACGATCTGGACGGGTGAGTCGTAGAGACTGCCCTGTTGAGACTCATAGTAGTAAGGCTCAGGCTCGGAGGGCTCGAGAGGAGTAGTAGCTTGTGAGTAAGCGCGGCCAGAGGAAACAGATGAGGCGTAGGAGCTAGAAGAGCTGCTGTAGCTGAGACCAGGAGGAGTGAAGTTTCCAGAAAGGTTTCGTGCGTGCTCGGGTGTTGATCCTCGAGAGCGGGAGTGACCGCGAGAGGAGGCAGGGCTGGGATATCGGGTGGAGGCGGCATAGAGCTCCTTCTGTCGTCGCTTCTCCTCGCGGTGTCGGATCTTCCTGGCATGTCGCTCGGCAATCTTGTGACGGAGTGGCTCGAGGAAGTCGTCGAGATCACGGTAAAGGTCCTCCTCGGTGATTCGAAGATCCCACTCAAGAAGGAAGAGAAGCTGCTTCTCCATGAGGTTGACCTCAGTGCGGCTGAAACCAAAGCTGTAGCACTCAGTGGTGATGTGGCTGTAGTTGGCCCAGTGCTTGTTCTTGGGTGAGCTATCGTTGAGGTACTTGGCTGAAAGAATCAAAGCAGCGAGGAAGATGCGGTGGGCGGTACATCGCAGACCACGAGCCATGGGCTGGAGCTTCGACTTTAGGCGACCGAGGTAGACCAGTGTTGACATGAGAGTAGGGACCTGGACATTGGAAGAGACGACGAGCTGTGTGATGAACTCCTCAAGGGTGGGGAGAGCTCCGTCTTCGGATCGAACGGTTCGGGGCTCGGGACTCCTGGGAGGAGTTGGGAGGTTCTGGCGAGGCTCGGCGGGAGCGGGAGGCATGAGAGTCGAGTCGCAGGCGATGACGTTGTGGGCGGCTTGGGCGAGGTATGCGATCATATCGCGACCCACAGGCTGGTAGACGAATTGGTCCAAGGCGGTCTTGTTGAGTTCCTCCATGGTGAGGTATCGTAGTGATGTTGCAGAAGCCATTGTGTGTATGTGTATGTGTGAGTGGGTTTGAGGGAGAGGAGGAAGAGGTTGTATAAGTGGGTGGGAGAGGATGATAGGGATATACTACACGGGAGGGCGGACCGTGTGTAAGTGAAGAAGGTGGGGTGAGGTTGATAGGCCTAGAAAGAATCGACAGGCCGTGAACCTTGACCTATTGCAAAAGCAAAGCAGAGCAAAGCAAAGCAGAAGCAAAAGCGAAAGGCAGATGATTAATATTTTGATTGAATGTGACTGGAAAGAGGAACCAGGGGTCAAGCCAGATGAAGGTGCGTGAGGATTGATATATCAAGAGATCAGAGGCTCATGTGAGGACCCTAAGAAACTGGCTTCGTAAGTAATGGAGCTAAGGGTGACGTTTTGGGTGTGAATGTGGAGGATGGAGGGGGCAAGGGCGTGTCCTTTGGAGGCTGAGCGCCGCGACGCTGTCTCTAATGCTAAGGCTCGCTGAAAAACTCCAAGCCCGACAGGGGTTCACAGCGAAAGCGAGCCCCAGTGCCACAAGCGGGCTGGGTTGGGGTGTGCAGGGTACAGGTACAGGGGGGGGTCACTCACTGGGTCGTCGTAGGAGAGACTAGTCGGAGAGATGTCTCGAGACTAGGTCAGGTCCAGTTATTCAGTGGACTGCAGCTAGCAATGCAACTAACAAGCTGCTGGGGCGGTCTGGCCGGGAGGGGGATAAATGCTTAGGTTTCTTTGGTTCGTGGTGATAGAGCAAGATGCCACTCAAAAACTTGAATAGGTACTTCCGGTGGCGAAACGAGAGCGGACCGTGGCTTGGGAAGAAAGAAACCTCAACAGTAACAGATGATGATCCTTGTACTGCGTATCGTTGCGTTGCGTTGCAGAATGCGGCGTAGCAGGTAGCAAATATCACAATGTCTCGCCGGTTGCTGTGCTGCGTCCGTCTCGGTATTGGCTATGTCTCAGTTTTTTCTTGTTCGTTTTACCAAACAACGAGATTGTAACTGATTAGGCGTTTGTTTTCAGAAACGTGCCGTGGGTCCTTTGTTTCGATTGATTTTGATATTAATTAAAATGCCAGAAACAATTAAAACTGAAAAAGAAAGCAAGGTCCAGGCCCAGATTCGGCAGCCGCGAATCTAGAGGATAAGTACGTGAAGATACCTAGTGATATGTCGCTGAGAGCTGTTTGCTCTGCCGGGTACGGGATAAGGCGTTCGAGGTCCTGCGTTTGGCACGGCGATGAGCGGATAGCGGGAAAAAGAAGAATCGACACCTTTCCCAAGCCGTTCAGGAACTGCTCGGACGGGAATAAGATGCAGCGATTTAGACTTTATGTCGCTGTGGCTTGAAGCTCGATCTGGGCGAGATGCGAGTCTAAGTTGACAGCTGTGGGGGAGGCCCTGAGTGCTCTGGAGTGAACCGGAGGAATGGTGGTTAAAGTGAATGATGAATGAATACTCAAGATGAGTGAGGTATTTGAAATAGGTGACGTGAGTGGATGATACCCAAGGCTGGCCGATAGATCAAGATCGGGAAAAAAAAGCTTGAGTCTATTGGTGTGGATGTTGATGGTGATGGAGATCAGATGAGATGAGATGCTCAGGAAAGGAAAGAGGTCAAGAGTTATATAACCAAACGATGATATCAAGACCGGCTTGACAAGGGAAGGAATATTGGTTATTCGGTTCTTGATTAATCCAGAGGGTCAGGTTGGACTGGAATTTTAAGATTGCATACAAAGGGAGAGAGCTTGCACCTCCGCAGAGTATTGAATTGAAGGGTTGAGATGGCGGTTGGCGAGCCTGCACCAAACAAGAATCGATCGATAGTGGGCGGGGGAATTAATGATGCGAGAATCGTCAAGACTCGTCAGGAAAGGTACGTAATTATTGTTGTCCAAGGGATGAGATGTGCTGTACCTGCCAGAGGTATGCGGGAATGGATGGTCGAAACGGGCGTGGCAAGACGAGGCAAACGAGAAACAAACACTTCAGTGTATGATCGGCCCCAAGAATTCCAGACGCAACGGAAGAGAGAGAGAGAGGAGATGGAGGTGGTGGTGGTGGTGGAGTCGGAGTCGGATTAGGATGGGATGGGATGGGATGAAGAGTGATAATAATAAAAAAAAGGTCGAGACATGAAACGGAAGTAATGGGCATCTTAATAGCAATACCTGGTCTTGCTCTGTCTACGCGAGAGTCTCGAGATTGTGAAATTCATTGGCTCACTCTACTTGATTGCGATGGATTACTGTAGATGCGCTGGCTACGAATAGAAGCACAGCTAAGCCCTTTCAGAGGCAGAAGAATCCTCCTCCAACCAAGCAGCATACACACGTCCTCATCTCGAGGCCCGTGAACTCAGAACCGCCCAGCAGGACCGTGTATGAGTTTTTAGAAACCACGAATTCCTCCGGCCAGTAGAATCTCCAGGCTCTGCATCTCTCTAAACGCTGGGGGAGCCAGGGGCTGGGCTGCCTTGTCCGTGCGTGATTGGCCGCAGAGAAACATCAAACACGCGAAACTGGCTGCAGGCATTTCTTCGGGCGGCTCTGCATCCCACGATTGGTCGAGGTGCAACTTGACTTGAAACCGGGCTATCTGATGCAAAACTGGGGCTGGGCTTGGGCTGGGCTTGGGTTGATGTTTGGTGAGGGGGAGGCGAAGAAAAGAAGACCCCAAAAAGATCAAGATCAACGCCTGGAGGGGAAACTAAAGTTGGTAAAGATGAGGACCCTGCATTTCTTCAACTCTTGAACGCGTACCACGAGTTGAATGATCTACAGGGCTCGAGTAAGAGACCCCTCACTCACGTTACAAACATGGTTATAGATATGTTTATCCTGAACATCCATATATAAGCGCTCATATAAGCCAGAGCACGTACCCTCAGGCATTAAAACAAATGCACCACCGTTTAATAAAGCATGAATGACAAGGGAACCCGTGCGTGCATCTACCTACAGCGAGCGGGCCGCTTAAACAGCTCAACGACTCGACGTACAATCGTGGCGGTTGACTTGATTTGGGTTACAGCGTTTCGGCTCTCTCGTCCCGCCTTGTGCAGCACCCGTACAGAGACGGAGACAGGTCAATCTCGCTCCGAAAGACGCTGTATCTTGCATGTTGACCGCACACGTGTTTCGGTCAGAAAGGCTATGTCTGTCTCTACTGTACTGTACTGTATCTCCGTGATAAGAGTCCTGCTTGATGCTACGCTGCACTGTACCTGTGGCTGTCTGCAAGTACAAACAGCCCATTCATTTGCCTTTCAAGCCCTGCATTAGGTAAAATGTCAAAAAACCATGAAATCACTGGTTGACATGATTCATTCCCTGCGCCACTATCTACGCTACGCAAATCATACAAACGGAATATCATACCGTAGTCAAGTCGGACGGCGGAAGCAAATAATGCAAGACGCCAAGAGGAGCTGACTTGCGACACTTTGGGTCCTCTTTAGCCTTTCTCGTTCGTCTGTGTTTCCTCTGGCTTCGCTTCAGGGTAATTGCCTTGTAACGCAAACACAAACACAAACGAACAGCCAGCTAGCACAGCACACTTCAAACACCCGTCGGCTAACCTTCAACTACCCGGTATTGTTGTTTGTATGTATCTTGATCTAACCCCAGCTGTCCGGAGCAAAAAGAGAGGCCAATGCGTTCAAACCCACGTTATTCAGCTGGCCTGTGTGTGGTGTAAGTTATCGCACTTGCAGAGTATAGCACTTCACGATGGAGGTTTATTAGCTTATCAGACCACTTTTCTCTTCTCTTCCCTTTTCTTTTCACTATTTCAAATAAGCGCAGCCATATGCCAATCGTGAGACTCAAATTGACTTGGTGGCGCTTCACTCAGACCCAAACCCTTGGGTTCAGATCCAAACGAGCGAGACCTGTAGCGGAAAGGATGGCGGATGGCGGTTTGACGGGGCGTCGTTCACCACCGAGTCACATTCCTATCGTCACCCACCGTTTCTTTTTCTTCTTCCGCTGCTTCTGCTTCCGGTTGTGTCTTATTATTTTCTCTGTCGTGATGGCTTCGTCTAGGGGCCGACGGCGTTCGGAAGACGGCCACAGACCCCAACACCTGAGATAATCGGTTGGCTAACTAATAATTGCCAGCATAACAATGCCTCAAGAACGAGGTCTTGGCGATCCATAATATCAAACCACGGGTTCAATCTGTCCGTTCTATGGATAGTACTATCCACAGCGGCCATCCCGCAATAGACTCATCGAGTCCTATCGGTTATGCATAGTCCACTGAGCCAAGAAGGGCCTCCCATTTCGTGCATATGCATTCCGGGCTTCATGGACATCCTCTCCCTACAGAGGCATGTGGTGATAATCGTCAATCACCGACCTCCTTCACCTGACGCTATCAGCCAGCCTCGAAGCGATAGCCCATCAAGTCAACCGTTTCATCCCTTGTCTCTGTTCATTGTCTGTAGACTGTCCGTCCTTGAAGATCAAACTGCCATCTGTCTCAGTCCATGCAAATAGTCCCCAGACTCTAGGCCTGAAGGAGAAGCACTAGAGCACCCCCTGCACAACATCTCTCCTGTGAGTGCTGCGAGATGCAACCACCAGGCTTCAGCACACTGACTGATCCCGTCGGTCGGCAGACGCCACTAGCTTGGCTCGGGAGCAGCCCGTTTGAGGAATGCACAGGTAAGAAAAGGGTGGGCATCACCGCCAATGGCTCACGCGAGGGAGACTTTTTATCCTTACAGAGCAACACCTGATCTGATGATTACAGCCCTGTCTATCTATTCCTTGCAAACCTTGCCCTGACAAAGGAAGAAAGGCTGATCAATAAAACCCATTCAGGGTGATGAGAGCTATCAACTGAAGCCACTCGAAAAAGGCATCGATGGTCAATTCTGCATACCAACCAAGAGGCCCCTGCACTGATAGCAAACGCCCCCCTTGACCTTCAAGTTCAAGCCCTGGAGATCCCCATCGAGCTCGACCAGGATCTTCGTTCCCATTCCCATTTTTAGCCTTTCCTCACCAAGACTCACCCACTCAACCACTCACTCACAGCTCACAGCAGCCCTACACTACGCTACAATTGTCGGCCCGCCGTAGATTCTTCAGCCAAGTCGAGATTGAGTTAGCTTGGTCGATTCGTCTCTCCTGCCATGAGGGCATCGAGGATCGGATGTGCAGTGATCATCTGAGTATATCGCGAGATCTGGTGGTCTGATTGAATTTATGGCTCTATCTTTTTTCCGAGTGACGACGTCTCTAGCATGACCATTTGCATTCACTTGTTCCTGAAAGTCATGTCACTAATCTACTCATCTCATCGGACGTGGAAAAAAACTCTTTCTCACCGCTGTTGATCTTGGTTGGAGCCATGAAATCTGCTGCAACCACTGACAGTTCGCAGGGAGTCATTCATCCATCCATCCTCTCATGATAGTCACCCACAGCAGTCCACAGTCCACTCACTATCAAGCCCCTAGCCCCTGGCCCCTGACCCCTGAGCCATTCATGGCAAACACACTGAAGCCACAGTCGCACGCCCCCCAAGATCCTCTCATATCTGGCTCAGCTGATTGGCCAGCCCCGCATATGTATCCCTGACGCCTGCATGTCAAAAACGCGTGGCTCTGACTCGCTGCAAAAGAGTTTGCTCGGTAGAGATGTGGCTGAGGTCGGTATTCGTCGTCTTGGTTTACGCACAGTGACTGTGGCTCATGCTCCGGATGTAGACTGTGGCGACGCCGACACGTAGGTATGTACGAGACCGGCCGGCCGACCGACCGCTTTCGGGGCCTGCAGTTCCCCGTCTTCTCCCTGCGGTCAAGGTTAAACCGTATTATCGTTTGGCTGGTTTCGGTTTATGCAGCTATTCGCGGTATGTTTTGTGGTTGATTCTATAGGTTACGGTTGTGCTTAGTTCGTGACTTGTCCTCCACTCATACTACCGTGGACTCGTGCGTTGTAGTTGGTCCACCCAATATCCATCTCGACCTTGCCTTGGAAACCTGATATTCAAGACGGTCATCATTTGATCTCAAGGCCCAACAAACCCATAAACTCTCAAGGATCAATCAGCCACTATCTCGGGCCTTTCATGCCATACTCCCAAGGTCTCTCCTAGTAGAAGTGGCTGCTGAGGGGTCAATGCCATCTCATGACCTGGTCTGGGCCACTTTGTCCGCGTGGTTGGGCTAGCCTAGCCTCATGTTCAAGTTCATGCTCATGCCCAACATCAACACCATTGCTTGTGACGATGCGGGGAAGATGGACTAGAGCCAGGCTAAAAGTTACTGCCTTGAATCCATCCGTGATCGGGGCATCAATATGACTCCTCATATTGCGGTGAAGACAAAGTCCAACTTGTATTCAATGCTGGATCTACAATTAACCGATCAATCCAACCACACCAAACCAACCCAAATAAATCAAGCATAATTGTTTGTTCATGTTCATCCTCTTTGATATCCTTCTTCCGTGGTCGCGTCCGAAGCTTTCCTCGCCCTCTGCGGCCCCGGTTGATCGGTCGGTCCGGGCGAATCTCGAACGGAGCGGAGTTCCGGCTGCCTCTGCCTCTGGTCCCCAGTTTTCGAGCCTCGGCTCAACCCGTGGGATTGGCGCTTCCCGCTGTTAGACGTTTGGCCCTGGTCCAGCTGCTGCACTGCCGCTGACGATCGCCTGAACACAGGCGAGAGCTACCATAAGCCAGACCTAGTATCTCAGCAGTGTAGGGATTCAAGATTGATGCATTATGACATAGCTTGAAGAGGCTTCTCAAGAGTCACGATATTTTTATTGCTGAGTTTACTAGCCTTGGCCCTCGAATTCAAGGCCATCAATGTATTGGCTCTAGAGTCTCTGTTCTCTTGGCTGCCTCCCGTACCTATCTGATGCCAACAACAAAACAACTCCAACGTAAACAATATAGGTAGTATACGAATACAACACAGCCCCAATAATTATCGGGGGTCGTTTCATAAATTTTTCGATACATCCTTCACTGCAGTTGAAACACGATACTCCAACATTGGATCTGTCCTTCATCGCAGCTCAGGCGCTTACACTGCAAGCGCCGGTTTCACTACATGCCCTTGCTCACTATTCTCGTCAGGCGGCTAATTACCCAAACATGCCATGGAGCTTACATGATCCTGCAGAAATAAACAAGTTACCAGAATAGAATTACATATCGTAGTACCGGCGGTTCTTTAATTTGGCATGCCGGACGAACTACGGGCGTCTATCTGTTATGTTACATTATGCTTCTATATTGAATAGACGCCCGTAGAATCTTATATAGATTGTGGCCCTTTCATTTCTTCCGTGGCAGTGCAAGAATGCCAAGATGATCCAGACCAATAAATTAATCAGAGACATACAATGCCATTGTTATCGTGGTCTGTTGTAATGGCCGGCTGCTACTATCGGCCCCCGTTCGTCCCGAGTCGTCGGTAAATATCCTCAAACTCTTCCGAGGATTGGAATGGGCTGTGTCACGATGGGCTACGAAATTGGTCTTTGTAATTCCTCCCAACAATGCTTCCCATTTTTTTTTTTTTTGTGTCTCACGGCCAAATGACTGTTGTTCGCTTTCTGGTCTGTGTCTAACACGTAGATGATCCGACAGTTCTCACAGCACGTTCCCAACACTGGTCATGATGGCATATACAGTCATGGTTATTTATCAATTATTCTGTCTTGGTGTGCATCTCCGGATATCAAACCGCACGCTGAGCCACATGTCTACAAAGCACATCCCAAAACCAAAGCATTGCGAATAAGAAGTCTGCCGCCCTTGCTGAAAGAGAACCTATTTTATCATGTTTTCCGTTCGCCTTCCAAACGCCTGAAATTCAGGCTGTTGCTTACCCGTTGGTTTACACCTGTTCTGCCACGTCAACTTCATACCGTTGTCTCTCATGATTTGGCCAAACCCCCAACAGCTTTCAACCCAACGGCTAAGTTAGTCACGCATATTGTTGGTCATCATAAGCATTACTGGTGAGCCTCGTGAGTGGCCAATCAATAAACGAGGTCAAGCTAGGCCAGGCGAGTCAATGTCTGTTTGTCGCCCAACTGGATAATCACTGCGCGATGCTGCTTGGGCATTGCTGCTGTTGCCATATCAATGTCATCTTCTCCTTGGCCTAGGAGAAGCGCCAACAGTATCTCGGAAAGAGAGAATACCTTGGTCCCGCTCGTCATTCGGCGGTGGAGTTTTAGTGCATCTGCATCTGCATCATCTGGTATGGAGCTCCATATCCCATCTAGTGATAGTAGCCATTTGTCTGGGCGGGTGCTTGCTCTTGTGCCAGGAGAGGCTCGAAGTAGGGGTGGTTGTAGGCAGCCTTGGCTGAAATACGCCCAGCAGGGTCGTACACCAACAGCATCTCGAGCAATTCAAGTCCATGGGCGTCGAGGTCCTTGCAAAGGTCCTTACTGTAGTCGCGCTGCCACTTGGGGAAGGATGCCTTGAAGTCAGGGTAGGAAGTGACGCCAGGCCAGTTCTCTTCAGTGGGGGTGCCGAGGATGCTATTAGATTGTCAGCGAGAGGAAATTCGAAGCTCTATAAAATCTTAATACTTACCGGAAGATCTTGAAGATCTCATCAATTTCAGAGTCACCAGGGAAGAGAGGCTTTCTTGTACACATTTCGGCAAAGATACAGCCAACGGACCACATGTCGACACCAGTCGAGTATTGACGCCCTCCTAGGAGAATTTCAGGGGCTCGGTACCAAAGAGTAACGACTTCGTGGGTGTAGGTGCGTAGAGGCACGCCAAAGGCACGGGCAAGACCGAAATCAGCGAGCTTGAGGTTACCCTCCTTATCGATCAGGAGGTTCTGGGGCTTGAGATCGCGGTGGAGGACACGGTGGGAGTGGCAGTATTTGATACCGTCGCAAAGCTGGAACATGAACTTTCGAACAACCATATCGCCCAGGCCAAGATGCTGCAAGTGAGGGGATGAACCCTCGGGCAGGGCCTTGCCTCGACCACCATCGCTCACGGGGAGAGACTCCATGTACTTCTTGAGATCGAGGTCGAGAAACTCGAAGACAAGGTACAGCTTGTGACCATCGGCATGGACGATGTTGAACAGACGAACAATGTTGGGATCTCGCATCTCCTTCAGGAGAGAGATTTCGCGGATGGCGGTACTGGGGACGCCCTCATCTTCAGCTTCGAGGCGGATTTTCTTCAGGGCGACAATTCGGCCGCCATTGGCAAGGTCTCGAGCTTTGTAGACGACACCGTAGGTACCTGGAAAGTGTCAGCGTTGGGTTTTCGGGAGGGCAAAGCCTGTGGCGTGAAGATTACAGGGCAAGCATCACAAGGCTTGTCTGTACACGTACCTTCACCAATCTTTTCCAACTTTTGGTAGTTCTCCATGGTCGGTGATATGTCCCTGTACCTGTTTTGCGAAGAAGGAAAGGTAGATCGAGGGTCGGATTGAAGAAAGGATGAAACGCGCGAGTCGCTTCTAGAGGAATTAAGCGAGAGACACTGCGTCGGCGGCGTTGACGGTGCTAGCTGAAGGTCAAGCTCGAGATGCGGTGGGACAGATCAGAGTAAGGCAAGGTAGGACAAGGATCGGTGTGGGTATGTGTCTCGTTTCGTTATGCGATCGTTATGAGATGGAGAGATGCGTGGAACAAGTCCAGACTCGAGTTGCTCCAATAGCAGAGAAAGTGTCTTATCTTACCGTCTTTGTCTCCTTGCTCGTCGGTGACCTTTGAAAAAGAGGCTCTACCGATCGATGGTGGGGGAGGAAAGAAGAGAGCAAGGCGGGGGACGTAGTTAGACGAAGAAAAAGGGTCCAGCTACTAACTAAGGTAACCGTGAACCAACACCTGGAAATGAAGAGGTACAGCAAAAGATTCAACGCCAGCAATGCAAGGGGTTTTTGAAGGGCGGATTGACGAACATTCGTACTCTTGGTAGTGAGAATCGCCAAAATGGTGATGCTGATGGCGGCGTCGTTGCTGAGATTTGGGTTTGTGGCGGGCGTTGTGGACAATGTGCCTGAAAGTCCCTGAGATCTCTCTCGCGATGGAGGATGAAATCAAATTACCTTGTCTTGTGTTTACTTTGGACGAGAAGGGACTGGACTTGTTTAGTTTCGTTTGGCGCGTCAACAATGCATGGAACCTACTCACGCATCATTCAGTGCAGTGGCAGCGCGATCCTTACAAGTCAAGTCACTAAAGACCAGGAACCTTCAGAGGGCGCCCCCCTGTAACGATCACAGCACGACAGCAGCTGAAGTCATCCAATAGCGCATCCCTTGGGACTAGCTCGATTGCTCAAGTTTGACTTCTGATCAGCCATTGGTGAGTGATTCACAAGCCCAATTACATCCAATATTCTTCTTCTCCTGGTTGTCTCGGGGAGGCGGGCAATTTGAGGCTGATGAAATACGCGTCTTGGTCGCGTTCCAATCTCTTTGTCTCTTCTTTGTCTTTGTCTCTGGATCTGTCTCGGGAGTGTTCAAAGAGTGACGTTGTTCGGAATGGCCATAGGTAAGGAGATATTAGTCATGGAGCAAAACTGTCACTTAGTTTTATTGGATGGATACCGCTGAGGAATTTCGCCAAGTCATAGATATATTGATTGCAGACGTCCTGACTCAAGCTGACATACTTCTTACGCTTATGAAAGTCAAAGTCTCGGATGTTGTATATTCACCCAGCAACAATAGCTTATCTTGGTTGCCAAGAGAAAGGGGATGTCTTTAATGAACAGCATAATAATAAATGCTCCGTGCAGTGGAAAGAAAACTCTATATGGAATTGCTTTATCACCATGTATATATGTCAGACATACGAGAAGCAAAAAATCAATCCGACGCAGGCCTGATTCGAACAGACGCCTCCGAAGAGAATAGATTTCTAGTCTATCGCATTAGACCACTCTGCCACTGCGCCTTAGCGAATTGATAAAAGACAAGAAATGATTGGCAATTATACAGCTGATCCAAACAGAGATAGGCGATAACGGGGACATAAGAAGCAGTACTCATGGGCGACGGTCGAGATATATGATAGAATCCGTGACTTTGGGGTTTTATTTAGTTGCGAAAAGCATGCTTAAATTTATTCAAGTTTAAAATCACCGTGTTTGTATGTCTAGTTGCTGAGACAATTGGGTTGCATGACACGTATTTATTGAGTTGATGTATCAAAACTTTAGCATCAAGCACGGGGGCTTTAGATGGCACTGTAGGCACGAAATCTAGGTATCTCTTTTTTGTTTGATTATGGCGATTTGATCATTGTCAGTATACAACAGTCCGATACCAGAGGGTGAGAGAAATTGCCAGGAGAGCCATAATGAGGTGTGAATCACTTCTCAACAACTCATGAAATTTAATTATTCTCTCCTCCTGTTAAAAGTCTTGCAACGAGCCTAGGCTTATACTGCATAAGCTCGGCATAGTAGGGAGCAATATCGATTTCGCATCGATATTGAAGTCGAAAGACATGGCTCGGATGACTCCAGGGTAAGGGAAACATCTTGTATTCGACACATTAGAATCTCGATGGAATCAAAAGATATGCATCTACGTGTGGTAAGATGATTCTATCTGAAAGACAGTAAAATATGAGCCTGGGTTTCAATGCCATATGCCGCAGTAGCTCATGGTGCATACTTGTGACAACGAGCAACTACTGTTGTTGTGAACTTACGTTGGACGACATCAACAGATGTTCATCGATTACACCGGCGACGAAGTAATACAATAAAGGGCTAGGATGCGATGATGTAGAGGGATTGGTAATAGGGCATGTTGAACACGAGATTCCCCAGCCTCGCAAACATAAGTGCCTAGCATATCTAGACTTGAAGTTTGCTACATCTCTAGAGCAACCCGAACTATGGAGCATAGTAACACTCACTTGCTGCCATCAATACTCATCAAAGCAGAAACTTGAATGATGTGGCCCTAGAATCTCGATTTTGCGAATTACCCTTGATCTCACTTTCAGGGCACCCTGTCCTGCCAACTTATCATCCTCTAGCAACCGTAGATGCGCATCACGAAGTCTCCTTTCTCCTCAGGTCCAATATTCTTCCCAAATTTAACGTCCCCTTCGCTCCCCAACCCGCCGGCCCAGCATCCACATCTGGTCGAAGATTCATGTACCAGGTCCAAGCTCGTTTATCCAACTCATCACGACTCAGAATACCAGCCCAACTGGCAAATAGCAAGCGTAGTGCACCTAGCACACGGCCCAGGTTCTCTTGCTTCTCCTCGTTGGCTGCTGTAACAGTCTTCTTTCCGCTGTCATCTGCAGGCGCGAAGGCTCTGAGTATGTAGTTTCGCGCCCCTTCTGGTCGATGTATTGGCATGCCAACCGTCGATGTTGAAGGACTCTTATCTTCAAGGTTCAGAGCCCATACTGGCTCGCCATTTAGACTAGATGTACGCTTTTGAGATGACAAGGCATCGTTGAGACATTCTTTCATGAGACGCCAGCGATCCGGCCCAAGCATGACGCCGCCATACCATCTTGTAAGCACAACCAACGTATTGCTGATATCGAGATCGCGTAGTTGTTGGAGCAAGAAGCTTCCACAACCAGACTCACCATCGTCAAACGATGCTTCCTGCTTCAGGGGCGAATTACCAAAGCTAGTTCGGATCGCCCAAGCATTGTGAGTTGCGGTCTCCAGCTCCGGCTTCTCGGCCATTAGTGATTTGAAAACTGCCGGACGCGTTGCAGGTGATGTTATAGGTATAGCATGAGCTATAAATACCGACCCCCTTGATGTCAACTGCTGACTTGTAGTCCAGCCTCTTGGATTTGGTTGACTGCCCTGGAGCGTAGCTGATGAAGCGTTGGATGAAGCTGGTTGAGCAGATCCTGACCAAGTATAGCCGCTCCTCTTCAAAACTGGAATTGGTCGGTTCATGATAGTGATCTTCGGTTGACCTTCAGGGGCTTTCTCTTCGCCTCCTGGGGGTGCCTTTTCGATGCCTATGCTGATGGCTTTTGTTCGTGAGTTGGCACTTACAACTGCTTGTGCTAGACTCAATCGGCTACTCAGGGGCTGTTCTGGCATAGTGTACCTCAACAGCTCAACAGAAAAGGCCAAAAATAGGGGCGCTCTGTTCGTCAAAATGGTGGTGTTTCGAATGATGTCTTCATCCTCCTCCAGTGGCAATTCGAGAGAGGCCTCAAGATCTTCCCCGGACATGGAGCCATAATCTAGATCTCGTCTATGCGTCTCCAGTTTTGGTTTCTTTACTTCAGTGGGAGCCGCACCATCGTCGGCTCCACGCTTCGTTCCTGATTTCTTCTCATGGTTCTTGCATGCTGTGTGAAGACTCTTTGCTGCCTTTGCATCGCCACTGAGCGCTTCCTCAACTGTGGCCAAGGGCGCATCTGCGATTTGTGCTATACTATTCCATACGCGTTAGTATCAGAATATTAGTGAGTTGTACAAGTCAAACCTTCGCAGATTCTTTGATTGTAGAGCCTTCACCTGTCCCATCGCTGCCATCATTGACATTTTACGCGCCGTGAGGAGGCGTATAAGTTCCTGGAGGTCATTTTGTGTCGCCATATTTTTCTTACATACAGCGGGTAAGAAGCCAATAAGTAACAAAGAACAGTCCCGTGCTTTGTGATTTTATGGTTCTTGTCTTGAATATTGAAGCATCAAGACAATGTTGTTGTAAGTCGCAAGTCCTCTTTCACGGAGCCGTTAACACTCCGCAATAAGATGAATGCCTGGCCTGGCGAGATCGGACCCACTAGCCCGGCCTTTGGATCCGCTCCACTCCACGAAACCCTTGTCTTAGCTTTAGGTCTTTTCATCTGCTTCCACATGTAAAATCAGACAATTCAGATACCCTCAAAACACCACGAACCGCTTCAATTCCATGGAAAAGTCTTCGTAATGATCTCTCCGAGTCGAGGCCTCGTTATGAGAGCCTGTCGCATCCAGTGCCGTTTCGCGAGCTCTACTCCTCGACCTCCCCGCCCTAATATCAAAACACCAACATCTCGCCCTCCACCCAAGATCTCAAAAACTTACAAACCGTAACGACTCCTTTATATATACGATGTCGGATCAATCGTACTGATACAGCACGCCCAGAAAGCCTCAGCGTTCTCCCTCAAATTCGTCGACCTCTGCAACCCCTGCACAAGCCGAAACCCTCCGCGATCTCTGGGCATCGACATGGCTCCCTCTGACCGGCGCAGCTCTTCTCGCCGGTGCCCTTGGCTTCTACATCTTCGGCACAGCTGCCGCATCATTCAAAGCGACGCCCTGCAGTTGCACCGGCGAACACTCCACACCGACCGGTCGACCACCGGCTCTTGATGGCGACAATGCAGAGCAGTTCGACAAGGAGCTGGCTCTTCCTGAGTGGTGGATGGGTATCACGAAGCTACGAAAGCGCATAGCGGAGCGCGCGAACGGGCATGTTTTGGAGTTGGCAATGGGCACAGGGCGAAACTTGGAGTACTTCAACTGGGAGCCATTGACCCTGCGTGCGGAGGGCAAGGCTGGTGCCAAGCTACCAAAGGGCGTAGTATCGTTTACTGGTCTCGACATTTCGGTTGATATGATGGATGTTGCTCGAAAGCGACTCGTCAAGACTGTTCCGCCCATGGAGAACTCTGCTCCCATCGTCCGCGCATCTACCATGGCCGATCACACCGGAGGCCAACTCTCGTATCTCGATTCCCAGCTCCGATTAATTCATTCCGACGCTCACCACCCAATTCCCGGTCCCGCGACTCCCGCGACGACGAAATACGATACAGTTATACAGACGTTCGGTTTATGTTCAGTTTCAGACCCCGTCGCTGTAGTCAATAATTTGGCGAAGGTTGTAAAGCCAGGATCAGGCCGTATCATTCTGCTCGAACACGGCAAGGGTTGGTACGGTATTGTCAATGGACTTCTCGATAAGAATGCCGGCAAACATTTTGAAAAATATGGATGTTGGTGGAATCGCGACATCGAGGGCCTAGTCGAAGAGGCTGTCGCTAAAACACCAGGCCTTGAAATCGTCAAGGTCGAGCGACCGAATATAATGCAAATGGGCACATTGGTTTGGGTTGAGTTGAAGGTCAACGACAAAGCCTCATGACGTCTCAAGGCATCACATAATGCAAATGATTGATATGAAAGGAATGAGATGGGTTGTAGAATATAGGGTGATGTACAATATTCAAAAAGTCGAAGCACTATGAGCGGCATTGCATTTTTAGAATCCCAGCTTCCGCATCCTTTTTAACGCCAGATAATCAAAACCATGGGATGCCATGATTCCCTTTTCCAGGTATCCCAGTCCCGGTCCAAACCCAATCAAACCAAAACACCAAACTTGTCTAAATATACAGGTACTTCCACAGGCGCCCCTCCATGCAATTAGTATGTAAGTATGTCGTATATCCGTCGTCGCAGACATAACGGAATCAAATCATCTCAATCGTCTCTCCCTGACCCCTTGCGCCTGCCCAAAGAAGTCGCAATTGCTCAACACGTATCGAGTAAGCAATCAAGCTCATCAATTTCGATGCTCTCAGCGCCGCGGTCCCATTCCATAAGCTTGCTAAACTTTAGCCAGCTCTCACCATCGTCCTCTTTTCGCAAACCGGATGCCATGTTTGACATGGAGCTAGGCTTTACCGCGGGGCTGGTAAGGAGGGCATTTGAGGTGAAGATGCGATGGTCGCCGAACCAGAAGTCGTCGCGGTACCCATACTCTGAAGTGTGGGTGGTGCGATCGGCGGACTCAGCAACAGGGGTGACCTCGGCGAACTTGCGTTTCTGCAAGAAGTCGGCCGTTTGTGTAAACTCCCGCTCATCTTTTTCCAGAGGCGGTGAGTTGTGACGGCTGTTGCGGCGGTTTGGCACGTAACGGTGATGAGAGGGAAGAGAGCCGATGGGGGTAAGAGGCATAATAACATCATCGTCACCTTCCTCGAATCCATGGTCAGAAAGGTCAACCTCAGGCGATGGGCTGAGCTCCCGCCGGCGAGCATCGTCATCGGAGCCGGAATCATCCGTCAGAGACACCGAAGGAGTTTCGAGGGCGGCATGAGCAGACACTGTGGAGTTGGGTTCGGGAATGGGCTGACGAGGGCAGGTGGTGAGGAAATAATAGGTCCTTCGAGGGTGGACGCTCTCAAGTTCCTTGGCGAGAGGGCATAGTTTTGTGTCACTCCAGCATTGTCGCTTAGCATATGAGGCCAGCCTTGAAGAGATGATTGCGCAAGGGTTGGCAGAACTGGGATTGGAATGTTAGCGCACGGGAGCTGAGGGGTTGGAGGGGATAGCAGATGGCTCAAACTTACTGTTGAACAGAGGTAAGACGTTGTGCCAGAACGGTAGCAAGCTCCTTGACGAGGTGAGGACGGTTTCCAGTTGACTGTAATTGAACAATAACTGCCTCGACAATGTCGTCGTTGATTGTCTCGAAGTCAATGGCGGGCTGATTTGTATCAAGGTCGAGGCTTGAGCCTGGTGTAGGTGAAGGAGGAGGTGTCTGCTCAATGGCAATGTCGTCGGAATGCGATCGCTTCTGTCGCTTATTGGGATGCGCTTCGGGGGCCTCGGAGCCAGACGAGGGCGGTGACAAGGCCGATGAAGCAGCACTGGATGAAGACGAAGAAGACGATCTCGAAGCGTTCTTGGAAGCAGCAGCAGCAGCTCGAGCAGCATGTGTCATTGGGACATGAATCCCAAGACTGGGTAAAGAAAGCGACTTTCGGCGCGTGTTGTAAGGCATGGCGATTGTGTTGAAGCGAGACGAGGGACAATATTGGAGAATAGTCGAGCTGTCTACAAGATGATGGACTGTCGGCTTGGGAGAAAGGTCAAGGTCACCAGGACTTCGCTGAGCAATTGTACGTAGTAACCTCAAGTGTTGAAACAGATCCAAGAGATCTATAAGGGTCTACTGTATTGATTGATCTAGCGAGGGCACGGCAACAGACGGTGATGCAGTTTATGTGCACAGGCAGCAAGGCAAGGTATGGAAGATGATGAAGGAGGAGGGAGAGATAGATAGTCGAAGGGGGTGGGAGTGTTTGGTTTGTTATTGACGAGTGGGTTTAGATTTAGACTGGAGAGTTGAAGCCGAGGGTGGAGGCGGTCTACGGATGTTGACGACACAGACAGAGCAGGAAGGAGCAAAGACGACGCAGGCAAGAGCAAGGGAGCAACGATGGCAACCGCGAGGAAGGGGATTAGATGGGGGGCAAAGGTGGGCGAAGAGGGACTGCAAGTGGTGCTGGGGAAGGCAGAAACGGGGAGCTAGCTCAGAAGGGACTTTTCAATGATTCAATTCTTGTAAGCTGATAGGTCCGGAGACAAGATGCTTGTCTCCATCGACTGACTTCACTTACAAAAGAAGGAGCGATTATCCTTAGGATGACGGGAAAGAATGGCGCTTGGTGCTGGGTCTGCCACACTTTTTTTTTTACAGACGCAGCACGAGAGCTCGAACTTTTTTCTTTTTTTTTTTCTCGTTTCAGCCAAACTCGATTGGTCGAGACTGGCGTGCATGGCTGCCGAGAAGTGGATCGCGCTAAAGATCGGTGGGTCAAGCCTGTGGGTATCTGGGAACATCCTTGTAGTTCACGTCTCCAGCCGCAAGACCCAAATGTGAAAAACGACCGGCCCCGACTGACAACACTTTTTTTTCGTCGTTGCTTTTGCTTGTGTGGTATTGGTATTCTGGTTGTGAGGGAGGGGTTCTGTAAGCATAAAGTGTTGGTTGGTATGCAACCGGAGAGAAGGATGACTCTTTAGCAGGCAACAAGCAGCCATTTCAGCCTTTGTACCAATAATCAACGATTATACTGTACATATTATCGATGATGCCCTACAACCAAGAGGCAACGGAACTTACGCAACCAAGCAGGCAAAAAGCATTGGCTCGGAGACCTTAATCATCGACTTACTCTGTACAGTTTAGCCATCTTGACTCGTCAACGTCTTCTGTTTCTTTTCTGCTTTTGGTCTAGCTGCACTGCCGCGACTGTAATTGGGTCACTGTGACAGCCTCTCACTAATTAATAGCCTCGCCTCATTGATGATGGATGATGGACTCTTGTTTTTCCGCCTCATCCGCGGTTTTTTGACCCGGGCCACTTCGGGTCGATGTTTGTTAGTTGGTTAGTGCGTTCTCGGAGGACCCTGAAATCTTTTTTTGGGGAACGCCCGAGAATGACCGTGGATTTGAGCTCAGGTATCGACAGGCATTACATGGCTAAGTTGAACTGCGTGTCAAGATGCCCTGGACGCGACCTTTTTTCCTACAGATCACACCGCATCTGCAACTGCATCAGACTGCATCAGACTGCATACATGTTTGCTCCGTGCAACCATATTCTTACACCGCATTCTCTCTCGACACGCTTATGCTGTACGAGACAATCAATCAATGCATAACAAGCGTTAAATAATCGGAAAAGAGGCCCGGTGTAATTTCTAATCTCGTCCTCGGTACAGAATACAGAGAGTACCCATATTGAAGTCGATGGAGATGACGAGTGGGCCGAATCATCAAAGAGTCTCCCAAAGACTGCGGCGAGGCCCTCTTTTGAATCTCGAACCCCTGGTCTGGCTCCTTCAAACGACTCCATTCACCCGTCGCCCATGGCAATTCAACAAGTGACCTATTTCCTAAAATTGACGGTAATAACTGTGCCTTGGGCCGAGTCCAAGGCTAGCAAACGATGTGTAAGTTACGTGACACTGCACTCTTCAATGAGGTACAGTATTGGACTCGGCAGCCAATAGCGACATTTCTATTTCATCATCTCTCTTCTGATCATGATACAGTGGGTTTCAGTCCGCTGTCGCCGACCGAGGCTTTCTTTGTCTCATGACTTGCAATTAGCCGTAGAGTCTCGTCTCTTTGTAAGTGAGTGAGAACAGATAATGCTACGCAGCAATACGAAGTCCGATTTTTGCTTTATTTGTCACAATCCCATGTTCACTATACCATTGATCTTGATTACCGACACTCGATTGCGATATCCTGCCCTTGCAAATGGAACTTTGACCACCTCACCTCGCTCAAAGTCTCTCGGGCTACTGAACCCCCTGAACTAGAACCAGATCTGGTCAGATCCCACCATCAACCTCCATCCAATTCTCTTACACGGCTTACAGAGCATCCATTTATTATCCACCACTAACAATTCCAGTACCTCGGCGTGCAGATGCTGCGTCATCCTTCGAATGCAGGAGTCGCCTCCTAACGATCCAATCTTTCGAGGATCACCGTGTGGATTTACCCTACACTGACCTGACTGAAGAGAAGAGAACGGTTGAATGTCACCACAGAGCTGCATGCCACGAGGTGGATCATCCAATGATGCATCTCTAGCTCTGCCCCTTGCGGCGCCAGCTGCGACAAGCGTCTGCCGCTAACATGGATGCTCTCCACTTACGCCTAGACCTTGCCCAAGCTTCTTCTTGTCTTGATCACAGCAGTGACCGGGTTAATTCCCTGTTCAGCATCGTTCGATGGGTTTGCGTGACCTGTGCTGTTGCAATTGCCGGTCACCTTGTGCTGTAAGTCAAGTATGTGACTACATGCGTTGTCTCTGAAAGCCAGAATCTGCCTCTATATTCCTTGGTGTACCCTGCTCATGTCCTCTCCGCCATGAAGTCATGGTAAGACTTAGGCTGTAGATCGCTCGAAAACCAACCTACGAAAAGCCTCCCTCTCCCATTTCCTTGCAAGTCCCGTCGTTCGTCGAACTCTTCGTGTCTTGGCGCCTTGCAGACCTCGTACTCCTTGCCTCAGGCCGCCGCAGCCGTCTTGTCGGGCAGGTCGAGGACAACGCTAAGGATTCCTTATTATATGATTGGCCAATTGAGGATCCCCGTCTTTGCTCCGCTTCACGCTTCGTTAGACTTGTGCCTTACCTAAGTGCAAAGGGTGTGTCGAAGACAGCCTATCCACCATGAAGTGGGCGTGACTTGACAGAGAGATTGCCCTACCCTATACCCAGTCTCGTAAACTCAAACTCACCTGAAAGAACCTCGAGTCATTTTTTACTTTTCCAACCTGTCAATCGACCCCACCCCACCACAATCTTCCCCCTCCATCATCGTCATACTTTTACCAACCACCAAAGCAAGCTCTTGCTATCGAGATTCACAAGCTCAGGCCGTCGACTGTTCCTGTGTCTACTTCGTACCTAATCTATCAGATCTGCTTGGTCCTACTGAAGCTAATTCACAGCTGAAAGCCACCAAAGCTTAACCATGGAGCTTCCCTTTGTTACTCTCGACGTCTTCACAAACACTCGATATCGAGGAAATCCCCTTGCCGTTGTCACGATTCCCGCAGATAGAAATATATCAGAGCCTACGCAAGAGCAAAAACAAAGAATTGCCCTCGAGTTCAATCTATCCGAAACCGTTTTTATCCACGAACCCCGTCCTGATACCGATGTCGACAGTGATGTCACCCGCCGAGTGATCGACATTTTTACAGTCGACACAGAGATCCCCTTTGCTGGGCACCCAACTATCGGCGCCGCTGTTACCCTCATCCCCCACGGTGTCAATACCGTCGTTACTAAGGCAGGCCCAATTGCTCTCACACAGACCCGCCCTGGTTATATCCAAGCTGCTATCCCGCACAATGTTCGTCGTCACAGAAAGACTCTTGCCGATCTGTCTGCCCCGGTCGCTGCCCAAATATCCCAGGACCCTGCGATACGCGAATCCGAGCTCCAGGCCCCGCTATTCAGTATCGTCAATGGCATGACCTTTGCGCTCATCAAACTCCCGGATCTCGAGCATCTGGCCAAAGTTCAGATGAGCGGGGTAAACTTGTCTGTGGACGAGCTTCTTGACGACGGCTGGCAAAACGGCCTCTTGCTGAAGTACTACTATGTTGTCAATGGCCAGCGTGAAGACGACGGCATGACCGTTTATTCCATCCGCTCGAGAATGATGGAAGCATCCATGGAAGATCCTGCTACAGGCAGTGCTGCGAGCGCGCTCTCTAGCTATCTTTCGCTTCAACAGTCGAGCCTAGGTGATCATGGCTTCAGATATGAGATTGACCAGGGTGTTGAGATGGGCAGGGAGAGTAATATTGTAGTTGACGTTGATGTAAAGGAGTCCAAGATCGCCACGGTCAAGCTCTCAGGAACAGCTACTCCAGTAATGCGTGGTCATGTCACCATCTAATCGAGAGAGGTAACATATTACCTGTTCCCAACTGCTCTATAAACCCAGGACCCAATTGTTATCACGTATTTAACCAAAGGGGCAGTATTCCAAAACCAATCATGCGCCTGGTATGTTCTTCCGACAACATCGTAACGACTATCGTACAGTGATACAGTATTACTGCAATGTGGTATCGGCCTGGAGACATCCTCGCCCCCCCAGACGAGTCTGCCCCAGGGCCGCAGTAACACTTGCGCCTCTATAATTCTGAATTCTTTTTGGACCCAACGCCCCGTGCCTCTCTCATAATGATGCACCGTCAAAAACCAAGAGTTCCGCCGATAATAAAATACGTTTCTCCTATAGATTCCTCCTTGTGACGTTTTACCCAGTCCTATTCATTCCATCGCGATGTGACTATATGACCCGCGACCTATGCTCGTTGAAGCACGTCTGCAAACTTTTTGGCAACCTAGAGATGACGTTAGTATCCGGCCCGTGTAACAGCAAGCGAATATATGACTGACCTCATGACTCTCGTCATCGATGAAAGGAAGTTTGAAGAATCCATACTTGTCTTCGTTCTTCACAAGTTCCACAACAGTGTACAACAGACCCCATGGCTGAGGCCAGAAACTAACCAGTCGCTCAAGCAGCACTCGGGTGATGTCCTCGCGGAATTCATCTTCCTCAGGATCGCCGAGATCCTTGGCAAAGATAGAAAGGAGCGCCTGACTGAAGAAGGCAGTGTGGGCGCTGGGATATCGAAGTTGGTTGACTAGGCTGACAAGGATATAATATCTGGCCTCGGCAGGGAGTTCATGAATGATCAGAGAAAGAAGTGACACTTCATTCTCGTCACCAGTCAGGGACAGGTCTGTGCCAGTCTGTGTTGCCTTCTCTACAGCACGATGTCCGATATAGAGAACAACAGCGTCAATCACGCTGGTGTTGGCGACGACAGGCACATGGCCGTAAGTAGATGCCTTTGGAGTGTCATGTGTCATGGCATGGGTGATATTAGCAACGATGTCTTCATTTGGTCCACTCTGAAGTGCTTGGTCTAGGACCTTGAGAAGACTGCGAGACTGAAGTGTCACGCTGGCCTCATTCATAAGACCAGCAAAAAGGCGCATGTCGTCGAACTGGATCTTGCCACCAAGCTCGTTGAACCTAGGACTCTGCTGGGGATTGGCAGCCAGGACAGCGTTAATGAGCTGCGTGCAATGAGGTGGAATGCTAGAGCAAAGCTTGGCGTGATTGGCCACGACAAATTCGGGGAAGTCGTGCTGCAGAATGACGAGCAGCTTGAAGCAAGCGCGGTAAATATCTTTGGCAACGTTGGAAACCTCGAAAACCTTCAACTGATCCCCGAGAGTGTCGAGCAACTGGCAGAGCAGGTCGGAAAAGGGGCCCCAGCCAACACCGTTGGGCAGCTGCAGAATTGCTGGCATGAAAGCACGGTGCTGAACAAGAGACATCCAGCCGTAAACAAAGCCGGGAACATATAAAGGGTTGATCTTGAACAGTCGCCGAGCGATCCTCAGAAGAATTTCACGACGCTCATCCTCAGCCAGGCTCTCTGAAATCCCCTGAATTTCGTAAAAGAGCATGGACAGCAATCTGAAGAAAACGCGCTGGCTCAGCTGCTCTCCGCGCTTGACATGATGGTTGACAAGAATGAGCTCAATAAGTGAAAGCACTGAGTCGATAAATGCGGGGCGAGTAGATGTTGGCTCAAAGCCCATCCCGATGAACGTTGCAATGAGCTTAGCAAGAGCATCTACCATGACATAGGCATCGGCAAGGGAACCACTGTGGACAATGTAGTCGAAGCGCTCAACCGACAGGTCGATGGTGACGCGGATGAAGACAAAGAGGTCATCCCTGTTCTCCATAACCCCTTTAGCGTGCAGCTGCTGCACGAACGCCGTGACAGCCTTCTCAGAGGCATTATGGTTGCGGCAAAGATGGATCCATTCGTCGAAAACATATTCTATCTGTTCGTGTTGGAGAGCCTGACTGTCAGCGCGAGTCGGCCGTGTCAGACCGGAGTTGGTGAGCTTTGACTTGATCCGTTGCCCAGCGGCAGAATCGGGGTCATCCGAGATCCATGACCAAGCTGCGTCCAGCGTCAGGGCAAAGTCGGCATACAAAGCAATCGGGCGGGAGTCGAGCAGCGTGAGGTCGAGTAGGTGCTCCAAAAAGTCAAGAGATCCCTCTTTGCGGGCCTGTAGTGCTTTCGACATAGCCAGATCGATGTTTCTCCAATCCAAAAGGTCCGTCCGAACCAAGGCCGCGAGCAGAGGTAAACTCAAGAAGGTGGAGCCAGGCTGCTGGCTGAAGAGAGTTCGAACGCGGCTGTTGAGAACAGGACCAGCAATCTTTCTAAGTGTCTCCAATACATGAACTAAGCTCTCAAGAGCCAGGTTGTCGTCAACCTGTGAGAAGATGAGCTGAATGATTTGTTCTGCAGCGTAAATGGAAAAATCTTCATGGCTCTGCGAAGTCTTGATGATGTGCTGGACGAGCGCATCAACAACGTCCACAAGAGGAGATGGGCGCGGTAGGTCCAGGAAATGTTCATGAGGAGACTCGGTGGCCACCCTCATGAGTTCCTGGAGTAGCTTATTGACCCGCTCGGCTAGATTACGAACATCCATCTGGAAGCCGGGTGATCTACCGTTAGTCATTGCATTAGCACCGGTATGAGGGGGTGCATAGGGCTGCATTTGAGCACCCAAATGCTGCTGAATTGAGGGAGTCTCCGCAGGAGTCGGGATACTAGGGATAGAACTAAATTGATCCTGTAGCACCTCGTTGGCCAAAGATCTGGTCGCATCGGATGCTGATGGGCCATGTGAAGGTGTGGGAAGCGCGGCGCTTCGTGGTTGCCTAGCGAAGTCTTCATAAATGGCCATCTGCTCAGGGTTGAGGCCGTTGACATTCGGCGATAACTTGAAAGGATTAGGAATAGCCATGGCCCACCGGCTGAGGCTCGAGTCGAAGTAAGGATCGTTGGGTCTTTGAAGGCGATGTCGTCGACGAGCCTCGAGCTCCGGTTCGATCATCTCCTCAATTTCAGGGACAGCCCTTTCCTCAGCCTGCTTCTCAATGATATTGCAGGCTAAGTCCAGGTTAGAGTTAACACACATAATAATTGTGCCCTCGGGGAGTCCTTGAGAGAGATCGGTTGAGAGGTTTCGCATGTAGTTGGTGAAGTTGGCGCGAAGGGGTTCCTTGGACGTAACGAGGGCAAGGCTACCGGCGGTGGCTTTTACCATGCTAATAGCAGAGTTGCGTACACGGTTCTCGTCAGGCTCTATAGCGAAGTCCTTGTGTATCATCTGCTGCGTAGATATGGCGGCAATTGTAACGGAGCGATCAACGACAGGCTGGATTATATCTTGCAGAGCACGGCTGAGGGCCGTGCGAACAATCTCATGAAGACGAGTAGTGCTGACAACCATCTCATTAGTTGGGGGGATAGTAATCAGGGGACCAAGGTCAGGGATGGTTGGCGCAAGAGCCTGAGGTGAGAGTCCAGCACCCACACCGGACCCGATGCCATTGAGAGATAGATTCTCAAAAGCGTCCAGTTGTTCAGGGGGGAGGGTCTCTGCCGGTTCTTCAATGACGGGTCGGTTCAGAATTTCGCCCGAAGGTTCGATGCTCCTGTGATCGAGGTTTAAACCCTTGCACAAGACCTCAATCTCAAACTTGAGGTTGAGTTTCAGCTCGGCATGATGATAAAGCTCAATTAGCAAATGGATGATATCCATAAGCCATGGATTCGGGGGCCTGAAAACGGCTGATGTGGCGCCTTGAGTCAGAACTTTGCACACGAACGGGATAACAACGATGAGTCGTTTCGTATCATGCGCCTCAATCAAAAGCTGCTTGAAGGCGATGTTCTTGTGTTTGATGGGACGATCTCGTGCCAGAGTCAGAAGACCTAGCCAGCCTCCGAGATTTTTGAGGTGAGTTCTTTCCGTTGAGTTCTGCATGGTCGCCTCCGAGTTCAGCATTCGGCACACGCTGATGTAAGTCTCCCTCAGGACCTCACTCCAGAGAGCCTTGTCTTCAAACAGTTTAACCAGTTCGAGATAAACATGGTGGTAGTTTGGCTGCATCTTGGCGCGCTCCTCAACAAGATGGCTAGCAAACCATTGTTGATGTCGGCGCTCCATGGTCTCTCGAAGTTCTTGACACATGGCCTGTAGTGTGCCTTCGGTGATATTGTTGAGAACGAACTGGACCTTGTCCTGGGCACCCTCGTCAGGATCTTCAAACTCAACGTCCGTAGCTGGCGGATCGACGTTCAGAGCAGCAAACGCAGGCGCTTGACGCTCAACATTGGTCAGCTCATCCGAGTTTCCATTAGGGAAACCATCGCCTTGAAATCCTAGTCCATGAGGTGTTCCGGCGCCGTTACGCCCACGGGCCATCTCTTCTTCGTGCTCACGAACGACCTCCTCTGCCTTTTTGAAAACTTCCGTGTTATGGAGTCCAGGAATCTGGCAGAGCTGTCTGCAGAAGGCAGGCCATTCTCGGAAGCGAATGAACAACTGCATCAGTGCCTGGAGGCCAAACTTGTACATAGGTTCATCAGGAGAATGGTCCCTAACAGCTTCCAAAATCATGCCCAGTCCAATTTGAAGAGGCAAGTTCGAAACGAGCTTATGCGAAATGATGCCACCGAATAGAACTGCGGTTGTTGCCAGAGCTTCCAGAGGATAGTCGGCATAGTGAGAATACTCATCGAAGAGCCCATGGATCATACATGCGAAAACATCCTGATCCAGAGGATCCCTGGAATGCTTATAGCGGTCTAAGACCTCGACTATATTGCGAACCTGTACTTCATCACTATACATCTTCTTGTAGTGTTCCTCCATCCTGGTATTGGCGGTCGGAGACAGGAGATTCCCCTCCCTTCCATTGGCGTCGATGATATCGTCGTAACCCTCGCCGTAGTTGATCAGTCGGGGGTAAGCAATAATGCAAGCGCGCTGAACCAGGATCAATTCTGGCCTAGGAGGACTTGGCGAAAAGTCTTCGAGGATTCGCAGTAACGCTGATACGGTACGAACTTGGAGAGTCGTTGTGTTCTTAACAGAAGAGTCATCGGAAGTTCCTCGCTGAAACTGGCTCTCCAAGTTGGCCTTTATCATCAAGAACTGGAGCAGAGTACTATACATCTCTTCACTCCGCTCAGCATTGAACCGTGCCCACTTGGACAAATCCAAATATCCTTCAGCATGGGCGAGAGCGGCTAAATCGACTCCAAATCCATTTGACTGGTACACCAGCGTGTCAAGCCAATTATGCTTTACAGCGTGCTCGAGAATAACCGGAAGGTCCATCGGCTTAACAGCATGGGTGTCTACCAAGCGCTGAATGACCCAGTTCTTGTCTTTCCTCCAGACACTATCTAGAACAAAGTCGTATTGGGGCGAACGCTTATAAAGGAAATTTTCGAACAAAGAACTGAGTGTTTCTACAGCCATTGGGGCCCAATGCTGCCGAGGTACTTCGAAGGCGGAGACCAGGAAGATGTCCAGATTCGGGACTACCACTTCTTGGAAGAGCCTCTTTGCCTCGATACTCGTCGACGCCAACATGGAACTGAGCGCTACATTGAAGATCGAGGAGAGCGCGGCAACGGATATTAACGGATGCTTGACGGCGACAATTGCTCGCTCTTGTACATTCTCAGGGGAGTTGGCGTATTCCTCAATAGTAATGCTGCGCTGGAGCCCGGGAATTGTCGTCGCGTCTAGCTGATCGGGGGTTAAAGAGGCATAGGCACTAACAAAAGAGAGCTGAGCCTCTGGATTCCTCCAAACGCCGCCCCATAACCTCTGAATATCCACTATCAAGCCAGACTTGGAGTCCTGTGCAATTGGCAAGAAAGCCTGGTAAAGTCGAAGGAACTGCTGAGAAGAAACACGAGCCGATGGTTGGTCGAACAGAATGATGACCTCCATCCAGTCGAATGATTTCGGTAGGACTCTCCTGAGAGCAGCAACCAGAACACCAGTATCTTGCTGTGGGCTTTGACTAATGGCCGTGAAGGTCATCGCAGCCGAAACTTGTTCGGGGCCCAACTGCAAGCTGCTGGGGCGGTTCTGTAAATACGAGACACATGTTTCCTCGTCTCTGGTGAAATCGATGCCCGTCTTTTGGATATATCGAACTAGCCCATTGAAAGGCCTATCAGCGAGCACTCGACTGAGATCGAGAGCCGCGAGGATTTCGGAAGGCGGTGTACGCTCGGGAGTCTGATCGATCCATCGGTTGATGACACGTGTTTCCAATTCGTGCATAGAAGAAGCATTAAAGCTCGGAGGATGATATTGAAGAAACCGGTCCAGAATCAGGGCGATGAAAGATGGGCTTAAATCGGCATGGGCGTCGAGGTCAAATCGAGAAAGGATATCGATGAACGAGGGGAAGTTAGTAGATAATATAGCGTCGGCTGCCTTGACATTAGAATTCTCAACGGGACAAACTTCCTAATGGCATGAACCAACCTTTCGTCTTTAAATCTGCTCGAGAAGTGAGCTTAAAGGCTAGAGCTAATATAGTCTTCTCTAATGCATCGAGCTTGAAATGTTCCATAAAGGTTGAAAGATCAAAGTCGCGGAAGATGTCCTCCGTGGCACTCTCAATTGATTCAGCAATCTTGCTTGCTTGATTGGGATCGTGCGAGATCTTCTGCATCTCGGCAACAAGAATGTGATAGTTGTTCGGGCTTGTGCCAGGCCTGTTGAGGCCAGGGAATATCTGGGGCGCATTGCCGGCAACGAGCCGGGTGAAATACTTAGTAAACACTTCCATTCCGTGTTCATCGATAAGCTGTTAAGTAGGTGCATTGTCAGCAAACTTGGGATTTGTCCAGCAGCAATAATGTAGCCAAACCTTCTTCAATTGGTCAACCTGCAGCTCCCACTTAGCACGGTCCTTGTCCTCCTTGATAGTACTGAGCAGAAGATAGACCTGTGCCACGACGATCTTGGTCAGGGAATTAGTGCCCGTTGGACTGCTGGCGCTTGGGCTTGCGCCAGCACTGAGAATGGCGGCCTGCGATGGGTGAGGAGAATGGCTCGAACCCGTCTGTAGTATCTGCGCAGGATTGGGCGAAAATGATCCCGCTCGAGGTGGTGGGACCATGGAGGTGTATTCGCGGCGGAGGGAGATGAGATGATTGAGCGCCTGCTTTCGTTGTGGTGGCAGGCCGGAGGGCTCAGAAAACGAGCGAGCGGGGAAGTGTGAAGGAGGAAGAGTCCGTATATAAGATGCCTACATGGGGGAGCCGCACGATGAAGCTGCGAACAGCGGTCGTCAAGACGTTGCAGAGGCTGCGCGATCGTGCAACGGTAGTCGACCAGAGAGGAACTCGTGAGCCCGACTCGACTTGAAGGTGGAGTTGGAGGTACGTGTCGTACTCGGCGTTCGTCGTAGGGAGGGCGCCGAAAACGCTACAAACTGATAGGGTGGGGGGGGAGTCCGTAACGATTCGGCGTCAAATAAGCCAACGAGACCCGAAATATTTATGGCGCGTGGTGATGCAAGTATCGATATCGTCAAGAACGTCTGTACACAAGGTGGTGGTGGTCGATGTTGGGTTTGGAGGACAAGGTACTGTAACTGAAAATGACAAGGCCCTTGAGAACGGCAAATCCCGATACGTCGAGAGGATCCACACTGCCTATACCCGCATCACGTGAGTCGTTCCAAGGTTTCCTTGTTACACCGGTGGTCAGTGCTCCCTTTGTTGCTGTGCCAACAGCTACACGCCACCAAAACAATACAGCTAGCTCTCCTTTCACCTTACATTACTCCCTTTATCACCATTGAAAGGGCTACATACCAGATATCCTTTTTGTCTCGCTTCCTCTGTGTTTAGTGTGGAGAGTAGTGCGACTCAGGCTGGTCCTTAATCATCCATATTCGTTGGAAGCAACATAACGTCCGTCTGTCTTGACATTTGAAATTGAATACCCTTGGGCATCATGCCCGCATCAACGGTTGAAACTCCAGCCGTTGCGCTGTCTTGTGAGCAAACTTTGACGATGTCTTGATGTTTATTTGACTGATACATGATACTGCAGTCGCAAACAACTTTTGGGGCAAAGAAGATGCTGGCGTGGCGCCGCTGCTGAGTCGCATGACTGCGGCCAAGACAACATGCGATGAACTACGAGCATTCTATGGCGGTGCGTACAAGTGAAGTTGTTGACAGAAACCTATCTAACTGAATGCGCTGCAGCTCGAGCGTCGATTGAGGAGGAATACTCCCGCAAATTATTGAACCTGAGTCGCAAAGCCTTAGGATCGCAGGAGTCTGGTACATTGAAGACATCGTTGGATACCGTCCGAGGCGAAGTTGAACAGATGGCCAAGCAGCACCAACTCATTGGCGCAGAAATGAAGTCAGAGCTTGAGGAGCCACTCGCCGCCTTTGCTGGCGGAATGAAGGAGCGACGAAAGATTATTCAGAACACCGTCGAAAAGCTATTGAAAGTCAAGATGCAGCAGACACAGCAGGTCAATAAGGTTAGACTACTCTTCTCGACTCTCCATTATCATGGAGGCTGACTTTGGTTCTAGACACGAGACAAGTATGAGCAAGAGTGTTTGAAGATCAAGGGCTATCTTGCTCAAGGCCACATGGTAATGGGCCAAGAAGAACGACGTAACAAAGCCAAACTCGAAAAGACACAGATCAGCCTTGCAACTTCCAATACGGAGTACGAGAATGCGGTTAAAGCACTCGAAGACACGACAACAAGATGGAACAGAGAGTGGAAGTCAGCCGCCGATAAATTCCAAGATTTGGAGGAAGAACGACTCGACTTCACCAAGAGTAGCCTGTGGACGTTTGCCAATATCGCCTCCACGGTTTGCGTTAGTGACGATTCGTCGTGCGAAAAGATCCGACTCTCATTGGAGGTTATGGATGTGGAAAAGGACATCATCACTTTCATTACAGAAAAGGGAACCGGCCAGGAGATCCCAGACGCTCCCAAGTATATCAACTTCTGTCGCGGAGATGTGACGGATAACCAATCTGAGACGTCAGAAGACGACAACTATTCTGTCGCCCAATTTCCTCGCAGCATCAACCCTGCTTTCCGCTCGTCGTCTCCTCAACCTTCGACATTCGAGTCACATCATGATCCAAATTCTGCTCTGGCCAACGACCTGGCGCACAGAGAAGTTGCCTCAAGCAAACGTGACCTCCCAGCCCAGAAGCCGGCAACGCTGCCCCCTGACGAGATACTCCAAATCGGCACTCAGAAGCCTCAACCTCAGCAGATCCAGGCGCCTCCTCAACCGCGTCAACAGCAGATACAACGTCCTTCTCAGATGCAGCACCCCGCTCAACTGCAATATGCTCCCCAGCATCAGCATCCCTCCCAATTGCAGCACCACTCTCAGCTTCAGCACCCTTCACAGCTGCAGCATCATCCCCAGCAGCAGTACTCTCCTCAGCGTCAGCAACCGTCCCAGCAGGTTGCTCACCATGCAGGGCACCACATGCAACAGCAGATGAGGCCTCTGGAAATGAGACCCGCAGATGGCAGATCTGGAGATATGAGACACTCGAACATGCGACATCCAGATATGCGACAGCACGATCCAAGACCGTCTTTGGAAATGCGCCACTCCGGGGAAGTTCGGCCTTCCATGCAGTCTCGACCCAGTGCTGATGCAAGGCAATCAATGGATGCAAGAACATCTCTGGAAGTACGGCGACCAATGGAGGACCCGTATCGCCGCCAGCAACCTGCAGGTCACGTATCGTATGATGCCAACCAGCATGGTGCTGTTGCAGCCGTGCCACACGACCCTTACCCCCTGGACGGCATGACGATGCTGTGCAGGACTGGGCCCAGCCCCATCTCGGACCAGAGTTCGCAGGTGACATCTGCTCGACCTTCGAGCAGAGACTCTCATAGTGATTATTCGAACCCCAACTCGTTCTCTAGTGTGGAACCACCAAGCGGGAAAACTTCACCCGTCAAGCAGGGTCCTATAAAGCCAAACCCAGTGCCAACTCAAGCACCAGCACCAGTATCGGCACCTGCGCCGGCACCAGCCCCTGCTCCGGCACCAGCCCCTGCTCCGGCGCCAGTCACAGCTCCCGCTCCCGCGCCCGCTGTCAGCAATGGCCCGAGCCCTGTCAAATTAGTTGCTAAGAAGAAGAGCGGTGGTTTCTTAAAGAATCACAGTCCATTCAGACGCAAGAGCAACAAGGACCTTCAGTCATCAAACAGGAACACATGGCACGCACCGAGCACGCAAAACTCGGGTAGTCCCGTTCGCAGACCACAGTTGCAGACACAAGAGTCCAGCAATGTTGTCACCAAAGAACGTACTCAGAGTCCTGAGCCCATCGACGCCAATGCCAGTCTGGCTCTGGGAGTGGGACAGAACGTCTTCCCTGTATCTACCCCTGACACAAAGAAGAAGCCAGGAGCTGCGACTGAACAGACATCGGAGGAAACAGACCCAATCGCTCTGGCCCTTGCGGAGCTGAAAGGCGTCACGTTAGGCAAGCAGTCATCAATGAGAATGTCCGCTGATCACTATTCCGGCCTTGCCACTCCGGCGCCAGCGTCAGAAGCTGCTTCAAGACAAGCCTCAGCCTCTCGCACAGCTCCGACTCCTGTGAACCCGGATGTTGCGGCGGCAAAGAGAGGAACACCGCCGCCATCATACCAAACCCCAGTTTCACGCCTGGGTGTCCCACCACCTGCAGTGACTTCTAGGGCAATGAAGGAAGCGACCAAGAAGGCTACCACGCAGACACGAAGCATGTTTGAGAATGGAGGCGGTTCGCCAGGAGGATTCAATAGTACTGCTTCTAGGACCAACACTCGAGCGACCGAAACAAGGCGATCTGAGCCATCCCCAAGCCAGAGTGTTCCACCAAGTGCTTCACGACCGGCAACTCGAACCACTAATCATGGCAGGGGCGAGTCTGGTAGTTACAGCACGTCCCCTGTGTCACGACAGCCTACTAGAGCCACCGATAACGGACGCGGCGAGCCTGGAAGCTATAGCTCAGCATCCATGCCTCGACCAGGCACTCGGGGCACTGACATGGGTAGAGGAGAGACTGGCGGCTATAGTACACCACCTGTAGCACGTTCGGGAACCAAAGCAAGCGAGATGCCCCGATCGGACACTCGCGGAATTCCTATTTCGCGACCAGGCACAAGGGGAAGTGACATGTCTCGTGGCGGATCTGGTATCTACGGATCGTCGCCTGGTTCCCGACCTGGCACCAGAGGCTCTGATATGCCCAGAGCAACTTCGCCAGCACCAGCTCGCAGCGTGTCTCCACAGCCACCTATGAACGACAACATGAGCTACAGATCAGTATCACCCAACCCTTACGCTGCTAGTCAACGTTCTCCGTCCGTCATGAGCTCACCGCAGAAGCATGGGTCAGCCCAGGGGTATTATCCCCAGTCACCTCAGCAGGCTGCTAGTCGCGGGCCTTCTCCTGCACCTTATGCCCAGCAGAATCGTCCCGGAAGCAGCTATGCTGGTAGCGACATGGCAATTCAGCTCGCGCCGGTTGATGATCCCTATGGTTCTCAGAGGAGTCGAGGCAGCCGCCCTGCTTCGAGGGCCATGAGCTACTATGACGATGGCAGTACCCGTCAACGTAGTCAGAGCGTTGCTGATCCGTCTCGGCTGTATACCGGAGATGGCAGAGCAATTCTGCATTATGGTAAGTCTTTGATCAGCCAGTATCGAAGAGTGGAAGAGACTAACATGACCTTTTTACAGCACGCGCATTGTACATGTATCAAGCAGCCATTCCCGAGGAGTTGAGCTTTGGCAAGGGTGATTATCTTGCGGTCCTTCGTCACCAAGACGATGGATGGTGGGAGGCTGAAGTCCACGGCGGAGACGGAAGTGTCGGGCTGGTCCCAAGCAATTACCTTGCGGCGTGCTAGACTCTTATGATATGAGCGACTCGATGGACGAATTTTTGAGATGTTTCTTGCGGAATGATTGAATTGTAGGTTAGGATTACGGCAGGAAAAGGGCCCCGACGAAATTGGTTCACGACTTGATTTATACTTTTCGTTACGCTGTTATCTTGTACAGCAGATATTTGGCATGGAAGCGCTGGCCTTGTTGTTGCTTCAGACTATTTTGATTTTTTATTTGTGTCACGATTATTGGGAAAGATTGAAACGACTGCTCTTCTATATCACCTCATGGAAATGAGAATCATCGTCTGTAGATGTTATTGAAACATTAGATATTCTGAATTAATGTGTCGAAATTATCCTTCAGAATTGCTTGAGCTGCCCGTGAAGTTGAATATCCTCTTACCTAAGGTGGGTACGTACCGAATTATGACGTTGAAGCCGCCAGAGCTCCAAAGCTGGTTATAGCTTGCCGCCTTCACATGCCACTCACTCACTCACCACTCCCTTTGACCTCTGCTCCCTTCAATTTCACAACCTGTGACTCCCTAGCTCATACTCATACCCATGTCTTCTATATTAATGACCTGAATAATCCGAAGCATTATAGCATGGTTAGTTGTTCTGTTGTTTATTATCTATACGCGACTGACTTTGCTTGACAAGGAAACCCTACAAGAAACCGCCCGTGTTGTCACGTCTAAACCTGTTCAGCGAGCTGTCGTTAACACCGTACTCCTCGTATCGACAGCAGCAACCCTCTTTTGCACGGCTGCCATTGCTTCATTGCTCTTTTTCCAGAATTTCCTTCCTCACGAGGTCGTAACTTTGCCATTACATCTCCAATATGGGTGAGTTATGACGCTGTATATGTTGCTCGCCTGACTGATAGAATTGTTACAGCTCTGGCATCAACCCGTATGGAATCGCCTCCCTTCAAACGCCACCAATGAAGACGCAGCAAGAGTACGATGTGTCGTTGATTTTAGCAATGCCTCGCTCGAATCCAAACGTGGAGCGCGGCAACTTCATGATTACCCTGCACATGGTCGACTCGCAAGCTGACGCTGGGTTGCATGCTGCGGCGGAACGTCACGCATCGCTACACCAAGGATTGGAAGGGGCCAATGTACTATTCACTTCACGCAGGCCTGCTTTATTTCCTTACATGGACCCGTTGGTATCGGTTGCGTCTCGCGTGTTGTTTCTGCTTTACCATTTATTCACACCAGGTTCAAGCACGAACTCGATGATCATCCCGTTGGCCGAGCGAGTCTTGTTCTCAAAAGCCTCGGATCTCCCAAAGTCAGCGTATGTGGAGGTAGAAGCGGGCCAGACCATTCAAATTTACCATGCCTACCTTCAGCTTACAGCTCAGCTTCGTGGTCTCCGGTGGATGATGGTTCACTATCGCATCTCGACATTCATCGCCTTGACCCTTGTGTTTTGGGCTTTTGAAGTTATTTTTATGGGTGTCGCCTGGGGACTTTGGAGTGTGGCTTCAGGGTCACCGCCTGGAGATGCCGATGACAAGACCAGGAGGCTTGAGGCAGAACGATATGAGTATGAAGATGAGGACACAGATCGCGTAGAGACCTTTCCAACATATAGAAGACAGCAACCCCTCAAGTACGAGCCCGAAATCAAACCAGAGGCGGACCCTGAACAGCCTTTATCGGAAATTCCTCGAGCAGGAGCCGACGCTGATGACGAAGATGAGGGAAGTTTTGACGATGACGACGACGATGTGCAACACAAGGATTCGGGTATCGGAACGAGTTATAGTGAGGAGGGAATTTCAAGCATTCGAAGGCGAACGTCACGTAATAAATTGTAGAGGAGGGAAGTTTTGCGAGGCCTTAATATAGAGACTGAGTGTAATGAGTGGAAGCAGATGCCCGTGGCTTATGATATGCGGTACTAGAATAAGAATGTGTTGTCAGCTGAGGATTTGGTGTTTATTATGCAGGGGAAACTGCCTTGTAAGTTAGACTATGCTGATCCGATATGCATGCCAAGTTGACTGTAATTCGATGACGAGCTCATAACAGGCAGAGTTTGGCGTTTGGCTACCTTAATCAAAGAACGCTTTAAGAATAGCAACGTGCGTATCCTTCCGCTTCACAACGAGAGATCCATTGTAGTTTACAAGTCGTTTGCCTGGCTACCGACGGTCAATGGTTCCAAGGCGTTGATGTGTATTTAAAGCGGGCGATTCACTTTCACCGTTTGTTGGCTGTATCTTTGGCATCCACCATTGACGACGGCTGAAAGTCTTGTGATATCAATTCAAGGTTTTCATAGCATTGATTGTTCGCTTGAAAACAGAGTGAAAACAGAGTATTTATCTCATACTGATCGGAGAGTGTATCAACCTCCAGTCACCTACACTACACATTGGAGCGGTAATCGAAGTCTTCCGGAAATTCACTAATAATTATTCTTCAGTGCACATGCATGTTTTCAACCCCTCCATCCACATCCACATCCACACTCGCTCACCTCTGGCTGGGCCTGGGCTCGGGCTGTCGTGACCTCCCATTGTACCTGGGCATCTTAGCTTAGGGAACACCCATGCTCTGGCTGATCCATTTCTCAGAGCCCCTCCAGCCCCTCCACCTTCTTTCTGTTGCCAACAATCAAACGCACTGAGCATCATTCTTCACTAAGTTAGTGTAGTGTAACTCAACAACACCGCCTGGCGTCACTAGCATTCATCGACTTTTCGTTCTATTCTGTGTAAATTCTCGCCTTTTCACATCCATTCTCACACTAGAGAGGCATGGTTCTCAATCACTGAACGAACAACTCGACGTCTCCACCATAATCCACATCCCACCTCACCTAGCCATCCCCGACCACCCCCAAGTTACCTGGTAAGGTAAGGTACCTGACAGCAATCGTGCCGCTACCGCTACCGCTACGTACCGACCGCTATTACTAGCTCGATTTACCTGGACTCATTGCGGGCCAACTACTGCGATTCCCTCCACCGCCCGCCCGCTTGTTCCTCTCGACGTCTCCCGAATCAACTCTGAACCCGATAATCACGACGAGGCCAGAGCTGAGCTGAGTACACCATCCTGACCGCATGTGCTGTGTTTAGCACCTGCGAGCGAGCAACCGACTGCTTCTGCTGTTCACTCTTTGCGACTCCTTAGCTTCGCCTTCGCCTTCGCCTTCGCCAGCCTTCAACGAGCCTAGACGCAGACGGGACGAGACGTCACGGTCAAGTCTTACACAACTACCGCCGTGATCAACTTCTCTCTGCCTCCCCTCTCCTCGAACCTATACTCATACACCAGCCACCAACCCCAGCACACCACATACCGTCACGATGCCCTGCTTCAAGGGCATTGCGGTCAGCATTCATGCGAACTCTGCCCCGCTGCCAGAGTATGGCATGCAGAAGCAATCTCGTCTCTCAAGAATCAGTACCTACATTCCTGTACCCCAACCTCAGCTCGCTGAGTCAAACAAACCCGAGCCTGCAAAATTCGCCATCTCCATCACCCTTCTCACCCCCGGCTTGCCTATCCCATACTCGACCCCGAAGCCCAGTGATGATAACCCCTACCCGAAGCCTCAGTTCGTCGGCGGTCTGAACACCGGCGATCGGAATAAGTCCTCTGGTGTTGTTAACCCCTACATTCCCATGACCAACTCCGAAAACGAGACCATCGCTGCCTACATTTACTTTGACGGTAGAGCAAAGGAGGAAGTTGCTACTCTCCTGCGACCAGGTGAGGAAACATGGGTCAACAGTCGCTGGGTCCAGGTCCCAGACTCTGAAGGTGGCGGTCTGGCCGAACGAGAATTCCTATTCCGCGAGGTTGGCCTCGAGCGCTGGCTCAACGGCTTGGACCTACAAGGCCATGATGCAGCTGAGAAGCTAGAGAAGCGTCGCCAGAAGTTTGAGAAACGCCGCCGACGACAACGGGCCATGGAAGGGAACGCCAGTGCCGATGTGGAACAGGGATCTACAGGACGGAGGGACACACTACGCTATGGCGCTGACGACAAGTCTCCTATTGAGGCTGTCGTGGACGACTCTGATTCATGGTCCGACGACGACGACGAACCCCCTGAGGCGACTGGGCAGATCAAGGTGGCTATGTTCCGCGTGCTGGCCTCAGGCGAAATCAAGAAGGGCGAATACTCACCCCAGTTCGGTGCTCACGACGGCGACGAAGATGACATGGGCTCTAAGGAAGGAAATGGCATCGACGCCGACGTTGAACACACGACAAGTTTCGCGAAGCCCAAGACTCTTGATCCGAAGACTATCAGTACACAGACAGTCACGGGCATTGACGGACCAGACAAGCCCTATGCTGTCTTTACCTTCTTTTACCGAGGAGAGCGTAAGTATTCTCGGGCGTTTTGAGGATCGTACACTAACCCACATTGCAGGACAATTGCAAAAGATCGGGGTTCTACAGTCCTCAAAGAACCCTCAGACAACCCCTGGATCAGCCAAACGGAGGTCAGGTCAACTCGACTTCTCCAGCCTGGGACCTCTCAAGGCTGGTGGCACTGTCGGCTTCTCTGCTTTCCGCGACCAGGCTACCGAAGCCTCGAGACGACGCAAGGCTAGAAAGAAGAGCAATGGAAATATCGCCGATGATAGCGACGACGATGATGAAGAGGACGACGAGAACCTGGGCAAGATGGAGGAAGTGTACGCAAAAGATGTGAACGCCCAACTTGCGCCAGAAGACGTCAAATTCCAGGGCGAACTTGCTGAGGGCGTGGATCGTATTCACGTAAGTTCCGCGATTAGATCTTTCGGAGCATTTGAACTGACGATATGATGTAGCTTAAGAGGGCGCATTCTGCAGACCCAGACAGCTTGGCCACACCGGAATTGTCACAAACCCCGACCGCAGCTAGCGAATCCACGTCACAAGCGCCTACCACAGGGGGGTCACCCGCCAACAATCTTCTTTCAAACGCTGTAGGTCTTGATACACCTAGCAAGTCAATTTTCCAGAGTCCTCTCAAGAAGTACCGACCCAGTGTGGATTACGGATCGGGAGGTCTGAACCTCTCAACAGGATCTGGCTTGAAATCAGAGGTAGATTCAGCTGTTTCCGGGGGATCTGAGTCGGGGTCAGGAACCCCCTCCAATATCGAAACCCAAAAACCGAAGGTTGAGGATGAGGAAGAGCTATGATCATGGCGGAATCCTCGATTATCGATCGCTCTCACAGACTTCACCGGAGAAGTTTATTCATTGAATTACGAAAGAAAACGACAAAAAATGACGGCTTTGCTCTAAACATAAAGCGGCCGTTGGGTGTCGACATGGACAGCCTTAGCAGCTTCGAGATAGACTGATGGACCAGTTCTTGGGCCGAAGGGTTTACTCCTCGACCGGCACGACTATTGACAGCACAAGATATAAAATTTTCACTATGAAATTTATGTGGTGTATTGGCGAAGGTTAGGGAAGTATTGGGTGCTTCTAAGATTTGGGAAGCAAGTGGCTCATGTTGTATCGAGGCGGCCTGTCATTTCTTGGTGCAGGAAAACAAGCAACTCTTGATCTGAGACATGGGTGGGTTACTTACTAGAGGTTAGAAGGTCCTACAATCGAGTAGTCTGAGCCAACAGAAGGAACCAGTGTTCGGTGAATCGATTAACTGTATGTGACATATCGTTGCTTGAAGAATAGAACGGCATTGCTTTACTTCATGCTTGCGAACTGGAGTGAATGCCTTGACTGTATGCACGAGACAGGCCCTGAACACTATGGTACTGCCACCAACTAGATAGTCATGTATGACTATTTCGCTATGCCATTTTCACCCTTTAATCTAGAATCGTAGCTACGAATAGAACAAGACTTGGGATATGAGAAAGTCTGCTTTGGCTCTAACCCTGGCATGAGAGGCCAGTCTGGAGCTTTAAGATCATGGAGGCACAAATTTACAACTGGCCGTAATCAGTACATTCACGAAGTATGCATGCCACCAATTCAGGATTGTGTCCAGTAATGAAGTCAAGGTCAGAGTAATAATCAATTGACAGCATTCTATTATAGCTTCTAAGGAACAAGCCGGCTCAACGAGCAAAAAGCTCGTAACCAAAATGGATCCTGACAAGATTCGCGCGAATCGTCTACTAAACTTTTGCCATGTTAGCGAAGTGCTTCTGACACGTTGGCTCGTATGAAGAATGAATGAGAGGGAGACATGTCAGACTGTTGAGCTTGATAATTTTGAAATCAACATAGAGATTCAGTTGGCCGTTCTTAATGGAAGAGTTTGTCATCATGCAAGAGGGGGGTGTTAAACGCGTCCAGCTTGTGTGCTGGAGGCATCGAGACGTGTATTCTTGTGTCGTGTCATGTAAACGTACCTTACTGTTATTGGTTTGAAAGAACCTGCAGATATGTTATTTTGATGCTGCAGAGGCGTCTGCATATTCTCAAGAGTGTTGCCGCCCGAAAATGTCTGCGGGAACCAATTGTTGTTGGAACTTAATTATTGTTGAAGACAAAGAAAGTTTTTCAAGAGCAGCTCCAGCGCAATTTTATTCAGCAGGCGGACCGGGGTATGGTCAATTATCGGTATATCCAAGCTCCATCCCGCCATTTATGCTTATACCGAGGCCGCACTGTATCAGCACAGCCCTGGACCCAATCTACAGCGTATTTCAGTGGGCAGCAGTCCATCATCGTTGACGTGTGTGCCTAATCTGCACTGTGCCCCCTCAACCCCACCATCCATTCGATCTCATCTCTCTCTTCCTTGCTCGCTTCCATTGCTTTCCCCTCGGGCAGACTTTGCGACAACCCAACGGTTCTCTACCTTAGTTAAAACCTTTCGGTTCCCCCTTTCTAGACGCATTAGCGATCCAAACGACCAGGACAGGTCCCCAGACTTCAAAATGGCCGGAAGTGAGTTTATACTGCTCTGGAATGGTTGTACGACGATAGAATCTAACCGCGCACACTTCTAGACTTTGAGGAAGTTGCCAGTATGTTTGGAACCCTCCTGGACTGATTTATGGGTTCAACCCGCACGACCGTGACCTGATACCTAACGATAAATAAACAGAACAGTTTGTTGAGTTCTACTACAACACCTTCGACAGTGATCGCAAGGGTCTTGCTGCTCTCTACGTAAGTAGCCCTCCAGCCCAACGACGAGAACTCTAGTAGAACAACCCGCTAACCCTGACAATAGCGAGACAACTCTATGCTGACTTTCGAGTCTGCTTCCGTCCTCGGCACCCAGGCTATTACCGAGAAGCTTGCTGTATGCACCCCTTCGTCACCAGCGACTTCGAGTCGGCGTTGTTAACAATCTTTCCAACAGGGCCTCCCCTTTGAGAAGGTCAAGCACCAAGTCTCTACCCTCGATGCCCAGCCCTCCAACGACCAGGGCGGTGTCATTATCCTCATTACCGGTGCTCTCCTTGTATGTTTCCGACCATCCCACAACCTCCTGAAATGCGCCCACTAACAAATATTAGGTCGATGAGGAGCAGCGCCCCATGAACTTCAGCCAGTCCTTCCAGCTCGCCCGCGATGCGAATGGCCAGTACTTCGTCTACAACGACATCTTCAAGCTTGTCTTCGGTTAATCGAAAGCAGTTACACTGCCGGCCGGCGCCTTTGGTTGTTTGAATGAGTTGAGCGATGTTTATAAACACACAAACACACCAAGTGGGGCGACAGACGAGGGGAAATTAAAGCGGCAATGGCAACGGAATAGCTTCTTTTTTGACGATAAGATGAATTTAGAGCATGGCTTGAAGGGAGCGCAAGTGTTTGACTCGGCTGTGATTATCTTGAATTTCTTCCCGCTGATGAAGCGGAATTATTGGTTCCCAAAGCTATGAGTACTCAACCTCAGCCTCAGCTTGACGACACGGCATAGAGGGCCTGAAGAGATGGAGCCAAGAACAGGCCATCTAGAATTGAAAACTGTGAGTGTAAATGGTGCAACGACATACGTCACGTATACTTGAATAGGGTCACCACTTCGTGATTGGCATTCTACCTTTGAGAAATGAACGCCCTCAGTAGCCACGACCTGACTAATCTTTCAGCAGCAGACAGGGAAATATGCAACATATTTTATGTGCTAGCTCTGTGAAGATGGTTATGAAAACCTCAATTTGCTTGTTATTAACACAGAGAATACACCTGTTGAGACCAGAGCTGGGGATTCTCTTGACAGGACATTTAGAAGGCGAAGCATTCACTTTACGCTGAAGTCTTGTCCAAGAAGCAAGCTCATCATCTATTTTTAGGATGGTCATAAGACCGGCCTCACTGATCACTGCGAAGTGGGATGGGACGAAACGTAACCCGAGAAAAATCATTCATTTTCCATGCCCTGAACCGTGCAACACCGTTTGATCCCAAAATCGCAATGCATTGTGAAGGGTATAAACAAATAGGCTTAGATCTTGGTAGCAGCCTCGAGAGCCTTCTGCTTCTTGATGATCTTCATCTGAGCCTTGGGGCCCATGATACCACCACCCCATTGTCGGCGGGCCTGGTCGTGCTTCTCAAGGTAACCGTCCTTGACAGCAGAGATGAGCTTGGAGAGCTCGTTCTTGTCCTCGGAGCGGACCTCGGTGACGGCGAGGACAGCGGCGGTCTATAATTGTTAGACACGAAATTGAGCTCATGATTTCGATAAACATACCTTCTTGTGGACGACCGTTCCGAGACGGGCCTTGCCCTTGACAATGGCGTAAGGGATACCCATCTTCTTGCAAAGAGAAGGAAGGAAGACGACGAGCTCAATGGGCTCGACATCGTTAGGGATGAGGACGAGAGAGGCCTTCTTGTTCTCAATCAGGCCAACAACGTGGTTGAGACCGTACTTGACAGTGTAGGGCTTCTTGGAAACATCCTCCTTCTTCTTACCCTCCTTGACGGCGGTAGCCTCCTGGAGGAGACGCTCCTTCTTCTCGGCCTTGGTCTCAGGTCGGTACTTGTTGAGGAGCTTGAAGGCCTGGGCAGCAGTGTTGCGGTCGAGGACGTGCTGGAACTGAGCGAGAGCCGGGGGAACCTTGAGGCGCATCTGAAGGATCTTCTTCTGTCGCTGGAGACGAACATACTCGGGCCACTTGACCATGCGAGAGACATTTCGCTTGGGCTGGATGTCCTGGCCGATGCCGAAGTTGCGGGGTCGCTTCTCGAGAAGAGGGTTCTATGGATGTCAGCGATCTTCTCACCAGGAGGGAGAGAAGAGAATTACTAACCTTGGCGGCCTTCTTGCCAGCCTTACCCTGAGGGAAAGGGGCGGGAGCGACCTTCTTGCCGGACTTGGGAGGCTGTCATTGAGAAAAGAAGACATCAGCAAGGCGTTCAAGCCAACAAAAGGTCTTCTCTGAACTCTAACGAGAATAGGTCGTGACATTTCTGCACACGCCGCATCTCCAGCCAAGTCTTCACCAGCTCGATACCTGTTACGGTGATCGAATACTGGCGGAATACCAACAGCATATGCCGCCCACAAAGTGGACGACGCTGTGGCTCAATTGCACAATAAAGTGCATTTGACTCACAAAACTGTGGCCATTAGAGTCGAGTCGATTGTTTCATTCACTCACCATCTTGAATAGTTGGGGTTAGTAGTTGCTCGTGGGTTGAAGAGCAAAAGTCCAGGACACGATGGTGGATGGAGAACAAAGTCAAGAAGAAAAGCGAGCCTTTTTTTCCGTGGAAAATAATTAGGGCTTCCTGTTCTGGCCCCACATTAAAAAAAAACTCGACCCCACTGGCTGGAAGAAACAAGGACAGGCAGGCGAGGGGCTGGAGCTGATCTTTTCACGACTAATGTAGCGCACGTGACCGTGACTCTTTCAGTCAGGCAAACATACTCATGGCTGGAGTCGATGATTGGGAGGCAATATCTTGAGAAGGAGGGGGGGAAAAAAGCTAGAAACTGTGAAGCTGAAGTTATTTTGAAAAAGACTTCTCCAACAAAGTAACTGAACTCGCTCGACATAAAACCTCCTGTACTTGGAGAAGTCGTCCACTCACTCCGTCCGTATAAGCACTCACAAAGACTCAAACCACTTGAGACTTTCAAACTCCACTAACAGCAAAATGGCACCTACACCTTGCGTTCGGTGTCAGAACAACCGAGCTGTTGTAAAGCGACCCAAGAACCATCATAAGCTATGCCGGGACTGCTTCATCAGAGTGTTCGAGGATGAAGTCCATCACACAATCACATCATCAGACCTCTTCTTTCGGGGTGAAAGAGTTGCTATTGGTGCTTCAGGTGGCAAGGATTCAACAGTGCTGGCATCTGTAATGAAAACCTTGAACGAACGACACAACTATGGACTTGACCTAGTACTTTTGAGTGTCGACGAGGGCATCAAGGGATATCGGGACGATTCCTTAGAGACAGTCAAGCGAAATGCTATTCAATACGACATGCCCCTGGAAATTGTTGGTTACGACGAACTGTACGGATGGACCATGGACCAAGTTGTCGAGACTATCGGAAAGAAGGGAAACTGCACATATTGTGGTGTTTTCAGACGACAGGCTCTGGACCGAGGAGCCAAGAAACTGGCCATTCAGCATGTCATCACTGGTCACAACGCTGACGATGTTGCCGAAACCGTTCTCATGAATTTGTTACGAGGCGATATGCCACGGTTATCTCGAAGTACCAGCATTGTTACCGGAAACGCAAGCAGTGAGGTCAAGAGAAGCAAGCCTCTCAAGTATGCATACGAAAAGGAGATCGTACTTTACGCACATCACAAGAAGCTGGACTATTTCAGCACAGAGTGTATTTACAGCCCCGAGGCTTTCCGAGGAACAGCACGTGGACTTATCAAGAATCTGGAGAAGGTACGGCCAAGTGCAATTCTCGACATTGTACGAAGTGGAGAGGACATGGCTCGACTTACACCAGACAAGGGCCAAGCTGCGTGTGGCTGCGACGAAGGCGAGGGACTTGGAGGTTGCGGATCAGCCAACGGGCGGACTTCTGGTAACGAGATGGCCCAGGTCGAGGCCAGCCTTAAGAAAAAGCACGAGTCTACAGCTCTCGAGACAGAGATCACATCCAATGGAACACCCAAGGACGACGCAGTTCCCTTACCAATAAGGACTAAGAAGCAAAAGGAGACACCTGCACCAAAGCAGAATCTAGGAAAGTGTGTTAAGTGTGGCTACATGTCGAGTCAGACCATGTGCCAGGCTTGCACGTTGTTGGAGGGTCTGAATAAGAATAGAGCAGAGATAGCGATATAATGAATACCCCTGCTGTCAAGACCAATATTTCTATCGTTCCATTACACCATGGCTCGAACAAAGTACTTTGTTTGAAATTGTTTTATTCTTTCTCTTAGCCACTGTCCATCCGTCTCATAGGCTTCAATGCCTTGCTACTAGTACCCCGAATATGTGTATTTACAGTTGCAGTTTTGGGCTGTCGTCTCTGGTTATTTGCCCTCGGTTCCATATTGCTGTTTAAGAAAAGCGTGTCTCCAACTGTTTGATCGAATTAATGCTTGAACCACTCCGGTTGAATAGAAAAACAAACCTTCCAAGGGTTGTTCAGCTCGAAGCCTAAAGGCGCTTCTGGTTTGTCTGTTTGTCCTCGTAGAGTTCCCGTAAGTCGGCGGTCACGGTCCATCACTAATCAATTCGTTAGAATCCTCGAGTTACCGTTCGGCTGGATATATCATACTTTGCTATAAACTAATTAGTATTGACGATACTGTCGAATGCCCATAACTTACTCTATCCCATTGATCCACGGAGTAACGAGGTCGTTTGCCCTCGTTCTGCCAGGTCTTGATGACGGCAAGACCAGTACCAGAGATACCGAACATCTATCAATCATCAATGAGCTTCCGTATCGTGCGACAGCGAGACCGGACGGTGACATACACCAATCATGATGGCATAGGGAAGAAGAGCCTCAAAAGGGACGGGCATCGTGATGGCGGCGCTGCCTGAGCAGACTCGAAGGTATTCGGCGTATGTATCGGAGAACGAGAGTATGAATTGACCAGGCCTGACCTGTCTTCCGGGTTCGTCGCGGTGGTCGTGAGTCTACCGAGTAAACGGGCCTTGAATTGAAGCTCACGTCGAACCGAGCCATCGACGACTCAGCGATTGGTGATGCAGATTTCGGTGCCTGAGGCCAGAAGCTCCATAACTATCCCTGCGTCGTGGTACAGTAACTGAGGGGAGCTATCGCACAGTGTGTTACCAAGCTAGCAGTAGTAGCGTAGCAAGAGAATAGAAGAAAAGGAGGAGTAAACTCCAGGTTCTTTATTGATAAATGATTCAATGCTCTCAATACATTTAAAAACGAATTGAAGCAAAGGAGTCACCTAATTTACTTCCCTTATACTTGTATACTATACTCAAACTGTCAGTTCTTCAATAATCCGCCGATAAGCACCTTGGCTTTTACTATTCCGGACTTTTTCTCTCTCCCCTGGAGGGGCTCCCTAAGTAGCTGTCGCACGCACTGTGGCAACTAGCTCCCGCGACTGCTGTTTGATATCACACAAGTTGACGCGACGTGATTCAGTGGCTTTCCTATCGCATCTCTACGATCTTTAGACTCTCTACGAACGCGTGGTTCAAATTAACTTGGGCGTGTCAATACACCCCCGAATTTTCTTTTAAGCAACCAGTACTGCGCATTCGCTCCCGGCCGTCCCTCGATGCAAGCCCGCGTACCGCGATGAAGCAGACGTGACCACACTGCGAGAAACCCTTCGCAACCTACCGAAACCGACCGATATGCAAATTCGAGGCTCTCGTTTCAGGATATTTTCTTTTGGGACGCGGGGGTAACCATGACAGGTGCACAAACTATGGCTGAAGAGCTTCCACACAGCGTCATGGTTTCCGACGAGGATGCTGAATATGAGACGGCAGGCGAAACAGGAGGCGAAACAACAATAATCGCATCTAGGTCAAACGGAGGCAAAGGAAGCTCTGGTACGAATCAAGCTCCAGCAGAGAATGGCGATGCCGAGTTCGGCGACCACGATGCATCTGGCGAGGATGTAGACGCATCTGGAGAGGAGGACAACGACTATATGGCACCTCCGCAGACATCTTCTCACGGCAGTGTTGGACCTCCGCAAGACGGCGATGAGGAAGATCATGAAAACGTTGAAGGAGATGAGGAACATGAAGAAGACGACGTAGATGCCGAGGAGGAGGAAGATGTTGATGCTGAAGGAGAAGACTATGAGGAAGACGAAGGCGTTGGTGCCGTTAAGTTTCAACCAGGGACAAGAAGCGACGACGACGACGACAGTGAAAGCGATAAATCCGAATCACCAAGCGCAAACGACGAAGAGTCTGACGAGGAGGCTGTATGGGAAGATGCTGCAGAGGCCGAGGAAGATCATGAAGATGAAGAGACGGCCGCCTCAAGCAACTGCATCTTCTGCGGCCATAACGAAGACGAAGACCCCAGCGAGGAGTTTGAGGTTTATTTGGCCTGTGTGCGTTGTGGTGGTAATGGTAAGTTCACCTACATCAGTATACTTTTTGGAAACTTATCAAGTACAGCTCACCAACAATGCGCGCGCGATGCGGCTGCAATGAGTGCGGATAATAGTAGGTTTCAATGTGTAAGCACAGTTTGGCAAATGCTGACAATACCAGCGCCCGAAATTTGGAAATGCCCTGAATGCTTCAGCAAAGAATCCGACGTGGGGAGTGAAGATGAGGAGATGGAGGATCACGATGTTGATCACAATGCCGACATTCACTCCCAACAGTCTGATGTCCCAGAGGTACCAGGGGAGCATGAGTCTGGTCAGCACGTGAACGATGACGAAGATGCCAGCTCCCAAAGCGACAATGACAGTGAGCTTGATGAGGAGCCGATTGACGCTCCTCGCAGCTTGAGAAAACGCAAATCTTCATCATTAGAAGATGACGGAAACGGGCTTTCTCTGAGGAAACGACGACGAAACCAGTCCCAAGACGCAGGGTCGGAGAGCACAGCACGAAATGGAAGCGCTGAACCAGGGCGACACCACCCTCCCAGAACTGTGCGTCTCAAGGTTCCACGACCCCCACCCGTATCAATAGAGAAACGTACTCGTACCTCACTTGTACTTAAACTTCATGTCAAGCCTGGCAACCTTAAAGAAATCTTATCTCGCAAAAAGAGAGAAAAGAGAAGGCAGCCAGGTAGTGCCACGCGCCCGACCCCTCAACGACCAGCCCTGGCTGCGACTCCAGCTCCAGCTGCCAGAGCCAACCTTACAGCTGCAGCTATATCTAACCTTCCCACGCCTTTCACATCGGACAACTACTCACAACCATTTTATTCATTTTATGATCGCGAGGCCGATGAGATGAAGGGCAAGCCTTACGGCGGCATATTGACCGAAGCCGAGGCCGACACATCCAAGACTCTCCCTGATGAGGATGATCGAAACAAGTTCACCTCTACTCTAAAGAAAGCTGAGGATGACTGGAGAGCGCGTCTTCTGCAGGCCATGCAAGAAGACCCAAACCCTCCTGTTCGAAAGTCGAAAAAGGCCGGCAACAACGGCAGTGAGATCGAATGCATCGATTTTGGCGGCTGGGAAATCGATACTTGGTATGCTGCGCCGTATCCTGCCGAATACAGCATAAATCGCGTGCTGTACATTTGCGAGTTCTGTCTGAAGTACATGAACTCTGACTACGTTGCTTGGAGGCACAAACTCAAATGCCCAGCCAAGCATCCACCAGGAGACGAGATCTATCGTCATGGATCAGTCTCGGTTTTCGAAGTTGACGGTCGCAAGAATCCGGTCTACTGCCAGAATCTGTGCCTTCTTGCCAAGCTGTTCCTGGGTTCGAAAACTTTGTATTACGACGTTGAACCCTTCCTTTTCTATGTTTTATGCGAATACAACGAGACAGGTTACCACTTTGTGGGATACTTTTCCAAAGAAAAGAGGGCTAGCAGCCAGAACAATGTCTCATGTATTCTGACATTACCAATACACCAACGAAAAGGTTATGGCAACTTGCTTATAGACTTTTCCTACTTACTCACCAAAGTGGAGGAGAAGACGGGTTCGCCCGAGAAGCCTCTCTCTGATATGGGCCTGGTCTCATATCGCAATTACTGGCGACTGGTTCTGTGTCGATACTTTTTGAAGGTGATGGAGAATGAGAAACACAGAACAGAAGGGCTCAGCATAAAAAGAATATCCGCCGATACCGGCATGACCCCGGACGATGTCATTTCTGCATTGGAAGGTCTTAGGGCCCTTGTCAGAGATCCGCAGACCAAGGTGTATGCCTTCAGAGTCGATTTGGATTACTGTCGAGAATACGTGGGCAAGTGGGAAGCCAAGGGTTACGTTCAGTTAAAATCCGAAGCTCTCGTTTGGACTCCATATGTGATGGGTCGAACCAATGCCGTCAACTTTGAACTCGGCCCACCGATCAATACCATCGCACCAAGGGAAGACGACGAGGCCAAGATTGACGAGGGAAATGGTACGGCTGCCATCGAGGATCATCAGCCAATGGTCAATGGGGAGAAGCACGATGCGTCTGCTCCTGAAGCAGTGGCAGATGCAGACGGTGATGCTTCAATGAACATTAATAGAGAACAACCCCAGGAGTCTCCAGTCGAGAACCACAGTGCGGAGCCAGTGCCAGTCCAGTCTATTGAAGATGTGGCACCCGGGCAAGAGAAAGATAAGGACGTTGAAATGGAAGATGCAAAAGCCGCAGGCCCCCCGGCTTGGCTACAACCATATCAGAACATTCCGTTCACCCGCTTTGAAGTCTTTCCTGCCGTACCTGGTGGTCGACGAGAAAGAGCTCGGCCAAGTGTCAGTCGACCGACTGTCCCTCGCCCAGCCAGTAGTGCTCCCAGACCGAAGCGTCCCAGCAACAGCCATCGGCCATCCTCGTCTAGACCCAAGACTTCAAAGAAAAAGACTGGAGGGACCGGTCGTGGACCAGGTAGATGGCCAAAGGGAACAAAGAAATCTGATTACGGTAACGCTACCAGTGGCCCTGGTCTACCGCCCGGCTGGGTCGATCGACAAGCCAAACTGCAAGCTGTCACGGAAGGCAAGGACCCAGAACAGGAGGTAGCAGTTCAAGACTCAGCAGCAGAAGACTCGGTCGTTGTCTCGACGAAGACTAATGGTGCTAAAGTCAATGGAATTACTGCAAATACTGTGGGATCGGGATCAACGGAAGGGGCTGCTAAAGGAGAGGACGTGGATGCTGAAGGAGAGGATATCTAATTTTATTGAAAGCGGTCGATTACAGGAAGGCTTGGGGTTACGGATGTACTATATACCTTGGTAGGATCGGCGTGGGTTGCTTTATTGGCTTGATCTCGCCAGAGATAGGGGTCGTTGTTTGTAGCAAGCGCATTGTTATTGAAATACTAGACAAGACAGGTCATGGGATGGAATCATGCTTCTTGGAGGTTAAAGGCATGAGGAACAGGAACAGGAACATGAATAGGAATAGGACTTTTAGCAAAGGAAATTTGTATTAGCGAGTGTCTATGAATGCTGAGAGAGAGAACTATGTGACTTACCTATTGTTAGTTTATGTTTTGTCTGGTATAATGGTAGCCTCGACAGGTTTGCCAAAGACGTCCAGCGCCTTTGACTGCAGAAGTCCAAGATAGGCTTTGTACATGCGTTGAAAGTCGGATCTTTTGAGAGATCCTTCGATCGAGCACTTTTCGAACGCGTGGTGAGTGGTTTTCTCAGTTAGTTTGACAACTGACCTGCCACAGATGAAGGTGTTCTTACCATGCCACCCTTCACTGCGGATAGCCATGAGCGGTTTGCGATGGGTATCACCATCTTCAGGCTCCTCGTCATCGATATCACGAATATCCATGTACTCGTCTGCCATGCCTCCACGGTTCTCAAGACCTTTGCCGTTGTAACTGTAAATGGGCAGGCAAACGGCATGGTCTCCCCAAATCTCGATGGTGACCATCTTGCGGTACTTGGAGTAGATGGGGCCGAAGCCAGAGACTGCTGTGTGATAATTTGTTGTTGATACTTTGTCGTCGCGGTTCTGGCTATGGAAAGGAGCCGAGATGATGGTTCCAGGCCCGAGTTCGTTGAGTTTTCGCCTCTGGTCAGTTGGACGCATGTGAACGCTGACAGTCTCTCCGAGGCTGAGGTCAAGATGAGCCTGATGGACTCCGTAGAATGATTGGCCGTCCTGTCCAACGTCTTTTGTTAGTGCACAGCGTCTGAGATACGCAACATCGCTTCCAAGGTTAGAAGAAACAGAGCTTCTTGCAGAGGAAGCAGAGCGCGTTGACATGGCGTCTGAGTCTCGACGACGACGTCGTCGATAAGATACAGGTTCTGGAGTAGTCAGTTCAACAGGATGAGAAGTAGGTAGCCCCTTGTTGTTTGAGTGGAATTGAGTGTAGAACTTGGCTGCCAGGTTACGAAGCTGCCAGCTACAGTCCTTACACTCCCAGTCGTCAGCCGCAGAGTGAAGAGAAGACATGAGAAAAGAAACAGAGTCTTTCTGCTCAACGTGAAGCCATGTCTCTTCCTGTTTCCTGGTTGGTCGGCTGGGTTCGTTCGGCGAGAAGTGCGTGTGAGCAAAGATATTAGTCTTGAATTTATTAATGCGGTGGCTGGTGTCGACATTCAGAGATTGTTGGAAGTTTCTGTCGCGGATTAGACCTCTGCTACGAGGATAGGACTTTCTAATGCGATGATCATTGAATGAAGGCATTTTGATGATTTTCTTGTATATCTTGGGGAATGTTGGTGAGTAAAACCGGTTATTGAAGCTGAAATCGCAAAAGTGCATGTGATTTGATAGTCGTTGAGATTGTCATTATATCTAAGGCAGGCTACTATTATATAGTTGGCTGGCTGTGTCATCTTTCGAGGTCCTCTTCATAGAGCTACGGGCAAGTGTCATGTTGTTCAGTTGGACAGGAGATATCTGAGATCTGTTGTTCGACATGGTGTTTATGAACAAAGGATAGGTTACCGAATATCCCTGTGTCTCGAAGGCGAACTGCTCATTCAGAAACCCTGAACAGGTGTTTAGAATATGTATTAATTCTTAGGAAACAGTATTTCTGGTGATATATTCTTTCTCAGACTTGAGAGTGAACACTAATGCTCCATTTGCTGGAAGTTGACGTAAGCCTTAGGCTCATGTCGATAGTCCGATTCCTTCCGATAAGTCAATGCATTATCATACTTTAGAGATTTGTTTTATCTGGTCTCTTGTTCATGATCTTATGATTGTTTGACGGCCCTGGCTCTTATAGAGACTCAAGTTGACTAGTGTCGTGGGGCAACTTGGACCTTTCAACTACATGTAAGCAATAGCAACAACAATGTCACATCGAAGTAGAGGCTGTCTTCGCTGCCGCCAACGACGAGTCAAGGTATTTAGCAAGTGTATTATTCTTTTCGGTGAGAGTTAATCTGATTATCATAGTGCGACCGCAGTCGCCCTTCATGTCAACGTTGTATCGCCCGCAATGAGCTATGTGTAGGGTATCGAGATGAAGGCGACCTTATGTTCCAACACGAAACTGCAAAAGTTGTCCTGAAAAGTCAAACTTCTACTCCTTCCAACTCGTCTCGTTCTAACACCTCCAAATCTCCTCGAGATCATCGCACCAGAAGTAGATCAGTTGAACGTGCCTCCGAGAGCTCGTTCTCTTCAACTCCTTCTATCAATCTCCCAACAGCATTTCCATGGTTAAAAGACCAGTCCAAAACAGAGCCCGTCTCCAAGGATGACCAAATAGCGAACACATTCATGGATAAATATGTGTTGCTTCCTTGTAACGAGTCATCCTCCCCTGGTTTTCTCGAGCATCTCCCCTGCTTGTTCAAAGAAGTCAACATCGAGGGCCGTTATGCGTTGAGATTTGCTGTTCAAGCATGTGCTTTCGCAGACCTTTCTCGTGAACAAAGCTCAGAGGAATTAGCCAAGAGGTCACTAGAGCACTATGGTCATGCTCTTAGTGCCCTTGGACAATCTTTGGCTGAAAAGAATAAGACACCAGATGATTACGATCTGATGACAGTGGTTATGCTGGACATATTTGAGGTGAATACACTGCACAACTACACTCAATCTACCAAGCTTATACTCTTACAGACACTCTTTATACCTGATTCGCTAATGACTGGTGCGCACGCCCAAGGCATGGCACATATATTGCGACTGCGTGGCCATGAGCAATTCCATGACCCCCGTGGCTGGGGCCTGTTCCGTCTAGCTCACCATAGACTGGTAAGCAAGCCTGATTCTCCGGCCATGTAAATACTGAACTTACAATTTGAAGCAAAAGCAACATTTGGCTAAGCAATTAAGCCCACTACCTGAATCGCAAGATTGGCTTGAGACGTTGAACGACAATATGGCTTCGGTAAAGCTAGAGAAGGACGGTCTAGCAATCAACCAAATGTGTCAACAAGCAAATCAGTTACTGACTTCTATCGATGCTGGAGACATTGAAGCACACCATTTGTTAGACCTGATCGATGAGATGCTTCGACTTGATCAAGAGGCTACTCACTGGCGAAAAAAACCAGAATGGAGCTTTCAGACTAAATCTCGTGGGGAAATACTCGATAACAGAGAGTCCAAACTCTGGTTGCCAGAGTCTATTCAGCTTCATCCAGACTTATGGATGGCCTATGAGTGGAATTATCACCGTACTGCACGCATCATTCTTCATCAGAAACTGGTAGCTTGCTTGGAAAAGGTCAATACTGCACTACCATCAGACTCTGGTGTCACAGCTCGGATCACGGAATCAATCAATACTATCCAGCTTTTGGCTAGTGAGGTCCTGGCAACTGTTCCTCAGTCGTTTGGCGATATCGATCACCTCGGTGGATGGCACTCGGAGTCAAAGACGGCTCGTTGGCAGGCCGTCGGTGCATACCTTCTGCTTTGGCCGACAAAAATCATCAAAAGTCAAAGTGCCTTGACTACAAATTCACAGAAGGAGGATGCACAGAGAGTGTTTGGGAGGATCAGAGAGTGTACAGGCATGAAGTCAAGCCTGGGTGTTCTCTCCGAGATCTAATCATATAAACATACGAAAATCACAACAGTACACTCCCTTATGTCATCAGAACACAGTCTCCTCCAATTCCGTTCCATCCTTAAGAGTGATAGTTTCAGCACCAATCATGACAAAGATGATCTGGCACGTAACGTCGCCCCTATTCTCCCAGCTGTGATTCACGCCCTGTTGAACAATGACCTCTCCTTGCTTGACAGTCTTTTCCTCTCCACCGTCGAGCCCCAGGACGATCTCACCCGACAGAACCACAGCGTAGTCAAGGCTTTTGGTACGGTGCATAGGTGCTTTGCCACCAGGTTGGATCTGGGTCATGCAGAAGAGGGATCCTTTAGGAGGACATCTCGGAAGAGAATTCTCAAATGATGGGACAGAGTCTGTGTTGTTGATGGGAACATTTTGACGGACGTCGAAGATGTTGAAGCCACTGCCTTGAGGACCAAAGGGTTGAAAGGGTGTGATATTTGTGTCAGGGACAAAAATGGAGGTTCCATCCTCATTGTGTGTAGTTCGTACAAGAAGAGGAGAAGAGTTTGAGGTTTGAGACGTCATGGTTGATGAGATAGGTAATGATTGGTATGTGTATTCCGTGTAAGTGAAGAATATATGGATGGATATGGGAAGATGGAGATGTGAAATTGATCGGATGATTGAGATATAAGAGAGACTAAAAGAGAGCAACAGTCTTATTTATACATGGTTTGGAAGTATGTTCGGCCCCTGGAGAGCGCGAGCGTCAGCCGTATCTTGCTTGACCCTTTGGTCGTGATCGTCAGCTCAACCTCAATATGCAAGGTTCCTCGCGCCGCTTTCCCAATTAGGAAACCCCCCACGAATGGCGATGCTACGGTGAAGATGTAAGTGGAGGAGCAGAGTCACACTAACAAAACGTTGGGTTTATATATATAGGTAAGTCACTGAAGAGCTACATAGAAGCATATGACAGTGACATTAGTTCTTTTAGACCAGTCTGCAACTATTGCGTTGTATCTATGTACTTAGTAGACGCTCAGAACTCTACAAGCGATAAACCAAGAGTCAAGGTTACATAGTATACCTCATCTTCCAGGTAACCTGGACATCTATCTCGCTAAACGATGACCAAGCTCACCTTGGAGCCCGTTGAGAGAGGTTGATCTACATTCTCGAGAGACCCTCCCGCCATTCTCAGTTCAGTGACAACGTCTTACACACGACAAGCATCCCCAGGCCCAGACAACCGTACAAGTTCCATCGTTTTATAGTCTGCAACCCTGCTTTGTCCATTCAGGGATGACGGGTCCATCTTGTCCGAGAGAAGCTGCAGCTCCAAGTCATCCTGATCAGCCAGGAGCCATTCATCTTCCATGGGCGGTGCGACACCTTTGAGGTACTTGAAGGGGATATAGCAAAAGTACACCGTAGATACTAGTTGGGCGATAAGAAACCACAAAATGACAACCTTGGGGCCGTCGAGGAGGGTGACGATGACGGAGAGGTAGACTTGGACTGCCATGAGGAGAAAGGCCATTCCGCTGGTGATACGTGTTGCTCTTTGGTAGCTCTTATACGCGGCTGTTGTATCTCAGACGAAAGAGTCAGTCATACAAGTACAAATACTCGGTACATCAATGAGTATTTCTTACATGGCGTTATGTCCTTGTGGAGGACAGATGCGACGATGACCAGGGATAACTGAGCCATGGCTACTAAAACATAGCCATAACCTAGAAGAGTCAGTATAAGTTACAAATTACCACCCAGTTCAAAATACTAACACATGGAAAGGCGTTGTTTGTCTCCCGTTGGAGACATGTTGGCGGCTATTACGGATGATTACTCGTGTTGGAGTCTGGCGGTAAATATTGAGCTGTAGTGTTAAGATGTCTGACAGGAAGGAGAAAGGAATTTGAAGAGAGCACAAGAGAAAAAGATCCTCATATTAAACATATTTATTTGTTTTTATCATAAACCTCGCAAGAAAATGCATCGATACAGCTGCACATACAGACCAAAAGTCTATTGGCCTCTCATGTTTATAGTTTGTGCGCGATATCAAGAAGACGCTCTCTACCAATCGTGAGCGAGGTTGTCACCAATGGAAGAGATACTATCAGTGAATTACCTTCAATTCATCAAAAGGCTCGTCTCAGAGAAGGACACGTCTTCAAGTGTCAGGTGGTGACAATAGACTCAGCGAAGTAGACCCAATGAACCGTGTCTAAGCTTGAGAAGATCATCATGAACACCGTGAATACTTTCAGACCATTATAGTGTACATATGCTTCATTTCAGTCTCAGAAACAAAATGATAGGAAAGCTACCTTTTGGTTATTGTCTCTCTCATCGCTCTGTTGACCGCATCTAAACCATTCAAAGTTCTACAAAGTCTCTCCAATCGGCGTGGAAAATATTTCTTGAATAAATGGAAGGTGGTTTGACGCGAGAGACAGCGTAATATTCATGGATAGTTCAATCCCAAAGAGAGATAGCCAAGGATACTCTCCAAGGCCTTGAGCGCCGTTATTGCATAGCACCATCCGGGATAATATACTGGAAATGAGAGAAAGACCTTAGTAATCACTGTAAATAACACACAGGTTACAGATATGGCGAGGAATTCTTCACGGTGCCAACAAGCAGCCAGATGCGAGGCGAAAGAGCATAATGAAGCGAGTGCTCAACCAGGTACGAGTCAAATCGTACACTCATGTAGAGTTTGCCCAAAAGTAAATATAGATTCGCTGGATAAGGCTGCCTAAGGCTGGTAGATATTGAGCTTTTGATTTCACAATCTGAGGGGTCAAAGAATCAATGTACTTGTATTTTAAGAACAGAGTGTGAATCGTCTTTCCTCTTTGGCTGCATTCGCATATTGTGATGCTTTACATAGAGCATCTTGAAACCGAGAAAGCAAGATGCAGAAGAAGGGAAGAACCCTTTATCAAGTCTATATAGAATTTCAAAACAGACTCTTGTGCAAGTCTCTTGTACCTAATTATCATATAAAAGTATTCATCACCAAAGTTTAACCAGAACCAAAAGCTCAGTGATAGGGTCAATTCGAAGAATCTAAACCTTGGCATGTTATGATATTACACTCCAAGAAGCAACCAGAATGAGTTTCTATTTGCTCCAACTGAGATAGAATTTTTCATTTCTACTTGGATCTCACGACAAGCCCATAAGAACAACATGAGTATCTATGTGATTGGTGTACAACTCATGCGTGCAACACGCACGCCTGACTTTGTGCATTAAACTTCAAGCTGAAGAGAATAAATACGTTGTTCCTCTTCCTGTTCTTCTGTTTTCCTTCTTCCTTTTATTATCACCATACTCTTCTCTTTCCTCGATCCTCGACCCTGAAATTATCAACCCAAGTCTACCCAAGTCTACCCAAGTCTACCCAAGTCTACCCAAGTCTACCCAAGTCTACCCAAGTCTACCCAAGTCTACCCAAGTCTATCATCACCACCACCATCATCATGTCTGGAGATGGCAACTTCAACGCTTTGTTAGATGCCGATGACCTTATGAGGCCTGACTCTGCTGCCTTTGGCTTCCCAAAAATGGCCAGAGCAGCGGCCAAGGCAGCATACAGAGCAGCATCTAGACCAACTGCCGCTGCAACAGAAACAGCAACACTCAGAGAACATGTTCAGAGTATTCTAGACCATGAATACTCTTTTGTAATGAGTCTGTTCTTAACCCCTCTCGAGAACCGTCTCAATCTGATCTAATCTAACTTGACGTTACAGTCACCTTCGCTGGGGTCGCCGTTTTCGCTCTCCTTCTATCCATCGCAATCATCTTCATTGTGGCCAAGAGCCTTTCAAAAGTCAAGGCCTGCATGCCTCCTCCTGGGGACGACAATGGACTTGGTAAATTAACAATTCTGCTTCTCCCCAACGCTCTACTACTCAGTGCTGACTGATACTGTCTTTAGGCCAGAACATGTACAAGTGCTACAGAAAAGCTCAGGTACATTTCATCTTCCTCATTCTGTCTGCGCTCGGCTGCATCGGCACCTTCATTCTAGCGACTGCCAAGATCATGCTGCTGGACAACATAGACGGTTCTGTAGACCTTTTGAGTATTGCCTATGGCGTCCAAGTCTTGACTTTGTTATGTGCACTCATGGCCAGCCACTCTCTGATGAATAATACCCTCCTTACCTTCATCTCAGATGAAGCAGACATGGAGGTTAACGAATGGTCTTCCAAGTTGTAAACTGGTAGTTGTCGAACCGACAGTCGAGGGTAAAGAGGACAAGTACCTAAGGATCCAAAGGATATTTTTATTGTTGCATTTATGGAAATTGAGTAAGATGTTGGTGATAAGACGTCAAAACACAATAACTGAAACTATCTCCATCTCCAAGTGCACATCATGATGCGACTTCACTACCAACTCCCTCCCCATTGTCTCCCTCATAACCATGCTCATATTCCTCGGCTTTCCTCTCTCCCCAAAATCCTTTACCGTAGCTGACAAGAATCTCCTCCCCCTTCTTGATCCCTACTCCCTTCTTCTTCTTCCCACCTCCAAGCACCCAAACTCCCACACAAAGCTCTCCCCATCGCTCGCACCAAACAGTCCTGAACTCCGCATTCGCTCTCTCCCCCACGCCTCTAAAGTCGTTCACGAAGCGCCCCTCGTTTCCTTCATTCGCTGCATCAACAGCTGCGTCAAGCTCTCGGTCCAGCCATAAATCGTAGTCGCTCTCTGTTGAGGATGCCGAGCCTGAGTGCACTCGGCCGAGATACGCGAGAATGAAGCTACCAGGCGCAAGATTCTGAGCTGCGAAGAGACCACTTTGACCGTTTGCTGGGTGTGACGGCTCAGAAATGGGCTGGATTTTGACCAGATTGCACGGTGTTGTTGTCGCCGGCGATGGGATGATTGGAATGCCGCCTGGAGCAGAGGGTTTGTTTTTGAGAGCTTGTATGTGCGTTGGAGTTAGACTCTTGTCATGAAGAGGTGCCTTGAGATACGGGAAGCCATCTGGCCAATTCTTTGGTTTAGACATGACGAAGCCTGCAAATACTTGGTGCAAGATGGCATCTAAATGATTTGAATTCACCATCAGCTTTGCAGTGGCCAAAACTTCCAATGAGGTTGACGATCCACTGACCCCACGTATAAATCTAAGGTAGGTCTGCCGCAGTAAAGCTACAACTTTAGGAGTACATCACAGTCAGCACAAGAGGTCCCAAAACGCAATTGTTTCCTAATTACCAATGCTCCATGCAACTATCTAGACTATTTCTACAAGTCGATCTCATGAGACCATGAATGAATGCCCGCCCTACTCTCACGCCCTCAAGACACGCTTGCTCCTTTTTAGTACGTCCACCTGCATTACTAGACTATCGTATAACCACTCCAATATGGCATCAATCCTATACTGTTCACGTCCACGTCCATCTCCTAGTGAGACATAACTTCTCGGTATCGGTCCATGCTCAAGTCCACTGAGTAAGCCAACAGACGATCTTGTGTCAAAGGCAGGTTGAGAATCCTAGACCTTAACTCCATATCCTGAAATGTATAGTTAGTAACTGTTCCAACCTTGTAATCCATCTGCTAGAACATACCTGTCTCTTCTTGCTGGCCTTAACAATCTCCTTGGCAGTCTCATCTGCCATGTCTGACACGGCAGCGTACCGCAGGACTCCAGAATCTCCTGTTTCCTTGTCCATCGCGTGCAGGCCTGCAAGAAGCTTCTCCAAAACTGCCTGCGGTGCAGTCTCATGCCTCGCGCGATGCTGAATGAGCTGAAGGAAGAAATTGTAGATCTCTCCTCCAAGCGGCCAGTCCGAGATGAGCTCTTGTCGGCCTTCAAACTGAGAGAGAAGAGCAGAGAGGTCCGCGTAGTCGCGTTCAACAATAGCTAGCGGTGCAACCTCCTTAACAAGAACACGGTGAGCTTCCACAAAAGAGCCGGCGCGCAGGAGGCATTGCACTTCTGAGTACGCATCCTTCTTAACACTGCGCATGTACAGAGCCAGGGCCTCCCAGATCCACAACGAAGGGATTTGGAACTTTTCGGTGAGTACCTGGAAAGCGGAAGAGTTTTCATCGCCGATGAAGCCAGCATGTCGGGCAAGATGTTCCTGGATAGCTATCTTGCGGGCGAGGGGCTTGCTCAGATGCAGCAAAACGAACACTGCCTCGAGCCATTCACCGGCGCTTGCAAGTTGCGAGGCAAAAGCAAGAGTAGCGGCGTCGGCCTTTTCAGCGCCATCCTGGCCGAAAGAAACCTTGCCACTAGATGCAAGGGCAAGGCCGAGTTGCCAAGTCAGCCGCATGTCGAGTGGAGAGAGCTGCGAGTTTTCAGGGCGCAACACAGCCTCCAGGTCGGTGCTGTCATTGGCGTACAACTGTAAAAGACCCCAGAGAAGATCTTGCCGGCGATCGGAGTCGACATCATCCCACAAGGGCTTGATACCCTGATCAATATACCAAGGCAACGGAAGGTACTCCTTCTCCTGGTCGATGTCATTCTTGAAGCTATGCACTGCAGCTGCTAGGTCGTCCTGCTGAGCGATCGAGTACCACAGTCGGAGACCAAAGGCCTGCTTCCAGTCGAGTCCAAACTTTTTCGAAATAACAAACGAGTCTAGGCGGTCCTCGACAGGCACTCCCTTCATACCTTCGCAGACACATGCATTACCCGAAAGGAGCTCGTAGATGGTACGGATCGATTCTGAAAATTCCGAGAGCATCTTTGAATCGTGCCATGCCTTGAGCTGTTCTCGCATGTCTTTCTTGGCAGCATCACTAGTGCCAATAAGAGGCACCAAGGTGGC